GGAGGAAAATACCAGGAAACCCAGAAGCCCAAAAGTCAAAATCGTCTCGATCCAAGCCCCAGACTCTGAAAATCCAGAGTTAAAGCTCTCCTAGGCAAGTGATGAGTGCTGTTTGTGATGAAAAAGGGACGAAAGGGTCCAGGCCCTGGAGGTTTGGGTCCTTTAGAGAGGGGCGCCTTGGAGTGGGACATTGGACGTCGACGTCACTGCGGCTTGAAACCCGCCAAGGTTGCAGCTCTCGCAGCTGGACAAGGGTTCAGCGCTCGGCTACTGGGAGCTACTGGGCTGCGGTAAGGCCAACAGCTCGTCTGACGCGGCAAAATCAGCTGGCCCGTGCTTCGGTTGGCGATCCTCATCACAGTACATAAACTGTCTTGTGGACCTCTCGCGAGTGTGTAACGTTACATATAACATACATATTAGTGTTACACAGTACGTCTTAGGTGACAAAAATATGAGAATCTCAGAATATATCAGTTGGTTAGTCCAAGGGTTAGGGTTAAGGGGCTGAAGGTATACTCCCGCGCCTCTTCCCCCCCCTCCCCCTTTTGTTGCCCCTCTGCGCTCTACCCCTTTTTCTCTCCACCTCAACCCTCGGACAAGTCCACACCGAGCATCCATGGCTCCATTGGCAAGATGATCCAGTTCAGACGACGGCCTCAGCTAGCATTCTGCTAACAGAAAATTTCTCCGGCCACGCCACCATTCTAACCTTCATTGCATGCATAAGTGAGACCAAGGGCTAACGACTAACGATGCATTTTGCATGATATTCACGGATAATGTCATCCTTGAGCCATTAGAACCATCCTAGGAATCCTAGGAGCGATCCTGACTTGACCATCACGTCAATCCTAGATCGGGACCCCCTCGTTTTATGGAGAATAGCCGGGGGAGGGGATAACCCCTCCACCAGCCTGGCAAAAGCCCCTCATCATCCCGACACTCCCGATCACAACACCCCGATATCCCGACACCCTGGACGTGGCCTCTAGACGTAGAAAACGTGGGGGAAAAAAAAAAAAAAATCTCCGCCTGCGCGCCCTTTCCCAGACACGCAGCGGCGGTATCGGGCCGTTGCCGTGCACGTGGTGGACCATCTTTCTTGATTAACAGCCGTTGATGTGTTGTCCTTGAGTCTTGACCCTGGATAGAATAAAAAAGTTAAACTACGCCCTGTCTCGACCTTCTACATACCCTTCCTCTCCTCCTCTTCACCATATTCTTTTACTATCCCATACTATCCCCCAAACCTCACTCCCCCTCTTTCTCCCCAGCCCCCTTTCCCCCTTCCCCCCCTTCCCCCAACCCAAAACCAACAAAAGTTCCCTCGCCTTCCCCGGCAATCTACCCCAAACCAATAGTAGATCAACCCTCACAATGGACTCCCAAGCCTTCCGCGAAGCCGGGCATACCGGTATTGAGGACATCGCAACCTACTTCGATACTCTCTCCTCCCGCCCGGTCGTCTCAACCGTCGAGCCGGGCTACCTCCGCAAACTCCTGCCTTCGTCGGCCCCCGAAGAAGGGGAGTCTTGGTCGGCTATCCACGCCGACATCGAGGACAAGATCCTCCCGGGTATCACGCACTGGACACACCCGGGCTTCCACGCCTTCTTCCCCTGCGCCAACAGCTACCCGTCCATCCTCGGCGAGCTCTACAGCGCCGCCCTCTCGGGGGCCGCCTTCAACTGGATCTGCTCTCCGGCCGTGACCGAGCTGGAGACCATCGTACTCGACTGGCTGGCGCAAATCCTAGGCCTCCCGCAATGCTTCCTCTCCACCGGTCCGACCCGTGGCGGCGGCGTGATCCACGGCTCAGCCTCCGAAGCCGTACTCACGGCCATGGTCGCCGCGAGAGACAAGTACCTCCGGGAAACCACGCCGCCAGAGTCCGAACTATCAGGCGAAGCCCGCGAAGACTTCATCGCGCGTAAGCGCAGCAAGATGGTCGCCCTGGCCACCACGGCAACCCACTCGTCGGCCAAGAAAGCAGCGCTCATCCTCGGCATCCGCTTCCGCGCCATCCCCGTGCGCGCAGAGGACAACTACTCTCTGACCGAAGAAATTCTCTCCCAGGCCCTAGCCCAATGCAAGGCCGAAGGCCTCGAGCCCTTCTTCCTCGCCGCAACCCTCGGCACAACCGACACGTGCGCGGTGGACGACTTCGCGGGGATCGTCTCCGCTCTGAACGCCTTCACGCCCGCCGGTCAGCCAGGCGAGGTCTGGGTGCACGTCGACGGCGCCTACGCCGGCAGCGCCCTGGTCTGCCCCGAGACGCAGCAAGAAGTGAATATTTCCCTCCTTTCCAACTTCCACTCCTTCGACATGAACATGCACAAATGGCTGCTCGTCAACTTCGACGCGTCCTGCTTCTTCGTGCGCGACCGCTCCTGGCTGGTGCAAGCCCTCAGCGTCAACCAAGCCGTGTACGGCAACCACGCCAGCGACGGCGGCTTGGTAACCGACTATCGCGAGTGGCAGATCCCGCTGGGGCGGCGGTTCCGCGCGCTGAAGGTGTGGTTCGTGCTAAGGTCGTACGGCGTCAAGGGTCTGCAGGCGCACATTCGGCGGTCGACCAAGCTGGGGGATGAGTTTGCGGATATGATTCGGAGCCGGCCCGATTTGTTTGAGATCGTCACGCCGCCGAGGTTTGCGTTGACTGTGTTCCGGCTGGCCCAAAAGGGCGAGGCGCAGACGCTCGAGGAGAGGAATAAGTTGACCAAAGAGCTGTATGATCGGGCGAATGCCACGGGCTACATGTGGTTTACTAGCACGAGTCTGGATGGGCGCGTTGCGATTCGCATGTGCGCGGGCGTGAGGACCACTGAGAGGGAGCATATTGAGAGGGCGTTTAAGGGGCTGGTGGAGATTGCTGAGAGCATTATGAAGGCGTAGAGGGGAATGAATATAGAGCCATCTACTACCACTAGAATATAATACCCAGCTCAGTCTTGTTTTGGTCACTTCAATACACACCGTACATAGGATTCCAAATAGATCGTCATGTTGTGTGAATTCTCTAATTCGTACCTCATTAATGTACGTGTTTTTTTTTTAGGAAAAAAAAAAAAAGAAAGGGGGGGGGAGGGGGGAAAAACACATTTATTGTCCCAACCCTTCTTTTTAAATGCTCGCCCTCCTAGGCGCCATGGTCCTCCTGAGCCCCTTTTTCCCATTACTCTGGTCCGCCAACGGCAACACACCCCTCTCCTTCAGCTTCCCGATAAAATCCTGCCCATACTTATACCCGACCGCATAAATCTCATGAAACTTACCAAACTCCAGCGTCCCATACTCATCGATCGGCGGGCGCATGTAAATACACCCGGGCATGGTCTTCGCCCTCTCCAGCGCATCTACACTCGAAACATACGCCAACCGCGCCTGAATTTCCGCCAGCGTCGGCGGATTCGGCGTGGTAGAGAAGGGATTCCACCTGTTGAAAAACGCCCAAAACCCGGACAACGAATCCCCAAAGGCTTGCGGCGTGTCGTCATCCAGCGCGCCGACATCAACCGCAAAGATCACATCACACCCCAACGACTTCATATGCGACACCGTCAAGTTATCAATATACCCCCCATCCAACAACATATGGCCCTCATCACACAGCGGCGGCAACAAGCCCGCCAGACTCATCGACGCCCTGACATAGCGCCACGCGTAACCCGAGGTATGGAACTCGGCCCGCGACTTAGAAATATTCGTCGTGTTGCAGTAGTATTCCAGCCAAAAGTCTTCGATCTGGGTATTTCCAAACGCCTTGAAAATTCCCCTGTTGAATTCATGCCCCGTGGTGTACGACGCCGAAGGGTAAGTCAAGTCCAGCGCGAACCTCCACACAGACGCCATCCGACCAGCAAACTTCTTCGCCGCGTTAACAATCGGCACAAAGTCGGCATGGCGCGCGTACAACGCCCCGATAAACGCGCCAATCGACGTGCCCCCGACCAAATCAATCGGAATCCCCGCCTCCTGCATTGCCCTAATAATCCCAATATGCGCAATGCCCCTCGCGCCGCCGCCCCCCAGCACCAACCCCACCGACTTCCCGCAAAGCCTCCTCGCGAGACGATGAAAATCACCCTTGAACGGCGCGTCCGGCGAGTAGAACGGGCTCCGCCCATGCCGATTATCCTTGCGTCCCGTAAACTTCTGAATCTCGGCTTGCAGGATCTGCACCCTCTCCCTGAGGGTCGGCCCAGATGGCTTCGCCTGAGGATGGATGGGCACACCCTTGGGACTATACGTCATTTGCACATGAAAATGGCCACCGTTGATCCAGACGCGATTCTTGAGCCATTTGCGGGTGAGGCCGGGGGCGGAGTATCGTTCTTGGTGAAGGAGCACGAGGATCTTGCGGGCGGTCGATTTCATGCCGAGCATGAAGCGCTCATACTCGCCGATCTCGGGGGAACCGTCGGCCAGCCCGACGAGGAGGATGCAGTCGGCTTGGGTGATGCAGGTTTGCGTCCAGGGGGCGTTGACGGTTGTGTCTAGACACCCGCAGTTAGCAATACCATAAGAAAAGAGGGGGGGGGGGGAAACACCAAAAAAAAAAAAAAAGCAAGCCGCAGATACTCTCTCCCCCAAGACTTACCCGCCACGTAAATAACCAACCCATACTTCTCCTCCAAATCCGCGAGATACTGCGAAAGCTTCAACTTTCCCATTTTGTTGAAGGCATGCTTGCCTAAGTGATTCAACACCGCATCGCTGTTAAGCGCAACAGCCCCGTTGGGAGCACCAACTTCATTCAGCGCATTCAACAACCGATTTCCAAACTCAACCACCGGCACGCCGGTCGACACAGGCAGCACGGCAACCGTCCTCAGATTGAGCGTCGTCGCCCCCTTATTGACCGAGCTTCTCCCGGCAGCATCCTTCAGGCCCTGAGCACCCGACGGATCGTCGATCAAAGCACGCATGCGCGAGGCAATGATCTTCGAGATCTTAATCGTGATGTTGGGATGCTCCTGAGCGAGGGAGTTGAACAACGTCCTCGGGAACTTAACAACCTCCGTATCGCGGATAGCATGCAGCGTGCCCGACCGCGACGACTCCGTAAGCACTTCCAGCTCGCCGATACTCTCACCCTGGCCAAACTCGGCACGCACATTCATGCCTCCATCCTTCCTATCCTCCACCAACCTCAGCCGACCGTTGAGAACAATATAAATCGCCTCACTCTCATCCCTCTCATGGAACAGCACCTGCCCGGCATTAACCTGCAGCCATTCCAGCGCAAAATCGATGTGCAGAATCAATCTCGGCAGCAGGTTCGTCAACCGCTTTGCCATGGTCAACAACACAATCGGATACCGATCGACAATCTTCTCGACTGACGCAAGCGGCAAGAACCCCACGTAAACATCCGTCTTCGCCACAACGTCGATAAACGACCGGTACGACGAAATCGTCCCAATATACCCCGCCAACCCGCCCGGCTTGACGAGGGCAACACTCCTCCTCGCCGGCTGCCTGCCCTTCTCCTTCATCCCACCCTCATTCACGCTACCCCCCGTTCTCCTCATCCTCGCAGCCCCCATCCTAGGCGTACACAAACTGCCCCCTCTGCTGGTGCTGGTGCTGGTGCTGGTGCTGGTGCTGGCGTTGGTGCTGCTGCTTCCCCTCCCCACCTCCCGTAACGACGTCCGACTCCCAGTCGCCCTCCACACATCCGTGCTGCTCGCAGCCTCCTCTTCGGCAATACAAATGTCCAAAAACCCATCGATCACATAATACAGCCCGGGATTCCGCTCCCCCTGCTCCACGAGCACCGCCCCCTTGGGGAAAAACACGATCTCCATCTCATCCCGCATATCGTGCGCCAACACACGCGGGTCGGGCGACGAGGAGGAAGTGGGCAGGCCGGCGGAGGTGATGGACTCTGTTTCGCCGTCGAAGGAGGCTTCCAAACCGTCCATGAAGCCGAAGGCGTGGTTGGTGAGGACGGCGCGCTGGCGACGCTGGTCGAGGGGGACGAGGCGGGGAGAGGAGGTGTGGACGGAGTCGGTGTCTTTGGCCCCGTCGCGACTGGGCCCGCCGTACCCGGCTCCTAGGCCGAGAGCTTTGAGGACGCAGAGGAGAATGGACTCCCGGAACATGTTATCCTCCCCTAAGGTATCGCGCTGATCGATCATCGAGATGTGACTGGCCCTCTGCGTACCAAACGGATCAAACGCCGCCGCCGTGCCCATGGCCGTCGAACTCCTTTGACCTATCGACGGGATAACCACCTCGGAGGTCGACAAATCCAGATGAGCATGACTCTCCGACCTCGTCGCAGTCTGCGGCCTCCCCCCCCCAGCCCTTGACTTCTGCAGATTACTGATCAGATCTGCCGACGCCGACGACACATGGTGCACACTCCCGTGTCTTGACGACAGCGCCTGCAAGAGCACCGCATCCTTCCTCAACGAATTCGTCGACCTCCTCCTCCGGCTATTATTCGCGTTGTGCAGGGCGATCCCCTTGGAGATATCCTCTTCCGGCCCAAACCTCCCCCTTTCGCGCTTGAATTTTTCCTTCAGCCGGTTGAGGGCGTCGCCGCGCAAATGGTTGGGCAGCTGCCGCGTGGTGTACTTGAGCATCTGGCGCTCGATTTGAAGCACTTCGCAGGTCAGGCCCAGGTAGTTGAATGCCGTGGCCAGTGTCACGCGCTGGAAGCGAGAGAGGATGACGTGCACGATGTGGGCTGTCGCCTTGGGGTAAATGCGGATGAGCCGGCGGAAGGCGGATGCGGGAATGATGGCGATGGTTGTGTCGACGACCGCGCGGGCGATGATGTCGGGGTGTGCTGAGTTCGTGTTATTTCTCTTGAGGGCCGCCGGGCGCTGGGGCTTCCCGATGCTGGCAGTCGACTTGCCGTCAAGAGACAGATGTGGGATCCTGGCGCTAGCAGAAGAAGACAAGAATAGATTCTCGACCGGATCCTCGTCGTTGTCATCATCAAACTGCGGCGTGCCCGGCAACGAGCCAGGCATGACATCCAACTTCGGATAGTCACTAGCCGGGCAGATGGGCAACAGCGCACTCTGCACAGCCGACCCGGGCTCCGAGCCATCATCCTCCGGCAGCCTCATCGACACATCCTCCGTGAACAGGGACATGATGGAAAAAAGCGACGACATGGGCGCGCCATTCCTGACCTCCGTCAACAGCTGATACCGCTGCCCATGCGCCGGCTCGTCATCCTCATCACTGCTGACCACCAGCACCTCCTCCCCCGCCAGCCCAACCCTCGGACTCTTGACCGTATCCCTGCTCTGCCTATACCCCGACGAACTTTTAACAAAAATCTCCACCAACCCATCCACCACAAGACAAAACCCCTTTTCCTCCTCGAGATTAAACGTCTCCCCCGCGATCAGCTTGCGCGTCTGCATGCTCCTCGTCAACTCATGAAACACCGGCCGCTCCAGATACCCAAAGATCTTGATGGCGCTCAAAAACTCGTCAAAATAGTTCGCCAGCCCGGGCTTTCCGCTGCCTTCCTCGTGCGTATCGGGGAACAAGTCCACGTCGGGCGTCTTGCGCTGCGGTTCGGGGGGCAGGCGGGAATACATGTTTAGATAGCGGTAGCGCACGACCCAGCTCACGATGGCCACGATCCCCGCTAAGATCAGCAACAGTGTGGGCATGGACATGGTGAACGTCAGACTCGTCGAGAAAAGCGTGTATAGTAGCGTCGGCACCGAGATGGTCGCGAGCTTGAGCGCCCAGTAGACCAGGGTCGAGATGAGCTGGAGGGTCCAGAGCGCGAGCCGGGCCATGAGGCCCAGCCAGGACCAGGTGCCGTGGGCGTTGGCGACATCGCTGGCGGCGGCGACGGCGGAGGAGAGGGCGTTGGTGTGGCGGTCGCGGAGGGTAGTTGTTGCGATTTGGGTGGCTGTTGAGGTTAGGGAGTCGAGGAGGGCTGAGTTGACGGCGTCGGCGTCCATTGCGTTGAGTTTGACTCTGGGGGAGTTGGGATGATGAAGAGGGGTATCATCGAGATGGGTTCGAAGTTGAGACTTTGAAAGTAGGGGAAATAAATGGCTTCGGGAAGCTGTCTTGTTGGAGCTGTCTTTCTGTGATTGGCAGCTTCTCAGTTGGTGTAGTAAATTGAAGGTCGGTCACGTTGAAGTTTGACCTCGCCAAAAAAAAAATAAAAAAATAAAAATAAAAAAATAAAAAATAAAGGTAAAAAATAAAAAAAATAAAAAGGGAGATGGAAAGACCTTATCCCTCGATTCGGCTTATATCAGAAAATTTACCAGGCATCGGTCTGGACTTGGAAGCTGCCCAGTCTGGAATCTGGAATTCATCTGTCTGTTAGGTGAGACAGACCTGCCCTCGATAGCCGAAGGCCGATTGTGATGCTAAGCCGTCGGATCCTGTGCCCTGTATCCGTTGTTCCTTGCACCAACCAACCCAAAGCTTCCGTTGGCTTCTTTCTGTGGCGCCGCGTGTGCCAAGGTACAAGCAGGTGAACGTGATTCTGTGGAGCCGAACTCCACCAGGATGACGGAAGCCGAGCCTGCTCAAAGAGCCCACAACGAGTCCACGTTTGCCCAGGGCAGCCAATAAGAGACGGGGAGAACTTTTGGCCCTCTCACAGTGTTTTTGAACGATACAGGGCACTGTCATTGAAAAAAAAAAAAAATTACATACCACAAACAGCTTCTACCGATAGGCACGCTCTGTCTCACTACCTACATTCATCGGACTCCTAATCTGAGATGGATGGAAATTCTGTTGAGAGGTAGGCGCGTAAAGTCTCATTGTGCCTGAGCTTCTGAGTGTCGAGCTAGCCTACAACAGACCAAAAACTCTTCGGCGTCTAATATTCTGGGCCATACCTTGGCATATTCTCGTGAGGAAGCCCTCAAAAAGGTGTCGTGTCACGACCAATAGAATGTATCAAGCCGAAAAAGAAACAAGGGGTTCTGACGAAAGGTTGTCAGAGATGAGAATAACCAACGGAAGATCGTCAGAACTTAAACGTCAGTAGTGAAAGATTGTCGAAGCTGAGAAGCTCTGACGGAAGACTGAAGGGTCTTTGGTAGAAGAAGAGACAAGGAAGGATTCTGAGTATATAAGATAGATTCCTCGCAGCAGGAAGGGGGACGAAAAAGAGAACTCCTCGGTCAGAAATATAAACAGTTGCCTAAACCAATTGGTGACCCGCAGTGTTTCTGAATCTGTGTGTGAGAACTCCTGTCTCTCAGATCCATAATAATAAGCCTTGAACCAAGCTCGAACCCATCTCAGGAAAGCTAGTTGGATCGTTACATATCGTCATGTCGGCTCCCCCAATATCAAGATGAAAAAAAAAAAACAAGGCAAAGAAAATTGTCAAAAAGAAGGTTCAATTTGGATATTGAAATTGGGAGAAAACTCAGGTGACAACATCCAGCGCTTAAGACGCCAATGGATGATCCCGTGTAGAATACTATAATTCACTTACCTCCTCATTCCCATGACCCCTAAGCTGTGAAGGACCTCATCCTCAGTATTGATGCCTGTTTCCTCTCACATACACCTCTGCGTAATTCTCAAAACTCAATGTATTACCTCTCTTATCCCCATCCAAGCCTAGAAAGAGATCCATGCCGCCTGCCAGCCTGATGACAACCGTCCGGTATGTTTCTCCCAACAACATACTAGCCCAAGTAACACAAACCAGATGCGAAATGTCAAAGAAACTCGCTTTGCTGTTCCCTCTTGCAAGAAACCAAAACTCAAATCACACCAACCGCCGAACCGAACCAAACCGCCAGAAGCAAACTCAAAAGAAAAAAAAATCAGTAAATTGAAGACGACCTGACCTGACCAAACCTCAAACCTCAAACCGACCTGAACCCAACCCAGTGAGCCATTGTGAAATAGCAAAATCCATACATAAACAGGGGAATATCCCTCCCGTGTCCCAACCTAACCGAATTATCCCGCCGTTTGAGTCCTTAACCAGCCCTACCCTGCCTTGCCCCAGTTAATCTGTCCCGGTCTTGCGTCTCTCAGACCTTGCCAAAGTAACACTGACAGGGGAGATGGATATGAACAAAACAAACAAGGGGTACAAAAAAAATCCTCCAAACAATGTATGCTCGCCCTCAGGCGGCTAGATCTGAACACAAGAATTGCCCAGAAAACCAGTCCATCACATGGTATCATATTCCCAATCTACTCCTTCCTTTCCCCATCCCCCGCGCTCTGTCCTCCCGCAACAGCAGCCACGACGTTCTTCACCGTGGCGCCCAAACTAATCGTAATCTTCTTCAACCCCCCTCCTCCCCCCCCACCACCATTATCATTATTCCCAGCCACCAAAGAACCGCCGCTCTTCTTCCTCTTAAGAAACCCGCCTATCCCCCCTCCTGAACCCGCATCCATTGCCTTTGAATCCGGTGAAGAGTCCGACCCAGCATTCACACTACTATTCGTCCCACTACCCGTGCTATTCCTCCTCTTATTCTGCTGCGTCAGCCGATCAAATACATCCTCATCATCGTCTTCTTCGCGTCGACGCTTCTCGGAGATGCGTTCCGGAGGGGGCACAGCGGCGGCGGCGGCTTTGGCTGCTTTGGCTGCTGCTGAGTCGGCGGGGGGAGATGCGCATTGAGAACGTTTACCGCCGGATGGGTATGTCGATGATGAAGGGGACTTTTGTTGTTCCTGCTGTTGTTGGGGAGACTCCGGGGCCTGATTCTCCTTGGCGTCCACATTCTCTTTATTCTCCTCCTGCGAGTTCGGCTGGGAATCAGTCATATCATCATCTTCGTCGTCCGAGTTGTACTCAACCAGCGGTTTCGAGGGACTCTTGCCCTTGCCTAACAACAACGACGACGACGACGACGACGAAGAAGAAGAAGAAGAAGAGGAGGAGGAGGAGGAGGAGGAGGAGGAGGCAACCTTAATTTTTAACGGCTTTGGCACCTCTACCGTTGCCCCTCCCAATTCCTCCTCCTCCTCCGAACCATCCGACACATTCCAGTACTCCTCCTCCGCCGGATCAACCGACAACTGCTCGGCCATAGCCCGTCCTGCCAGATTCGGCGGTGGTCTTCCCCTACCCAGCTCGTCCTCCGACTCGATGTACGGGTCGGCCGTCAGGGTCGTGAAGCCCTGCGTGACGTCATAGCGGTGCACCATCTCGTAAAAGGTGTCCATGTAAGTCAGTGTGTTGAGCTTTTCGCGATAGTTCTCTACCAGGTGCTTGATGAGCTCCTTAATGTTTTCCTTATTGATCAGCATGAAGAGCTCCAAGCAGGCAGAACAGAGGAGGTTGTCGCGTGGAAGGGTCCGCAACAGGACGTCCAGGATCGGACCCAGAACCTGCTTCTGCATCATGTGGTTGATGTAGAAGTTATCTTGTAGGACGACGAGGTGTCGGAAGAAGCGGATTGCCACTGTTCGAGTTAGCCCAGAGCATAACATCAGGAGATAAGTAGACTCACCAAGCTGCAAATGCTTCTCCCTGCAATCCAGAAGCTGGACAAACCGCTTAGCAACGTCATTGCTTAGAATGAAATGCTTCGCTCGGTAAGCGTGCTGACGAATGCAGTAACAAAGGATATCGTTCAAGTAACTGAACACGCCCTCCTCCTGGGCATTGAACTTCATCACCTGCCGCTTCTCCAGCTCCAGCAGCGGCGAGAACAGCTTCTCGGCCGAGTGTTCGTAAAAGTGGTGCAGCAGCAGCTCCTGCTTCTCATGCTGCGGGTCCACGCCCCCCTGGATCCTGAACCTCGCCTGCGCCAGGAGCTCTCCGTGCACTTCCTGCAGCTGGGGCAGCACTGCGCTTGGGGCCGGCTCGAGAAGGACCTTTATGGCCTCCGCAATCTGCGACTTGACGCCCAGATCCACCTCAACAAGCAGCAGAGCAACTAGCGTCTCGATGAGCGGGGGTTGGCCCTGGCTGAGTTGCTCGTAGATCGTCTGCCGCACCAGCGACGGGTCGTGGTCAATCAAAGACACCAAAATATCCGTCGCGCCGACTCGAACCGTGACATCAGCTTGCTTCAAGCCAAAGTTGACGACATGAAAGAGGCCTTGGTTGAGGAAGTTCAGATATAGCGCCTGGCGGGTGGGCGGCTGAAGGTTTTTAGCAATAGCGCAACACTGCTGGATGAAAAGGACCGCCTCCTTCTTGCGCAGGAGTTGCTCGTTAGGGCTTGTGAAGATTCCGAAGAGGTCCTTCAGGAAACCGGGCGTGGAATGCAGGTGCTGGACGATGTCCACCTGGTTGAAGAAGATGAGAGAATTAAGGACGGAGAATGTCGGGTCGTCGAGAATGCGAGCCAGTACCACATCCTTAAGGTACTGAAGCCGGTAGGTCATGTGGATTTTCCGCCTAATATTCTCGTCTTGAATCCTGACCACTTCCTTGTACCGACTCTGGTTGCTTAACCATTGCCGATGGTTGGCCTTGAACCCATCCGGGAAATCCCTATCATATTCCAGAGCGCCCACGACTCCCATGACGTACTCGTCCGAGACGGCATGCTCGATAATCGTGGTGTCGTTCAACAGAAGAATTCCCTTCATAATCTCGCACAACTTCTGGAGGTCTGGTAGGTCTTCGAGGTCCTCGGCCTCTTCAACAAGGCTGCCCAGCTTCCCAATGTAGTCCTGTTGTATGATCGTTTTAGCAAGCGCATCGCGACCAGCAGGCGATTGAGCGAGCTCCCGAATCGTAATCAAGAGATCGTCCAACGACTTCAGTTGGGCCGGCGGCAACTGGACTAACGGCGTTACGTCCATGGTTAAGTCATCTGAAAAGCCATCTTCAGGATTACCGGTAGGCTGCGGAGGTGGAGGAGAAATCTCTTCGATTATTTTCCTAAAACAAAAAAAAATTGTTAAGACGTGCGCCAAAAGTTGTATATGGGCTATCTTTACTCACCATATCGAGGCACAGCCCTCGGCTTCTTGGAAACTAAGGGCCATTTCAACGCCATTTTCGGTCCACAGGATTAGAGTCGCTGCAAAAGCGTTAGACTCGCAACCAAAGCAATCCCCGGCGGCCCCCGGGGAGGAAGGGGGGGGGGGAAGGGGGGCTCGCGTCGTTAGGGTGTACATGCCTCCTTGTCTGTTAAACACAACATTTTTGGTCACCTTCGTCTCGAGAAGCCGTCGCTTCGGATCCTCCTCCGCATCAACGAAGATTCGGGCCTCCTTCTCGTCATTCTGGTTGGGCTGGCCAATCTGTCAGCATTCTAGCGAAACCCAGCGCCCGCGGATCTCCTAGCACGAATTAGCATACCGGGACGTAAAAGGCATAGCAGTATCCGGTTCCGCGATCAAACCAATCGCCGTTCTGGAGCTCATAGACCTTGACACGCTTCTGGTCGCCCTGTTGATGAGGCACCGGTTGTGCCATCATCAAATAAGATTCGCCCGCCGCCGCCGGGGAGACGGAGGCGAAGATGTCGTGGCTTCCGTCGACGACGAAGCTGTCGGGGTCGGGGTCGGGTTCGAAGTTGTCGCCGGATAGGGGTTGTGGTGCGACGCCGAGGTCAAAGTGCGGCGCGGGAGACGGGTCGGCTCCGGTTAGGCTGAGGAAATCGAGGGTAGCCAGCGTCTCGAGATCGTGCGCGCGTCCCGGGGGGGAAGCGCGTCTTGGATCGACGGGGATTGAGGTAGGTAGGTAGGTAGATAGGTAGGTAGGTAAGTAGGTGTGATGCGTAGTCGGCGCGCCGACAGAATTAGGAGTTGGGGAGATGGCGAAGTGATAAGCGCCGCCGTCGTGAGTCTGTCGGTAAGTCGGCCAATCGGCCTAGAATAGGATCAAATCAAAAGCCGGTGCGCGCGGGTGCGACGTGGAGACTCAAGATTAGGTAAAGATTGGGGTTTATGATGTGCGAACAGAACGAAAACTTCTGACGCGGGGTCTCTCAAGCTCAGCACGCCAACTTTGGGCATTCAGATGCTCGCGCGCAGCAGGTAAATTTGGTTCTCTTGATTCGAGAATGCGTCGTCGTACGGTCACGACGTCGGTAGTGAGTTGTGTTTGAATGAGGAGACGACTGATCCTGACCCGGCTCGGCCGCGACAAGCAGCGAAGTAGGCAACTGCACCGCCCAGAGGGGGGGGGGGCGGAGAGGAAGAAGAGAGAGGGAAGAGAAATGGGGAAACGTGCTAAGGCAAGCCTCCCGTGACCGATAGCCAGTATTTGCCGAACTGGGGCAATTGCGATTGCGCGAGCGAGCGACAAACGGTAACCTGAAGCTAAAGCCAATGCCGCTACTTAACTTCGTGTGCTCAAAGCGTTGACGCAAATGAGATGGAAGCAGCGCGTGTCAAAAGGGCCGTCGAGGGTCGCGCACAGCTGCTCAACGCCTGGGCATGTGCTGTTCGTCCGGACGAGGATGGGCGAGCTCGATGGCGCGATCAAAATTTCTTGGGGCCCGATGCTACAAGGCCCAGGGCAGCCAGGGCTGCAAGGTTGCGATGAATGGGAACACTTGGGTTTTGGGAAGAGGCGGGGGGGCCCGCTGGCTGGTTGGCGGAGTGCGTGATCGCTAACCCGCTGCCTACTGTTCAATTGGTCCCGGTGGCCAGGTTCGAACCTCTAAGTCCCAGCAGGTCCATGAGTAACCCTTTTCAGACCGTAAGACGACGGCGGGTGGCCCCCTTTCCTCCCCCCTCCCCCCTCCCAAGCAGAAAAAAAAAAATTGCCCAAAACAGTCATTTGGCGGCTTGGGCTCGCTTGCTATTTGCTTGTTTTGCCAAATTTTGTTTCTTTTTCAGCGCCTTCCCCAGGGTTAAGCGCGCCCTGATGTCACCTCTTCCTGCCCAAGGCCCCCAAGGTGGCCTGTGCGGTCGCAAACCCTGCCCCGCAATTCAAGCTCTTTTTGGGTGACCACCACCTGTTGTCGGTCCGCCAACATCGGCTGTGGAGAAGGGTTTGGGCTGCTGGAGAACTTCTGGAAGCGGGATCGAAGGCCAGCTGGCTGCCTACTAGGTATGTAAGCTTATTTTCTCTAGAGCTTGAGCTTCGGCAGCTCTCTTCGCTTTCGATTCAAGGATTGGATCAGTTGCACGGTCCAGACAGAACATTCCTAGTGTAACATGGACTCTCCGCTTGTGGGCAGGCTGTCCAGCTACTGACATCATCAAGTCGAACGCTGTATTTTCGCCACAGCTTCGGCCCGCTCTGCTTCAGCAGCATCCTCGGGCAGGATGGTCTTCGACGCCCACATCTGCTGGTGCTCAATGCTGGCGTCCGTATGCCGGCTGGTACGATTTCAAACTGCTGTTATCTCTCAACCCTCTTTGTGAGGCCTCTTTTCAGCCTTTTCATGGCCTCCTGATGATCCAACAACAGCTGCCAGAGTGAGTCCAGCCTTCGGAACACTTGTGATGACAAATCAGGCACTGCGCAGAAAGCTCTGATGCCATGTAAAAATATGATCCTTAAGAGGCAATTGCTCTTTTTTTTTTTTTTCGTCAACATGATTGAAATTGTACTCCATACTGTACTCTTAAGTAGAGGTTGAAGAGATTGAAGAGAGCTTTTTTTTTCCCGAAAATTCTGCGCAGGTGAAATCTGAATGGAACAAGTCCTCATGTGCTTTTCTCAAGCCATGAGGTTTGGATAGAAGAGATGCACTGCTGCCTGCTTCTCAAGTGGCACGGTCTCTCATTTCCTCCCGGAATTTGATGTGTTCCTCCAAACTCATAGAGATGATAACGGAGCTTCAAACTCAACCCTCAAGTTTACAAGGCTAGGTCCTTGAATGCTTTGCAGTCGGTCATAAACACTGTAATGTAAAGAGCATCAAAACTCAATCTTGGGCTTCTGCTTTGTGCACAAAGGATTGATGTCGAAACACTGAACTCAACGTTTTTACATCAGCCATGGCAAAGAGTTATGATAAGCGTAGGGGACATCTTTTATGCTGATACCCCCCCCCCGGGACTCGGAGACAACTCCGTTCTTATAATGACAGAGGAGCTGCAGCAGCAAATAGATGAGGAAAGACAAGACAACAATGTCGGTTATTAGCAACTATTGGCATCGGCGAGCATCCCGGAAGCTCAAGGGTCGTTCTGACGTATCAAGACCTGTCAACGGAAGAAAGTATCCAAAAGATAAGGGCCTTCCCCCTTTCGGGCCGTTAACACAACGCGACCGGTGTAACAGCTCAGGGAGCTTCACTCGCCAACGGCTGCCCTTTTCTTCTTATCAGACTGCTTTCCAATTCCCACTTGACACACCAAAATCAGGCCAGCCATAAGAGTCATATGATCGTTGTGCTTCAAAGTTCAGCGGCTTCTGCCGCCCGACCAGAATCTTTGAGACAGCACTGAAGCTCAGCAGTCTCGTGGGATCCTGGCAGGACTTCTGGCAGCTTTCCTCGGGCCACGCCTTCCCCCTCCTCCCCCTTTCCCTCTTCCCCCCCCCCCCCCGGGGGCGTTTCAACTCCAAGCGGGAGCGCTAAATAAGGAATTCACGATGCCAGCTCAAGATCCATGTTCGCGCCGCTGCCAACATTGTAGAACGTTTCCTCTCGCGTCATCTTCATTCCCTTCCTTCTCTCCCCTGACTTTGTACTTACCTTGCAACAATGGTATTGTTTTCTATCGCCATACGTTGTTCTTGTCGCAAATGGCGCTTTCTCTCCTGCAGCAGCGCCCTAAATAACTTCTATGACCAACAAGGACGCTATGTAAACTAACGATTACGCATTTCCAGTTTCGCCATGACGCCCGATCCCGCGACGATACCATGCAGCGCTACCTATCATCAGCAGGCGGGTTGCAGCACTATTGATGGGCCAGAGCGGATGCTGCTGCGGGGGTGTTCAGGTGGATTCATCAGGCCGACAAGGGTGAAGAAGGTTACCCAGCAGCCTGGGAAGTCCGCCAGATCATCAACAAGCGCCGCGATGTGACGCCAAAATCACGCCCAAGAGATCAGAGGATGGTATGAGATCCCTGGCCAAGCTTATCCGCTGATGAGCGATGCTATCACCGCAGTTTGCTCTTGCTGTACGCATAGTGAAATTAAAATGTGGAGTACTACTGTGTATTGTGACAGCCCCAAGGCGTCTTTCCGGTGCCTATCTTCCCCTTTGTAACCCTTGTGTCTGAGAAATCGGAGAAGTTGGATGGTTGTCTCTGTCGCTGTTTGCTTCGCTGTTTTGTCGAAATTTAGAGACAGAGGTTTTTATTTTATTTTATTTTATTTTTTTTTTGAAGTTCAGCGGAGCAGGGAATGAAGGCTGTTTGAGGGATGCGGAGAATGCAAGCAATCTTGTGGGCAGAAATTTCTTTTTAAACTGTGGACGCATTCCACAGCCTCCAGAGATGTTGGAAGTTTCTTTCGAGATACAGGATGAAAATGCCAACGCTTCACAACCAGCGGCCCTTGGAGTTTGAGGTTCCCCCCCTCCCTGTCAGCTGCGCGAACGCGGCGCGGTCCATGCCATAAAGCCACACCTACTTTGAGCTGAGGTCCCTGCCAAGCCCTGCCTAGCCGTACGGCCTAGCCTTTCTGGGCTTGTCGCAATGGGCTTTCGTTCCGTTTCTGTCGCTGGTGTTTCGGTGTCGGGCTGCACAGAACCGCCCTCGTGGCGCACCTGTTACGTACTGCGTACAGCAGCCAACTCGACCCAAAGGGAGGTATCGACATCAGCATCTTATCGACTGGCTTGCCATGTGTTTTTGTTTATCTCCCTTCTGATTGACATCATCACTTGAGACAAGTCGGCCTTTGGCTACGGCTGATATGAATACGTATCGCAATTCCAAAATGCATGGCGGCGATCTCCCACAGGTCGTCAATTTTGATCATCACTTTATCACCTTACTGTAATTACCGGTATTTGTATGCTAAATACAGTATCTTACAGCTGCGATCCATGTACGCAGAAACGCGCTAAATACGAGGGTCCACAATTCCGCTCAACCTTGTGGAGGCTGTTTTTGTCGAGGCCCGAGCCGAACCGGGGGATTGCTGTCTTGTCAGCCAAAGAGTGCGGGTTTCGATGCATCAGGCTTCGCTGGCTTTTGTTGAGACATCAGGCTCCTCTCTGGCGATAGGGAACAACATTGCTGTCTGAAAATCATGATGCTGCCACGAGGCCCGCGTGGATTATCACGGTAGGGCTGATGTCTTTCGAGCTTCAGCTGAGTATATCAGATTCAGGTGACTCGAATGTTTGCTCAGCAGACCAATGTTTTCCAAGCAATGTTTTTGATGCCTCTCTGATTAAACCTAGGTCACCCCTCCCCCCTGATGGATGGATAGTCGTGGATAACGTCCAGGCCAGAGCTGGCACGCACAGGCAGGGCTGCACAGGAAGGCTTTTCCACCAACACAAAACTGCGCTGTATGCATGATCCCTTGACCCAGAGGTAATCCATGTCCCAGACGTGCCCAGGATAGGCTCGATGCGAGGTGGCATCGGCAAGCCCCCGCGTGGCTTCCCGTATCCACCACCGCCGCAGATGCTGCAAGCCTCAGTGGATGATGGGGGAAAAAAGGCCAAGGCCGTCAGTGGTGGAGGGCTGAAAAAGCTGCATTGGGCTAATGGTGTGTACTGCGGTGTGCTGGGGAAACTGAGAGGCCGGATGGTGAAAGAGGAGCTTGCTTGCGCCCGCTGCATCCAGTTCCCAACTTTCCAAGATCGATTCCCAGTCCCAGATATCCCATTATCCTCGCTCTCTAGCTCGCTAGTGCGCGGCATACTGTGTAGGTCCGAGAGATCGGGCGGCACTACTGACAGTGCCAGTCCAACGGCTCTCATTTCAACCAGCCCGCCCCCCCGTTCGACCTTTGTCGCTCTTTTTGTTCTTCTCTCTTTCTTTCGCCACTTGGAAATTCGAGTCGTTCAAGGCTTGGTTGGCTGACTGACTGACTGGCTGGCTGGCTGAGTGACTGTTCGTCTGTCTGTCTGTCTGTCTGAACGAACCATTATCTCTTGCCGCCGCCTCAGGAGGGGCTAGGTGTCGCCGACCTGGCCTCTCACCGTCAACACCCATAGGCGACCGCCAACTCACCACAAACACTCAATTGATCCTGGTTACTCTGCCCTGCTGCTGATAGGCAGCCGTCAGTACCCTCCATCTCGATTGATCTATCTACCTATCTCACTCTCCCAGTTTTGCCCGTCTCGGCGCATTGACGCTCGGCCCTTGCTCATCCAACAACGGTCACGTCCTCACCATAAATTCCCGCGGCCTTCTCACGTTCAAAAACTTGTCTCCTCCTCTCTGGACTTCTTCGCACTCGTTACTATCTGCTGTGTCCAGCCTTTCCTCCCACGTTGGAGGGCATCCTTGGCTTAATAGCGCTATTATAGCCTGTCAACCACGCTCAGGCATTCGCTACTACCCGCCGATCCCCGTAGCCCGGTACCGTTTTCAATATATATTTGATATACTACTCCATACAGCCTGCGCCCCGCGCAAACCTGTCATTGCGATCAGCTGGTTCATACCGCTTGTGCAGCGGCAGAGTCTTGCCTGGTTGTGTGTGACTCGACAGGTTGCTAAATTTCTCGGGTTTCTCACAGGCTTTCAGCCAAATACTTCGCGCCAATCTACAAAAAGTGAGGCCAAGATCGGGCGCTGAGAGCGCCACTGACATCATGTCGCTGTTCGATAAGATCAAGCGCAGTCTCGAAGCTGCCAAAAAGCACCAGGCCCAGCAGGCAGAGAAGCAGAACAAGGAATCAACCGCCCCGCCCTACAAACATGTCCCGACACACGCCGCCTCTGATGCCTTGCTCGGCGGCCCACCTACCTGGAGGGAAATGGACAGGCCAAAGATTGTCGAAGCCAACAAGCGCCGCAGCGTCCTCACCGCCAACGGCATTGGCATGAGCGGCATCTATACTCCCGTGCACGCCGGCATGCCCCGAGTATCAAGCAACCTCTCTCATGTCAGCTATCCTTCCGCCTACGCCAACCCTGTTGTCCACTTGCCACGCAACTACAGCTACAGCAGTATCCCACCGGCATGGTCGTACCAAAATCGTGAGATGCACTACGGACTTGCGGAGGGTGGGACCCTCAAGGGGAAGGAGATCGGACGAATTCGATTTGACCATGGATACCCCTCAGCACGAGCCAGCCGGTCGTCTAGCAAGGTCTCGACCAAACGCATCTATCGCGAGTCTGGTCCTAGCCCCGATTCCCCTTCAGAGAACGCCAACGATTCGTCTAGCTCCCAGGATGATCTGGAGATGAAGCCCGTTCGGCACCCGGCATCCCATTCCTCGTTGAAGACCGCGTCCAGTTCGAGGAGACCGGCCAGCGATATTGGGAGTCCACACCGCTTGCACCCAAGCCATGCACGCAGGGTTTCGGATTTGGACTACGGCCGGAGCGCCTATGTCGTCCCTCGGACACCATCTTTCGGGTCTGGCATTCCTCCCGTCCCGTCCATTCCTCCGTCGATTGTTGGTGCCGCTGCTAGCAGCTCGCGGGCATCCTCGGCTGGCTCTTCCTCAGGTTCATCGGGGAATGAGTCCAATGCTTCGAGCACGACTGCCCCTAGTAGCACATCGCCTAGTGAGGACGTGACTCCCGCGACAAGCGCGACAATATCAAAGGATCAAGTCGCTCCATCAAGTTCCTCCAAGGATCCTCGGCCTGAGAGTTCTTCTGCCCAGACTACGACCGGCACACCTGCCCCAGCAACCGAAACTCAGGCTCCCGCTCCTACTACTACTGCCTTAACAGCACACGAATCTTCAGCTCCCAAACCCACAAGCAGCATAACTGCCCGCTCTTCTTCATCCCCTCCTGAGAGGGCAAAAAAGGTCAAGCCCTCGGTACCAGTCGCCGTTGAGGAAGAAGAGAACGAGATTGTCCCTCCGCCATCACTAGAGCAAGCCAAGGCTCAACAACGACAGGCTGCAGCTGCTATGGCTGCCGCGGTCAGTACAGCTGCAATTGCTCCTGCACCTTCTGTTGTCGAGGAGGCTCCCAAGAAGGCAGAGAAGGTAACCGCAGCAGCGGCTAAGCCTAAGTCGGTCAAGTCAGGGAAGCTAACCAAGACGCTTGCGACTGCGACTGCGACACCTTCTGTACAACAGACGAAGCCGGAGAAAAAGAGCCGGTGGTCGTTGAGTCTGGGGAGGAGTAAAAGTGCTGTTGCTGCTAATTAATAATCTACGGGAACAAAAGAGAAGTTCTAGCATAGATGTGTATTCGATCATTTGTGTCAGCATTTCCTTTGTCCCGTCGGATATCATGGCGTTAAACGGGAATTTAGGGAGGGAATTGTGGGTCATTACATACGGCTAGGTATCTGTTTTTTTTTTTCTTTGTCTTGTATGGATATCAAAAATTTTTTTTGTTGCAGGATTAGGATTTGGCATGTTCCTTTGACTCTTAGATATCATAGGGTTATTGCTTCGTTCTTTGGGTGGGAAACGGGATGAGTACTGTTCTACGTAACAGACAGACACGGGATTTTTTTTGCTTTTGACTGACATCTACCTGCATAGACGGAGTTGAGGCTCTTTGAGTGATGTTTATTACAGAGATCATATTCTGAAGTCACAGAGTACAGATAATTGAACGATTGCAAAGACTATGCGTCAGTTTCCTTTTGATGCTGGGCTACAAATTAAGAGAATACAATCCTTCATTTCTAATATCATCTCTCTCTGCCACTGTTTGTGTTGTGCCTTGAGCATACGACAGCACTAACCACTGATAAGATACTACGAGAAGAGTTTTCGCTCGAGCTCCCCCTATCTCGATTTCGTAATGACTGCCTTGCCGAGGCCATACCGAAATGTGTTTCAGACCAGCCATCGGCATGTTTTAAGACAACGCATATGAGCAGAAAAATATTGACACCCAGCCCATGGTTATGGCTCCCTGTGACACAAACTTTGATATCGAAATACGTACGACCTGACCAAGAGAAGCTGAAAGATATGCAAGCATGTAAGTGAAGCTGCAGTTCTTTGCCGACCGCAGCAAACTGAACTAACGTTTCCCACACATTCTACCTCATAAGAGCAAATGCAAAAAAAAAAAAAGAAGGACTAATCATACCCATGTTGACCCATGTTGACCATCTGCAGCCATCCGCCTGTGCAACGGAGACGAACCTGGTCCCCTGGAACGACGCCGGCATATCAGTCAGGTTAAACTCTAATCTACATAATCACGAAGGTGTCACAAACAGGGCTGTAGAAATCTGGAATATACGGATCCACGGTGAATGTCAACGAAATCCCCACTCGGATGCAGGATCAGGCATTCGGTTCTTTACCCGAAACCGAAAATTGAATGGTTGAAGAAAGGGTGACCAGGTTGGCGGGATCTTTTTATGCAGAGAGATATTATCAGTCGGGTTGGAGAATGTTTAGAATTGAGCCACGTGGAAGGGCTTATCTGAAGAGCCAAGGGTGAGGGAATGAAAATGTTTATCTTCCCCTTTCGGATCTACATCGACGCAAGGTATCGGGAATAAGAGCCTCTATCGGCACAGTGGTGCCTGTGAGTTTAACCCAGAAAAGCAAAAGATAGTGATCAAAACAAAGGGAGGGTTGGGGGGGGGGGGTGGAGGGGTAAGGTAGGTAGGAGTTGAGTGAGTCAAAGAGAACAGATCCCGCGTCAGACGTCCAGATGTCCAGCCACCCACCTCACTTTCTTCCTTGCCCCTCCTCAGAGTCACAATAATACAAGTTCCTAGCTTGCATATCAAAATAAGTTAAGTAAATCACAGGTGATCGGAACGAATTGTCTCCGAGTCAAGTAAACACTGGAAGGTATGATGCATCTGCAACGATGAAGGTGTTGTCCATGCTCTGAGAGGGTAAAAACAACGTCAGGGTTGCAGTGTACACAGTATGCTGCCACAACAGCCCTATCTTTCGGCAAGGTAGGTCGCACAGCTGCCGAGCAGAGGCAGAAAGTTCTAAGCTTAAATGCTACGTTTGGAGCCTTGATGAGATCTTGCCTGAAGGTTGGTATTTCATGGAAACATGTTGCGTAGCGGGCAAGTTGTACAATTTTGTTACCTTCAAACCTCGTTGAGCTACCTAAGAGTTTCACCCGCAGTTTGATGAGTCCGAATAGGGACTTTTGTCTTTGGGAAGTAACACACAGATAATCCGTCAATAATGCTCTACTATGATTTTTTTTTTCCAAAGTTTGCATGGAATTTAGCATCTAACGACTGTGTATTACTGAGAGAAACCTCTCAAGTATTAAATCCACGGATGAAAAGGCGGCATTGCAAGCACTGCAACTAAAACAAAGATGGCATTAAAATTAGGAACCGATACCTACCTAGGACAGTAGTTCAGTAAACACTGCTGTAATTTAATATTCTCTCAGCTGCTCAAGCTGGAATGCCTACCGAGAAGCTCTCTCGTGCTTGTGCTTATCCGAAGCTTCAGTTGAGGCTTCTTGGTGTGAGTTATATCTAGAGCTCAAACAGGTCTTGAAAAACTGGGCCACGAGAGCCCAGTAGTGAGTTTCTGGATCGGCGCGAGTTCCTGTTTTCCAAGCAAACTTTGGAATTCTCTCATTTCATTTTATTTTTCGATTTTGGACTGACCATCATGGATTCTTTGAATGCCCTTCCATCTCATCATCATCAATGTCATTACCGCAGTCGACTCTCAGCTCTTCGATCCCCAAAGCTCCGATCTTGGCTTCAAGTGAGATGGACCCCAGCGGGTCCTGAAGCGGGATCCCATCCTCAAGAGCTAACCCAAATTTAGCAGTTAACCATCATTACCAGGGCTTCTTGCAAGCCGATTGGCCAGCCTTGCGGGAGAGCTGCAGCAACTTACTCTTACTGTGCCCCACAAGGTGTCGTCAGCCTTGTGACGGCGCGGTCGAGCTTCCCAATTACTTGATCAACTTGCAACTCTGGCTTCATCGCCGACCACCTGCTCGGCTAACATCAAGTCCCCCACCCAACGCCATGGTCGCGCTGTCATCCACGGTCGCTGCTCCATGACACAGAGGCAACTGCGGACACCGGGTTTGCTTTGCTAATTTGCTAGCGCTGACCATGGCGACCCTCGAGGGACTCGTGGCGGCCGCGGAGCAGCTGGTCTGGCTCCTGTACGCGACTGCTCGCGACGAGCCGCTGCGCTTCTTCTTTTTTCTGATCTTGCCGACGGCTTTGCTGGGCGTGCTTTTCGTGAGTTTTCCTCTTACTCGATGTCTTCCCAGGCCAATTGCTAACCTACTGTCCGCAGATCTACATAACTCTGCACTTCTTCGCTCCGAAACCACGCCCTCCTTTCCCCTCCGAAAAGACCTACATCACTACCCAACCCGACGGCACTATCAGCTCCCCTCGGCCCCTCCCATGCTGGTACGACCGCTGGCGCGCCGAAGGCCGACACAACGAAGAATACCCGACCATCCCTCCCGGCTTCCCGGTCCCCGACCAAGTCACAATCGAGCCGGCCGAGGTCGAAGTTAGCGTCGTCATCCCCGCCTACAACGAAGAGAAGCGCATTACGCCGGCGCTGGAAGAAATGGTCGAATACCTAGACGCACAATTCGGCCGCCCTGAACTCCCCGCCGCCCCTCCCCAGCAGAAGAAGAACGGCAAGAAGGGCAACCGCCCAACAACCCCCCACCGGACGGTCTTCAAGCCCGGCTCGAACAAGACCCCCGCCGCCTCGGTGCCCTCTAATGGTGGTCAACCTTCCGGGTATGAGATCATCATCGTCGATGACGGAAGCACTGATCGTACCGTGGACGTTGCCCTCGCCTTCTCCAAGAAGCATCAACTCCACGACATCCTACGCGTAGTAAGGCTGGTCAAGAACCGCGGCAAGGGCGGTGCTGTCACCCACGGGCTGCGGCACGTCCGAGGGAAGTACGCCGTGTTCGCCGATGCGGACGGCGCAAGCCGGTTTAGTGACCTGGGACGGTTGATCGAGGGGTGCGAAGATGTCGTAGATGCGTCCGACCGGGGCGTGGCGATCGGGAGTCGGGCGCATCTGGTCAAGAGCGAGGCTGTTGTTAAGGTATGTCCCCTGTTTTTTTTTTTTTTTCCCGTGTCCCGTGAGCAAACAACACTAACGAGATGTAAACTAGCGCTCCGCGATCCGTAATTTCCTCATGCGCGCCTTCCACTTCGTGCTCATGATCCTCACGCCCCCCGCCACGTCCCGCATCCGTGACACGCAATGCGGCTTCAAGCTGTTCTCGCGCGCCGCGCTGCCGCATATTGTGCCCTACATGCACATGGAGGGCTGGATCTTTGATATCGAGATGCTGATGCTGGCTGAGTCGGCTCCTGCGACGCCGGTGTTGGCGTCGGATGGGTCGGTGATTGGGACGAGTTATGGGATTAAGGTCGCTGAGGTGCCCGTAGGATGGCACGAGGTGGAGGGGAGCAAGGTTAATCTGGTGAAGGATAGTATTCGAATGGCGATTGGACTCGCTGTGTTGAGGGCGAGCTGGATGTTGGGGGTTTATAGGAGACGAGTAACATAATCAGCCGGGGTGATCATGTGATCATGCTATGGGAGGGAAAGAATCAACGTTTCAGAGCCATTTGATCTTGAAATAGAACCTTTTTTTTTTTACTACCATCATCATCATCCTCATCATCCTCATCATCATCGCATACCAAACATCTCATTACCATTACAGTCTACTTCGTACGTATGTACTGTACTATTCTACCTCGTCATCCATCCATCCGTCCGGTCCTATAAAACATAGCGATAAAAACCCTTCTTAAGCCATCCATTTTTTAACCAGTCAAATCCCAAGAGCATAGCGCCATTATTACATCTCATCTCATCACCCCAAGCAAGTAACAACCCCACTACACCCCTTTTACTTCAGCTCAGTCGCAAACACCGGCAAGAAAACCACGCATGCCTTCCACCAGATCATCACCGCCTGCACCAGCGCCACGGGCAGCATAAACACCCCCAGAACGCCCTTCCCACTGCAGCAGTCGATCATGTTCAACCAGATCGCCAGGAACGCCACACTGAAGAAGTGATACGCCAACGTCAGGGGACGCTGCAGCAACCCACCAAGCAACGACACGGGGGCCTCGGTCATGCCCAGCTGGAAGTAGCGGAAGCAGCCCTTCTGCAGAGCGCGCAGCTGCCAGTCATCTGCGGCGAACAGGCTGTACAGGGCTTGTGCGAGCACGTTGATGATGGAGGTCAGCGACTTGCGCTTCCAGTGGAAGGTGCTCATGGCGCTGTGCACGGCGTTGTAGTCCGCCAAGTCGGGCACGCGCTCCGGGTGCAGGAGCTGGGAGAGGAGGTAGGCGTCATTGAAGGCGACCGTCATGCCGCCGCCCGTCAGCGGATGCCGCATGTTGTGGGCGTCGCCGAGCAGGATGACGCCGTCGTTGCGGGTCTGCTTGCACGAGGGCAGCCAGCTGTTGGGCATCGACTTGGGGATCTTGCCGTCGGCCATGGCCTTGCGCACGGCGGGCTGGACCTGGGGAGGCAGGGCGGGGAGGACCACGCGCTCAATGTAGCCGCGGACACCGCCTGTCTCGGGCTTGGCGGCGTCCAGGGGCACGTCGATCAGGGCACGGGTCTCGTGCGTGCCGATCTGGTACAGTAGAGCGAGCGCGCCGTCGCCGATTACGACGTGGCCGTAGCCCTGGGACGGCAGCTGGCAGTCGATCAGCTCGAGGCCGTAGAACTTGGAACGCACCACGGGCTCGGTGCCGAGCAGCTCCTTGCGGAAGATGGAGGCATAACCGTCAGCGATGATGGTCAGCGAGCCGAAGAAGCAGTCGGGCTTCTTCTTGCCCGTCTTGGGATCCTTGGTCTGTGTCTGCACGCCCAGCACGGCCTTGCTGTGGGTGTCCTTAATGGTAGCCGTGACCTCGGTCTCGAAGACGCTAATGTTCTCGTGGTTCAGGCACTTGCGGCGCAGGTTCATGATGAAGCGGCCGTGATGGAAACCGCGGCCCTCCGGACGGGAAGTGAACTTGGTGACGTCGGCGTTCCAGATGATGTTGCCGTGCTTGTCGACCGGCGGATACGGGAAGGAGACCTCTTCACCACGATAGATGACGTGGTAACCGTAGCACGGCGCGGCGTCGATGCCCTCCAGGCAGTCCCCCATGCCCAGCTTGCGCAGGGTCTCGCAACCGCCGGGCTGCAGCAGCTCGCCGACAATGCGGTCGGGCTCGTGCATCCAGCGCTCGAGGAGGATGACGCTGCGGCCCTGATTGGCGAGGGCATAGGCAATGGCGCAGCCGAAGACACCAGCACCGACGACGACCACATCGGCCTCGTGGTGCTGCTCTCTCCGCTCGACGACGCGAGCCTTATCTGCTTTTGTGACAGTCTTGGTCGCCATGATGTGTGTGTGTGTGTGTGTGTGTGTGTAGTATTATGGGGGAGGGGGGTGTATGTGGGAGTGTTTCTGGAGGTGTTGAGGGGACGTTCCCGGCGCCCTAGCGTAGTGTGTGTCAAGCAGGGTCGGCGATGACGATGTCGACAGTGGTGACGTGGGCGTCAATGGCAAAAGAGGCGTGTGGTATGTGATTGCCGTCCCGTATCTCTCTGTGTGTGATGGACCGAGCTCGCGATGGACGTGGTGGACGTTGGCGTTGGCGACGGCAGCAGCGTCGGTGTTGGGGCGTGGTGTCGTTGAGATGGAGCAAGAGGTAGGATTCAAATCAATGGATGGAGTCGGGGGCCAGATTGCCTTAAATTATTAACCCTGTCGTCTCCCCTCCAAGACCCCCCAAAAATTGACAGTCCTGCCAAAAAATCACAAACTCCTTCTGCAAAGCACTGCAACGTGCAACGCAATCCAACGCGAATTGTTCCGATCGGCAGCGGTCCCCGTTACGGTCGTTTACTAGGCGTATAGGGAGACTCGAGATGAGCCAGTAGCAGAGCTCCAGAATAATCCAGCGACGTCAAGTGAAGCAACAAATTATTTTCTGTTATTTCAGCTTTTTTTTCTGGGTCGCTGTCGTTAGAAGGTCCGATCTTCTCCTGGATATCGTCCCATCTGTCCCAGACGGCAGGCACCGCGCTACTCCGCCGTAGTTCGCGTCCTCCTGGCCAACCAATCAGTGCCGGCGTCGCCACTTAGCCGCCCCTGTCGCCCCCGACCGCCCCTGACCGCAAAATTCACATGTCAGTCGATGGTGGCCTGTTCTCTGCCTCCGCGGCCAGCCGTGGCAGGTGGTCCGTGCTTGTGGCTCGTGAGCCCTCGATGGATGATGGTCCGTGCTGCTGAAGTGGGGCTGGTTCCTCTGGTCTTGGCACACGGTCGACACGACAGCCCAAGTGATGACGGAGCAACCATTCAGGGCCTTACCTCCTCATTGACTTTTTTGGTCTTCTCTCTCTTTTCTTCTTCTGGCTGAAAAGATACGTCAAAAATCAAACATCCGTTCCATTTATGCCAATGTTTTGTAGTACATGAAATGCACATAGCTATACAAAATATAGCACAAAAAAAAAAATACAGTTCCTCGACCTGGAGGTGAGGAGCAAATACTGGGTACATCCACCCCATCCAACTCTATGGGGAGCCCAACGCCCAGGCCTGAGCCATCCATCCATCATCTACATCTACAATGCTCAATCCTCTACGCCAACCCTCTAAAACGCCTCTACCGTCGCCGGTGCCTTAACATGCCCCTCTATCTCCCTCCTCAACTCCGCAAAACAATCCTCCCCTTTTGTTGTCTGCTGCCCCGCCACTCTTACAACTTCCTCCTCCAACTCATCATCATCATCATCATCACTCCTCTCATCTTCCTCATCTCCCTCATCCTCCTTCCCAACAAAATTAACCAGCCTTCTCTCTTCCCAGGGCAACCTCACACCCCTATCCCCCCGCTCCGCAACCCCCATCTCTCCAATCGCCCTCTTCAAAATCATCATGGCCTCCCGCTCAAACCTCTTCCCCTCCTGCCTCAACTTCCTCCTCATCTCAACTATTTGCCTTATCCCCGCGTCAATCATCTCCCTGGCCTGTCTCCTTAGCGTGTCACTGGGCGCAGGACACCCCCTAGCTTGGGCAGCCCACAGTCGGGCATGCCGCAGCGCCGAGCGCACAGCTTTGTGCTCGCGGTAGGGGCTGGATAGCGCGCGGGCGATGGTATCGCGGAGGGAAGGCAAGTCGAGGAGAGATGCATAGGCAGCAAGGAGGATCTTGAAGTTCTGCAAGTTGAAACACGGCGTTGGTGTTACCTGAGCACCCCCATTCAACGGGGGCAGGGAATCGGGTGTCTGCGGACAAGCCCTCACTTCCGCCGCCTTAAGCGCATACCCAACCGCAGCCTGGAAATGCCCTGCCGCAAGGCACGCCAGCGCGGCTCGATGCAGCGATGCTTCCGTAAGCCGTACCCCGTACCGCTGGAACTGTGTCAGCGTGCGCTCAACCACGGCATACACCTCCTGCCCGTCCATCGCCGACGCAGACGCCACCTCCCCCAGCCGCATTGCCAGCACGTAGTTAATCGCGCTTGTGACATCCTCTCCCTTAGCATCCGCCTCCTTAATCAGCTTAAACACCCCATCCCACATGGCCGGCCCACCTAGCCTAAACCTCGCCCTCACCGCAAGCCTCAACGCCTGCGGCGAAAGCGGCAGACTGGTGTGTCTCGCCCGGCGATACAGCCTCAACGCCGTCCCCGGCCTTCCCAGGGACAACGCCTCCTTCATGTTGAGCAGGATATCCTCCGCATGCACACACTTCGCTCTCGTGGGCAGCCTCGTCCGCTCCAGCTTCAAAGACAACAACCTCCGCAGCACCGGCCACCCCACGTACCTCGCGTCCTGCAACGCCGCCACGGCCATGACCTGCTCCGTGTGACGGTCAATGAGCGCCGGGTTGAGCTGGCGGAGCCGACGGAACAGGAGGCGCAGCTCGCGGAAGGGAAAGTTCCATTGGCGACGGCAGCGCACGAGAATGGCGTTGGTGAAGGCGGCGTCGATGGGGAAGCCGGCACGGGAGCAGCGGTCGAGCCAGGCGATGAGCGAGTCGACATCGCGGACCGCGGCATAGTGCTTGGCCATGAGGGTCACGGTGTAGCTGCAGAGGGGTACGGCTAAGTCGTCTAGGTACTCCTGGACGAACTGCTCTGTTTCTCGGATGGAGTGGGTTTCTGCGTAAGCTTTGAGCACCGGGACGAAGACCTCGGCGTAGGCTCTGTGGTCTCTCTCGGTTAAAGGTTGCTTCTCCTTTGCGCGCATTGCCTCGAACGCCGTGCGCACGGCAGCCCAGTCGCCGTCACGGGCATAGAACCGCGCAAAGATGCCTTGAACTCTAATATCAGACTCCAACGCTGGGTTTTGCTGGACCCCTTCTAAGAAGTACTCTTCCGACTTCGTCTCGTTGCCAGCCTCCAGCGCGAGCTCGATCATAACACGGTAGAGCGAGTTGGCATTGAAGACGTTATCCTTAAGGGTCGGCTCCCGCAGTGAGTCAAACATCTCCTCGACCTTCCCAAAATCCTGTGTCTCGCGCCACCTGGCAACCATCAACTTCATCACCCACTTGGGATTGAGCTTCGTCTTCGCCGGCCCGGCGCAAACCTTCTGTAAGACAGCCAATACCTCCGCGGGGCGGTAGTTATGCGCGTTCTCAACGCACTGGACGATGACACTCCCCACGGCGTGAATGCCTCTGGGTTCGGCTGGGTTTGCAAGGGCGTAGGTCGAGAGGAACAGCTTGACTGCGTCCTTGTAATCGTGCCGCTCGTAAAGTTTTGTTAGGAACCATGACGTCAACCGCTCGGCATCGTCTCCCGCGATCAGGTTGCACCGCCGGTAGATGCCCATTATGCGGTGTGTGCGTTTGGCTGCGAAAGCAGCCTCCATCAGTCGACAGCCGACTTCGTATACTCGCGGGTTGGGCCCGGAGGGGCGGATAGTGTAGGTTGGTAGGTACAGGTTGACGGCTGGGTCGAGGCTGCTCTGTAGATAAACGTCGCGGGATACCGTGGCCGGGTCGGTCCGCGAGAGAAGTGTCTCGATCAGCGTCAAGGGCTCATGATCCATGTACACTTTTTCGTCGATCGGCCCGCGGTTGATGATATGCTGCAGCAAGGTAGCAGCCTTATCGATCATACCCAGTTCCTGACATGTCCTGCACAAGAGTGCGGTAGCTTTCATCCAAGCTTGGTGCTGGTTGTCGGGAGCGAGGTTTTCCAGCATGGCTTCGAGCACGGTTCGCTGGGCGTTGGCGACCTTCTGCCTGTCTTTTGAGGCGCACGACTCGTGCACCATCGCCACGATCTCATCATTGCTGGGGAAAGCAAACTCCTTGGCCAGTTGGGACGGTGACCGGAGCCAGTTGAGCGAGGGCGGCTGGATCGGCTGTGGTCGTTTAACCTCAGATGGGACGCTAAACGACGGCGGTTTGGCCTTCAGTATCGGTATAATCGGCTGTGGCTGTGTCTGCTGGTGTTGTGTCGATGTTTGCGTCCGTTGTGTCTGCTGCCTCTGTACCTTCGCAACCTCCTTGGCCCTACCCTCCCCAGGCCCGAACTTCCCCAAGACCGCTTCCTCCCCCTCTTCCTCAATCCCAATCCTCCCCGAGGTACCAACCTTCTTCTTCCTCCCCACCGGCAAAGGCTCCTCCACCTTGTCATCTTTCTTCTCGACCCTCAAAATCTTCATTGGCGGCACAGCCGTAACCAGTCCTGCCTCCACAAGCGCATCCTCCTCGACCCCCAGCGCCAGCGCAATCGCCGCAGCACTGCTATTACTCCCTCCCACCACACCGCCCCTACTGCTCGTACTTATCCCTCTCTTCTGTTGGCCACCATTGACGATGACAGCCCTATGGTACGCCCTCGCATTCTTGATCCTCTCCCCGTTTTCAACCGCGCGCATCGCATTGTTGATCTTGCGCCGCCGGTCCTCGGCAATGAGGGCTAGTGTGCATGACGTGCCGACGACCAGGCCACGCAGGGCGGTTAGGGCTGCGCGCTTGGAGATACCGCTGGGTGTAGGGAGCGGGCTGTTAGAGGTTGGTGACATGGTGGCTGGTTGTGTTTGGTGAGTCGTATGGAATGTGGTATGTAGGGATAGCGACTTCGTTTTTCCATGTCTAAGAATTATTTGCGGACGTTTGAGCTCGGGGATGGGTCAGCGCATGTTGGGAGATCGGCAGGTATGTTCATCGAGCTAAGTTTCAGGTCTTGTCGTCGTGGGATAAGTGCTCGTGATACTCGGGGTTGGCGTTGATGCCGTTGACGTTGACGATCAATTTGCTCGATTCTTCTTTTTTTTCTCCCCTCCGACGAACTTCCCGGACGCGTCTAAGTTAATGAGGCCGTTTTTTTTTCAACTCGATATGTCGGTGCTCAGGCTCTTTTGGCGTGTAGCTGACGTCGATGTCCACTCATCATTCATCCCATCCCAAACCAAGCTTGCTCTCCTTTCGTAACTTTCTCTCTCCCAGCTGCTTGCTTGCTCTTTTCTCGAGCTTCCCAGTGTCCCGCGGTCATTTTCGGGTCTGGGCTGATCTGATCGCGGTCTTGGCGCGGGAGCCGGTACGTACCAGTCATGGTGGGGCAGCAAAAGAATCGAAAGACTCCGCATAAGCTCGGGCCAATGAGACGCGAATTCGGCCCCACCCCATGAGGCAAAAAGCTGCCAAGAAAAATTCTGGGAACCTGGTAGCTGGGAGGGAGGGATTGATGCATTTCTTTCTGTGTAACTGCATACAAACCTCATTCTATCCGGTTGAAACAAACGTGATGAGAAGACCAGATGAAAATGACAGCCCCAAAACAAAATCCATTCGACAGGAGAAGTGGCGAATACATTGCACATCTACAAGTCTATCTGGTGGTATGTATCATCTATCCAGCCCGCACCAAGAACGCCCCAAATTATGCCACCCTTCAACCCCATTCACCTCCCTTCTCACACCAGCCCCTTTCCTCCCATCCCGACCTATCAAAACACACAACCAGTAAAATAGTACAAATGGTCTATGTATATGGTATACATGATTGTACAACCCATCCATCCAGCCGACCGGTAAAACACCGACATTCCCGTCCCCAATCAACCACGTCTAATGTAGATAGACAACACATTCGCTCAATCATGAAATAAAAAGCACACACACACACACACACACACACGCACGCACGCACGCACGCACGCACACACACACAGCATTAAAATCAACCCAACCCCACTCTTGTCATCCACTTTAGGTGAATGAGCCCAACTACGACTCAGCCAACTCCTTCCTCTCAACTGGCATCCACGTCTCGAGCTTGCGTAGGATCGATTGATACAGGAACAACATGCATCCGCTTTGGATGCTGGTCCAGGCCGCGCGGGGGCCGACACCACGGAACCAACCGGCAAAGCCCTCCGTCTTGTAGATTAGCCGCAGACCCGTGATCATGGACGATGTCTCGAGAGTGACGGCGCCCGGCTTTGGTGTGTGTGTTGACGGCGAGGAGGTCGATATTAAGCGTTTTTGGTGCTTTGACGCCGCGTCGGTATTAGAGGAGGATGATGTACCTATTGATGTCGGGGATGACGATGCTGGTGGGGGTTGTGTCGGTTGAGGAGGAACAGCAGCAGCCGGCTTAGGATTCGCCGCGGCCGCGGCTTCCGGGTGAAGCTGGGTCTGTAAACGAGTCTTGACTACATCCAGCGGGCAGGTAATAGTACCAGCCAAACCGCCAGCAGCAGCACCAGTCAACAGCTCAAGCTGCCAACCAATATCACGGCTGCCCTTCCAGTCGTGGGCCCATTTCTGCCCCTGCTCGTAAAACATGAACTGCAGCGCCGAGAAGGGCAGGTCGCGCCAGAGCGTGGCGCCGTAACCGTAGAAGAGCGCGCCGAAGCCCTCGGTGCGGATGATCGTCCGTACGGCGTCTACCGTGCCCTTGTAGTTGTACCCGGAGTTGAAGTAGGGGTTGTTGTAGCGACCCTGCAGCTGCAGACGGGTCTTGACAACTTCTGAGGGCACGTAGACCGTCGATGCGGCGAGGTCGCCGATGAAGCCTGGTTAACAATCAGCCTGAGAAAGATTCCCGCGAAAAGATCATGCTGGGGGCACTGACCTGCCATCAGATAGGCAATATGAGGCTGCACCCCGGCGTCAAGCATATGCCGTTTGCTATACTCATAGCCGCCAAAGAACAGGCAAGTAGCCGGGAAGGAGCCAGACAGAGCGGGCACCCAACCGCCGTACAGACCGCGACGGATGCCCTCCTGCCGAAAGATGGTGATATAGGAGCGGCCAAGCGACGTATACTTAGGCGGGATATGCGGGTCGCCCTGCTGCCGTGTCTTGACAGTGTCTAACGAGTGCATGAGCATATCGCCGCTGCTCCCGCCAATACCTCCCGCGAGCATGCACTGCAGCAGTTGTCATCTATCAGCACTTCTCTTCCAGCATAACATTTAACATCCCTGTTTGTTGGTGGTAGGTGGGAACGCACATGCAGATAAGGCGGGCGCCCTTCCTCCTCTCCATCTTGGGTCCTCATATTATTATTACCACGGCGGACAAGCACACGTTGTAGCGGTTCGGTCTCGGTCTCGATTTGTCAGAATGGCTCTCGTTGGGCTCGTTAAGCGGAAAGATATTGGCAGTGGCGATACTGAAGAAAACAACGGCGACGACGGAACAAACAGCGCGTGGTTCTCGGTATGTCCATCATCGAGAAGCGGCCGGGGTGCAGAGGACAGGCCGACTGCGCGGCAGGCAGCCGTCTCGAGCGTGGGGCGGTCCGGACTGTGACCTCGGGGCAAAGCTGCTTCGCCTTCTCCCCTTCTCCTCTTCTCCTTGACTTTTGACCTTTTTTTTTTCTTCTTTCTTTCTTTTCTGTCTGATAGCGGTGTGACTACGGATCGGGAATCCTACAGCCAAGCACCACAGACTCTCGCATGGATCGGCCCCCGCGGGGTGTGGCCAAGAGCGTGAGCGTAGGTATATGAATGTGTAAGCGAAAGAATTGCGCCGCCCCGGCAAGCGGGTAAACTTTTTTTTCGCCTCAAAAGTTTGTATTTCCGTTTTTGTTCCCTCTCAGCGGATACGGGCGAACGACGGGAGTCACAGACTCGTGGAGTCTGGGCCGACGGGGGACTCAAGTCAGGTATCCGTTCGGTTATTCAAGGACGCGGTTCAGGGGCCCGCTTAGGAGAAGAGCAGGACTCGTAACGGTACTGAAAGGTCCTGGCGGAGGGGGGAAGGGCGGCGCGATCAAAACCGATTTCCCACTTTTCGACGCTCGAACAAATTTCGAGACGGAAACCGACTGGTTGGGTCCCTCAGAGTCGATCTGAGCGGGTCACTGCGGTTTTACCTTTGGGGTCTCGCCGGGCTCCATCGTTCTTTTTTTCGCGGCATGTGGCCTGTGCGTGTCTTATCGTTATCTCGGGGCATGGAATGGAATTGGTTGGGCTATCGTGACGTTGATATCGGTATCGCCGATGCGCCAAACGTGCCGATGGGGCCCCTCGCAGTTTGAGATCTTGTATCACAACGAAGCTCTTGGAGCACGACCATAGATCAATTGGTTGCCTTTGGTAGTTTTCCTCAAAATCCCAGCCCGTATAAACAATATTACACTCAATCATATACACAAACAACCATAAGCACACCATACAATTCCATCACCAACCACTCAACCCCTCGCCCTTCCTCGCTCAACCCTTATCTCAGGAGGCTTCCAATCCCAACCCTCATCTCTCTCAACTCCTCCGATGCACCCCAGGCCTTAAGGGGTGATCCCACCACTTGACCCGTCCAGCTCTCGATAACGGCGACAAGACGTGCGTGACCTTCCCCGTGATCAATCGCACCGAGATAGGACCATAATGATTACTGTCCTGGCTGCGATCACCATTGTCACCCTCAACCCAGACATGCCCCTCGGGGATGGTGGCAAACTCGTAAGGGTACGGCGCCCTCGTGCGGACGACATCACCCTCCAGGCCCACGATGCGCTTGACGGTGATTTTCCTCGGGTCGTAGGGGTTTCTAGACTCAATGTAAGCTCACTCACACCTCCTTCCCAATCAACAACCTCAGGAACAGGAAAGGGAGGAGGAGGGGGGGAAAATACCTAAACGTAACAACCATTCCCCTCGCCAGCCCCTCCTGGGCATAGAGCTTCCAAACCAGGCACAAATCCTTCTTCAGACTCTCATTGTACTGCGGGTTGAAATAAGGATACATGGACGGCCCGCGGATGAAGGTCACCTCGGCGACGTACGTGTTGAACCAGATCAGCGGCGGGATCCAGGTCGCATAGCGGATGAGGTAATGCGCGAACTGCCGGGCAAACGATCTGCCCCCGAGCCGCCCACCTAGTCCGCCCGCGCCGGTCGCCATTGCGGCATTTGTCTAGCTTGACTTGGTGCCGTTTTATGTGTGAATGTACGTGCGTGCTATCTACCGCACAGACCGGCTGCTGGTTCCATGGGCATGGGTGTGTTGGCCGTCAAGACAAACAATGGAGAGTGAGACGAAAGCTGGAGTTGCGTTTGATGGACTCCGTCATCCAAGCAGAGATGCCGCCAAGACGCGGGTTAATGCGATACTTGCCCCGATAGCTGCATACTCAGGGTCCAATCCGTGGCTGACTCATCAAACTCAATGGACACCTCTACGACCAACTCATCGTTTCTCACCCTTCACTTTCATCTCAATTCGTTTTTCTTGACCGCTATGTTTCTCGGATGGCTACCAATGTCTATCATCTCTGGAAAGCCTTTTTGTGATCCCCCAGACGCCAGCCATACCATCTTCTTGATCGTGATGATGACCATGTCCGCGCTATCTGTCGCCATATGGTCGCCTCTGCCCTGAATTACACACGCATTCTCTTCTTCTTCTTCTCTTGCTTGCCGATCTGCAAGATGCATGCATGCATATATGCATGCATTGCCTCTCCCAATCTTTGATGAGATTAAGATTTCGCAGAGGAAAACACACCAACCAACCACTCCTTTTGAGCCTTTAACAATGCCCTTAGACAACCTCCGGTAGGTTCTCGTCGCTCTCGCTGACGCTCTCGTCACCGCTGACCTCGGCGTTCTCGCGCTCGCGCTTCTCCATGAGCGCCTGCAGCTCGGCATCATCCGACTCGGTGACCGCCTTGGGCTCCATCTTGACGACGAGGTGCCCGCCGGCCGCCTCGATGCTCTTGCGGATGTCGACAATGGCTTCCTCTAGCCGCGCAATGCCCGCGTTCTTGTCCAGGCAAGTGTTGGTGAGACTGGGAATGTCAGACCGATTGCCTTTCACTATCTGGGATGCAGGAAGCGACTTACACATAGAGAGGGGGAGAAACCAGACGGCACTTGACCTGCAGCTCGGGGGTGTTCTTTGCCTCGGCGGTACGCAGAGCGGCCTTAATAGCGTCGATACCGTCGTATCCGAAGCAAGTGACCTCGATGTCGGCGCGCACCTTGGTGGGTTGGGGCGTCAGGCGCTTGCCAATGTAGCCCTTGAGCTCTTGCTCGACCGCCTCGCTCGGGAACTCAATGCCCTCCCAGACGTCGGGGTTGCTGCGTAAGTCAGCGTCTCCTCTTTTAACGTCCCTCCAGCACATTGACATACGTTATTGACAGCTTGAAGGCGTCGAGCGAGTGGCCATATTTCCGGTTGAGCGGCCACCCTATTGTCTCATAGAGGCGCTCGATCGGGGTCTGGGTCTTCTCGGCGACGTGGCGCATGATGGAGTGGACAATCTTAGACTTGTTGTACCGCTCCTCGCACTTGACCACATCTTCGGGCGACACTCTGCGCTTGGAAAGGTCGATGTAGCCTGTCGGGTCTTAGCATCGCCACACTCATCCCGTCCTAACTGGTACTCATGTTTCCACGCACCCTTCTCCTTGTCGACACGCAGCACGACGACGACCTCGTTGCGGCCAACGCGAATAAGCTTCTGGATAGAGCGGATGCGTCGCCTGGACAGCTCGGAAAGCAGAATCATGCCGTCGATGTTATCATACTCGAGGAGCTTGACGTAGGCTCCCATGTCGGCGATCTAATGTAGTAACAAGCCATCGCCGGTGGTCAGTCTCGGAGCAGGGGAGGAGAAGAAGGAACAAGTTCGATATTCTCATCGGCGCCGGTAGGTAAAACTCAAGCAGGACGGTGGTGATAACAGCATCGTCATACCTGCTTGACATTGACCATGACATAGGAGTCAACCTCGGGGTATTTTTCTTCGTAAAACCGGCAGTTTGTGAACGACATCTTGACGTCGGGTGCCTTTTTTTTCCCAGGCGGGGCTAGCGATTGAGATAGGAAGCCTTTGGCGGGGGTCTACTTTTTTTTTTCGAGTCGAGTTGACTGTTTGAGGGGAGTGCACACCAGCGGGGGCGATGATCGGGGTAAAGGTGTTGAAAACTTCGGGAATGGGCGCAAAAGGTTATGCCGTCGGTCGTCAGCGACGAGACACACACACAAGACTAAGTGGGCAAATCGGGGACGCCTGGGTCCTGGCTGCGGGTGGGAATCGTTGGGTCGGAAGAAAGGTGAGTCCAGTGTGAGCTCAAAGAACAGTCATCATCAGGCCCGCAGTACACCCACCACGGATATTTTCAGCAAAAGCATGGGCCACAGAAATTGGGCCAGGAAAGTGGGCTGTGGTGGCTCGTGCGCCATGCTGCGGGGTGTCCTTGGGGTTTTCTGATTGGTGGACGGGACTTGATCTCGGTGATGGTGGGGCAGCCTTGCCCCGCGATAACATCAGGCGGGTTGGGTTGATAGACTCGTCCTTGTCATCGACCTTGGCGCCTTCTTCAAGGGGAGAATCAAGCTGTGAATGCGATGCTTTAGAATATACAGAAAATATATCTAAAGAGATCTAAGGTTTGATCAAAAAGCTCTGAGATCACATTCGGACTCCGTGTGAGGAGCAAAGCAACGTGCTGCTATTAGAGGAAGTCCCATCCGGAAATAGAAAACGACCTTATACCCCCGAACCTCTCCAGACTACGATGATACCTTTTGTGTTTGTCCCTAGGAGGGTAAACAACGATCCTTCAAACTGTGTACCGAATCAACTCTTATCGCTATGAAAGGTTGATAACTAGCTAGAAATTTGGGATATGAAATAAATTCAAAGATCATACAAAGTTGTTTCCCAAACTTCAAGCTTTTGCTTAGCGATAACACCTTTTTTTTAACATTGGACACATGCTTCAGGAGGTTCGTAGTCATGTCATTCCCCTCTACCGTAAATGGCTTAATGTTATTTTTTTTTCGTACAGCTAGTATTGTCATATATATCAATAACTTAAACAACCCATGTTTATCCAAACCGTCCAACATACTATAGACATATATACAGACAAGGATGATACACCCATCACACTACCACAAAGCCACCGCTTCGACCCTCACGACCCTCTCCGTCCGTTCATCCCACAACTCCCTCCCATTCCAACACCTCGCAAACCTCCTCGCCTCCGCGCCATCCTCAAATGACAATACAAACTTTGAAAACGCGGTCCTCTGCGCCCGCTCCTGCCTCCACCACTCCGCCTTCTCCTTCGCAATTTGCTTCGCCCTCTCCAGCTTCCTCCTCTCCCGCTCCTTGATAGCCTCCCAGTTGACGGGCTCCCCCTCTACCGGATCCGGAAGCGGAGGCAGGTCTTCTATTTCGCTGTCTGGGATGGTAGCCGGATCAGGCTTCCATTTCCCTCGCGCGAGAGCGCGCGCCTCGGCGGCGCTCTCACCCCGCACAGCCATCGGCGAACTACCCGCTCTAAGGCCCTGCACGGGCCAAATGACGTTCCATTTCGGCCCCTGCCGTTTGATCAGCCTCCACGGCAGGTTACGCTCTTTACCGTCTGCAGCAATCGCTTCGTACATCGCTGAAAGGGAGAGTTTGCTCCCCGTCAGTTTGACGAGCACCCGATGACCGGGAGGGAGCCATTGCTTTTGGGTTACGGCTGAGCCGGCTGGCTCGGAGGGGGGCGTGATTACTGAGCGGAGGTGGTTCGTCACTAGGTCGGGGACGGAGGCGACTTGGGCGAGGGTTTCTGGAAGAAGCAGGCGTTGTTCGGCTTGTTCTTGAAGGTAGAGAGGTGCGTTGGGGGGTAGTTTGGGCACAGAGTGCTGCCGTTGGCATTGCTCCTGCTGCTCGGGGTCCTGCTCATCAGGGGGGCGGCCTGGATAGGAATTACGTTTGGCCTCGTTGATGTAGGAGATGAGTTCTTCGGGGGAGAGAATGACGAAGTCGAGGGGTGCGGTGGGAGGGAGGAGAGTAAAGATGTTTTCGGACGGGTCAGACGAGGCGTCGGAGGGCGCGACATCGCCGCTGAAGTCGAAATCGGGCCAAGCTTTTGGTTCGAGGGATCGGCGTGCTTGGCGACAGCGACGGGTGAGTTCGTCGGCGTAGGCTTGAGCTGCGCCGCGCGTGTCGAAGAAGAGGAAGTACTGGCCTCGGGGCTCGCGGGTGAAGGGCGAGTGGGATTGGATGACTGGTTGATTTGTCAGCTAGGATTAGATACGGTCATAATGTGAGAAAGACATACCCTTCGTAAGACCGCTCGTCCAGCCATCCATATGCTGGCCCTGTGGTGAGAGCCTATAAAAATCCGACTCAACCAGCGACCTTGACACGCTGTTAATCACAAGCACTGTCTTCCCTCCCTCAGTGAAGTCCTGAGCTGAGCGTTCCGCATGTCGGAGATCGGGATCAATCTCGGTGAACCAATTGACGAGTTCCTCGCCCAGCGTCGTCATCTTCGAGGGGTCTTGCTCATCTGGGGACGGTTCGGAGGGAAAGGGTTGGCGAATAGTTGGTGGAGGGGGCGGCTTGGGCGCTCGGGGCGCTGTTCGCCGGGGGCGTGTTGGCCTGTGTAGATCGAGCGAGGCTTCTTCAAAGAGAATTTGAAAAAGGGATTTGGGTTTTTCGGGTTGTGAGGAGTCGGGAGAGTCAGGGGAGGATGATGAGGACGAAGACGAAGATGAAGATGAAGATGAAGTCTCTGGGTCTGAAGATTTCGAGAGACGCAACGCGGTCGTCGAGAATTGTCTCGATGATTCAAGCCCTGTTAAGCATGCTTCATGACATCTCAATTGGCGCGCGAGACGCCAGCCGAGGCGCGGGCAGCTCATGTTGGCGATTGTGTTGTGTCGTTGATGTTGGATGAGTGAAGATGAGTGTTTGGTTGTTAATGGAACTGGAGATGAAATTGTCAGGTTATTACAATACGAGAGATACGACCATGCATTTGCCCCTGGCAGATAGCAGCGGCTCATTTTCAGCAAAGCATAGAAGTTAACACCTCTAGAATTATAAGTACTTCGAATCGAATAGATCAAATTGTTCCAATTCTTTTCAGAGACGCCCAATGCTAACAAGATACTCGACTATAACTGAGATGTTGTGGATCCGTCCTTCTGGGCTTACATCGTGTTACCGTAATTTACAAAAGCAGAACCTTAAACGAGATTCACCCCACCATGATTTTTAGTTTCTGATTCCAGTTTCACCCCTCATCTCTCAAAACTGTTTTCCAACCCTCAGCCCCTGAGTTGGGAAATTTAATCGTACACCTCGAAGACTTAACTTGAGGGACACAATAGTACATTTTACTGCTATCTGATGGACAATCCTAACAAACAATAACATCACCATCACCATCCCCATCCTCTTTCACCAAAATGAAGTCCCTCGACTTCCGCGTCCGCAAACTCCACGTCAACACAGACGCCGACCGCCGCCTCTCCAAACGCCAGCCCTCCCGCATTTACGTCAACGAAGAAGCCCTTATCGAACTAACCGGCAGCAAAGATGGCGGCCGTCCGGTCTGCGTTGAACGTGTTTCGTCCAACCCCGAGGAGCCCCCCTCCCGGCACGAAGCCACCCTCTGGAAGGCCCCCGAACGCTTGGACAAGACCGCCACGCAAATGTACGATGCCTTCCGTGATGCATGCGGCTTCAAGATAGGCGAGACTGTGCGCATCACGTCAATTGGTGGGACGCTGCCAGATGCGGAGCAGGTTGTGTTGGAGCAGTTGCCGGGACAGGATGGAACTGAGCCGGAGTCATTGGCGCCGGATGAGATTCCGGGATGGGAGTTTTTCTTGGCGGGGAGGTTGAGCCAGGTTGAGCATGTGTATGCGGGTTTGGTGTTCAAGAACTTATTTTTGAGGGGCCCGGAGAGGTCGTGGGTTGTGGCGAGCGTTAATGGGAGGGCGACGGGGAATGCGAGGTATTTGGATAAGAAGACTGTTGTGAGGGTTGCGACGAGCGGGCCCGGAGCTGTTCAGAGCACGGGAATGGCTGGTGGGAAGTTGGAGGTGACAGGTATTAGGGGGTTGGATGAGCCGATTAGCAGGTTGAATGACCTGCTGGCCTGCTTTACGGATGGATTCCAGGTTGGCAGGAAGCCAGCTTACCGGGGGATTGTGATCCATGGTGGGCATGGCACCGGTAAGACGATGCTGCTGGACCAGATAGCTGCTACGGGCTGGGGTACAGTCTTCCGCATTCACTTCAAGGACAAGCTGGCCGACATCCAGGAGACCTTCCAGCGTGCCCAGATGCAGCAGCCTAGCATCGTACTGCTGGATCAGCTGGAGAGGTTGATCGACAAGGACAGGAACAACCGGGCCGCCGTGATCCTCGCCCTCTGTGAAGCCCTGGACTCCCTGTCTGCGCATGCTGCCACAACGGGAGAGCTGCCCCAAGTCGTGGTTATCGCCACCTGTCTAGACTACACGACCGACGTGCCCGAAGAACTAAAGGACCCAGGTCGCTTCACCTGCGAGATCTACCTTCCCCTGCCAGACGTCGAGGGCAGGAAGGAAATTCTCGCATCACTCGGCCTGGCCGTGCACCCAGACCACGAGCAGGAACTTCTCCGTCACCTGAGCGAGCGCACACACGCCTACAATGGCAAAGACCTGTGTCGCCTGGTCCACGAGGCTGAGCTAATCGGCCGTGTGCGTTACCGCAAAGAGCTCAAATCATCCAGCTCGACACCAAATCGCCTGCTCACTCCTCCCCCAGGCGAAGGCGAAGAAGACGAGCCCGCCCCAGCAATCTCATCTCCCGCCGCAACCAAACCTCTCTACCTCCTCCCCTCCGACTACCACACCGCCCTGCGCTTGATCCGCCCCTCTGCCATGCACGACATCAACCTCAAACCGCCACCCATCCGCTGGGACGACATTGGCGGGCAAGAAACGGTCAAAACCTCCCTGCGTCGCGCAGTCCGCTTATCCACAGAACCGCCCGAGGTCCTTTCCCGCTACTTCGACCGCCCACCAAAGGGATTCTTGCTCTACGGCCCGCCGGGCTGTTCCAAGACCATGGCCGCGCAGGCGATGGCGACGGAGTCGGGGTTGAACTTTTTTGCTGTGAAGGGGGCCGAACTACTCAACATGTATGTGGGTGAGTCGGAGAGGGCGGTAAGACGGTTGTTCCGCAGGGCGAGAGAGGTCGCGCCGAGTATGATTTTTTTTGATGAGATCGACAGCATAGCCGGCCAGAGGGCTGGGTTTGGACATGGAGGGGGCCATTCCAGTAGTTCTTCTTCAGGGGGCAGCCATCATGGGGTGAATGTGTTGACCACGTTATTGAATGAGATGGATGGGTTTGAGACGCTACATGGGGTGGTCGTTCTTGCAGCTACCAACCGGCCTCAGGCATTGGATCCAGCGCTGCTCCGTCCGGGGCGCTTCGACGAGCTGATATATGTCTCTCCTCCTGACGAGGCAGCAAGGAAGGCCATCTTCCAGAAAGTCGCTGCTGCGAGGAAGAGCTGGCATCCAGATGTGGATATCGACAAGTTGGCCAGGGAAACGGAGGGGTATTCGGGCGCCGAGATCAAGGGTATTTGCGCAGCGGCGGGTGTGGCGGCGTATGATCGGTATATTGCGGGTGGCGAGCCGCTGGTGACGATGGAGGATCTGGAAAGGGCAGTGAGGAACCAGAAGAGGCAGATTACGAAGGAGATGATAAGGGGATTCGAGGAGTGGGAGAAGCAGTTTAGGAAGTTTTAAATCAGCTTCTACTCGCAGGTTGGGATGACCCAGAGAATAGACAAAAATAGGATTATGGATAGGGATGCGGATATGACAAATATAAGAATCGAATATGTATACCTGAACATTGCTATGTACATGGGCCGGCCATCGTTTTAAAAATCCCATTAAAAATGGCCCGTTCTTCAAGCTCTTGACCAGTCCCGAGGTATCTCTAAGTAAATAAGTAGTGCCAATGTCAATGTACAAATGAAACAAATCAGCCGTCAAGGCAGGAAAGTTTTGCTCCAAACGCCGTGCCGTCGAAATCAACCCATTTGCAAATAAAGCTGTCGCAGACAGCAAGAAAACAACTCCCCTTCCACAAGAAGGGAAAAACCAACTGAAAGAGGGTCAAAATGATAGTAAGAACCAAACGAACAAAAAAAAAAAGTTCATCAGGTCAAGCAACATCCAAAACAACCCTCTCACTCCTCCTAACATCCATCCCCGGCGGAGGAGCCAATACCGTCACCGGCGTCGACCTCCCTTTAATCACCCCAATGGTAATCTCCTCCTTCCCATCCCCCTCATCCCCTCCCTCATCCCAGCTCTCGTTCCCTTTGCCTTTTTCATCTCCCTCCGACCCCCGTCTCTGCGGCCCCGGCGGAACTTGAGGCATCTTCGACCTTGCGGTGCCGCTCCCAGCGACGGTGGCACTCCGCTTAATCGTCCCCTCCCCCAAGAGGATTCTTTTACTGCCTGCCGGCGGGCCGTTGACTTGTCTTAGGACAGGGAGCAACTTTCTTTGTTGGCGGGAGATACTAATCTGTCTTGCAATGGAGATCTCGACCGCCGCTTTCAGCGCGGCGTCTTCTTCATCTACCGAAATGCGGGGGTCTCGCGTCGAGGGGTTGAGGAGGGGGTCTGAATCCGAGAGATCGCCATCGAGATCTAGCGAGGGTTTCCTACCGTTGTTAAGGGTTGAGACAGAGGGCTTGTGGACGAGGTTGAGGTTGGTATTGGACGGATTGCGAGAGAGGGTTGTTGGCGCAGGAACGGGGATGTCGGTTGTAATCGCCATCGGAATGGCCATTGTCCCGGGAGAAGGGGGCGTTGTGGTGAGAGGGGAGGTTGACGAGGAGGGGGAGAGGGAGCGCTCCCTTCCTGGTTTATCGTTGGGTTTTTGGGACCCGGGGGAAATAGTCGTCGCAGTTGTAGTGGTTGATTCGGGGGAAGAGGAGGAGGAGGAGGAGGAGGGAGAGGTTGTTGAGCCTAAGCCTGACATCGACGGCGGCGTGACCATCTGCCATTGCGGTTCCGGTGGTGGAGGGGGGTAGAAAGGTAATTTGCGGGACATGTTTGGTACTGGGGTGGTTCTGCCCGCGGTAGCGGCCGTTGGGGGAGTTGGCCTCAGTGTCGTAGACGCAATTTGGTCCGTCTCGTCGTCGCTCGCCTTCTCGGTTTCGGACTCGGAACCTGTGTCTGAATCCGAAGAATCCAAAATCAAACTCGACTCATTCGGGTAGAAATACACGGTCGTCGGTGCCCGGCTGGCATTACTAGCCGTCGTGCTCTGGCTCTTTGTCCGAGCATGCATGGCCTGCCTCTCGGCCTGCATCTGCTGCTCACGTATTCTTTCTAACCACTCGGCGCGTTCCATCGTCCTGGGCGATGCCTGCGGGATGTTTCTCTTCCTCTTCTCCTCTCCATTATGCTCATTATTCTCAAAGTTCGCTCTGGATGGACTAAGTAACGCCGGCGAGGTATTCGACCTCTTAAGGCCCTTCTGAGGCGGTGGCGCCAGTCCACCGGGCATAGAGCCTCCCATGCTATCCGTATTCCCTTTCGCGGTTGGCGAAGGAGGGAATAGCACGAAAGCAGGGCTCTTCATCGGCTGCGGGGAAGTTGCTCTACGCTCCCTCATGCGCGCCTTCATCTCTTCTTCCATGACGATACGGGTTTCGATGCGTTTTAGTTTTTCGAGGGCGATTTGTCTTCTTTCAAGGAGGGATGGCTGTTGTTGTTGTTCTTGTTGCTGGGACTGTTGTTGAGATTCTTGAGAAGACTTGTCGCGGTTCAGCACGCCGCTGAACATGACGCTGTAGCGCTCGAGACGGACGTCGGGGATCTCGACGTCGAGAAATAGCCCGCCAGTCGATGTCGTAGTTGTGCTCGGAGTGGGCCAGCGGTCTTCAAACGATCGTTGAGGAACTAACCTTGGGGGCTCGCGTAGCGTCGAGGCCGGGTCGGGCGCTAGCATCTGTGGTTCAGGCTTGGAGATGATGATGGGCTTGTGCTTGGGAGCTTTGCGGCTGGAGATGGTGTTGCTTCGTGAGACGATGGTGTTGCTTCTAGCTGGAGGACGGGATTCGATAATCGCATTGCTCTTCAAGGGGTCAGATTGCTTGTCTATTTCCTGTTCTTTCTTCTCCTTCTCCCCCTTCCTCCCAAACCAACCACTAAACAGCTTCCTCTTCTGCGTCTTATTCCTCTGCAGTCCCTGACTTTGACTCTGCTGCTGCTGCTGCGTTTGCTCACTCTGCTTCCCCCCATCCGGCGTAGGCGTCCTCAACAACCTTCCCTTCTCCCTCTCCTTCTCCTTACTCGGCGAATACCCACTCGTAATCACCGTCTCAGTCTGCCCCTTCCATCCCTGATGCGGCAGGAGTGTACTACTCCCATTCAGAGACCCAAGCCCGGACCCCGTCCATATGGGCGCATCCCTTGCCGGACTCCCCAAGGCCATACCAATCGGGATCTCGCCCGACGTGACCGACTCGGGGGTCTGTACGCGGGCCACCATGGGGGCCGGAGAAAATGTCCGGGTGACGGTCGTCGTGCGCTGCGGGCTGAGTTCCGGAGTCAACATGCCCGTAGGCTTGCCACTGCTGCCGGACATGAAGGGAGCATTTGGACGAGTCAGGCCCATCAGCGCCATGTCGTCACGGGAGATGCGCTTGTTGTTGAGATGGTTGCTCCGATTGCTGCCGAAGGAAGAGGAAGAGCCTGATCTGGAGGAGCCCGGGCCGTGCGAGGTGCTTGGCCGTTCGGGGAGGACCGTTCGCGATCTGCTGGGGTTGCTGGTTAAGGGCATTGTGCTCGTGGTGGTAGGGATTGTATGGGATGCATCGGGGGTTGATATGTCGTCGGGTTTGGGGGTATTATTAGTTGGTTTAGTTACTATAGAGGATGATATCGAGGTTGAAGTCGAACTCAAACTCGAACTCGACGACGTCAATGGCAATGTCGAGCCTGCTATACCAACACTACTACCAACACCGCTCGGCGGAGCAGGCAAAGGGCGATCCAAGTAAGGATTCTTTCCTCCAGGGAAGAAGACGACAGCGGGGGGGGGGATATCGGCATTTTGAGGCAGCGACCACGGGGTTAGCCTGGGAGGAGCGCGTTTCCCAGAACCGGCACCCCGGCTCGCTTTCTGGCTCGGGTTCACCTCATTTTGGTTCCTGGAGGGCTGCCTGGGCTGTCTGCTCGCTTTGCTGGCACCAGTCGCAGCCGTCTTGGTGGTCCTGGTGGGCAGCTTTTCCTGGTGAAAGGATGCATTGTTCGGACGCAGGGCTCGATCTGATACAGAGCCTTGTCCCTGGTCTCCTTGGGACCCCTGGTCATCCTTGTCATCAACCTCTTCAGCAGCGTCACTTTCCGAATTGACAGGGGCCTGCGCTCCCCTTGCAGCAGCCTGTGCAGCCACACCCACGCCGTCCAGAACCTCCACTTTTACTCCCGCACTCCCGCTTCCACTGTCCTCTGCCGGGCTTCCCCAGAGCCCTGTCGTCCCCAAGGCTAGCGAGTCTAACCGCATTTGCCATGGCGCCGCCGCCGTTGACGCCGAGCAGCTGTGGCGTCTGTGCCCGCTCGACCACTCAAAACTCGTGCCAGGGGCCTTTTGATCAAACACCCATACAGATGGGACAGGACAGGGCTGCGGGCTTTTGATGAATTGACACAAGTTTCGAAATGACGTTATGATGGGCCAATATTCGTGCCGGACGAATCGATAAGCAGAACGCGGGGAAGGAGTTTGTGTGGTGGTTGGGAAAAGGGGGGTGGGAGGGACGGACGGCTGTCTGCACGATGATGACGGGCGTCGACGTCCGCTGCATGTTCTCAGCGTGTTTGTGTGTTTGTTGTGCGATGGTACCGTAGCAGCAGGGTAATATTAGAAGCTGGAATATAATGGTCGACGAGATACGGTACGGCTACATTACAATTGCACTTGTGGGCAGAGGAAAGGATTCATTCGGGATTTGATGGCTTGGGAGATTGTTGCTACATATTTTTTTTTTTTTTTTGATTATCTGCCATCTCATCTCGTCACGGGCTTTTTCGCCATTCGAGTCGAGACTTTTTTTTTTTTTTTTAACTTGAGCCTATAAGTCTGATTCATTAGACACAGCCTTCTTGAAGCCGTGTTGGTCTGAGATGGACGGGATAACAAGGACGGATATTTTGATGTGGCTGATCGCCAACAGGGTTGAACAGTCGATTCAACCTATCATCCAGTTCAAAGGACTTCCACTGCATTACTGTGTAAAGAAACATGACGCGCACATCAGTCTGTTTAAACGGATCAAAACAACCATCGATCGAGCATCGATGATTGATGAATGGTCCCATGGTACCTACTGCGGGGATCACCGAACTATACCCTCCCCCTCATCGTCCCCTTAGTTGCAGCGCTGGCTCCTGGCCCATGTCTCAGCCTGCCTTTGCATGCCTCTCCATGCTTTTCTATGGCTAGGCAATGGGCTCATACCCGTTCGCCCTGTCCATCCTGGGTAATTCCCTCACTCGGCAGGTCGGCAGGTCGCGCGGGCTATCTCACGGTCCACGCTATCTCTACCGATCGGCTCATGCCAATTCTGTCGGTGTTACTATCACTGTTACCATGGAGTCGTTAACGATGTCACTTTTCAGGATGAGCCAACTTGGCATCTGCTCTCTCTCTCTCTCTCTCTTCATCTCGACTTTCTCGGCCCCCTGTCGAAACAAAGCCCAGAGCGTCAGGGGTGCCCGTTTCGTTCATCCTTGCTTAGATGTTTGGCGACCGTTGGCCGTTGCGGGATATGATGCCAAGCTTTTTCCTCTTTTGGGGGGGAGGGGGAAACACGGGGATGTTCCGCTGTGAGCCCTTGTTCGTGACCGCATCACCATTGTTGCCTATGAGATTGAAGGGCTGCTTTCCTTTTCGCCGCCGTTTCCTAGCTGCATCTGCAGGACATGCAGCTAGCTGTCGTCAACTTGCTCGTCGTGGACCTTAAGCTACGATATATGACATCGCAACTACGAGCAAACATAGCAGGTAGCGATCGCGTCGCGTTTCTCGTCTGATTTCGTCGGCCAAGGTCGTGATGCCAAGCACCTCCGTCTGCCGGTACCGAAAACACTACAGGGATCGCGACGACTGTCAGGCACGGCGCTATGTCTCAGAAATACAAATCCCCATAGTCCCACTGGCGACAAGATGGCAGCGTAGCAGTCTGGCCTGGAGCCTCGGAAGGGGCATGTCGGTCAGCAAGAAGGAAGCAATGCAAATTTCCATTCCGTTAACAGCCTTGTCGACTGTGACTTGTAAGGCTCGGAGAAAAATGCAGAAGTGTATGTACAGCAGAACCATGGATAGCAGCATCGCATAAAACACGGCAGCATCCCCTGTGGCACGCGATTAGCCACCCGACGGTTAAACACACGGGTGCAGCAGTTTTGCGCGCCGACCTTCTAGAACATGGAACACGCGAACGGCAGGACGCTCGCTGATTTGCGTGATCTGCCTCGCTGTGTCACGGGCGCGCGTCTAAGTCGGCCCACACAGCATGAAGCATTGTTGTTCCAGACCTTGGAGGCACTTGGGAACTTTCCGACCCTGTAGGGGATCGCTACAGAGGATCAATTGGCTATTTTAGAATTCGTGGTGTGGGAGTTGAGGATATCTGGGGTATTGATTATAAGATTCCCGGTGTCGTAGCCAGGAACCATGCAGACAAGGGCAGCAATCCTTTCCCTTGAAAAAAAAAAGGTTATTGGATAAAGTCTAGGTTGGCAAAGAGAGTTCGATCATTGGACTTGGGCGATTGCAGTTGATTCAAAATGAACTCTTCAAACATTACGTATAACTCTTCAGGCTCTGTCAACCCTTTCTATGAGCAAGACTGCAGCTGCACAACATCTTCATGATAACTGCATTAGCGTGTAATAACGAGGAACTTGCTGCAGACAAGCAGTTGAAAACCCCTGCAATTACCCCAGGACATGGATTTCTTAATAGCATCTCATGGTTCTTAGTTGTGCGACACAATAACCCGAACTGCCAGCATGCAAATGTTGAGCAAGACAAAAATATAGCAAAATGACGATATCACATTGAACGTTGTGAGGTATCTGTTCGCAGTTGCCCCGGCGTTAAGCTCCATCGAGGCTGACACAGCTTTCCGGCTTTGGTCTTGTCTTGGGCTCGCGGCGGCGAGCTCGGCTTTTGAAGGACGATGATGGAATTCAGTCGACTCTTCTCCCGCGCGCTCCTCAATGTCATCTTACCCACCCATACCTTGCACCTTGCCGAACACCCGGCAACGGCCAGCTGCTTACATAATCCTACCCCTCCTCAGATGGCACAAAGCAAGCAGCAGGCAGCCCCTCCTTTGGCTTGTCTGCCTGCCTGAGGTGCTCTTTGATGCCCACCCGCCCACCTCTGCTGGGCACTGGCAAAGAAAGGTGTGAGAGAGAGGGGATCCATCCATCTCTACCCGTCCGGTAGGTGGGTGTGGGCTCAGGTGGGCTGGCGGGGTAATCTGGTTTTGGCTTTGCTTGTGTGTGTGAGGAACCCGTGAGAGCCTGACTTGTTTGGTGCTTGTTAAACGAACCCGTGAAGTGAGGGGCCTTGTGGTCTTGACCCTCTTTCTCTTGTTCTCTCTTCTCCCTCTCTCTCTTTTGCTTGGACTGGGGACCACAGCACCAACACCAAAAACATCCACCGCTCGCTCGCACCGCCAACCGATCATCAACACCGCCAGATCAACAAACTCCGCCCATTTTTCCAACCTCTTCTCCCAGGCCCCCCCTGTCCTGTCCGAGCCTGGACTCCGCCGCTACTTCTGCTGCATAACTTATTGCCCCCGTGCTGCCCACTAGAGAGGTTTACTCTTCTCTGCCTCCTTTTCGAAACTCTCCAATCCACAGCTCCCAAACAGACAGTCACCATGTCCTGGCAAGGTATGCTATGTTGTCTTCCCCTTGTGTTCCCTTGACGCTGCCCTCGGATCCCGACTCCACTTGTGCAGTGGTGCAGAGCTATCCGTTGGGGTCCTAGCTCTAACCCCGGCAGTTTTGCTTGGAGTCGATCTTGGGGGCTCGCGATGCCTGCTATCCTGTGAATCAGAGGCATAGAGGGATATGTTGAGCTAACATGGAGTTTGTTTATCTCCACAGCCTACGTTGACTCGAGGTATGCACGCACCCCACACTGCCTGACTACGACCAACCGATTATCTTGCTTCTTCGACCACTCTTCTCAGATATCATATCTGATGCTGACTGCCTGACTCTTAACAGCCTCGTCGGCTCCGGCCACATCGACAAGGCCTGCATCGTCAGTGCCGCTGGCGACAGCACCTGGGCTGCGTCCGCTGGCTTCTCGGTAAGTCCTCGCCCTGCCTGCCCTTGAACTGGCCAACGGGCCTTGTACCTCGACTTCTTCCATTCCGTGGTCCAGACAGAGATCTAACACCTCATCTCCCACCAGGTCGGCGCCGATGAGCTGAAGAAGGTAGCCGCCATTCTCACTGAGGCCGAGAAGAGCTCTGGCCCCAAGCCGACGACCGAGGACGCTCAGGCCAACGGTTTTTACATTGCTGGCGAGCGCTACATCATCACCCGTATTGATGGGCGCACCATCTACGGTCGTTTGGTACGTTCCCCCCCCAGGACATCTGATACTTGAAGCGAGGAAGGGAGGGATGCTGATACTAGCTTGTTAAAAAAAATACAGGGCAAGACTGGCGTCTGCATCGCCAAGACAAAGCAAGCCATCCTGATCGGCCACCATGGCGAAAACACCATTGCCGGCAATGCTTCACAGACTGTTGAGGCCCTGGCTGACTATCTTATCAAGGCAGGTTACTGAACTGTGTGTGCGTGGGGGGGGGGATGTGAAGTCTAGATTGAGGCTGAGGGACATTTGAGTTTTGGGTTCTGAAGACAGGGAGAAGGGGAGAGGGTAAGGAGGGAAAGGAATGAAGTGAAAAAAACAGAGGGAAGGAGCCAACACGCCAGCCCTTTGATATAATACTCTACCCCGGTATTACATCAACGCGGTGTGTTCTCTTTTTTTTTTTTTTTTTTCTCTTTCGTCGCACATTATTGGCAATTGCCGCTGCTGTTGTCTCTGGTGTTGTTGGATGCTTGTTGCTTTTGGTTGGATTATGGAGACCTGATAGCCTGTCTGCCTGTCTTTCTTTATATGGCTGGCTAGAGGGCTAGAGGTTGGAGGACTTAGAGAGTAGGAGCGAGCTGTCCATGTTTGGTATACGTGGGTACAAGCTCGTAGAGGAAGACAGATGGTGAATCAAATCGCATAATAGACCTGCTTGTTTTGTCTAGTGGCGAGAAAGGGTTATGAAAACTTGTTATGGGGATGGTTGATCTGTCTTGTGTATCCCATTCCATTGACTGTTTTGGTGCTGGAAGCATGAATGAAATAAAAGTTCCTCTGTGTGGTTTTCTTGTTGTCCTGACCCTCTGCATGTGAGTCCATGAAGTATTCTGCTACTCCTTCCTGGATAGTAATTCAAGTAGGCAGAAAATCTCTATTCTTCTTCTTGATCAAAGCAACGCCAGGTGCTTGCCACCATCATTGTCCTTCCCGTCTATACATCAGATTGTACCCGTTATATGAGCCCCCATCCTTTCCAATTTCTCCCCCTTTCCCCCCTTCCCACCACCACCCGAAAGAGGATTCGACAGCGATTATTATGTACGGGTAAGGAATCAACCCTCAAATCTCTACCAACTAACTCTTACCAACCCCTTCCAACCAGTCAGCCAGCTCCTAATCATCACACCTGTATCTTTCCCCCTCCCAATTCCTGTGTCTTCGTAAACCTCGTGCCATCACCATCCATCCGTGTCGTCGGCATTAAGCATTACAGTGTAGTAGTACGTAGCAGATAGGTAGGTTGTAGGGTAGATAAGAGGAGTAGAGAGCAGTCCACGTCATTGCAAGATGTCGAAACAAGGAAATCGTGTCTCGTGTGTCTCGTATTGTTTCAAAACGCGTTCATCGTGTCATGATGTCGTGTTGCTGCCGTGGAATGTCTCATGGTTGAGGTCGTGTTCTCGGTCACGACCAGCAGCAGGGGAATGATATTCTCCCTTTCGGGAGAGGAGACAGAGAGCATTAACCAACCCCATCCCGCTCTCCCTTCTGAAGTGAGTGCCCCCCCTAAACAGGCAACTCGGCATTCCTCCTCGCCGCAATCCCCGTCCGATCAACCGCCATCCCGACATACGGTCCAATAACAGGCAGATTCCTTGCGAATCCGGCAATGGTACCCAAGAAATCGCCAAACAGCACCGCAATGCCGTACAGCTCGACCAGGAAACCGATCAGAGGCCACCGCAGCAGGATCAGCGCCACGCCGGCGAAGAAGGCTGCGCTGCCTTTGGCTTTTTGCTTGCGAGCAAAGAAGAGGAGGGTTTTTTGCGGGCCGATTATGACGGTTAGGCCGATGAGGAAGAGGATCTGTGGGAGAAGGGGTGTTAGTTTGGGGAGGTGGTGAATGAAGACGGTGGGGAAGGAGAGGGAGGACATACGTTGCCCATTGCCAGCATGGCGCGGTCGAAGAAGAGGAGGACGCCGCCAAGTAGAAAGAAGGCGCCTTCATTGGGAGGAGAGGTAGGTTAGTCCATCCGTTCTGTCTCTCAAAGGAACGGTCGTGTCGGGGGGTCAAGGGAAGGAGAGCAACACCGCCAACGGCGGCGGGCGCAGAAGGGATTATAGACTCGCAACATACCGCCTGAGCAGAAGGCGACGCCAATTTCTATACACATAACTTATTAGCCATTGCTCCTTCGAACTTCGTAAACAACGTCGCGCCTCGACCAAAAAGGCGGCGCGCCGATGTCAGGAGGGGACAAAAAAACGTACTCTGCGACTCAGACAGCCACATGGTCGGCATTTGTTTCTCTAAAAGAGAACTATAATATTAAAGGGGTACTGAAATTGGCTCCGAGAAGAAAAAAGGTAAAAGCGAAGAAAGTCCCGCGGGTAGGAACAACCAGGAAAGCGTTCCGCAGGGAGAAGATAAGAGCTCTCGTTGAGGTTGAGAACGCGACAAGACGACTTCGTGGTCCGCGGCGGAAGTAGAGGAGCAGGGCCCAGGCACGGAAGTCCACGCAGGGCAGGGAATGCCAAGGCCATTTGCCAGGAACCCGTGCTTGCTGCAGGGCGGTGGAGAGGTGGAGTTAATTTAGGTCGTATTTTGATTGGTCAGGTGAAAACAGTGGAGCTGACCCTTTGTCAAAAGTTTCTGCGTCGCACCGCCGCAGATTTTTGAACATTTCATCTCCGCCAGCTGACACTGACAGCCAACTCCAGATGAAAGCGGCAATCACCTGGTGGTGGTGATGTTGCACCACCATTGTTTGTCAGAGATATTGGATGAAATCCATCAGCGAAATGGGATGCCTAGAGTTGTGGAAGGCACCAAGTTTTTTTTTTTCTTTTTTAATCGGCATCGCAAAATTGGTAGGTCATCTCTTTGAACGATGTTCACACATCACAACATCTCGCCAAACATTGCCGCGACGGCTCCAACGCATGCTGGAGCAACTGAGTCTGGCTCTCCCGTCCGTTCTCGGTGGTCTGTCGTTTTACATTCAATGGCATATAACAAACACACATGGCCACGATTAAGCCGGAGCGTCGACTGTCATCTTGTGGCTGAGAGGCTGCGAGTGCGTAGTCGGGGCTTGACTTTGTTGGTCAGACATTCATTCATTCCTTGGGGAAAAGATATTAGATAATTTATTCTGAGTGGAAGGAATTCCAATTCATTACTCCGTTGTTTGAATTACATGATGTGTTGTCATGTTTTCCGTGTTCCGTTATCCATCCAAAACGCCATTCCGTTGAGAGCCCTGCCCCAAGGATTAATCCCACACCGCCCACAATTTTTTTTCTCGCGCCTAGAAAGAACCCCTGAACTCTCGAAAGAACTAAAATGATGCCGTCATCCAGCCGAACCTCTTGGACGCATGTCAAGCAGCGCTCAACTCGCCCTCCCGCTCAGATACTGCCAAATAGGCAGCGGCGGCCACCCAAACACTCCAGACATGGTCAGCACCATGCCGGCCGACATAGCCAGCAGGCTCATGTACCAGTAGAGCGACCCTCTCTCCTGCCCAATCATGAGCTGGTGAAAGCGCGACATGATTCTGCGCGATCTTCTTCGGCTATCCGGTTACCTCAGTCAGCCTCTCGTCTAGTATCCCTCGAGTTTACAGAGGGGGAAGCATACTGATGATGGTGCTGATGGCCGTCCTCCGCGCAAGGCGGCCGCGGGCCAGATGGCACGGCGTTGCTTCTAGGATCGTTGGGCACCAAGGGCGCGTCTTCGGCTGGGCTGGTGGTTGCTGAAGTGGTCCCCGAAGGGGTTGTTGTGGGAGAGGTTGTGCAGCTGACGGCGATGGGCATATAATGGGATGTGCGTCGCGAGGGAAGGGCTGAGGGTTGGTTTTCTTGGTCAAGATGCGCTGCAATGGGCGCTAGCTCGACAGGGGCAACCTCGACGGTGGCCATTATTCAGGTTTGTTGTTGCTAAGTTATAGATAGGGGGCGGGGGGGGGGGTAATGGTTCGAAGCGTTTGGAGTCAAGGTTATCGATACCATTGGTGTCGTGTGGGTTGCTCTGAAATTAGACAGTAGCAAAACAGCATGGCTTGATATGCTTCCGGGTTGCTGAAGCAAGGGAAGCCGCGAGCTAAGTCTGAGGTTGCGAGAAGTCGGTCATATGAATTATCACGGCCTACGGCAGGCGCTGAGGAAGAAGTCCGAATAAGCCATCAATCGTCGTTCCTCCCTGCCCATACCATACCACCATCCAACTCCAAACGCCAATGGCCCGCCCTAAAGACGCAAAAGAACGAATCAATCCCTTTATTTCAACACAGTATGCGCGCCTCTGGCCTCCAAGAACTGCTCCCCCATGCCCTGCGGCAGGTTCCTGATCATGGCAAAGATCTCCTTATTATGATACCGCAGCCGTGTCTTCGGATCCAAATACGGCGCCGGCAATCCCGTGACATCACAGTAGTGCTTCATGGGCGCCAGGCTCGGCGCGCTCTCAATGTTGGTGTACGTCGCAGTCGGAGCGGACGATGCAAAGCCATTAGCCGCTTTCTTATCCGGTGCCTGGGCACTCGCGAGGCTCTTCTCCAACACCAGCTTCTGCAAGCTGCGCGACGCCTGCGCCAGGTTCGGCTGGCCATTACTCGCGGGGGTGCCTGCGCCACTACCATTGCCATTAGCAGGTGTGGAGGTGCCGCTAGTGGACAGGCCATCGTTGTTGTCGTTGTTGGCGGGTGTGTCGGCGCCGCTGCCGCCGCCGTTGTCGTCGGCGCGAGGGGTCGCCACGGCCGAGGTGGACGAGGCTTCTTTGCGCTGCGACTCGCCCAGGATGGCCTTGATGGTCTTGTTGCGGCGCTGGTTCGGGCGCCAGTTGGGGTTGCGGAAGGTCTTGTGAATGGAGTGCAAGTCGAGCTGCTCGACCAGCGCCTGGTGCGCGGCCTGCGCCGATTGTGCGTCGGGGTTGGACATGGTAGGCGATCCTGGTGTCGAGTCGGTCGTAACAGGCGGCGAGGAGGTTGAGGAAGGGGTTGCAAGGCCGGGGGCGACGAAAAGTGTTCGGTGGGAGAGGTCGTGAACTTGTAGCCGTGCCTGCCTGTGTCGCCGATTCTGCCGTCTCTGACCGCTTTGGAGTTCGCACTGTGCCGACGATCAATCAATAGCAAGGCAATCGGTCACTCGGCGCCAGGGCCTTGACTTCGCTCGTTCAATTCAGCGATCGCTGTTCTCAGTCTTGATTCTGACCTCGGGTGACGTGGAATTCTCGAAATAATCTCCCACAGATAATAATGGTATTATTTCTCATATGACCCGACTGAGAGTATGTAATTGCTGATAAATTTCCAGGAGAGCCCTCACGAGCATCAGCAGAACTTGCTGCTGTCGCGTATCATCACGAATGTGGTATGAAATCGAGTCTGGGCTGAGCGCGATGCCAACGGAGATATGTCTGACAGTGTTTGAAAATAGGAGAAGCTCAACGAGGCCATCATGGTGATGAACAAGACCCTTCAAGTATGCTAACACAATTTGGTCACAAGCTTTGACTAAGGTCACTAACAGGTCCAGGAAATCAACATCCAGAACATGAACATTGAACTTGTGGCCCAGATGTTTAAGAACTATCAATCCAACGTCTTGTTCCATCTGGAGGGTAAGCCTGCCAAGGAACCTTCAAAACGTGGGATCACATACTAAATTACACTCATTACAGCTACCGATAACTTGAAGGATCCGGCATAAGGTCGAAGAACGGGGACATGGGCACATGTATTTATATATATTGATATAAATATATACATATATATCATTGGATCGCGTTGCCAGGGTCTTGTTTGCCTATCCGGCCTACATGATGCTAAGGGTTTATGACAAACTGTGTTCGAGTCTATGAAATAAAGACAATATTTGGAGCCTTTTATTCATGACAATGTTAATTCTGATAGCTGTTTCCCTCAAATTTTTTCTCATCTCTGTCTTGGTCTTTATTCGAATGAAAAGTCAACAATCACACAACACCCCGCGATCTCAGCGCCGTTCCCTGCCTGGTCCCGCACAGTGTTTCTTGATAATTGTACAGTCTGCGACACTGTAAGTGTAAGACGCGGTCCAGCTTCGAGATCCAACGGACTCGAGACCTGAGACGAACTTTTGAGCCTTGGGCTGCGCGCACACGCCATTCGCATCCCGTCAACCCATCGCTTCCGTCGCCAGACGCCAATGCATCGCCTGTAACTCTGATTTTCCGTTTCCACATTTCCCGTGTCCCAGAATACCAGCCCAAACCAAACCCTCCCTCGAGTTTGATCGCATCGACACCCACCACATCCCCATCATCATCATCATCATCATCATCATCATCATCATCGACGATGGCGCCCTCTGCTGTGGCCGAGCCGCCGCCAATCCCTCAAAGGGACGAGCCCTGGAAGCGACTGCCGCCGCCGACAGTGTATCCCGTCAAGGAGGCCCGATTCGAGAAATACATTCCCCCACAGCTAGACGGCCGAGAGCGCGCCCTTGCACAGCCGCCAGGCCAGGTCGCCATCGTCATCGACAATGGTAGGAACAAATCTTTCTTGTTACAATGTCTCTCTACCCCGCTGACACATCCAGGCTCCCACTCGGTCCGCGCGGGCTGGAACTTCGAGGACAAGCCGCGACTGGCCATCCCCCCCATCATGTCCAAGTACCGCGACCGTAAAATGGGCAAGACCTTCTCGTTCGCTGGTTCCGACTGCTACGCCGATACTACCGCCCGCAGCCATATTCGCAATGCCTTCGAGGCTGGTACTGGAATCGTCAGCAACTGGGACGTCATGGAGCACGTCCTAGACTATGTCTTCGTGAAACTGGGCATGAACGAGTGCGACGGGGCCATCGATATGCCCATCGTCATGACCGAGGCTGTTGCGAACTTGCCATACTCGAGGAAATGTACGTCTTGAGAGCCCTGTTAGTAGTCTGATATACACATATTGGCTGACCTCGCCTTCCCCTCCCCCCTTCTCTCTCTCCAGCCATGAGCGAAATCATCTTCGAGTGCTATGGCGCGCCGAGCCTAGTCTACGGCATCGACTCTCTCTTCTCCTTCCGCCACAACCAGGGTCAGACCGGCCTGGTCGTCTCCTCCTCCTACAGTGCGACACACGTCATCCCCGTCTACAACCGCAAGGCCCTCCTCTCACAAGCCATTCGCCTCAACTGGGGCGGCTGGCACATGGCTGAGTACATGCTAAAGCTGCTCAAGCTCAAATACTACACCGGCTTCCCCGGCAAGCTTAACTCCTCGCAAACCGAGCATATGGTGCGCGACTTCTGTTACGTCTCGCTCGACTACGACCGCGAGCTGGCCGGCTACCTGGACTGGACCGGCCTGGAAGACCGCGAACGCATCGTGCAGTACCCCTACACGGAAGAAGTGGTTGTACAAAAGACGGAGGAAGAATTGGCGCGCATCGCCGAGCGCAAGAAAGAATCCGGACGTCGCTTGCAAGAACAAGCAGCCAAGATGCGTCTTGAGCGCCTCATGAAAAAGGAGCAAGAGCTCGAGTATTACAAAGACATTCAGCGGCGCATGCAAGGCGAAAGCAAAAAGGAAATCAAGCGTCTCCTCGACGAAGCCGAGCTCAAAGACGAAGCCGCCCTAGAGCGTGTCATCCGCGACCTAGAGCGCTCCATCAAGCGCGCGCGCCAAAAAGACCTCGGCGAGCCGGAGGAGGAAGAAGTCCCCGACTTCAGCCTACTCGACGTCCCCGACGACCAGCTCGACGAGGCCGGCCTGCGCCAAAAGCGCCAGCAGCGCCTCCTCAAATCAAACTGGGAAGCCCGGCAGCGCGCCAAAGCCGAAAAGGAAGCCGAAAAGGCCCGTCTAGCCGAAGAAGCCCGCCTGGACGAGGAACGCCGCAAGAACGACCTGGAAGGTTGGCTGGAAGAAAAGCGCCAGCTGCGCCTCGCCAAACTGAACCAGCTCAAGGAGCGCGAACGCTTGAAGGCCGACCTCGGCAACCGCAAATCCCTCGCCTCCCAAATCCGCATGAAGAACATCGCCAACCTCGCCTCGGACAACCCGACCGGCTCGGGAAGCCGCAAACGTCGGCGAGGCGGCGCCGGCGCAGACCAAGACGACGACTTTGGCGCCGACGATGCCGACTGGGGCGTATATCGCTCCGTCGCCATCGGCGCCAACAAAGGCGACGACAGCGACGACGAGGAAGGCGAAGAAGACCTGGAAGCCGCCATTCGCTCGCTCGAGAACGATCTCTTGCGCTATGACAAGACCTTCAGCTACGACATGACGCTCGACGCGCAGCGCGACTGGTCCAAGTCCTTGCTGCATGCCTTCCGCTATGGGCCACGGCCGTTCGACCCATCCTCGCAGGCGGAGACGCACCGGGTGCATCTGAACGTGGAGCGGATTCGCGTGCCAGAGGTGTTATTCCAGCCGGCGGCGATTGCCGGCGTAGATCAGGCCGGGCTGGTCGAGATCGCGGGGGATATTTTGTGCCAGCGGTTACCTTCCCTCCCTGGCATCCAAGATGCGCCGGACGCCTTCCTGCGGGATGTTTTCCTCACGGGGGGGAATACCCTGTTCCAAAACTTTGATGAGCGCTTGCGACAGGGGCTGATGGCGCTTTTGCCTGTGGGGGCGCCGTTGCGGGTGAGGAGGGCGCAGGACGCGATCCTGGATGCGTGGAGGGGCGCGGCGGGCTGGGCGTGTACGGAGGAGGCAAAAGCGGCGTGGATTACGAGGGAGGAGTATCTGGAGAAGGGAGGGGAGTATATCAAGGTGAGTCGTTTTTCCCCCCCCCCCTCCCCCTCCCCCAAAAAAAAGCCTCTTCTATGTGCGTCTTGCTTGATCAGGATGCTAACTGTGTATAGGAGCACGACCTAGGGAACGCCTTCGCTTGAGGCCAACCAACAAGTGGGAGTCCGTTGTCGGCGTCAGTTGTGGAGGTTAATTATCCTAGCTTTACATAGATGATGTCTCCGTCTTGGTAGTTTCTGTTAATTGCTAGCACGTGGCTTTCTACGTCTGTATGCGTCTAATCAATCAATCTGGTTCTGGGTTGGGACGGCGGGAAAAGTATATGGCATTCATGGGGCTAGGAAGCGAGGACTATGTAAATTTAACGATATTGTGCAAAGTACCTCCTGGTTCGATCTAGAACAAGTGTCTAAACGATATGTTGATGGCTCGATTCTTCTACCTCACAACAACTTTCGCCCTTCAAGCTGCTTTTCTCGCTTCTTTGCCGTTACTTACTCCCAACATCAAACCGAAAAAAAATAATAATATCAATAAAAATACAGCCTCTTATACTCTATCCATAACCTTGTTATAAACCCACAACAAACAACAACAACAACAAAAACCGACTATTACGCAGTCCTACCGATACTAGTAGTAATAAAACTAGGTACGATGGCACAAAACCAAAAACTACAGAATACACAAGCACACCCTTCCTCCCTCATTCCATCCCCTTCCCTCAGATCCCAGTGAAAGCATTACCCACCCGACTCACTTCCTACCTACCTGTCTACGACGCCTAATTCATGGAAAACATACCACCCTGCCCTACCATACCCGTCTCCCCCTGACACTCTCAACCTTAACCCCCCTACGTGGATAGATATCTCAAATTCCCTTCACGAATACGCATCCGAACCTCTCTTCCTCTTCCTCTTCTTCCTCTTCTTCTTCTTCTTCATCTTCCTCCCCTCAGCAAAGCAATCCGGATCCCAATCTATCTTGTCACCCCAGTACAGCCTCGCACCATCCCCTCTAGCTTGGTTCTGGGAGATCATCTCCTCCGAGACTTCCCAAGGCGGGATGCGCAAGAGCCCCTCATGCTGTTGCCGCTCATCGAGATTATACGCCGCGATGGTGCTTCCTGAGTCCTGAGAAGACTGCAGGACTGCAGGTGTGAATCGCCGGGGGCGTTGTGGTGTGTGGGCGTCAGAAGAAGGCTGCTGTACCGAGTCCTTCTCGCCCGACGGCTTCAGGTTCTTGAGTGTTCTCCGACGAGGTTTACTCCCGTTTTTTGAGCTCCTATTTCTCAAAATGATATTGGCAGCCTCTTCCCCATCTTTCTCGCTGCTAACATCCCCCCTTAACTCCGTCATCCCCTCCCCATCCTCATCACTCTCCCCAGGTTCCGCCTCCCTCAACAAAGCAATCAACTCCCTCTCCACCTCCCTCATCTCCTCCCCCCTCCGCGGCACAGCACCATCATCCTACATCGGCGCAGCAGGCAGCCCGTCAGATCCGGCAGAAGCAGTGGCAACATCGGCCTGCAGCTGTCTCGTAATCTCAGCCGCAGTGCGCGCGTCGTCATCCGCAGCGGCCGCAGCAGCAGCCGCTGCGGCCGCCCGGGCTGCAGCATAGGGGTCCTGAGCCCCTGGCGCTGGTCTGCTCCCGGCAGCGGGAGCGAGGTGATGCTGGTCGGGACGATGGTTGGGGCCGGCGGTGTTGTTAAGACCGGAAACAGCCTGAGCGGCGGCGGCGGCGGCGGCATCAAGGTTGTTAACAGGCGCAGGAGGCTGCGCGCCAGCAGGCTGGGGGACGCCTGGTTGCTGCGGGGCGTCTATCCTGGGGGGATGGGACAGGTTAAGACCCGGAGGAGGAGGGGGATGCTCGCCCGTGAGCTCGAGCAGGCGATTCTGCAGCTGGAGGGCGTAATCTCTGAGAGCGCAGTTCTCGGCTTGGAGGGCCTTGAAAGCAACTTCCATCTGCTCGTAGTCCTTACATTGCTGCTCCAGCTTCTTGATGTACATCTCCTTCCGCTGACGGAACGCTCTCTGTGTCACGTTAGCATTTCACGTAAAGGGCAAAACCGCGCAGCTCTTCTAACAGCGAGTTCTGAAACGAACGTAATACCGGCTGGCAGGTTGGAGGTGGGTACTAACCTGAGCAGCTCTGTTCTGAGCAGCGCGCTTCGACTGCGACAGTTCACGCTTCGGCTTGCGGCCGTCAGCAGGAGCCGCAGCCGCAGCCGCTTCGGGGGCCGGAGCGGGCTGGGCAACGGGAGCCGGAGTACCTTGCATGGCGACTTGCTGGTCCGGAGGAGGAACGCCAGCCGGCATCATGTTAGGTGTCGGAGCGTACTGGGTATGCGCCACCACAGCAGCAGGGTCGTGGGGAGATCGCAACTCTGGGTGGATCTGAGCGTCGGTTTGGGGCAGCTGTGGGTGGGCGTATCCATGTGGCAGTGGTTGAGCGGCCGCGCCGGACGGCGATCTACTGGCGCCCGGGGCCTCGGGGCCCGGCTGCGGATGGCCGGCGTAGGCTTGGGTCTGGTAAGCAGGTTGGTTGGCCTCAGTTTCGGGCTGGGAGACGCCGGGCTGTTCTTGAGCACTGGGCTCTGCTGCTGTAAGAGGGCGGGCTAGTCAGTATAGCTGATATGTAAAAGGACACGAAGCTACTACGAGTTGCGGATGCGGATGTAAGCGAAGCATAAATCGAAGCGTAGTAAGATTGTTTAACAAATCAGGCTGCCACGGCACCTTGAGTCCGGGGTAATGGGTAAAGACGGAGACAGTGAAAGCGTGCAAGCAGCGATTGCGCCAGAGTATCAAGGGATATGTTGGGCGATTATAGATCACCAGTGCGACCCAAACATGCGTGCAGTTCTCTGAGACAACAGCGATTGGTCTTGGCGACAGCGAGGAAAGCGCCGTCATTGCAAGCCAACTTGCTGCTCCCCGTTGTTTGCGAACCCAAACTTCGGTCTGTCTTCGATAAATAAATATATAAATATAAAAATATAAAAATAAATAAATAAATAAATAAAATATATATATATATATCAAGACTGCCACTCTGATTGGGTATTCGTGTGTTGAGATGACAAAAGATGAAAATCAGAAACAGCACTGGCTGTGTGTGGAAGTGTCTCTGAGATCCGCGGCGGTTGGCGCTTCGATGACTTACACAACCTAAGCCTCTCGCTGCTTGTATAACGCAGCGTGGTGCCAGGTGGGGGAGAATTAGTTTAAAAAAAAAAAAGGCGTCGGGGGAGGGCGGGCAGCTTCGGCAGGGTTGGAGGGGACCAAGCAGATGGGCAGAGCAGAATGCAGCAGACGCGCTCGCGGCGGGATGGGATGGCGCCGTTCTTGTACCCTGGACGGCGGTCAAAAGCTCCCGGAGCAACTTTGCGTCGGGTGTGCCCCGCCGTGTTGTGGGTGTCGTGAGCGCTGTGGACGTCGTGTAGCGATCAAACTTTAAAACAGGGAGGGTCAAAGGTTGTGTGCGGGGAGATTGCGCAGCCAACAATACCTCAAAAAGGACAGCAACAGCTAAGACAGGACCTCTATGCAAAAAAAAAAAAAGAGTTATTCTGCAGCGATATCGTAACAAGGGTGCGGAGCTGCTAGAAGAGAAGAGCATATCTGCAGCTATCATGGACGCACTCTCAAGGATTAAGTCCGTCTAAGCTGAAGCTGTCATGAGCGTTGACCGGCGACTCTCTCTCCCTTGCGACCAAGCGTGACCTTTGCGCTGGGTGCATGTTACATGATTCCAAATCCCAGAAAGCTTTGCTGATAAGTGCCGACAATGGTGGTGATACAGGCCCCGGTCGCTTGACCGAAGACGACAGCAACGGAAAAAAAAAAAAAGAAAAAGGGGGGGTGCAGGTAGAAAAAAAATAGTCGAACTTAAAAGAGTTGCACTCACCGTTACTCGACATGGCCGACCACTGAGCAACGACTCGAAGGATAGAGTTCCGGCTTTCTTACTCAGCAGCAGCAAACTACCGCCGTTCCAAAAAATTGATTCGAGCTGCAGAGAGCGCGCGGATCTTCTGTTGCCGAGGCGCAAGACTATTTGTTTCTTGGATGGCCGGCGCTTTTACTCGATGGTTAGTCAGCTTAGACGGCATATTTTACCTGCGATGCGAGCTCACCGTTTGCCGATCGCCACCACCTCAGAGTAGAAGGGAAAAAAAATAAAAGATATACTTGGAGGAGGAGAAAAAGATGAGAGCACGCTCTAGGCAGCGGCAGCCAAACCGATAAAGCTTCTTTGAAATTCCTCTTGCGAAGAAGGAAGATGGTCCTGCGCAGCACAACAGGCAAGTGTTCTCCGCGGTGCCTGCTGCTGAAGGCTGCGGGCCCGGCGCTGCTGGCTGCAGGTTGATCTCGTAAGCAGGCAGTTGCCGCAGCTGGGACTCGAGAGGATCGCAAACAAACCCAGATCGATCAGATCTGGCTGGTCACACCTCAACGCTCAAAGGTGCACAAAAAGACAACACCGATCGGCGAGAAACTCGACTCGAGGTTATTATGGCTTGTGCTGTCCTCGGTGTCTCAAGACAGGCGCGCGTTGTCTGTGTAGCCCGGGGGGGGTTTGCGCTTGCGATGGGAATCTTTGTCAGATGTCGATTGCTTTGTCAGCAGCAGCAGCACACGCTGTTGCTTGTCTTAAAGCAAGACGCCGTCTTGCTTGCAGGTGTGGGTGTGGCTGGGGCGCGGGGTGCGACGCTGCGGGGTTCGGGGTCAGCCGCGGGGCTTTCCGGGATCGTTATTTTTCCGGTCCGAGAGAGAGCTCTGCCTTAAACCTTAGGCTCGAGGGCTTCACAACAACCAAGTATTCTGATGTTAAATATTTGTCTAAAGCTATGTACAGTCTTTGATGAATGAGAATATATAATAAGCTCTCAGCGCTAACCAATATTCACCACACATTCATGCATGATTGCTAGTCTGCAACTATTCACAGCCGAAGTGTTTGGCTATGGAGCCTGGGATTTTTACGAGGGAGCTTGTAAGATGTGACTACCCAGCTCATCACGCGCAGGGCAGAGCTTATTGTAATCAGCACTCCTGGATAAAGAGTTCATAGATAGTTGTCATGGATTATAGACCTTATAGTCGATATCTTAGCCAGATAATTTTTCTCTGCCCTGCTCTTCGCCGCTCTATCACCAGGTTTACTTTTCTCCCTTCCGAGAGTTACCGTAACCCCGTAATAACCTCCAAGTCAGACATCAAACATCTCCATCCTCCCTCACTTTCATCACCTCTTGCCATCGACCCGTCCCTCACCGCAATGCGCCCCCTTGTCCCCCGCCAACCTAAGGCCATCCTCATTGGCCCGTCTTCACCCAGACTTGGCTCCCCCAGATTCATATCAACTCGAACTCTCGCCAGCCAATTCCTTCTCCAACCCAAACATCGCCTCCAACTCACAAGAGCCAGAGCAAGAACCATGTCAACCGCCACTAACCCGCCAATCCCAACCATCCTCTCCTCGGCTGCCCCACCCAGTATTGAGCCTCAGTTTTCCCAGGGCACATGCGACGACCCAGCCGAGCTACGCGCGGCGCTGGCGCCGCTGCTGGTTGAGAATGGTGGGCGCTGGACGCTGATGGCAAATGGAGAGGGGTTGGAGAGGGAGTTTCGGTTCAAGACTTTTGCTAGGACTTGGGTGAGTGGCTACTTCTCTCTCTTGAATTCGAACATTAGTGGTTCTTGTTTGCCTATTTCTACGAAATTCATTCGGACGAATAGCCTAGAGGAGAAGCGGTGTGATGTCGACTGAGATGTTATCGTGACGTTGTCTTCGGGAGACGAGCTCATCATCATCTTTTTAGGGGCAATAGAAGACTCTTTTCAATGATGATGGTGAAGAATTGAGAATAAGCTGCTGCTGCTGTCTACTCTACTAAACATGTCACCACCTAGGATTTCATGACAGCCGTATCCCTCCAATGCAAACTCAAAAGTCATCATCCCGAATGGTCCAACGTGAGTCCTTTACCTCTCCCCCCATTCCCTCTCCGCAGCCTCAGCCCCAAATGCCCTTGAACAACAACCTAACCCTCAGCGGCCAGGTCTACAATACAACCTTCATCCGCTGGACAACCCACCACCCGAAAGGCCTCTCCGCGAAGGACATCGAGATGGCCGCCCTCTGCGACAAACTCGCCCAAGAATTTGGCGAGATTCTCCCTGCCGACAGCACAACCTCCTCAACCGCTAAGACTACCACGACGGAGTCAAAACCACCATCGGCAGCATCGGCCTCAACAGCTGGGGCTGATATCCCTTCGTGCGCTTTGTCTGGCTTAGCCAATCGTGCTGCGGGGTCGGCAGGAGAGTGCTGCGTGCCAAAGCACCTGCAAAAGTGACAACACCCCCCCCCCAAAATCTCTCAATTCTCGGAACGAAGCTGTAGATAGATAGCGATTAACATTCACATGTACCATATGACTTCAAACTCATTTCATCTTATGGGTGTATTAAAGAGTCTAATAATTACCGTTTTATGTACAGAGTGATTAGGCTACTAGTTTAGTTATCTTAAACCGCCTGTCCGCCAACGCCCTCCATGAATGCGTTGATACTTGATTCTTTCCCTTTACGTTTCCCGGATTCTTCATCACAGACGTCATAACGTTGTTGTTTCCAACCAAGAAAGCATCATGTCCCTTCTTCTTCTTCTTCTTCTTCTTCTTCTTCTTCTTCTCCTCCCATCGACTCAACAATCTCGCAACCTACTACTCAACACCAAAGGTGAAAACACAACGGCCCTCTGGGAGGACGCACAGCGTCTCACCAAAAGCCAGCGTGGTGGCAAGCAAGGTAAGTTACCCATTTACTGAGTCTTCTTGGCCTTGAGCTGAGCAAGCTTCTTCTCGCGGCGCTTCTTGGCAGCAGCCTCGCCGGCCTCGGTGTCAAGGAAGTAGTCCCACCAGCGGAAGCTGGAAGCGTAGTTGCCAATGAACTTCTCATGGTGCAGGTCGTGGTGGTCGGCACCAGCCCAGAAGGGGATGAAGTGACGCAGAGACCACGGGAAGTCGTAGCCGCTGTGGGCATCGATGGCCTGGAAGAGACGCAGGACGATCCACATGTACATGGTGAAGAGGTGCAGATCGCCGGTGAGCGAGACCCAGACGATGGGGGAGCCGACGACACCGAAGCCGAGGAGCATGACCTCGATCGGGGAGGCGTACTCAGCGGCCAGACCGAAGGGAGCGCTGTAGGTGTGATGCAGCTTGTGGATCGACTTGTAGAGCGGGCCGTAGTGCAGCGCGCGGTGGAACCAGTAGTGCCAGGCGTCCTCGATCACGAAGAAGATGAAGATCTGATAGGCCATCTTCCAGATGGACGGGAACGGGACGCCGTACTCCAGGCCGAAGTAGGTGGCGATGGGGTGGAAGAGCCAGATCTGGGGAAGCTCAACGGTGCAGTGGCCGAGGAGGACGAGCATGGCACAGTCGAACTGCTCCTTCCAGGTCGGGATCTTGGTCTGCTTGGAGTTAGCGAGTGTTTCGACTCTTGAAGGTGTGTTGCAGACGCTGCTGACCTTCTGAATCTTCCAGCGGTTGAAGAAGGGGATGGCGTCGATGATGATCCAAGGGAGGGAACGGCCAAAGTAGACGAGCTCGTGCATGACGAAGCTCATGATGCCGGTAGCAATGGTGTCGTTCTGCATCCAGAGATACCACGCCTATGTCCAGTTAGCTGGTGTTATTATTATTATTATTATAGTTGGGTTGGAAAAGGGGCACATACAGCCCACATGCGCTCGAGAATGTTCAGGTGGACATTAGCCTTTCCCACCTCCTCGAGGACGGTGGTGAATGCGGGAGAAGGGCCAAGGCCGGCAATGGTCGCGTTGCTGCACGCTCAAAAGTCAGCTTGACGTCCAGAACTCATTGGCAGCGATGTCGGTTGATAACATACGGGAATGCGATCCCCATCGCCTGGACTGTTGAGGTCGCCATCGTGGGCGGCGTGGACACGGCGCGACGTTACGACAGGCGGGGCGACGAGAGCAAGGAGACTCTTGAGATTAAAAAAGAAAGTGCAACAAAACCTCTCGATGACGGAAGTCAGAGAGGAAAGACTATTATAAAGGAGAAGATGCACCAACACCTTACACGCGTCGAGTGCCTGTCGCGACGGAGCGGTGACTGAGAAAAACAGCCTGAGAGGTTGTCAGGGGGTGAAATGGGATTTTTTATCGCTGTTCAAGCGCCAGGGAGCAATCGTTGGGTTGGGCGAGCCACAGGGTCCCACTGGCCAATCGCACCAGAATCGGCCCACACGCTTGCAGATGATTCCGGCTCCCGAAGAAGCCAAGTGGGGTTCCAACAGGGTCCATGGTAAATCTTGATTGGCCGCCGAAAGATCGGTCGAACCTGTCCAGCCCAAGCTCCCTGGAGCTTTGGTTCCTGCCAAGCCTGAAACATCCGGTAAGCGCACATTGATGATGCATGCATAAAACGGTGCGATCGTAGCCGACAATGACGCTGATAAGATCAGGGCACTAGGTATGCACAGACGGCTTGGAATGACAGCGGCAAACGCGGGGGATAATGAGTTTTAAGCGCGCTGGCAGTTCTATTTTGTAGTACCTCTCAGGATGGAGCATGTGTAGGCCGATTATCAAGAGCCACGTTGACAGTAGCATGTAGATCTGATATGCAACAAGTGATGTCCGAATACGGGTATGCATGTAAGCAGCTGCTGGGACACAGTGTCAGAAGCTCAGGTCTTAGCCTTCTGCTTGGGTCGCTGGCTGTCAACCCGAAGCGCCCAGTTAAAAGTTCGAACACGGGCATGAGATCATGCTCATCAGGAAGTTGACGGCACAGTGTATTCGACCGCCAACAACCGACGCTTTGCTCACCGGAAGTCAGAAATTAATTGCTCTGCTTCTCTTTCCTGTCTCAGTGTTGAGTTGATGGAATTGCAAAAAGTCAACACATCATCAGAGGAAATCTCGTTTTCGAGTTTTCTTTTTTTTCTTTTCGTAACCGCAAATCATAGCCCAAGTGGCTCTTTGACCCAAAAGACCCGATTCAACGGCGTGATATCTGGACCAAAAACCCACCCACCGCAACTCGCTGACATCTCGGAATCGGGATCTCAAGAGCAAAGCCACAAAAACAGCATCCCCACAGTGGGGAGACCAAGCCGTCCCACGTCCCGGAAAGCCCAACTTCCGGGAGCCAGGCGCATGGCGTGATTCGGGACGTTGAGCTTAACCATCTAAACATTCTGGATTCCGGGAAACGGGCTGCCGATACGGCAAAGTCAGAGAAGAAGTAGTTGTCAGACGAACACGAATTGACACGAACCGGACTTCTGACCGCGCAAGCTCGTCATTTTTTTTTTGGAACAACTCCCCCCCTCTCCCTCCACCCCCCTTTTTTTTTTCTTCTGATTTGTGCCCTAGGATTGCGGTCCGGCTCCGGTACACAGCCCAGCCCCGGCTGTTGAGTCGTCCCAGTCGTTCCCGGTAGTCCTCCCGGTCCTATCCCTGGTACGGAGAAGGTGACCTGGTTGTGACGGCGGGAGTTGGTTGGGAAGATCCCAATCCCACCCACTATGTCGATTGTGGCCGAGTTAGTAGACCCCTTCTTTTTATTTTTCCCACTTGTCCCCCACTCTTCTTTCTCTAAGTCAGCACCACACATCATCTCAGAAGCCTTAACCTCCGTTAACTCGGTCACTTCCGTTCTCCAGCCAGGTCCGTCGTCTGGATGCCCGGATCGACCGTGTGTCTCTGGTGCCCCTGACGTTCGGGCCCGAACATGAGCAACAACAAGTCCAGCTCGCGGCTGCGGCCGAAGCAGGCGCCGCCGAGGTTGGAGCCGGGGCCGTCGCGGCCTCGGCGCTCTCCACGCCCCGTGTGAACCACCTTCTCAAGATTGCCAGGGCCCTCTCCTCCAGCCTGAGCTCTGGCACTCCCCTATCATCGGCCCGGATTCAAAGCCTGCTAGAAAAGTCCGGCCTAACCACCGAATCTCCCGTCCAGCTGCTCGAGGCCAAGAGCCAGTACGAGATCGATGTCGAGTGGCTGTTGGTCGGCAAGGCCACCGTGCAGGTTTACGGCTTGCTGATGAGTGCCTTGCTGGACCAGATCATCCCCCTGAGCGACGACATCTGGTACTGGGACGAGGTGCTCGGCTCCTACCCTTACAGCGTGTTCTACACGGTGCAGACATCCCCTTTGCGCATGTGGCGATGGGGTAAGGACATCTACCTCGAGAGCGTGCATCGCTTTCAACGTATGCTCCGCGAAGAGCTCCCCGATCAACCGCAAGAAGTCTCTCCCGAGGGAGGAGCACCCGGAGGTGGACACGACGAAGCCGAGGAAGTGATGTCGATCGCGCAAACTTACGACGGCTCGTCCATCCTTCGCCACCCGCACGCTCGGGTCCTTGGGCCTTGGCACTCCTACCTGTCAAAACACTGGCGGCAGTTTTATCGCATCGTCCGGCAGAGCATCCGCGAGCGCAGCATCACCGACATCCAGCGCCGGCTGCTGTCGCGGGTCGATATCGGCCGCTCCGAGGCCCGGCAGAAACAAGCCCGCTTGCGCAAGCTCCGCGAGATGACTGCTACCGGTCTGGGCGTGCTGTTGGACGAGGGGCTGAACTTCAGTGATGCCCAGCATGACGAGTGGAAGAGCATGCTGGAGCGGAGTGTTGCGCTGATGGACATGATTCTGCCGTCGGTGCTGTGTCTGGATCTGAATGTCAATGAGTTCGAGGATCAGGTATTCAAGGGCGTGCAGGAGGATCCGGAGCTGTCGGTGCAGGCTGAGACGGCACATCCGGCTGAGAGACCTGCCGTGCTGGCGCGCAGGTTGTTGGCTCTGTTGCAGTATGGTTTGCCTGAACATCGGGTTGCTATGCAGCAGGTTGTGAGGGAGAATGGGCGGCCTTCGGGTCTGGTCAGGTACTGGCTCCCGGCGACGGCGCTGCTGGTGTCATCGTCGACGATCCTGAGGATCCTGGTCAATAAGCAGGATGATATCGTTAACTGGATCGTCAACTTTGGCGCTACCGTGCGCGACTTTTGGTTCAACTGGGTTGTGGAGCCCGTGCGCAAGATCGTGGGCACCATTCGGCATGAGGAGACCAGCGAGATTGCGATCATGAGCCGTGACAGCTTAAAGGCTGATCGTGAGAGCCTAGAGCGCATGGTTGTTGAGTTCGCGATGGATAACCCGGATATTGCGGTCGGCAACTCGTCCATCTCGGAGCAGGAGCTGTTCGAGATTCGGTCCAAGGTTAAGGAGGGCGATGTCACGCCCGTGCTGAAGGCCTACGAGAAGGACCTGCGCCGGCCGATTGTGGGAGCTATTCGTGGTGATCTCGTCCGCTCGCTGCTGATCCAGGTGCAGAAGACCAAGGTTGATCTGGAGGTTGCTATTAGTGGGATCGATGCTTTGTTGAAGAGCCAGGAGCTGGTATTTGGATTTGTGGGGTTGACACCGAGCGTGTTGGGTATGTTTCCTCTCCCTTCTCCTCCTCCCTCCCCCCCCCCTTCTTTCTATCCCTGAAGAAACCAAGCATTGCTTTGCTAACATGAGTCCAGTTCTCTACGGCATCTTTCAATATCTCCGCACAGTCTTCGGCAGCCGGGCTGGCCTGCGCCGGGGCCAGCGTGTCCGCCGCGCGATCCGGGTGCTCCGCAAGATTGACCGCATTCTGTCCGAGGCAACTACATCGGAGAACAACATGATCTCGTACCGGGATCACGGTCTGCTGGTGTGTGAGGTGCACGTGCTGCGTCAGCTAGCACATGGTGTCTTGCCTGGCGAAGTCGAGAAGGAGTTCCTGGAGGACCTCGATGATCTGACGAATTTGAAGAGCATCCAGGTGCAGATGAAGGCGCTGGAGAGGATCAGGTGGGCATATGCTGAGTATTTGGGACGGATGAGGTAAGCCGGAGGCAGAAGGTTCGTTTCATCCTCGCGCGTGGCATGGGTATCTTCTTCTGGCCATAGCCGTTAGGGGGAGGTATGGGATTGATTTGGAGTTGGATGGAAATAAAGGGGATGGACGGAACAGTGATTTTGTGAACACGGGCACGTAGACAAAGCATCCAACACGTACAGGGTCGGCATGATCGGATGAGAAGGTTGGGACGCAATTTGATGGGTAGCATGAAGAGAAACTTTATAGAAACTACCTAGACGGTGGCTCGAGGGTTGGGCACTCAAGAATCAAGAAAAGCGGGGGAAAGAGGGGGGGGTTTTGGGTCCAAACCACTGCCGTCACCTCTCTTCTGTAAAATCAAAATCATACGTACTATTCATATAACTGCCAGAGAATCATGATATACGGTTACTCCATATATGTTGTGCTCGTCTCTCCTTCAATGCAGGGGCTTGACGTCGTCGCTCCCTATGGTGGATTGATTCCCCCCCCCCCCCTTTTTATCTCTTGGGCCGTCCTTATCAATACGGCGGGGCACTAAAAAATAATCTGTGAAAGCCAACCACCGCCAGGGACCGGAAGATAGTGGGGCTTCCCCCTGGCTGCTTGCACCGCTTTCACCGTCGATTTTGGCAGCCCAGGGGCCAGGAACGCCAAGGCCAGGCAACTGAGAAGTCACGGGCCAGCTGTTGCTGTGGCCCTCTAGGCTCCTCTAACTCGGCCAGAGGCCCGCCCCACCAGTGTGGCCTGCACTGTGGGCTGGGGAAACTGCCTGCCCGCTGCGTCGTCAGAAGCCTGATGTGGATGTCTATGCCTTGTCGATGAGGCTCCCACTGGGAACTGCTCCAAGTCACACACACTTCCACTGATGAGAACAGTGAACGCTGATCCACGTCTGTGAGAGTGACTGACTGACTGACGGGTCACGGCAATCCGTCACGGATAATCGTTGATCAACAACAACCTTTGGGTCCATCTAATCGATACGCCAGACCGTGCCAGTGCCGCAGCACTGACACCGCCTTGCAAGGACACGCGCACTGCACTTCTTGGGCGAGTGAATCAAAAGGACACAATTGCTGCACCACAGCCCGACTTCCGTCCAGTCCAGTCCGGTCCAGTCCAGTCCAGTGCCTTTTGAATCTTCGGATCAACACAGCCGTTGTTGAGCAGCAGCACCCACAGCAGCAGGACCGTTAGCGTCGAACTGCTCCGTGGATCCCACAACACAGCAGCATCAAGCCAGCCATACATACTTCGTAACCATCCATTCACCTCTCGGTGACTGGGTCTTCTGTTGCAGGTGCGTCGCGTCGGCTTAGTGCGGACTGCAGTCTATCCCCCTCCTCCTGCCCTCTCTCTCTCTCTCCTCCTCCTCCTCCCTCCCTCCCTCCTCCTCTCTCTCTCTCCTCCTCCTCTCTCTCTCTCCTCCTCTCTCTCTCTCTGCGATTCCCTCCGTCAGTCATCTGTCATCTACCTATTCTCCCCCCTCTTCAACCTCGACACCGTCTCCAGCAAGCCCGCCACTTGCCCCCTGCACGCAACCGCTGCCGTTGCTGTTGGCGAGACGACAATTCCCACCTACCGCTCGGTTTTGCTCTGCTACCTGTCCGCTTGCTTGCTTGCTTGCCTCGTTTCGCGCAACGCTTTCTCCAGGAAGCACAAACCAGCAGCGACACAGGCATATAACACACATACACACGTTGTTACCCTCGACACCGGCAACAGAAAACGACTAACCTGCGCTGCTCAGTCCGCTTCAGCCCGGCCCGACCTTTTGTGTTCGTCGCGCCTCGGAATCTCAAAACGCAACGATACCCCTCGGATCTGTCCTCGACGTCCCGAGACAGCTGTCCTTTCATTGAACATTCGGCCATCACGCGGCAACGCAAACCAAAAAGCAACCACCGGCCAGCCAGCTAGACCGACTTATCGTTTTATCCAGCGACAAACCGTTTGTTCCGCTTCTGAGCCTAGCTCCGAGGCGACTCTATCCTCCGTATCCGAAGCCGGCGCTCTTTTTGTGTTATTCTTTCCTACAGTCCAGCCGCTACTATGTCATCCAGTAACAGGAACTACGATTTCTTGGTAAATCGCGCCCCTTCCCCTATCTCTTGCGATAAGCTGTCGCACATATCTCGCAGGCCGGGCGGAGCCTTGCGCAATATGTATCCATTTATGCTTCGATAAACATAATGCTGACCGGGTTGTACTCCGCAACAGATCAAGCTGCTGCTGATCGGCGACTCGGGCGTGGGCAAGTCGTGCTGCCTGCTCCGCTTCAGCGAGGACTCCTTCACACCGTCGTTCATCACAACCATCGGTATCGACTTCAAGATCCGTACGATCGAGCTCGATGGCAAGCGCGTGAAGCTGCAGATCTGGGATACCGCCGGCCAGGAGCGCTTCCGCACCATTACCACGGCCTACTACCGCGGCGCCATGGGTATCCTGCTGGTCTATGATGTGACGGATGAGCGCTCGTTCAACAGTACGTTTTTGCCGCCCGCCCCCCCCCCTTCCCCATTCCCTTTTTACACTTGAGACAATCACAAGAGTAGGAAGCTAACGCATCCCAGATATCCGCACCTGGTTTGCCAACGTCGAGCAACATGCCTCGGAAGGCGTCAACAAGATCTTGATCGGCAACAAGTGCGACTGGTAGGAGAAACGCGTAGTCTCCACGGAGCGCGGGCAGGCCCTGGCCGACGAGCTGGGCATCCCCTTCCTCGAGGTCTCCGCCAAGACGAACTACAACATCGATAAAGCCTTCTACAGCCTCGCCGCCGACATCAAGAAGCGCTTGATTGACAACCAGCAGAAGCAGGAACAGGCGGCAGCGGGTAATAACGTTAACGTTGCGGGCCAGGGTGGGGGAGAGGGGAGCGGGAAGTGCTGCTAAGCGTTTTTGTTTGGCGGGAAGAGAAGGTATTTATCTTTTAAGATATCATTTTTTTTGGGTGGTTGGGTTGGGTTGTGATGGACGATGGATGATGGGGAAGTGAGGTATGGCAACGACATGATACGGCACGGCACAGTACGGCACCCGAGAACGCACGATATAGCATGGCATGGCACGCGCAACGACAGTCTATGGTTTCCAGCTTATATTGACGAAGCCTGTGGTTCTCTCCTGTCTCTCTCTCTCTCTCTCTCTCTCTCTCTCTCTCTCTTCTCTCTTTTGCAACAATTCCCAACCGATCCGATCCGTGTTTCTCATTGTTGGACGACGCCCGGGTATAAGCGATCGTAGGGAGATGAGTCCATAAAATGCTGAACTACGGTTGAGATGTTCGGGTCGTTGCGTGCTATGGGAATAAGAACGGGATGGGATGGTTCAGTTGGGGGAAACAGGCTAAACTGTGTCGGGTGTCGGTCTGCGCGTAGGGTAGGTGGGATTTGGGGAGGGAGGAGGGAGGGTCGATTCGAGAATAAGGGGACGGACGGCTCGAAGCCCGAGTTAATGGTTCAGCTTCGGGTCCTGTATTGTTGCCTTTTGCTGCCTAAAGAAGGGGAGGAAGAAGGGGGGGAGGATAGCGAGGGATTAGGTTAGTTGTTGGAGAGGCAAACATCCAAGCGAGGCGTTGGCCAGATCCTCCCGGTTGTTTGTCGTTACAAGGTAAAGGAGGAATGGAGATGTATCAGAGGTGAGATCGAGATCGGCGATTGGGCTGTGTGTACTTCGTCTGGTTTTGTCAATTGGGAGGAAGGAGGGTTTATGAGGGGTGGAGACCTCAAGATTTTCTTTTCTCCTACCTAGAGATCACTAGAGGTAAACGGAACTGTTTGGTCAGTCACATGCCAAAGAAGGGAGGAGGGGTGAACGCAAAGCTCCTTTTGCAAAGCTATCTTATTGCTCTCTCTCTCTCTCTCTATGGGTTATGGAGTTTTTCGGGTCCTTTTTTTTTCCTTTTCTCTTTTTTTCTTTTGTCTATCTTCACAGTAATATACATTTAACGTATCACATTTGATTCTTAACATTTGATTCTTATTGCTTTACTGATATTAAGCTGAAGTGAATTGGTATTGTTGATTCTGGCTCACTGGAATGATGATAGCTTCGGATGGATGATCCCCATGCAGGTTCTGATAAATAAACCATAGACACTACTATAGCAAGTAGAGGCAAACAAATGAAGGGCATCTCAACAGACATTACATTATCAATTTAACGATAATGCACATAATCTAAACAATTTATAAATGCAGCCCAAATGAACCCCGTCTAAGATGCAACGCCTTTATCCCAAACCAAACACATGCGACATAAAACAAAAACCAAACTAAAATATCCCATCCTGAGACATAAGCATTCACGTATAACATGTAACATGTATCCCACAGATCATCATCAAGATGATAAAAATGATGCCAGCAGCGCGAGCCGAGAGTGTCTACAACTGATCCTTTGCGTGCGTGTGCGCGCCTGTGTGCGTGTGCGTGTGTGTGTGTGTGTGGCTGTAGTCTAGCTATCGGAGATCTTTAAGAGACAATGACAACATGAAACAGAAACAGAAACAAAACAGGAAATCCAACAACATGTTTTAGTTGCTCTAAACCATCCGAAGAAAATAAAGTATCACAAAATCAAGACAATACCGCTCAAAAGCTGCTGCTCCCAAACTAAGTCACGCCTCCCCCCACCCCTTCTCATGCTCCGAGATCAGGATCAGGACATGACCAGCGCGAGCAGCGCCATGCGGCAGTACAGGCCATATCTCATCTGTGATTACCAAGTTAGCAAACACCCCACAACCAAGTACTATGACTGAGGCTCACCTGTCTGAAATAAGCTGCCCGCTGATCAAAGTCCACCTCCTCAGCAACCTCCTCATTCCTCGGCAATGGGTGCATCACCACCGTCGTCGGCTTAGCATACTTCAGCGTGCTGTAGTCAATCCTGTATGAGTCCTTGACCGCCTCGAACTCCGCGAGGCTCGGGAACCGCTCCTTCTGCACACGCGTGCAGTACAGGACGTCAGTGCGGCCCAAAATCTCGGGCGTGAGCGCCTCGCTCTCACACAGCAACTGTCCGGCATCAACAAGCTGCTGGCGCACCGCGGGCGGCAGGCGCAAGGCCTTGGGCGAGACAAGCTGCACCTTGACCTGGTAGTGGCGTAGCAGGTAGACGAGGGAGTGCACGGGACGGCCGTACAGCAGGTCGCCGACGAAGGTGATGGTCAGGCCCTGCATGGTGCCGAGCTCCTCGCGGATGGTGAAGAGGTCGAGGAAGGCCTGTGTCGGGTGCTCCTTGCTGCCGTTGCCGCCATTAATGACGGGGACGGGGCAGTACTTCTTGGCGACGTCAACACACTTCTCGTCGGGGTGGCGAAGGACGATGGCGTCGCTGTAGTTGGCCAGCGTGCGAAGGGTGTCCTGGAGGGTCTCGCCCTTCTGGACGGACGAGGTCGAGGTCTGGATAGGGATGGTCCGCCCACCCAGGCGCTGCATGGCAGCGTCAAACGAGGCCGATGTGCGGGTCGAGGGCTCGTAGAACAGCGTGCAGAGAACCTTACCGCGGAGGATGTCGAGGACGCCCTCACGCTGCACGCCCAGACGCATCTCCTGGGCGATCTGGAAGAGCAGGTGCAGATCGGCACGAGTGAATTGCGTCACCGACAGGACGTGCGACTTCTTGAAAGACGAGGGAGCAGCAAGCATTTCCTGTAGGGGCGAGACGAGAGGCGGGTGCAGGGGAAGGGGCGGGGCAAGCTCTTCGACGATCGAGCCGCGAGGACCGGCAGCGCCAGCAGAGGCCGGGGCGACCTCAGCGCTCTTCGACCGGCCGTAAGCCGACGACCAGGCCGCAGCCTGAGCCTTGAAACGAGTCTCAGTCGGGGTCTCCGGGGCAGGGGAGACGGGGAAAGGCTTGGATCGGACGACAGGCGACGAGACGTTGACAGTCGGGAGCGCACCGTAAGTCGACATATCGGCACCCTTGGGCGGGATGGGCTGGAAGACGCCGTCCAGGCAGGCAACCTGATCCTGGAACGTAACGCGCTGGACGACGCCCTTGAGGACCTTGCCGGCGAAGGGCGACCAGACACCCTCAGTCGGGACGGCGAAAGCACGGTCGAGCTCGATCTCGACGGTCGCGCCGACTTGGTCGTGCAGCTCGAAGATCTCCTTCGGGTTGTCGTGCAGGCGGGTCTTGACGTAGTCAACGGTGAGCCTGCCATCCACAACCGCAGTGAGGAGCAGCGGCAGGGCATCGGCAATGCCAACGGTGACATCAGCCTCCTTCTTGAGGAAGTGAGCCAGCTGGTAGGGCAAGCTGCCAATGGAGAAGACGTCGATGATGGGCAGGTGTTCCCACAGAGCCTCCTGGTCTTCGGGCGTCGGCAGGAAGTGGCAGCCGGGGCAGTCCTTCTGCGATAGGAAGAGCGAGTAGACGCAGACGTCGCAGGTGACCTTGAGACCCTTCTGCTTGCCGAGGGTGATCAGCTTGATGTCGTCCTTGGTGGTCACGGCCGACACGTGGATGCGGCGATTGTGCAGGCTGGCCAGGAGCAGGATGGAGGCCAGGTCGGTCGTGCGGGCATCCGTGATGATGGGCTTGTGCTTGGGCCAGGCGTCGAAGTGAGCCTCAACCTGGGTGACCTTGCTGATATTGTCCGACAGGTGGTTGAAGGGGATAAAAAGAGAGCCGACCTCACCGGCGACACTGCTGATCTGGTTAGCATTGTCAGAGGTGGCCGTGATGGACAGGTTGAAGTCGCAGTAGACGCCGCGCTTGCTGTTCTGCTGGGCCACCTTGAGTGACTTGACGTCCGAGATCGAACCGTCCTTGCTGACCGGCATAATCCTAATCATGCTGTAGCCAGCAGCGATCGAGGCCTGGGTGACGCGCTGGAGATCTTCCGAATCGCGAGTGACCAGGCCGGGAACAAAGGCGGCGATGTTGATCAAGCCAGGCAGCTGGATGGTGCGATGGCTGGTATGGTAATCGCGCATGCTGATCTCGAGGTCGTAGTGCCGGGCAAGCGCCTCGATGAGGATCTTGGCGTTCTTGACGTTGGTGACCAGCGGGATCTGGTAGTCAACGGCCATACGACGAGTCTTGTAGCCCTTGCTGACGTAGTTGGCCGGGCGGCGGTACTTGTTGTTGGACGGCAGGTTGATGTACAGGTCGATCATGTTGTTTGCCAGGTGCTGGGTTAGCGAGTACTCTGACTTCTGGTCATCCTCGTCCTTGCCGAGCACCTCGAGGTACTGAACCTGGATGCCGTGGCTGCCGAAGAAGTCGGCGGTACCGGCCGTGGCGAACAGCTTGAAGCCCATCTCCTGCAGCTTGCGGACCGAGGGAAGCATCTCTTCCTTGTCTTTGTACGAGCCGATCGATAGGAGAATGTTCTTCTGCGGGATCTTGAAGCCGGTCGACAGTAGAGCCTTCAGGTAGGCCTCATACTTGTCGGCACCGAAGCAGGCGACCTCACCAGTGGAAGCCATCTCGACACCCAAAACGGGGTCGGCACCCGACAGACGCGAGAAGGAGAACTGGGGCACCTTGACACCGATGCAATTGGCCGGACGGTCGATGGGCGGGTAGGCCTCGAATGGGATGCCCATGATAGCCTTGGTGGCCATCTCAATGAGGTCGACGCCCATGACCTTGGACACGAAGGGGAAGGAACGCGAGGCACGGACGTTGCACTCGATGACCTTAATGTCGTTATCTTTGGCGATGAACTGAATGTTAAAGGGGCCAGTGACGTTAAGAGCGGCGCCTATCTTGCGGGTGGCCTCCTCGATGCGCTGGATGGTCGTCTGCGACAAGTCCTGAGGCGGCAGGATGAGCGTGGCGTCACCCGAGTGCACACCGGCGTTCTCGACGTGCTCCGAGATGAAGTGGCCGACAAGCTTGCCATCCTTGGCAACAGCGTCCATCTCGATCTCCTTGGCGTTCTCGATGTACTTGGTGATGACAACAGGATGCTCAGGAGAGACCTCGGCAGCCTGCTGCAGGTAGTTCTCCAGGTCGCCCTCAGAGTAGACCGTGTTCATGGCAGCGCCAGAGAGCACATAGGACGGGCGCACCAGCACGGGGTACGAGACCTTCTGACAGAAAGCCTTGGCCTCCTCGAAGCTGGTCAGCTCCTTCCAGGTCGGCTGGTCAACGCCGATGCGGTCAAGCATGCGCGAGAACTTGTAACGGTTCTCGGCCGTGTCGATCATCTCGGGAGAGGTACCGAGGATCTTGACGCCCGCGCGGTGAAGGTGAAGGGCGATGTTGTTGGGGGTCTGACCGCCCATGGCGCCCAGGACACCGGACGAACCCTCGAGTTCGTAGATATCGAGAACAGTCTCCAGGTTGATGTTCTCGAAATAAAGCTTATCGGCCTCGTCGAAGTCGGTCGATACCGTTTCGGGGTTAAACTTTTTTTTTGGCCAGTTAGCATTTCTGCTGTCTTCTAAAACTCTAGGCAGGGGACACTCACGTTGACCATCATGGTCTTGAAGCCGTTCTCACGAAGGGTGCGGATGGCGCGGACGGAGCACCAGTCGAACTCAACCGAGGAACCGATACGGTATACACCAGAACCCAGGACCATGACACCGTGGTCGTTGAAGGTCACGTCATGCTCGCTGGCATTGTACGTCAGGTACAGGTAGTTGGTGTAGGCCGGGAACTCGGCAGCAACGGTATCGATCTGCTTGACGAAGGGGACGATGCCAGCATCCAGACGCATGCTGCGCACAGCAAGCTCGGTCATGCCCCAGAACTTCGCGATTTGTCGGTCGCAGAAGCCGAGCTGCTTGGCCTGGAGCAGCAGACCAGGGCGCAGCGGCTCTCCAGCAGCCTTGAGCTCCTTCATCTTCTTAGCGAAGTCGCTCAGGCCCTTGAGGCGGTCGAGGAACCACTTGTCGATCTTGGTCAGCTCCCAGATGCGCTGGACCGAGTAGCCGGCAGCCATGGCGTTGGCGATGGCGAACAGGCGCTGGTCAGAGGGCGTCTGCAGCTCATCGTCAATCGACATGAGCGCGGGCGTCTCGTTGAAGCCGAGGTTATGATAATCGATAGCGCGGATGGCCTTCTGAATGGCTTCCTCGAAGGTCCTGCCAATGCTCATGACTTCACCAACTGACTTCATGGACGAGCCCAGCTGAGTCGACACGCGGGTGAACTTCTTCAGATCCCAGCGCGGCATCTTAACCACAACGTAGTCGAGAGAAGGCTCGAAGCAAGCGCAGGTGACCTTGGTCACGCTGTTCTTGATGTCCTTCAAGGGGATGCCGAGACCCAGCTTGGCAGCGATGAAGGCCAAGGGGTAGCCGGTAGCCTTGGACGCCAGGGCCGAGGAACGGGACAGACGGGCGTTGACCTCGATGATGCAGTACTCCTTGGAGAAGGGATTGAGCGCATACTGGATGTTGCACTCGCCAACGACACCAAGGTGGCGGATGACGTTGATGGCCGTCGTCCGCAGCATGTTGTAGTCCTCATCCGACAGGGTCTGCGAGGGAGCAACGACGATAGAGTCGCCGGTATGAATACCGAGGGGATCGAAATTCTCCATGTTGCAGACAGTAATGCAGTTGTCCTGGCAGTCGCGCACGACTTCGTACTCGATCTCCTTCCAGCCTTTCATACTGCGCTCGATCAGCACCTGAGGGCTGGCGGCAAAGGCCTTGTTGCATAGGTCAAGGAGCTCGGCCTCATTGTTGGCGAAACCGCTACCCAGGCCACCGAGTGCATAAGCAGCACGCACGATGACGGGGAAGCCGATCTCTTTGACCACACGGAGGGCCTCCTCGACGTTATTGGCAGCAGCCGACTTGGCGCACTTTTCACCGATGGCCTCCATGGCCTTGGCGAAGAGTTCGCGGTCCTCAGTCGTGATGATAGTCTCGATGGGAGTACCCAAGACCTTCACGCCAAGCTTCTCGAACTCGTCCTTGAGCTGGATACCAACCTGCAGGGCGGTTTGACCACCAAAGGTGCAGTAGATGGCATCCGGCCTCTCGTAGACGATGACCTTGCGCACAAAGTCGGCATTGACCGGCAGGAAGTAGACCTTGTCGGCGAGACCCTTGGAAGTCTGGATGGTGGCGATGTTGGGGTTAATGAGGACAGTGTAGATACCTTCCTCCTTCAGTGCCTTGATCGCCTGGCTACCCGAGTAGTCGAACTCGCCGGCCTGGCCGATGCTGAGACCACCACTACCCAGGATGAGCACCTTCTTGACCGAGACGCGAGGGTTGCGCCGGTTGTTCTCCTCAACAGTGCCACCGGGGAACTCGACGCCCTTCTGCAGCAGGCTGCTGTCAGCCGCGCACTTGGCGACGGTCTGAATGAACACGTCGAAGAGAAACTCGGTATCCCGGGGTCCCGGCGTGCTTTCGGGATGGAACTGCACGCTGAAGTGAGGGCGATCAACATGCATAATACCCTCGTTGGTGCCATCGTTGGCGTTGATGAAGAGCTCCTTCCAGCCCTCGGGCAGAGTGGCAGCATCGACGGCAAAGCCGTGGTTCTGAGAGGTAATGTGGCACTTGCCCGTCACCATGCTAGTGCACGGGATGTTGTGGCCACGGTTGCCGAACTTAAGCTTGACCGTCTTCGCGCCAGCAGCCCGAGCCAGAAGCTGGTGGCCCAGGCAAATGCCGAAAATGGGTGTACGGTTGGCCTCAAGAGCCTTGCGCACACGCTCGACGGTCTCCTGGACGATAGCTGGGTCACCAGGACCGTTCGAGATGAACAAACCATCGTAAGTCTCGTCCAGGAAGTCGTAGTCCCAGGGGCAGACCAGGACCTCGACACCGCGCTTCAGGAAGCAGCGCAGCTGGTTGTACTTCATGCCGACATCGACGCAGAGGATGCGCAGGGGACGCCCCGAGGGATGCTTCAGGGCGGTGCCCTCCGGGGGTTTGTAGAGCTTGGGAGTCTTGATGGACACTATTCAATAAGAATACACGGTCAGCAAGAACAGGCTCTTATTATTGCGACTTGGGGCGCTCGCGGCAGATCAAGAAACTCGCCTTCGGCCACCAAGTTCTTCTTGTTGGGGTTAACCCAGTCGACAGTCTCAAAGTACGGCCTCCAGTCGCCGGGGATGCCGGGCAGCCCAGCACCCTCCGCATGGCCATTGACGCCGTTGGGCAGGCCACGCCTCTGCTGGAGCATGCGGCCCAGCATGCTACCCTTCTCGCGGATGCGCTTCGTCAGGGCGCGCGTGTCAACGCCGTACATGGCAGGTATGCCCTGCTCCTTGAGCCATGTGCCGAGCGAGGACTGCGCCAGGAAGTGGGAGAAGTCCTCGCCAGCGTATGTGGCTGTCACAAGGCCGGCGATATGGATCTTGTTGGACTCGAAGTGGGCGGGGAGGTCGCGTAGGATGTCGTCCAGCGCGTCCCTAGGCGGCACGCCGTAGTTGCCAACCAGGGGGAAGGTGATGACGAGGATCTGGCCGCGGTAGGAGGGGTCCGTCACCGACTCAGGATAGCCCACCATACCCGTCTGGAAGACCAGCTCGCCAGAGATACTTTTGGGGGCGCCAAAGCTGTAGCCCTGGTAGACCGAGCCGTCCTCCAGTTCCAGGGTGACCAGCCTCTGAGTGTCGGCGGCATCAATGTAGGCCGTCGCGGGCCTATACACTGTTTCGGCGGCCATTTTTGATGGTGACTGATTAATGGAAGGAAAAGATTGTTATTTTTTTATGTGTTGGAAATGGAGAAAGGGAAAAAAAAAGAGAAATTGAGGAGATGAGGAATGAAGAGTCAAAGCGATCGATCTGAGGAAGATGCACGTGCTCTGAGCTCTTGTGATGCAGTGCCCCGAGAGAGGATGATGGATGGAGGGGCAGGACTGTCCTGTGATCGGTGTAAGTCAGAGAGGGAAGCCGGATGGTCAAGGAGTCGGCTTGGGATGATGTCAGAGCTGAAAGAAGTCGCTTCGTCCTTTCGCCCTCGTTCAGTCCAATATCCAGCAGCGCCGACTCTTCTTCTGTCCGTCAGAAGAAGAAGGGAGGGAAAAAATAATGTGATAGAAGAGCAAAAGAACAGGCCAGCGACGTGACGAAGAATTTGTACGACCCCGCCACAGCAACGTCGGCCGTGTCAAAGCTTCAATTTTTTTTTTGTTCCATCCGCACCCACACCGCGATGTTGAGCGCGGGGCCCGCAGGGCGAGTGAATTGGACGCTGCCGAGACCGACAAGAATTTTGTCGTTGACCAATGATATTACGCCGATTGGCTGTGGCGGGGTATCTTGGCGGGGGTTTGGGCAGTGGCGTGCAGGGTTCATGCAGACTCAAGGTTTCGGCTGCCGCGAGATCGGATTTTTCGCACCCTCCTCCAGCCGCATCGCGACCCAAATTCTTTCGATGACTTCACAGCTCTGAACGATCGAGATCGCCAAGTCAAATGAAAAAATTCAAATTGGCCGAGCAAAGAGCTTCACAACGGACCCCAACTTGGGCTTTTGACCAACCGGAAAATCAAATGAAAAAAGCTTCCGGTATATATGTTTCGATCCACCCAGGGGTCGAACCTGGAACCTCCTGATTACTCGGATCAGATCGAGATCCTCACCGTAGTCAGACGCTCTGCCATTGAGCCAGCGGACCTGCTATGCTTGTTGGTAGGCTGCTGTCCTATCACATTTTTCAACTGCAGCCGTTTTGGTGTGGAGCTGCTCCAGGTCGCTCTCTGGTAGATCTTTAGTGGGGGCGGGGCCGTCGTTATCGCGGCTCAGTGCGCCGATCCAGTTGACCGGTTGGCTGCTGGCGAACTGCCCCGCAGAAACCAAGAAACAAGCGAACCAAAGCGAACTAGATACCAAACCAAAAAGCGAAAACCAAGAAACGCGGCTTATAACTGTTCTGATTGGTGAAACGGCCGAAAAGCATCTGAAATTGGAAACGGCAGGGCCGTTGCAACGGGCTGTCATTTGGGCTCTCACTTGCAGCAACGGCCCAGGGTTGGCAGTTGCCAGTTGCAACATCAGAGGGCTTTCACAGCGTGGTCTTACCCAACAGCAAATCTCAACCTTGGAGCGCAACAGCCAGACAGGGTTTTCAGGGCATGCTCGACCACGGAACGGCTCACAGGCTGGGCTCATGTCATTCGATGGGCACACCAAGACTCGCACCCCACGAATACTCGACGAGCCACGAGCCGCAGTTCGCGAGCCACTGGCGACAACCCGGCGTATCTGGCTTTTCTCAACATCGGATGCTCCAGGAGCGGAACGAAGCTCCTGCGCCAACCTGAAGTCAACAAGTGCGCCCACTGGCTGCTCGCTAGGTGCTTGGCTCGCTGTCCATCATCTTGCATGCAAGCCTAAGCCGATCGCAGCAGCATCGCAGGCGCAGGATCGCAACTGGGGGGCGATCGTGAGATCCATCATACTCCATGGGTGCCCAGCAGCCCAGCACGCTTGGCAGCGCTGTGGATACAGCCATCTTCTGATTTCCGGCACCCGTCATCCCACTTCATTTCCACTGCTGGATGTTCTTGCCAAATCCTTCCGCGGCATCCTGACTCGCATCGGCATCTTAAGATCGCAGTGGTTGCGCGAGTCGGGATGTTGCTGCTGTTGCCAAGGCAGTGGCCGCACCGAACGGCACAGAGTTGCGATGGGAGGGTATAACAGCGCTGAATTTAGCGTTCGGATAGAGATTGGGAGTTGGGACGGATTTCCTTTTTGGCGATGCCGCTACCCCACCATCCCATCCATTCAGCCCTCCATCTCATTCTTACTTACACAGTATGGATGTGCAGCGGAGACGGACGGGTATTACGTGAAGAGAACAGCTCACTGGCCAGTTGAGCGGGAATCTTGCGCATCGCGATGAGGAGCAGAGGACGACGCTGCGTAACTCTTCGCTGAGCTTCGATGAGACAGCATCGGATGCCACATGCCACGGGCAACATAGAGGACAGGGCAGCAAGCGACGAACTGCCGGCTGTAGTGGCTCTGCGAGTCAGCGTCGTAAAGTCGTGTCGTGCCGTGGGCCGTTCGGCGGGTGTCGTAGATATCGATACCTATTGATATCTGTCTTGCACGCGCTGGCTCAGCGCTCACTCACCCCAGTGTAAAGAACTCAAGGGACATGCAGTAAGTGCTTCGTCGCACCGTGCGATATCGGATGAGAAACGGTCGAGTAGAATATGCTGCATCCCGCGCGTCATTGTGGATCGCTGCGCACATGGCTTGCGAGATGCGCGCCCCCCCCCCCCCCTTTCCTAGTTCTCCCTGTGCCCTGGGAAGCTGCACGCGAATCTGGTTGTCCTCCGAGAAACAGGAAACACGCTCACGTCTCACCGTTCGCCGAGCGTGCGAAGATGCGAGTGCCCGGCTTGTGTGTGGTGGTACGGGGCACGGAAGCCGGTCATGGGGCCGGCGTGGGGAAGGTCGCTTAGGGGTCAGCGATGGCACCCCTCATAGGCCCATAGGGCGATGAATGGCGAAATGACGGGCATGTCTCAAGCCAAACTGGTGCAAGCGGGTTGGGGTTGGCTGCGAGCCGGTTGCAGCGTGTATCAGTGGGAGGGGCACCATGGCTAGCATGGCTGGGCATAGCCAGCATGGGTTGTATGTGGTGCCGTCTGGTTGCTATCTGAGAGTCCACGGTGTGTGTCTGGCAGATGCTGATCTCTATGCTGGCACCAGCAGTTCATGGCGGAGTGGCAGCCGTGGCATCACTCTGGGATCACTAAAGACTGCTCGCATGCTTCTCTGCATTGCTCCTACTACTGCCGCATGCCGCATTCCGTCCGGGAGACGCAGAAGTCCAACAGACAAGCAGACGCTAGGCTGGCGGTACAGCGGCGCGATGTGATGGGCCCATCATGGAGAATCGCCGGGCAGAGACAGTCCTGGAACTGAGGAGTCTGTCTCCATCGCCCACCCAGTTCAGCCAGTCCCAGGCAGCCTCCTCCTCGCCAACATCTCTTGGCGGCACCCACTCTGACCCCGCGATTCGCGATTCGTCACTGCGACCATGTGCAGCATGCTGACCCGTTCGGCACCCTCATTCGCCGGCTCTATGCAAGGACAACAGAACAGGACTCTGGCGGTGTAGTGATTCTCGTCTTGGCCAAGGCATGTGCACGGGCTGGAAGGCAGGCCCGGAAGGGGGCAGAAGGGCGCAGAAGATGATATATGTGCGCGAGGGAAGCCGGCGACGCGGTCGAGTCTGCTCATCAGCTGTTGTTCTGTTTCGTTCCTCCCTCTCCTGGCCCCCCCCCCCCAGCAAATACCCCCATGCTCCCGGGCCTCTCGACCGTGAGTGCAACACCCGACAAGCAGCGTCTGGGCCAGATTAGCGCGGTTGACAGGGGTCCCGGTCTGGGCAACCAGGGTTCACGGTACCGGGTGGATGCCAGGTCCCCTGCTGACCCCCTAGCTCCTCCTTATCGCAGCGGATCGACCAATCGTCTGTCACTGACCATCGGCTGGCCACTCATCAGTCGACTCGGGCGATCGAGGCGGGTCCCTTTATTAGTGGCCTAGCATCCAGGTCCCAGAGCGACTCCCCTCCCCGTCGTTGTCATCACCTCTTGCCGGTGCACATTGCGCTGTATGCGCATCATTTCTTATATTCTTGGGCCATTTTGGAGGATCGGGCACGTGTGGAAGGGCAAGATGCCTTACTAGTGGAGATCACAACGGCTGTCAAGGGAAAGTGAAGTGTATAATTCGGAGGACTTTGTGCTTCTGATGCCATCGCCTGTGATCTTCGCTGGGATCTTCGCTGGGATCTTCCACGTTTCGGACTGAAGAGGCAGAGTTCGAGAACCCAGAGGCCGAAAAGGAGACCGCCGACAGACCACAGGCGGCCAGGACAAGAAAAAGAAATTATTCCCAAGCAAAAAAAAGTCATCTCCAAGAATTCTCGACCTAACCACTCCCCCCGCTTGTTCGCTCGCTCGCCGACTCTCTGTCGGCCCTCCATCGACACTTGCTTACATATACACACCGACAACAACCCTCCAAAACCACATACCACACCGACTCGACCAACACCCTCCATGGCGTTTGTACGCCGCCATTGACTCGATCAGAGAATGTTGTCTGCCCTCCTGCGACCCTTCCAGGGCAGCAGCCGCTCGCGCATTGACGACGACCACGCCGACCTCGCTGACCTCGAACAGCACGCAACTTCTCGCCCCTCGCTCACCGAGTACCGAAACCATCCTCATGCTACTGCCGACTTCACCGAGGCGGACGATGACGACGATGAATCCAACGATGGCAATCCTCAGTCGCGCTTCCCTCGGAGTCGTCGCCCCGGCGATGACGACAATGGATTCGGACGCTCTTCGGGGCTTTTGCCTCTATTTTCTGACCACCACCTAGGTGAGTTGTCATAAAGCATCGATTTTTCCGAGTTTGTTCCCGCTCTAACAACCGTCTCTACTCAGACTCGATTCCCATTTACTCGACCACTCACCAGATTCGCCTTCTGGTCCAAAGCAGGGCAGAGACCACACTGACATGGGAGCAGCTCAAGTCGCCCCAAGTGTCACAATTCCTTATCAAGCCCATGCAACAGCAGATACGCGCTCAGTACTTCTCGCCGGGAACTGTATATTGCCTGATGGCAAATTGTCTGCAGTTCGAGAAGGAAAGCCATCTCTATCCGGGCAATGCCAGCACCAATGCCACGCGAGCCAAGGTCTGCGAGCTGCTGGCCATTAAACTCCTTCGCGAGTACTCTACCCGCGAGCTGATCGATGCCCTTTGCTACGAGTTCTGGCCGCTCCAAGGCTGCCCCGGCTCGCAGACGCCGCTCTCTTTCTCCGGAGGGAGTAGATCCATGAACGTAGACCTAAGAAGCTCGACCCTCGAGATCGCCATCCGCGCCTCGGCCAAGCACTTCCTGTCCCATCCCTTGGTCATGCAACAGATCGAGGCCATCTGGAGCGGCGCCATCAGTTTCCATCCTTCCTTGCGTGAAGTTCAGCGCCAGAGCTCCCATTCCAGCGGCCAGTCGCGCCGCCAGAGTACTGTTCGCACGCCATTGCTCGCCGACCAACCCCCTAAGGAGGACTTCATCCGACTGCGGACACTCGACCCTACCCATCGCTCAGCGGTTCTGTACGATCCGCGGACGGCTTCCCCATTTAAGCTCTCGAGGTTGCGTGTCCCACGATATCGTCGCCTGTTCTCCACCGGCTCGCTAGTCGTTCTCATTTGCCTGTACCTCGCTGTGCTAGGCCAGCGCTCAAGCAAGATCACAGGGCTGGAGCTTCTGTTCTGGTTCTGGAGTGCCGGCTTCATGCTGGACGAGATCGTCGGGTTCAGCGAGCATGGCGTCTCGTTCTATGTCATGAGTTTCTGGAACATTTTTGACCTCGGCAGCCTGTTACTCTTGATTGTGTACTACTGCATGCGCATCTACGGTGTGTTTCTGCTGGACCCTCACCAGTGGAATCAGAATGCGTATGACGTACTTGCACTTAACGCAATCTTGCTGCTGCCCCGGATCTTCAGTGTCCTGGATCATAGCAAGTATTTTTCGCAGCTGCTGATCGCATTTCGCCTGCTGGCGTTGGACCTGGCTGCAGTGTTTTTGCTTTGCCTGGTTTGCTGCAGCGGGTTTTTCGTCTTCTTTATTTTCTCCAAGGGCCGGAAGGACCCATGGGATCACGCTTACAGCATTTTCCAGATTCTGGTGGGATACACACCAGCTGCATGGGAGATGTGGCCCTCCTACGGCTGGCTGGGCAAGGCTCTCATGGGCTTGTTCTTAATTGTTGGCCACTTTGTGATCCTGTAAGCGCTCCCTGGCCAATGATGTGTTGAAGACGACGCTAATCTTACGAGCAGGACAATTCTTGTTACCGTCTTGGCCAACTCGTTCATGAATATCGCGTCCAAGACCAACCAGGAGTATCAGTAAGTACGCCGACCCTACCTCAACCCGACTTTTGCTAATGGCAAGGTTCCTTTTTGCTATCAACGCCATCTCCATGGTCAAGAACGACGCGCTCTTCTCTTATGTGGCGCCCGGCAACCTGTTTGCCTGGCTGTTAATGCCCCTGCGGTACTTCATGCCAGTCGACCAGTATGTTTGGCTGAACCGCATGGTGATTAAGGTCACCCACTTCCCTCTGCTGTTTTGCATCTACTTCTATGAGAAGTATATTCTCGCAGCAGACATGTACGAGGCGACAGACCTTGTGGACAAGCCGAGACACAACCGCGCTTCGACCGTCCACGACCTTGTTAGCCGGTCGGCCTTCTTTAGCCCCAGCATTCGTGTCCGTGAGGATTCGGTGTTTGGCTATCAGAAGGATCGCGTGCTTGACGAGGTCTTTCGTCGCGCGCCTGATGTGCGTACTCAGCGGCGCAACGAGAGGCGCAAGACGCAAAATAATGCCATCCGTACTTGGATGGACCAACAAGAGGCTGGGGGCTACACCTCGCCTCATAGGAATTATTCGACCATGGACCGAGTCGTTTCGACTGGCTGGGAGAGGCGGTTCAGCATGAGCCGCGAGCGGCCTTCGAGGATGCACAGGATTTATTCCGACATGCGGTCGGCTGCTAGCGACCCGGCCGAGTTCATCTCTGATGCGCCGTATCCGACTGCCTCTGAAGTCTCTAAGGAAGATGGCAGCGCCGCTCGCAGGGACTATGCCACTGACACTAAGGAGGTCACGGATGGTGATGCCGACGGCGACGACGAGCTTGTCACCAATGATGAGGACGAGGAGGACATGGTGACGACCAACAACAACGACGAGACCGGCACCGCGCAAGAACATGCTGTTGAGACCGAATCGGAGTACTTCACGACGCCGGTTAACCAGCGCTCCGGTAACCTCGAACCCTCATCCCTCGATTCTCCACGCCCGCCGACGTCACGCCGAGTCCCCCTGCACACGCGGACGCTCTCTTCGAACACCATTCTCTTTATGGGGGAAGAGGATGTCAAACAACAGCAACAAGGACACAGCGACTCGTCCGCGTCGGGCTGGCCTGCCCCCCCATCCCGGCCTGTGAACCGTCCCATGCGCAGCAATACCCTCGGTGATGGTCGTCGTTCGCCCCGGCGTGCTCTTTACCTTTCCCAGCAACGTCCACGCTCCATGGTCTACACTGGTTCATCCGGACCAGTCTTTGACCTTTCTCGCACGGCGCCGAACCGTCCCGGCCTAACCCTCGATACCAACATTACCAATACCACATCTCCATCCTACTATTCCTACACCTCTCACTACTCCTCTCGCCACGGCCACTACGACTACCATTCATACCACGCCCGGCCCTTACCCCGGCGCAAGTCTCTTGCCGATTTGATTCCTTCGCCGGAGTCCGTGATTCATGCACCACTCGGCAACGTCCCCTCAGACTACACCAACGCCGGCAGCGGCGGTAGTGGAGGCAGCAGGGGCATGAGCAGCAAGATGATGTGGGCCAAGATGAAGTCGCTGGAAGCCAGTCTGGGGGGTATTGCGCGTGAGATGAGGTCGTTGAGAAAATCGGTGCCAAATACGGCGCATAATTCGGGGGAGGAGGAAGATGGATTGAGAAGGGGGGCATTTATTGACGAAGAAGAGTTGGAGGAGGGGCTGGTTGCCGGAGGTGGGTCGGGAGGAGGTTCCGTGAGTGGGAGTGGTGGGGATCGCAGGAGGCGATATCATTGGCGGCATCAACAGTATCATCAGGAGAGACAGCAGCAACAGCAACAGCAAAGGTTGCCGTTCCCGGGGTCGGATCCTTCTTCGACAGCGTCAGTTGTCGGAGGGTCGGGGGCCTTCATTGAGGTTGCGAGGGAGAAGGATCGGGATAGAGAACGGATGGGCGGCTTAAGGAGGTCGCGGACCCTGCCAAAGAGAATTCACCACCATCATACATCGTCGCAATACCTCTCTCAGCAGCAGCAGCAGCAGCAGGCTGGTCCTTGTCCTTCCAGTGCTACGGGTGTCTCGAGCGGGAGAAGATCAAGCGTCTTCCGTAGTCCGCGCAGCGCAGCAGGTAGCTCAACGACGACCCCAAGTACGGCGATCAACACTGCTGCTGCCTCTGGGCTGGGCATTGCCGCGTCCAGCAGCAGTCGAAAGGGCAAGGAGAAGGAGGTTGGTGGTCCGGATCCTGTAGATGAGATGGCGCCTTTGCTGCCTCCACCGGCCATGGCGACAACCACAGAGGATGAGAGTGAGGATGTCAGTGAGGGTCATGCTGTCTCGCCTGGTGATACGTCGATGTTGGGATCATCGGCACGGGGGAAGAGGACGAGGAGGAGGAGAAGGGGGAGCGTTGCGTCGCTTTGATGGAGATGATAGGTAATGATGAGAAATGGGAAAAGAGGAGGAATGATGGATTTGTGAAGGAAAATGGAATATTTTTTGGCGTTTGGCGGCGGCAGATGGGGGTTAGGTTAGGTTAGGTAAAAGGTTAGGTAAAGTTCGTGATCGGCGCGGACAGACGGACGAACGGATGGATGGATGGATGGATGGGATGGGATGGGCCGATGGTCTGATGAGATGGGTTAGGAGATGGGAGGCCGAATTGTGTTATTACCCTCTTACTACTTTCATACCTGTGCCTTCTTCTAGTGTATGGATGGACTGGACAGGACGGACGGCGTCAATGGTCTGGAAAGTTTCGTGGATCTTTAGGGATCTGGTTGCGGTTGGGGTTGCATTGGGCGGCGTTTATGGGATACCTACCTACCTTATCTATCCGATATGGATTGTATCGTGTCGAGGGAAGGAAAATAGTCGCGGGCGATACCAAAACAAACAGCAACTTAGTTATTTTGTTACCCTCCCAGCTCTGATGTGGATGGATATGTGTGAAGGGAAATCGATGTGCTGTGGTGTTTGTGGAGTGGTAATTTGAGATCATGAGGATCTTTGGCAGCGGTGAGAGACTTGCCGGACAACAGGACGATGGCTCTCGTGACGGAAAATGTAACTATGGTGGAATGGTGTATAGATATATTGTCCGAGGTAATCATTTTGTCGAAAGGGAATGCAAGCATTCGAGTTTGGCTTCAACAAGGTACCTGGTGATATGAACCATGCAACGACCACGACCACAGAAGGACAGTGAAGACTGATGCTATTCAAAACCAAGACAAGTAAAACGATAGAATTGGGTATCAAGAAGCTTTTTGGATTCCTTACACCAGCGCCGTGGATAGTAGTCATCATGATGGCCGAGCGAGCAGCCGGTTGAAGTACACCACCGACCTGAACCATTCTCCTAGAATGGCCCGACCATCATGCATAAGAAGCATGCCCTCGACCCAGCGCATGTTACCCCAATGTCTGTCTAACTACCGCCTTTTCATTCATCCCATCCGAGCCATCACCAGCAAACAATGCTTTCCCTCCAAGACAGCCAGGTGGTCTCTCCTCTCGTTCCAACCATACCATCCCCTTCTCCCGCCCAACTTTACAAAATTGGCGGTTCCCGGCCCAGGGTAAATAGCTTAGATACCCCCACCGCTCCGGTCAACACTCACATACAAATTTCCTGGAATGGCCGCCTGCCGTCGCTCGTTCTCGTACATCTGCCAGCGCATGTACCGGATGAAGCCGTATGCTCCCGCCCAAGTGAGGGTAAGTGTTGTTAGGTAGGGATGACGGCTTTAGCACAGTTAGCTTGGTCTTATCTTTTTGTTTATCGGTCTTATGGTGCGAGAGGGAGTCAAGAGAGGGAAAGGAATGAAGAGTGAGTGTGTGTGTTGGGGCAGAGTTGATGAGTAGGACCAGGGTAAAGAACAGAGACATACCGAGGCCAGGACCGCTGATGCGCCGGGCCTGGAGTCGGCATGGGGGGGTGGTGGGCTGTTTGGGATACGAGCCGGGCCGATGAGGGAAGGCGGGCGAAGAGAGAGTCCGGGGCAGCAGCCCGGGGTGTGGTGTGTTGAGAGACCGCACTAACAAGACGGGGATGCGGAGACGGCAAGGTGGGGAGGAGGCGGCTTTGGCCTGACATGGTTCCAAATACAATTGACTTCTTAGAAGTTGTGTGTTGGACTTTTGGCTTTTACAACTGTTGAAGGAAGAGCTTGAGAGGTGGGAAGAGATAGACAGAAAAGGCAAGGCAGGTAGCAGCGGTTTATAAGACGAGAGGAGAGGGGATGTGGGACGATGCTAACAACACATGAACATTGTTGACCTTAGCTCGGGCTTGTTTTTTTTTTTTTTTTTTTTTTGGCACCAATGCATGATGATGTCTTTGGATGTGATTCATTGCAGGGAGATTGGCCGTGCTACAAGTTGATTTATTTTTTTTAAAAAAAATCTAGCTTCCGCATGGATGTGCAGAGATTTGTTGGGATCGGGAAGGACTATTTGTAGATCTGTGCTAGTTTATTCTCTCTCAAGAAACTGATTTGATGCAGATAGGACGAGATATCAACATCCTCCTCGTGAAAGTCTTGGCTGGTGCCGTTGAAACGGTCAGGGAGAGCATATCTTGTTTCATCCTCGGGAACAACAGGAATGTATTGTTGACGTGGGATTCCTGAAGCGGAAAGCCGAGCTTGATGGCGAGCACCCGATTGGCTAGGAGTATGAAAGGCGAGATAAGGGTTAGCGTTTACAACAACCCCCAAAGATACGAGGGTTAGAGTTACTACCTCTCATCCGGGATGCTGGCAACGGCTGCTAAATCGCAAACGTCATGCTCGATTCAAAAAAGAGGACGCTCAGCTTCGCTGAATAGGTGTCTTATCTACCTTCAAAGACCGCAGATCAAAATAGAATACTGTCTCTCTTTATCTTCTTCATGGATTACCAGAGAAAACCAGCTCATGCTGGTATCTCTGTTCACTACGTCAACAGCTCAGAGCTTGATGCTTGTATTCTGCGACCTGCGGAGCTCACTTGCTCCTGGTAAACCGCAACTCATTCTAGACAGGACAGGATCTGTCATAGACCACTGAGGTTTACCCCATGAGCAGAAGCCGCGTGGAGTTTAAAGCATTCGTCTTCTGTACAGCAGTTAACGAGATGCAAACAGAGTCGAGAGCCATATTTCTGAAAGAAACATTGAAGGACACACATGGCTTGCTGCAGAGTCTAGAACACGACGGATAAAAAGCTGCTGCCTGGTTACTAGCAAGGTGGGATCGTGGGCTGTATCCCGATAGGTGCCAGAAACCTGGTGCTTTGTGATTGGATGCGGAGCGACGGTAGTCAGGCTCACTTTGTCTCGTCTGACATGCTGGACCTCTATTATCGTCCTATTGCCGATCATATTTTGCTCCTTTCTACCCAGATATAACCACTTGTGGTGTCAATGTCCAAATAAAAACTACTAGTATCAGCTCGTAACACTTGACTCAATCAACGTGGGCCCTTTGGGAATCTTTCCAGGGCAGATTGGAATATACCCCTCCCCATGAAGCGAGAACAAAGCACAAGTGTCGAGAAGTCAAGTTGGTAAGGCTGAGTCTAAGTTTTCAGCGCAGCTCGGAGTTGCTCGGTTGCCTAGATTGTTTTGTATTTGCCCTCGTTTTCTCCTTTCCTTCTTTTCTATCGTGCCGTCAAACGTTTTCTTCCTTTTCTTCTTTCCCTCCACAACAGCTGGTTTGGGCCGGTTTGGATCCAAAAGCGCCATTGGAAGTTGATTGATCTAAGAGTCCCAACAGCGCCGGCCTCTCGGGATTATACTCATATCTCTTTCGGGCTGCGAGCTGAACCCTTGTCAGCTATTTCGATCAATCCCTCCAGATTCAAGTCCCCTATGTAGGAGCCAGATCGAGATTCGTCGAATACTCCCACTCAGGGTGACTCTCTTGCATTTACAGTTTAACTACTTGCTCTCGACAAATACAAAAGATCAATCCAGCGTAGTCTTAACCGATCCGCCAGGATGGCCACTTCTCCTACCCAAGACCGCATGGGGGAGCCTCGTGAGCCCATAATGTCCTCCGAGAGAGCTAAGAAGGACACTCTTCTCTGGGAACCAATCCGCTATGCCATAGCCACGCACATGACGGACGTCGCGTCCATGAAGCAGCCCATCTCGGGCCCCGAGGATGGCGATGTCCTTGCGCTCGTGTACTTCCCGAAGGAACCAACAAAACTCGCCCGCGACGGCAAGCCGTGGCCCGAAGTCATCAAGATCCGGATGAAGTCCGAGCGGCTGCTGTCTCTGGACTCACCCAAGATCAAAGAGATGCTGGGTGACCGGATGCAGGCTCGCTTCCGCCGACGGTTGAAGAATGGGCCTGCTCTAAAACGAGTTCAGGTACATCATCGACTTTACTCCCCCGGTCGAGGGCCAGGAGCTGGCGGAGATCACCGCGGCCCTGTGGCTACCCAAGATGGTGAAGCTCTGGTGGCTGGCCGGCATGTTTATTCCCGATGAGATCCTTGAGGTGCCGCATCTGCGCGGGCTGCCGGATTTCCCTATGCGACCGCTCGCCAACCGCCCTGTTGGACCCCTCCTGGTGCTGGGCCATGATGATGTGTGCAGGAGCAGGCAGTGTGTTTCGAGACCGCCGAGCGTGATGGCTCCTGATAGAGAGACTGAGCTTGTCACGCTGGGTATCACGAACACCACAGACTGGAAGGCGAAGCAGGGTGTGCCGGGGATTGTGGATGACGACGAGGCGAGGGATGATGATCGCGGTGGGTATATGGTGCGCTGGAGGAGGGTTGAGGATTATTGTCCTGAGAGACATCGGGCCACAATTGTTAGAGTTTTGAGGGCAATCAATGGGGATAATCTGTGGCTGAACTCTGCTGTTAGGATGTGGACTGTTGCTCAAGTTGGGCTGTGGTTAGAGGTTCCCCAAGTTGTGGTGAGTTGCCCCTGAGTTCCCTTCATGCCCGAGATAACATGAAGCTGACTTACATCTCCAGACTGATCGCGTTACACAGTGGTTTCTTTCACCCCCCAGCACCAAATTTATCGAGATCTGCCCTGAGCGTGCCTTTCAGATCGCCTATGGCCTCAAGAGCCCCAGCGTCTTGATTGCTGCTTTCAAGATCCTGGTCGCCGAGCGCGCAATCGACTATGCCTCTCCTACTTTCGCGACCACAGAACGCCCCCCGCACTCCTGGGTCCTCCGTCCCCGCGACGACTACGGAGACTTCCCCCCGACCCGGTCGAGTACGCAGCCCGGGCCTTCGCAGACCGTGTCGCTTCCCTGGTGAACGTTCTACAGTCTGACAAAGTCTTCTCCCTCCTGCCACACGACAACCCCGAATGGGCAAGGCTCATGGCCCTCGGCCAGGCGACCACCAGACTCCCGGACGACGACCCCCTGAAGGTCGCTTACGATAAACTCGTCCACTTCTTACTCACCGCATTCCATCTACTCGTAGATCATTGCCGGACCCCTCTGGAGCACATCACCCTCCCCCAGAAAGACTGCGACTACTTCGACAAACTCCTCGACCTCCTCGAGTCCCAGTGTAAGCACTGGATCCCCGTCCCCAACCGGTCTTTATGGAGCCTTCGCGGCACATACAACAAACTGAGCACGGCCCAGCGTGTGTTGACGCCCATCTTCTGGCGTCGCCTGCGCCGCCTGTTTGACGTGGAGAACCAAATCTCCCGTGCGATGAACGCGGCGCTCCGGACCGCCAGCGTCCGCTCCCCAGCCCTGCATTGTACGCTGAACTTGATGGCGGAGGAGTTTAACCGCCAGCTGCTTCTGGCGCTCACCCAGCCTGAGGTGGCTGACAAGGGGGAGGTTGTTGGCCCTGCCAGGCTGACGATCGACGCCGCTACGCTACCTCCCCACCCGCTGAAGGTCCTCGCCCAAGACGCGAGCACGCCCCACACAGGACTGGAGCATATCTACCAACGCTGGAACGAGAGCATGCTGCCGCGGTTTACTCTCAAGGGATTTACTTCTTCCTGCGCAAGGGCGTGCTCGACATGGTCGAAAGCGTGCTTGGTCCTGTGACGAGGGACATAGATCCCGACTCGGGCGTCATGCTCGTCTTGTCGGATTCGCTCCTCTACACGGCCGTCTGGGAGAACGAGATTAAATACCTACCGTTGTGGGCAGGCGGCTTGGATGATGGGTCGGGGGGTGTGTTCCAGGAGGGGGAGGTGCCTCCTCCGCCGCCGGCGGTGGCTGCAATTGAAGCTGATGGGGCTATTTGGGGAGGGAGGTCGGGATGGTCCATGCTTGGTGGGGAGATGAACGGAACTTCTATTGCCATGTCGGGTATTGAGGGTAGTGAGCTTGATCATGAGGATGATGGTGATACGGTTGTGTTGAGCAGAGGCAGGGGGATAGATGGCCCCTCGGAGGTATTTAGTCTCGCCAGTGGGGAGACAATTTTCAGGAGTGTGGATGTTAATATGAGCTGTGCGAGTGTGAGTACGATGGGTGTAGTTACGGCTCCGCTGTCGGAGATGGAGTTTGAAGCGGTTGGTTATGAGGGGATGAGGGAGGTTGAGGAGCAGCCTGCTCAGAGCCAAGCTCAGGCTGTGGTTACTACTACTACTACTACTGCTGCTGCTGCTGCTGCTGCTGCTTCTGAGAGTTTGGGGGAGAATGAGAATGCTGGTAGCAGTCAGCAAATGAAGATGGTGTTTGAGGATTCGGACTTCGATGTGGAAGAGGAGGATGATCTGGATCTGTTTAATGGGGAAATGATTTGATGGGGGATGGCGTTCGTACTAGCTGGTGTTGTGTTGTTATTGGATTCTGGAATGGATGTCGGTAGCATTCTGTGGCGTTTGGAAGGAGGAGGAGGAGGTCGCCCGGGGGGAGGGGTTGGGGGGGCGAGGAGAGAGAGAGAGAGAGAGAGAGAGAGAGATGGGGAAGATGACGGATTATCCGGTAGCATTTCAAACCTCTGTTGGGCAGCGGTCCTCGATCATAAATAGCATTAAGCATTAATCGTACCATACCGTTGGCAGGACATTGAGTACAGTAGCAGCAAATGAACTTCATATAGGTAATTAAGCCAAATGCAATGCAATGAAATACCATGCTATGCTATGCTATGTTATGCGCTCTATATCCCAATCTCCCCAACTTACTACGTACATACGTACATACCCTCTAACTATTTCTCACATCCCACCAACATCAACCCCTATTCAGAGTATTCCCGCTCCCCTTCGGATTATTCTCGATAAACTCGTCCCACTCCCTCGCTTTCATCGTCTCCTCGTCCGCCTTCTCAATGTTATCCTCGTCCGGCTCCGGCTGCTGCCAGCTCTTTTCTCCCCCTCCCTCGATAATCCCGCCCCGCCGTCTCTCCTCCTCCAAGTACTCGTCGATCGTCATCGTTGGCAGGTTATGTCCTGGCCGGAAGACTCCCTTCGCGATCTCCTGCCGCGAGTTGACCAATGTGAATGGGCGCAAAGGTTTGCCATCTGTGGACAGCAATGGTCCTCCCGGGATGCGACTACCGGGGCCGTATTGCAACGGTGGGTCAAGCTTCTCGCTGTAGCCGTCTTTGTTCCTCTCCTGTTGTTGTCTCCGACGAGCGTCCTCCTCTGCGGCCTGCTGCTGCGCTTTTTGGGCTTCGCTTGGTTCCGGTGGCGCCATTGCCAGAATTTCCCACTCCCGGTTGAGGGATTCCAGGGCTTGGAAGGTCATGTGTACCGAGTACTCGAGATGCGCGAGGTGCACCTGGCGGACGAGATCTTCGTCGCCGCCGTCCTGCTTGCCGTCTTCGGCTTCTTCTCCGGCGCCGTAGCCGGGTCGACTGCGGAGGTACTCCAGCTTGGCTTTGAGCTCCTTTTCCTGCCTGTAGTTCGCAATCTTGGCGTTGCGACGAGAGACGGGGTCGGATGCCGCCGGGATGGTGCTGAACGTGGTCGGACTATCGTGATATTGCTCGAGGAGCTTCTTATACTGCTGCGATAGTAGGCCGTAGCTATCCAGCAAGTGGAGAAATCTCTCATAGGCGTCGCGAGCGGCTGACACTAGATGCTTGCGCTCGGAGGCTCCTGAAGAAGGGAGTTTTTGCGTGAGCTCGGCGAGGTAGAAGTTGGTCAAGAGGAAGGGCAGGTCATTGGTGTGCAGATCCTCGAGGGATTCGTTCGGGCTGAAGAGCGAGAGCTTGCTGATCAGGGTCAGGCAGTCATTGTAGAGAGTGATGGCAGAGGACACGGCGTCGCGGTAGTCGGTGGACATCGGGGGGAAGCTGGTGGTTTCGAGGGAGAGGCGTTTGGCTTCGGCGTCTGCCCAGAGGGCTTTGAGAGAGCGGGGTTCGTCCATTTTTGGAGGATGGGTTAGGAGTTCTGCCGCAAGTCTATGGTGTAGAGACTCGAAGCTAAGTGGCAAATCAGGGTATGTATGGTGTGCCTGATGGTGACGAGTTCGGTGATGTTGAGTGCTGTTAATAAGCTAGAGTTAAGCTGGAGCTGGAGCTCGTTTCTTCGAATTTCCAGGTTCATGGATGGCTGCGGGATCCCAGGTGATGCCCCTCCTGTGGGGCTCCTTATCTTATCGAATGGCGGGGTAGCGGGGTACAAGGGGTCGGAGACTCGATCGACATTCACTTCCCAACCAGCGACTCAAGCTCGAAGATTCTAAAAAAAAAAAAAAAAATCATGAACGTCATTGCTTGAGAGCGAACCAACTGACCGTACCAGAATCTATCTCAATCTTTCGGAATGGGGCTATGAGTGCTTGTCAGTTAGCAGTGGGATAGAAGTGGGGCACGACCCCTGGATCAGGAGATCCTTGACTCTGCTGTGCTTCTGCATGACTCTCATCACTTGGTCCTCATCCTCACATCCCTTCTTTTCCTCCTCGTCCGAAGTCAAAGCTACAGCCTCTTACCAATCCTCTCAGCCCAAATCTATGCGCAGCTCTTTCCTCCAGCTGCCAGTGCACTTGCGTCCTGCGATTGCTGTTTTTCGATCGCGTACTCTGAGCTCCAGCAGCAGAATGGCGCTGCACCCGTCGCAGAACGTGGCCAAGCTGATATGTACGTTCAACCCCAACCCTGGACTGAGTCAAGCCCACTTAACTCCCCCCTCTGTGTTGCCTAATCCTCCCTCCATTTGCATCACCATCATCACCCACAAACATCACCGCCACCAGACTCCAACTCACACAACACCCTCCAGTCGCCCCGACCGGTACGCCCAAGCCCTTCGAGCCGAGCGGCGCCACCGGCCAGGCAGCGCAATTCCTCAAAGCTGAACTAATCGGCGGTCTACGCCGCGCCCATCTCAATCCCGACGACCCGATCGCCCAATTCCACGACTGGTTCCGTCAAGCCTCGCAGCCCGAGTCTGGCGTCGGCCATCCCGAAACCTGCACCTTCGCCACGGCCCAGCTCCCCTCCGGCCGCGTCTCGGCCCGCATGGTGTACCTGAAGGAGCTCGACACCAAGGGCTTCGTCATCTACAGCAACTGGGGCACGAGCGGCAAGGCTCGCGACTTGTTTGGCTCAGCCGACGGCAGCAGCGTGGGCAACCCGTGGGCGTCGCTTGTTTTTTGGTGGGAGCCGCTGGAGAGACAAGTGCGTGTGGAGGGTAAGGTGGAGAGGTTGACGGCGGAAGAGAGTCAGGCCTATTTCTCCACGCGCGTGCGTGGTTCCCAGATTGGGGCCTGGTCGAGTCGGCAGAGTGTGGTGTTGAAGCCGAACCCGGAGATTTTGGGCGACGACGGACGCGCGCAGCTCGAGGCGTGGGTGAGGGAAACGGAGCAGAGGTTTGAGGGTACAGACGATATCCCTGTGCCTGACTTTTGGGGCGGCGTGCGCATCGTGCCCGAGCGCTTTGAGTTCTGGCAGGGGCGGCAGAACCGTCTACACGACCGTTTCGTGTATGATCGCGTGCGTGGGGAGGACGGCGTGGATCGTTGGACGCTGGAGAGGTTGAGTCCGTAGGTGCGACGGGGGTACATACAAACGGTTGACATACAAACAGTTGTTTGTTTACAGACGCAAGACGAGAGAGAAGGCTTTGGGTTGTAGGCGCCATTGGACTCACTGCAGCTGGGCCGATTTTTTGAGTGGGCAAAACAACAGAGTCAAATGCTTAATCACCAAACACAACAGATCAAACATCTTCACTTTCTTTTTTCTTTTTTTTTTCCCTACCTTTACCATGTCAACTCACACTTCACCATATACCCAGATAAACGAGCAGCAAAATACAACATAGGCTCACCAGATATTTTTTTTTCCCAGTTACCGATTCAATCTTTATTTCTTCCTGAATCCACGCCATCTTGGCTGAACCTGATCTGCAAGACTGCCCAATCGCCCAACGTTTGCTTATAAATCCATATCTCACAAGTCTTGTCATTATTATTCATACAAACACTCTGAGTGCAAGGTTTTCTTGCCGACGCATTCGGTAGGTAATCTTGGAGCCATGGGGCCGATGTTCCTGGAGTCGTCATTGAAGCCTGACCAGGCTCACAGTCCGGTCACCAAGCCAGTCGTCATCATGGTCCACGACGCTCCGATAACGGGCATGAGCTCGCCTCAGCAGTCACCTTCCCACAAGAAGAGCTCAGACGCCGGCGATACCGAGGTAGATGGCTATGCGAAGGGCCTCAACGGTACAGACACGTCCACTGACCCCAACTCGCCGCCTGACTTCGACCCCTACGCCGATGCCGACCTCGACGTCCCCGAATGGGCCAAAAACTTGAAGCCCGCGTCGCCGGCGAAGAAGAAAAAGGTTTCCAATCGGCATCGCGCCGACAATGCCGCCTTTGACATTTGGATCGAGCAGAACCAGCATGCGCTGACGAGATCGGAGCGCAGGCCGGTCAGTGATAATGATAAGTCGTTCCAGGCGCTGGTCAAGGGCCTGGGGCATCAAGAGATTATTACCAGTCCGAGAGACTATCAATTGGAGCTGTTTGAGCGGGCGAAGGAGCAGAATACGATTGCGGTGTTGGACACTGGTGAGCCTTGGCTTCTTGTATGACCGACCGAGTGAAGCGTTTGGCTGATCTGACAGCCTAGGCTCGGGCAAAACCCTCATCGCCGCCCTTCTCCTGCGCTGGACCCTCCAGAATGAGCTCGAGAACCGCGCCAAGGGTATGTCCCGGCGCGTGGCCTTCTTCCTGGTCGATAAGGTGGCCCTCGTCCTCCAGCAGCACGCCGTGCTTGCCTGCAACCTGGACTACCCCATCGACAAGTTCTGCGGCGAGATGATCGAGGACGTTGAAGAGGACAAGTCCTTCTGGGACAAGACCTTCGCCGAAAACATGGCCATCGTCTGCACCGCCGACATTCTTTACAAGTGCCTGGCCCATTCGTACATCCGCATGGATGAGATTAATCTGCTCGTCTTTGACGAGGCGCATCATGCCAAAAAGAATCATACCTATGCAAGGATTATCAAGGATTTTTATGTCGACGTTGAGGAAGATAAGCGTCCTCGAATCTTGGGCATGACCGCCTCGCCTGTAGATGCCCAGGTTGATCCCAAGGTTGCTGCTGCTGAGCTGGAGGGTTTGCTTCACGCCCAGATCGCCACGGCTGCTGATCCGGCTGCCCTCCAGTATACCCTGACCCGGCTCAAGGCCGAGGAAATTGTCGAGTTTGACCGGCGCCCGGACAACTGGGAGACGCCGCTTAACCAGCGGCTCAAAATGCTTGTTGGTCAGTACGAGGTCTTCCACAAGCCGTTTGCCTTCACGGAGACGGCCTGTGCTGAACTTGGTCCGTGGTGTGCCGACCGGTATTGGCAGCTCTTCTTCCGGGAGGAGGATCTGGCTAGGCTTGAGGCCCGTTGTGAGATGGAGATCCTGGGCGTGTCGGCTTATAGGCAAGACACGAGGGAGCAGGTTAGTCGGGTGAGGCAGGCGTATGACTTGGTGAAGAATCATGAGTTTGGACGGCCGAAGCTGAGCACAGACTCGCTCTCGTCGAAGGTTATTGAGCTGGTGAAGGTGTTGAGGAAGCAGTTTGAGGATCCGGACCAGGATCCGCGCTGCATTGTCTTCGTCAAGCAGCGGAATACGGCTTCGCTGCTTGTGGACCTGTTGCAGCAGCCAGAGATGCATATTGAGGGGTTGAAGTCGGGGATGTTGGTGAGTGGATATATCCACCATTCTATAGCCCTGTTGACGAATATACTATTATACTGACTTGCTCTTGCTTCAGGTTGGCAGCGGCCGCGCCGACGCCCACTGGGACAACACCAAAGTCAGCTTCCGCAACCAAGTCCGCACTATCATCAAGTTCCGAAAAGGCGTCCTCAACTGCATCTTCGCGACCTCCGTCGCCGAAGAAGGCCTCGACATCCCAGACTGCAACGTCATCATCCGCTACGACCTCAATGAGACCCTAATCCAATACATCCAATCCCGCGGCCGCGCCCGCCGCCACGGCTCCATCTACATCCACATGGTCGAGCGCGGCAACCCGCGTCACCGCCGGCGCCTGCATGAAAACAAAGCCAACGAGGACGCCCTCCGCCGCTTCTGCGAGGCTCTCCCCGAAGACCGCAAGCTCACGGGTAACAACTTCAACATGGACTACTTCTTGCGCAAGGAAATGGGCCAGCAGCAGTATATTGTGCCCGGCACGGGCGCCAAACTCAACTACAAACAGGCACTCGTCATCCTGGCCAACTTTGTCTCCTCTCTGCCTCATCCCCCTGAGACCGTCCTTGCTCCGGAATACGTCATTTGTGCCGTTCCAGGCGGCTTCCAGTGCGAGGTCATGCTCCCTCCGCAATCCCCCGTCCGTAGCGCGACGGGTAAGGTCCATCCCCGCAAGGCCATGGCCAAGTGCTCGGCCGCCTTCGAGTTATGTCTCAAGCTGATCAAGGGGAAGTACCTGGACGCGCATTTACGGCCTGTCTTTACCAAGCAGCTGCCGGCTATGCGGAATGCCAGGCTGGCGGTGAGTGCGAAGAAGAAGGCCGAGTACCAGATGCGGATTAAACCTGAGATGTGGGCACGGAGGGGGGAGCCTAAGGAGCTGTATGTCACCGTGCTGGCGCTGGAGAACCCCGGGGCTGTGGGCCGCGAGACGATGCCTTTGTTGTTGTTGACGCGGGAGCCTTTGCCGAAGTTGGCGAAGTTTACGCTGTTTTATGGGCAGGGGCCGGATAGGACAAGTCAGGTCCGGTGTGTACCTGTGCCGGGGAGGATTGTGCTTGATGAGGAGGGACGGGAAGCGAAGGCTCTGGCCGGGTTCACGCTGAGGGTTTTTCATGATGTGTTCAGTAAGGATTTCGAGGCTAGGGTCGGAGATTTGCCTTATTTCATTGCGCCGGCGACGAAGGGCCATGGGGAAGGTTTTGAGATCGAGGAGGATGTTAGGGGATTGGTTGATTGGGAGGTGGTTTTTCGTGTGCAGGAGGGTGATCGCATTCCCTATGACGTTGATGCAGCTGGGGAATATGCAGATGAATTTTTCAAGGGCCACTTTGTAGTCGATCCCTATGATGGCTCGCGGAAATATTTTCTCAGGGGTCGGCGGCATGATATGAAGGCCACGGATACTGTGCCTGAGGGGATTGTCCCGCCGGGCCATGCTTGGAGGGGTGTTTCGACGAGGGATATTCTGAATTACAGTCTCACCAAGTGGAAGAGGTCGAGGGAGAAGACGACGCTCAATCCTCAGCAGCCGGTTGTTGAGGCTGAGTTGATGCCGTTGCGGAGGAATCTGCTGGATGATAATATTGGGGAGGATGATCTCGAGCCGAAGCAGTGCTTTTTGGTGCTGGAGCCGTTGAGAATCTCGCCGGTAAGTCCTTGTGGAGGAGAGGAGAGGAGAGGAGAGGAGAGGAGAGAAGAGAAGAGAAGAAAAGAGAAGAGAAGAGAAGAGATAGAAGACAGGCTAACTGGAGCAGCTCCCCGCCAAAACGGCCATGATGGCGTACAGCTTCCCTGCCATTATCCACCGCATCGAGTCAAATCTCATCGCCCTCGACGCCTGCCGTCTGGTAGGCCTCGATATCCGGCCCGATCTCGCCCTCGAAGCTTTAACAAAGGATAGTGACAACACAGGCGAGCACGATGCAGAGCAGATCAGTTTCCAGCCTGGCATGGGCAACAACTACGAGCGTTTAGAGTTCCTGGGCGACTGCTTCCTTAAGATGGCCACCACCATCGCCATCTTCACGTTGATCCCGGACAAGGAAGAGTTCGAGTACCACGTCGAGCGCATGCTACTCATCTGCAACCGCAACCTCTTTAACAATGCCCTCGAATTCAAGCTCGAGGAGTATATCCGGTCTATGGCCTTCAACCGCCACTCCTGGTACCCGAATAACTTGACCCTCAAGAGCGGTAAAACTATCCAGCCGCGCCGGACCCATCTGCTAGCAGATAAATCCATTGCCGATGTCTGCGAGGCACTCATCGGCGCAGCACTCTTGACAGGCCAGGATCGCGCTGGCTCGACTGCCCCCGAGCAAGGTGCCTTCGACCTCGCCATCCGCGCCGTCTCAACCCTCGTCAAGTCCCCCCGCCACTCCATGTCCTCCTACTCCGAGTACTACTCCCTGTACACCCCTCCGGCCTGGCAAACCGCCCCCTGCAGCTCAGCCCAAGTCGACATGGCTGCCCGCTTCGCCTGCCGCCTAGGCTACACCTTCCGCCATCCCCGCCTCCTCCGCTCAGCCTTCCAGCACCCAACCTATCCCTCCGTCTACGAGCATCTTCCCTCGTATCAACGCCTCGAATTTCTCGGCGACGCCCTCCTCGACATGGCCATCGTCGAGTGGCTGTTTGCCCGGTTTCCCGGAGCCGATCCGCAGTGGCTGACCGAGCATAAGATGGCCATGGTGTCGAACCAGTTCCTTGGATGTCTGGGGTTTATGCTGGGTTTCCACAAGAACATTGCGTGCTGCTCCCCGCAGGTAGGGAAGGACCTGGCGAGGTATGTCGCCGAGATGGAGGAGGCGCTGCTCGCGGCGAAGGAGGATGCCGTACGGGCTGGAAAGACGGAGGACGACTGGGCGCGTGACTTTTGGTTGAATTGCTCGCGCCCGCCGAAGTGTCTTCCCGACGTGGTTGAGGCGTATGTTGGGGCGGTGTTTGTAGATAGTGGATACAATTTCGGGGAAGTACGTGCCTTTTTGGAGAGACACATCCGTCCGTTCTTCGAGGATATGCGGCTCTACGACACGTTTGCCAATAATCACCCCGTGACCATGCTCGTGGCTGTCATGCAGGGTCAATTCCGCTGCCAGGAATGGAGGGTGCTCGCGAGAGAGTTGCCTGCGGGGCCGGTCGCGGTTGCGTTGGATGGCGAGGACACTACTAGTGGGGGGGAGTTCGGCGAGGGCGAGACGCGGGTTGTGTGTGCGGTACGGTGTCACGGGCAGACCTTAGCTCATGCTGTGGCAGCGAGTGGACGGTATGGAAAGGTAGCGGCGGCGAAGAAGGCGTTGGAGGTGTTGAGGAAGATGGAGGTGGAGGAGTATAGGCAAGAGTTTGGGTGCACATGTGCTGGAGAAGAGGGGGGGAATGAGGAGGAACTGGAGGCTCATGCTTCGGCTGTTTAATGGGGCTGGATTTTTGGGGTGTTTGCGTTCTTATTTTAAGGTTGCAGTGAATAAGGGGGAGGGGCAGATCCATGGATGGGGAGGTATGGGTTTGATATTGCAAAACATTAGGCATCTATACTTCTCTGGCGAGCTCCTTCATTTGCAATGGAGCCGCGAATTCATTGTACACTTTGACCTTTGACTTTAGCAACTCCTTACCGTCGTAGACAAAATGGATGCAAGCCCAATCGATAGGGTTGCTCGATGACTTCAGGGAGTTATCGCGAACAACGCCAGAGTCTACTGTCAATCTCTCTGTATATCTTCACAAGTCCTCAATCTCTCAATTCACAACATTGGCGTTTCACAACAGACTTGTCTTGAGCGCAGTTCATTACCATATCTGCCTTCTGGCAATCAACTTTCAATATCAAGGTAGACTTTAAGGCTAATCAACCCGAGATGCAAAACTTGCACACCCACTCAATCTTAGAATCGATGTTGCTTATCAGCCCCGAAACGCTCTCCAACCCAAGATGCCATGTTAATGTTAAACCTCAAGAATCAGCTCGAACCTCCATCTCCTCTTCTAACCCCCGCCTGCTGCTGTTTCCATCTCCGTAAACATTCGTCATACCCCAGTAACGACTCGACTCGAACGGATGAGGTGACCATTCACGGAGAATGCTACACTCTCCCTGCCTGACTTCCTCACATCGACCCAGTAGCTCTCCCTCTTTACTATTTAACATCAATTCCTCCCACGTACACCGGGGAGTTGATGTATACGAAGCGACTTCCTTCATCTTGAGCTTAAGTTGCTCCGATGTATGTACCACAAGAGGGAGAAATGCCCTCTTTTCAAGGTTATACCGATTCAAGCTTGCTGCGTGTAGCAAGTCTGAGCTTTGAGCATCTTTTTTGCAAGAAAACGATCACGCCACTTGCATCAACTGAACCTTCGACAACCATGTGATCAACTCTGGTAGCTTTCTTGATTGGATGCTTTTGGAGCTCTGACTTCAAGTTCTGGGCTGCCTCGCGGCAGTAGGTTGACGTTAATTTGAAAAAAAAAAAGATCTTTGACATCAGGTCAATGATGTATGCCATATTTGCCTGAATAACCAAACATGTTTCCTTTGGATAGACGGTGGTCCATGATTTGTTGCAATAGCCTTCGTATCGGTCGAAACCGTCACCGGCAAGACCAGGGTAGAAGAATATCATATCGTCAAGACTCGGACAATCTTTGAAGGGGGCTTGACTTGGAAGTACGGGTGATCTAGGGATCCCCCAGGAACTGAAAGCACAATAAGCAAGGTTGTTCCATCTCTCCAACAGACTGGTCAGGAATGCAGCAAGCTTTCCTAATGAGTGATCGAAGCTGGTCACCTCGGCAGCCAAGACAAACAGGTGGGCTTTGTAAGATGGAGAGAGTTGCCCGTGAACTGAATGAACGACAGGAGATTCAATCCTTTCCAAAAGTATTATAGCAAGCTTGAACGAGCGTATGCTGACCGCAGTACGTAAAAGATCTTCATCTCTTCTCGTCCATGAGATGTCCAGGATCTTTCTGGCAAGGTCTCTCATCGTTTCCGTACCGAGCTTGGTCTCAGAGAAATAGCTTCATCCAACAGTTTTGTAAGTACTCCGATGGCTAGCCTAGAATTTGATTAACCCTGTTAACGACGACAGGACCGGCTCCTCCACCAGCCAGCCCAAAACAATTTCAGCAAGAGTGAGGTATTGGATTCGGCGATCCACTCTTGACAGATCGCAGCTCAGAAGTTGTTGTTTATTCTCTGTATTTTGCAGGAACTCAACTGCCGATTGGTGGACAAATGACACAGTGCTATTACCTAGGATGTTGTCTCGGCGTTCGCGAACGTCAAGGAGAAATGCAGACCGTGTTTGCAGGTGAATAGCAGTAGAACGGCATCGAGAAATCCACTCGTCATCAAGAAGCTGGAGCTTGGCGTCACATAATAATCGTGATCGATACTCTGCATCTCAGGCGAGCATGAGCAGTGCTACACAGGGTAGCTTAAAATAGGCGCTTGGCTGGATAGGAGAAGTCCATGTCAGCATCCAATTGAGAAATCTTGCGGCGTCCTGGCGATAGAGCACCTGTTCAGTCGGATCAAGCCGTCTCCACAAGGTTTCATACAGTTCGGAGATCTCACTAGGCAATGCTTCTAGTCGTTTCTGAGGCTCTGAAGGCGTGTCATGCTTGATGCTCCCAGTGACCACGCTTCTGACTACGAGCACGACTCATAGAAAAGCACCGTCGCTTTTCGAACATGTCGCGCGAACCAATTGACAGAGATCAGAGAACACCGGCAAGAATATTGTAGGGAAGAAAATGGTCAAAAAAAAAGGCCGAATAAATGCAGACAAATGAAGTTTAACAACAACATAACCCACAAGTAGATTAGTAACAACTTATATACTCCTCAGTAAAGAAGAATCGTGTCGCGTAAGCTCTAAGCCTCGGCATGCCTTACCAGTGGACACCAGCCCGGTGAAGGTCCGAATTATCTAACGGCGCATCCTCCCTAATCCCCTCCCAAATCTCTTCAATCCTCCTCACAGCCCCCTTACTCAACGGACCCCTCTTTACCCCCTCAACAGTCGCCCTCAATTGCTCCTGGCTCCGCGCCCCCACAATCACCGCATCCCCAAACTCAGGACTCAACTTCGAGTGGTACACAATCCAACGATACGCCAGCTCCGCCATTGCAACCCCTTCCTCCTTTGCAATCCGATCCCACTCATCCAGCGCCCGCAAAAAGCTCGGCTTGGTATACATCGGCCGGTAGATCGTCGCAAGCAGATTGCCCTCGGCAAACCTGCTCCCGGAAGCGAACAGATCGTCGCGTGACTTGGACAGGAACCCGCCTGCGATGGGGCTGTACACGTAGAAGGCCATGTTGTGCTTGCGGACAGTGGGGAATATCTCGTTTTCGGTGCGCCGGGCGACGGCCGAGTAGTTGCCCTGGTAGACGGAGGGGACGACGAAGTTGTTTTCTTTGGCGATTTGCACGATTTCGTCGATTTCGTGCGCCAGGAAGTTGGATATGCCCAGGCGCTTGAAGACGCCTTGTTTGTGGAGGGCGTCGAGGCCGCTGAGGGTTTCTTTCCAGGGGACCCGTTGGTCGGGCGCGTGGATGTAGTAGACGTCGAGCTGAGGATGGGTTTAGTAAAAGAGGTCTCGGCGGTAGGGGTAATGGAAGATAAGTACACTCTCAGCCTGAACTTTCTTCAGGCTCTCTTGTCCATCTCTGATGACGACGTCTTTGCTGCTAGGCTCGGGGCCGAAAGACCCTGGGGTCTTGGAGTCGATGGTGAAGCTCGAAGCAGCTCCGGCTCGGCCCAGCAGTTCTTCGTTGTTGCCGTAGATTTTGGCTGTGTCGACAGCATCAAAGCCAAGCTCTTTGGCGAAGTTGAGGAAGTCAACTGCTTTCTCAAGAGGGCCATCGAAGAAGGCCGTGGCGGAACCCAGGACGAGTTTCACTCCGTTGTCTGCGATCATTGTGGGATTGAAGTGAGGGTATACTGAAAGAAATATTTGAGAGTAATGTGCTGGTGTGTTTGTCGATGTATTGATGCCATTCTGTGATTCTCAACGTGAGGATTGAGCAAGACTTTATACTCTTTGCCATGGCCCTCATCGTTTCTGCATCCCGTCCAAGTGAAGGCATGAGTTGAAGAAGTTCGGCTTGTCTCTAAGCATTTCGGAGACTTTTGCTGCTGACGCGGCTCTGAAATCGGATAAAAGATTGAATTATGCTGACAGATACTCCAAGCCGTCAGATCCGTTCTCTTAACTCCTCAGGCCTTTGCCACCCGTCGTCGTCAGCTGTTGGGCCTGCTAGGACGATCTGCAAGGTACCGAGAGCTGTGAAAGCTGGACGAGAACTTGCCAACACCTGCATATGATATCGGTTTTGATTAACTGGGAAAAGTATAAGGGTTAGATTCAGCAACCATAAAGTTTCCCCTGATGTTACATTTGGGTCTGAAGTCAGGGGGTAAATAAAAGGGTTGTTCGGGGTAACATGGGTCCAAAAGAAGCCATGTATAACCCTAACCCTGCCACCCAGAAACCACTTGAACCAGGGCCCAGACAGGCGGGCGCGTCTGCCTAGAGCATAGTCGCGTCATTGTTGACCACTTTATCGTTCTTCCTTTTGTATTTCACCTTTTTTTTTTCGCAATTAATTGCCCATAATCTTCAAAAATTCTTATCGGTAAGCGCTAAGACAGTATTCCTTGTAGATCGCAAAGAACGACATCACACTTACCAGCAACCATGGCGTACGGTGATGACGATGACGACAGGCGCCAGGATGAGGAAGAGGAGGAGCTGGATGAGACAGTCAGTGTTAACGTCTCATTGCCAATCTAACCCTCATCATTGCTGACCACCCCGGACAGGATTACAAAACCCAAAAAGATGCCGTCTTGTTCGCCATTGACGTCAGCGCATCCATGTTGCGGCCGCCGTCGCCAGCCACATCCAACGACAAGAAGGCGGCAGCGACGGACAGGGACTCGGCCGTGGCGGCGGCGCTGAAGTGCGCGTACAAGGTCATGCAGCAGCGTATCATTGCGCAGCCCAACGACATGATGGGTGTGTTGCTGTTCAATACGCACAAGTCCAAGTTCCGCGAGGAGCAACCTGGCGGCCATACCGGGGCTGCTTATCCCCACTGCTACCTGTTGGTTGACCTGAACGTGCCCGGCGCCGACGATGTCAAGAGGCTGAGAGCGCTGGCTGAGGATGGGGATGATCCGGAGGGGATCCTGGTTGCGTCGGATGAGCCGGTCAGTATGGCGAACGTGCTGTTCTGCGCCAACCAGGTGTTTACGACCAATGCGCCTAACTTTGGCTCTCGCCGGTTGTTCATCATCACTGATAATGATGACCCCCATGCGAAAGACAAGAGCGCGAAGTCGTCTGCTGCTGTTCGTGCCAAGGACTTGTATGACCTGGGAATTGTCGTCGAGCTATTCCCCATTACCCGTGGGGAGGACAAGTTTGACCTGGCCAAGTTCTACGATGTAAGCGGTTTCCGGCCCTAGCTCTTATTTCCTGGGGTGCTGATGGCATTTGTTATAGGACATCATCTACCGCGACCCTGCAGTTGAGGCGATTATGCCGGACGCGGTAAAAACGTCGAGAGCAGGAGACGGTTTGTCACTCCTGAACTCACTAATCTCCAACATCAACTCCAAGCAGACCCCCAAGCGGTCCTTCTTTTCCAACCTTCATTTTGAGCTTGCTCCAGGATTGACCATCTCCATAAAGGGATACCAAATCCTCCATCGACAAAAACCGCAGCGAACCTATCCTATCTGGATGGGCGGTGAGAAGCCAATGCTTGCACACCCAGAGGCTGTCAGGGTGGACTCAGAGGCTCGGACAGTAGATAAGTCTGAGATCATGAAAGCCTGGAAGTTCGGCGGCGAATTCATTCGTTTCAAACCCGAAGAAGCGGCAGCCCTGAGGGAATTTGGGAGCAAAGTCCTTCGTTTGATTGGTTTCAAACCCCGCTCCATGTTGCCCAGCTGGGCTTCTGTGAAGAAGTCCGTCTTCATCTATCCCAGCGAAGAGCTATTTGTCGGATCTACCCGAGTGTTTTCTGCTCTGTGGCAGAAGCTTCTCAAGGATGACAAGATCGGCATCGCATGGTTCATCCCGCGCGTGAATTCGCAGCCACAAATCGTGGCTATCATCCCATCCGAAAACCCCGACGAAGAAGGCGCAGCGACGCCTTACTTACCAGCAGGGCTTTGGCTGTATCCCTTGCCGTTTGCCGACGATGTCAGGAAAGTTGATGCCTCAGCGCCACCGAAAAAGGCAGACGAGCTGGCGACCAAGATGCGAGAGATTGTGGGCAACCTCCAGCTACCCAAAGGCATCTACAACCCGCTCAAGTACCCGAATCCGGCTCTTCAATGGCACTACAGGGTGCTACAAGCCATGGCACTCGAAGACGAGGTGCCTGACGAAAACGACAAAGAGGACCTCACTATTCCCAAGTACAGGCAGATCGCCAAACGGGTGGGGGGATACATGGCCGAATGGAAAGAACTGCTGGAAGAGAAGACGAAGGCTTTTATAAAGAGCCGGGCGTTGAAGCGCGAAGCTGAAGATGAGGACGGCGGCAGACCGGTCGCAAAGCGGGCAAGAACTGTTCCCACTATCAAAGAGGGCTCCGTTTCGGGCTCTAAGACTGGTAATGCAAAACTCAAGGAGATGTTTGAGAATGGGACCCTCAAAAATATGACGGTTGCCGATTTGAAAGATGTGCTGGCGAGTAAGGGTGTGAGCGCGACTGGGAAAAAGGGGCAATTGTTGGAGAAGTTGGAGCAGTGGATAGAGCAGAACCTGTACTAATGATTCGTCATGATTATGTGTAATGCCTTGTAACTTCTGAAGCTGGGGGGCAATTGTTTGCATTTCTGCGGTAATTATATCTTTATCAAGAGTCTTGAACCTGAAAAACAATGTGAGATATTTGTTTCGTCCCATCTTCATCCTTTATAAGCAAGGCGGGGGGAGGGAGGAGGGGAAAACTGGAGTTTCGAACACACAGGTAGTCCGTTAGCTTCAGGGGTTACTTTAGCGTTGAGTAACTTTTACACGCGTTACGCGGAAAACAACCTCCTCTCCCCCGCCCTCTCTCTCTCTTTCACCATTTCGATCGCGGCTGCGCGTCAGGCGGGACCCGTAAAGCCACGCCCTGAAGACAGGCGGCTCCCCGTGGCTGCATCCAAACTCAACCATTTCCGGGAGGTGAACGCGTTGGGAAGGCAACATGAAGATTCGCGACGACGACAGTTTCGATTCAGTGCACCCCAATTGCAATGAGTTTTAATCTCGTTGCCAAATTTGTTTTTTTTTTTTTTTGGTTCGAGGCCGACTGCGGGACGCCAGAAAGCCCGGGATGAACGCGTCTGCTGCGCCCTGAGCCTCGCCTAGATCAGCGCGACGTGTCACAAAATATCCATCTCCGGATATCTGGCTCATCTACGTCATGGAGGCGTTGCTGGGCGCTTCCACGACGAACTCCTCGTGCGCTTCCATCGCTGACCTCCAGATTCAGCTGCGCAACCTTCTGAATGCCCGTGTTACGCCCACACGCGCCGAACATATCTCTGCGACCTTCGAGATCCGTGCGAGTGCCATCTTCGACATCCCCGGGAATGAAACCCTCAACAACGCGCCGCACATCGACCCACAACTCGCCGGTGTGGCCTCGAGTGCTGCACCGTCTGTGGCTGAGAATGGTGCACTGGCAACGACGTACCGTGTCACCGCCATCGATGCCTTGATGAACCAGCCACGCGACGACCCCAAACTGCAGACTTCCATTAGCAAGCACATCATCAACTCACTGAGTGAGGTCGATGCGAGCACTTGGACGGTGCGCCATGTCGGACCAAGTGAGCACGGCTGGACTTTTACATACATCTGCAAGGACTCGTGGCAGTCATGGTCTCGCCAGGTTGCGAAGACTCCGGCCAAGACGCTCATCGGGGAATGGAGTGAAAGAGCAGGACAAGATCCGATTCATATGGGTATGTTTTTGGTTCTGGTGGGTTGAGCCAAGCATCCCAAAGATGTTGACCAATCATTCAGCTCGCCCGGCGTTTGACTGCCGCGGCTCTGTTAAGATCTCCTTTGTCAGGTCGACGAGGACGATAGACGTTAAGTACGAGCATACGCCGCTTCACAAAACGGTCGGCGAGCTTATCGACCTTCTTGCCCCTCCCCCTCCTGCTCCGGTTTCCAAGACGCCAGTAAAGAAACCGAAAGAGCCAAAGCCCAAGGAGCCAAAGGAGACGAAGCCCAGAACATCGAAGCCTTCGAAAAGAGGTCCAGGAGAAAATGGGGTCCCACTGGACGGCAAATCCTCGCGACAGTTCAAAAAGCGGCGAAAGAAGGACTCTTTACCCCCTGGTGCTGGCGTTATTCCTTCGGAGATGCCAAACGACTTGCCTGTAGGGGAACTGTCTACCCGGCCGTTGTACAACTCTCATTCAGAGGCTTCCACGCATGGACAGCCTGCTGGTTCGAGCAGTTACCCTGAAACCCTCGTCAGTACCGACGGCCCGGCACCGGAAGACGTCGATGCTCTTATGGGCGCCATACTCAATCTTCCTCCCCGGGAGATACAACGCCGGCGCGACGTTGCCATCAAGCTTCTTACCAATAGTGGCATCGATCCAAAGACCCTTACGGCGGAGCAGTTTAATATTTTTGCCAATCAGTCTCCAGAGTTACAGCAAGACTCTCTCGCGATGTTCATGAAGTATGGTGCTGAGCGGCTACGCATCGTTCACCCCAACCAGGACAGCACGCCTGCGGCAACGCCGAATAAGAACGGTACGTCAGCTTAGTCAGCAGGTCAGTCGCCGACGGTTAAGCACAAGAAGCTGCGAAAGAAGACATCCGAAGTGGCCGCCGCAGATGTAGTGGCCGGGGAGGGAACACCGGTGAAGCAGGCCAGATCGATTTGCGATAACTGTCGCATCATGAAGCTCAGGGGCAAGGTACGTACCCCGTGTCGATGGTATCTGAGTAGGTATGTGTTGGGACGAGTACTGACAGCGTATGTAGTGTGACAAGGCCTTACCAGCTTGCACACTATGTGTCGCGAGTGGCGTTGCCTGTGTTTACACAAAGCCGTGGAAGAGCCAAGTTGCGGAAGGGGCAACTTCTGATGCCATAGCAGCACCAGGGGCGCCCGGTCCGCCTGCGCCTGAGGATGCGGCTAACAATGAGCTCGGTAATCTGGGCTCGCCTGGGTTTCGCAGCGTCCCAGCCGCCGAGCCTGCTCCTCCCATAGACCCCCAGGGGAATGGTCCAGCTCAAGACCAAGTGCATGATCACTTGGTCAGTCATGTCGCTGAGCCGGTGAATGAGCCGGTTGCCGCAAAACCCGTCCATCAACAACTTGAGTTGACCTCAGACCCCTTTAGCCAGTATCGACGCTCATCTGGCGTGAGCCTTCTTCCTCAGGCAGCAGCCACTGCTGTCCCTGGGCAGCTTGCACATCCGAGCATACCGACAGCATCGGTCGACTCCAATCCGTTAGACTACATTCACAATTCTATTCCAGAGGCCACGGATGGGTACGTGTATGCCCAGTCCACTGTGTCGACTCGAAAAACAACCTCTCATTACAGCGAGCCAAGCACGTCCTCTTATCATGATCAGAGCGCCCCCTCGGTCAGCCAGAATTCGCGTGGCACTTCAGGGAACGTGCAGTCGACGATATCACGGCAGAATTATTCAACAATGCAGCCCACAAATGGGGCTGGAACAAGCAGTACTACAATGAATACACAACCAAGCACCTGGCGGTCCCTGTCAGGTGTGTCTGCCTCTGCATCACAACCGTCGAATGACTCTCTCCAACAGTCCAGGGCCAACTCGGCGCCCGTCTCACAGGCATATGATGATTTACACCAGCAACAGCAGGCTTCGACTAGCTGGTCTACTCAGGCTTCGCAACAAGCTGTTTGGCCTTCTCCCCCGCAGACTGCCGTGCAACCTGTTCGCTCGAGGTCACGGCAGCCTGGTCGGTCACAAGCCCAGACGCAGTCGAGCAGCATGGCAACTGCCCAGCAAGGGAACCAGTCATTGCCGATTACGTCTGGCCCGACTCAACAGTCGAGTTCGACGCGGAGCTACAATTACAACCAATACTCGACCGGTAGTTCTCAGGCCGACAGGTCTAATGACCACATAGCGTACCAGTCGTATGGGACTGGGCCAACTGCTGTTCAACTGACCACGCACCCATTGGTGGACGGCTACAGCTCTCGGCTACCGTCGACGTCTGTTACACACTCTTCTACATCATCCTCTCAGAAAATGACTCAAACCTACTCGACCACCTTCTCGGCCAACACAAGCCAATGGGGGACAGCTTCCTCAACCGCGCAGCAAACTAAGAGCTCTCGTGGTTACTGCACCACTCAATCCACAGCAAGCAGCACCGCCTCCTACAACCTCCCTCCCACAACCCAACAATTCCAATCCGTCCAAGGCTTCGACATGTTCCCACAAGTCCAGCCCCAAGCCCGCAGCTCATCCAGCCTCTACACCCAACGAACGCAGAAGCCTCAACAGCAAACCTACAGCAGCTACATAGCCCAGTCCCAGCAAGATCACCAACAGCCCCAGCAACACCATCACCAGCAGCAGTCTCACCAACAACAACAACACTTCCAACGCACCGCTGCCGCTAGCACAACCCTTCACCGCCATCAACGAACCACTTGGGGCGGCTACAGCACAAGTACGACCAGCTCAACGGCTACCACGTCCTCAAGGTTCGGGTCTCTGACTGCCACGGCGGGGACGGGAAAGGCGTATTCTAGTGCTGTGCATGAAAGGCAGCATCACTGGTCTACACTGGCCGAATTGGGACTCCGTGCAGCGGTTGCGGCTGCAGGAAAGTGTGCTGGAACCGGGGCTGGGGCCATGGATGGGGACCACGCGTTGTATGATTTGGTAGGGAATAATCCGTAAGAGGTCCCAATGGGATCTGAGGTTGAGTTGAAAGTTATGCGGGTAACAAAGGGGGAAAATTATAGGATGAGAAAGGAGGTACGTACATATGAAGGGTGGCATACATACATACCTTGATTTGCTTGCTTGAATGGGGTTTATTATTGTTGAGTGTTATATGGGATTCGGAGAGGTGGTAACTCGCGAGAGTTGCTTTGCCTTTTCAAATCAAACAGTTTACTTGTTGGATGGAAGCATAGGAGTCTGGGAAATGAGCAAGGGTTGGGAAAAGATCACAACGGGCCTTGCATTTCTGGCGTGGTTTGTTTGGTTTTAATTGGCTGATGGGTGGATGGATGGCTTTCGTAATCCTAGCTACGTACTTCGTAAATATTGAGGATGACCTACCACTTGATCTCAGTGTCTTTCTGAGTGTCATGAACAGACCGGGCCCGCTCAAGAGATGGACAATCATCCTCAAATTCCCATTTCCTCATATGTAGTGAGTCACGCACATGCCGACATCACTAATAATGCAAAGGAGCCAATCCTCAAATGCGATCTTTAGGTAATTCCACTGTATCTACTCGCTTTGTCTCACCCATTACTAAATGGAGTGGGAAAGATACCTTGGTACCTATGTAACAGGAAAGAGAAAAGCCTCAAGTGTCCTGGGTCAATCAGTCCATAACCGCAACCTCGTAACCGCAGTGAAGCGCATACTATTGAGCCTAGTACCTAATAAAGTACGATACGTGCGCAAGTATCTAGCATCTCTTTAGCATCTCTTCGTAGAAGGGAAAAAAAAAAAACAAAAACAAAAAACAAAAAACACCTCAAACGCCGCCATATCCGCAGATCGTCAGTCAGCAAATATCTAACACCTGCAAAGATCTCGGAAAGGAAAAGCAAAAACGAAAAACTTAGTCTACATGTAACAGCTTCTCCCCTCCCTCCTTCTCCTCTTCACTCGCACTCCGGCTCGCTCCTCAAACTCCGAAATGAGCTGAGCTAACCGACCGACTAACTGACTACATGCCTTATGACATCGCGAGCCCTGCGGCTGGCCACTCGGCGAAATCACAGGATAGATAGGGATTCAGTCAGCAGCAGTAGTCTGTCAAGATTAGTCGGATGGATAATAGAAGATGATGTGGTTGATGGAGGGAGTTGTAGGTAGCAGTAGTAGGTAGCCAGAATCTCATCTTCTTTTCTTGTTTATTCGATTGTTGGGTAAATTTGTTTTGCTTTTTGTTCCCAGCCCAAACCAACCGGACCAACCAGAACCTGCCGAACAACCAACTAACTAACTAGCCCTTGGATGGGGGATGATATGAAAAGAGAAGAAACGGATCAGCTGCAGCAATCGATATACGACAATGTGAAGAGGGGGAAGGCAGGTTGTATGCATCGGAACAGAAGTGGACTAAAAGAACAAAGCTTTTCCTGCGCCGGTTCTCCAGAGAATTTTTGGGTCTTGGTGGGTTGGTGTGTGTGTGTGTCTTTGCATGCGGTGTTGAGGAGCTTTGAGGATGGCTTAAGCCGACACAGCGGGGGCCTCAGCCTTGGTGTCGACCTTCTTGGCCGGGGGAGCCTCAGCGTTGTCGTCCTCGCGCGCGCGCTTGCCGTTGGCCTCGCCGTTCTTAGGGGCGGTCGACTGGATGGTCGGGATTTGCACACTGTAGGAAAGCTGTTAGTAAGTGACAAAAAGCAAGACGACCGAAAGAAAGTAAAGATAGCATACTCATTGGTGCTGGGACGGGTCTCCTCCTTCTTCTGCTCGCGCTTCTCGTGGCTGTCGCGGGAACCGCCACGGCCACCACGACCACCGCGACCCCTACCACGGCCACGGCCGTTTTTGTGGCCGTTCTTCTGATCATCACTGTTCTTCTTGTCGTTGCTGTTGCGATCGTTACCGTTGCGGCCGCCACGGCCACGTCCACGACTACGGGGACCGCGCTCCCTGCCCTCGAAGAAAGTCGGCTTGCGGCTGGTGCTGGGTTGAATGATGCCCTCCTTAATCTGGCGATTCTTCTCCTCCAGGTAGTCGATCTTCTTCATGACGATCAGAGGTTCCTTGCTGTCCTTCCAAGTCGGCTTAGGATCCAGCTTGACGAAGGCGTCCGCGAGCTCGGGGCTCTCGAACTCTACGAAGACGGAGCCCTTGAAGGTGTCATCGGCCGTGCGACGCAGCTTAACCATCTTAATAGGACCGTAAGGAGCGAAGAAGGCCTCAATGTCGAACTGCGTCGACGGCTCCTCCTCGCCGAAGCCCTTGACATAGACGCTGGACTCCAGGCGGCGCTTCTGCGCTTCGGTCGAAGACTTGTAGGGAACCTTGCGCTTGACGACCTCCTCGCCCTCAGGACCGGAGATCTCGAGGAAGTTGCTCTCGCGCAGAGCGGCCACGACGGCGCTGTAGGGCTGGAATTGCCTCATGCGCTTGAAGCTGCAGATGGTCTTAAGGGGCATTGGCTTGTTCGCCTCGCCGCCAGTGCTCTCCCACATGAACTTGTCGATGGGAAGGTTGCTATCGCTGAAGTAGAACTCAACCTGGGTGATGTGTCAGTTTAGTTTGGCTGGCTGTGGTTAACGCATCATTGTAGAAATTGTCTTACCTGAGCGCGAATCTTGACGGGGTCATCAGTGACAGGCATGGTAGTAGGATCGAACTTTTTGTTCTTCTTGAATTCCTTCCGACCGGTCTGGGGCTTCTGCTCGGAGGCTTTCTCATCCTTCGTCTCAGCGGCAGCGGCGCCGTTCTGGGGCTCAGTGGTCTCCTTAGCCTCAGCAGTCTCAGTCGCCGGGGCCGAAGGAGCGGTCTCCTGGGCAGTCTGAGTCTCTTGGGCGGCAGCGGCCACCTCAGGCTGCTCCTTCGTGGCGACGTCGCTCATTGTGATGAATGTTTTGAATTGGTGGCGATGCGCCAAAGGACGATGCGACAAGATATGAAGGGGCGATGGGGGAAAAAGTTAGAGAAGAGATGGCAGATGGATGACGGTCAGGTACAGGACACTGAACCAGCAACTTCTCGAGGATGAGGAGGGTAAACGGAATTGGACGGGAAGAAGGAGGGTAAAAGTTGTGCGATTGGGGGGAGAAAAGCGACAGTTTGAAGAGAAGTGACCCAAATTTGTTGGTGGGGTAGGAGGAAACTGAGCGGCGCATGCGAGACGATAAGTGCAGATAAAGCAGCCAGAACAACCAGGAGCGCTGGAGCAGGGGATCGCACATGTGGCCTGGGAGTCACCGGGATGCGCCAGCCACCGCGAGTCAACGTCGACTTGACTCGCACTAGGAGAACAATTTGCAGCGCTTTAATCGACAATCATTACAACTTACAACACATTATGGACTGACACATTTTCTCCGACACAAGCTATTGTAGACTGCCAGCTATTGTACCCAACACAGCGCTGTCGCACAGCAATCTACCTCTTCCGCCTTCAGACCTGCCTATTGTAAACCAAACACTGCAAAATGCACCGTACGTTGGCAGCTACAGTCGCCCCATTGCTTGCTGGTTGCTCGATTGCTCGGTTGCTCCGCACACTCAAGCCAAATGTCAACATTGGCGGCGCGACTCCCTACGAACCAGCGCAGGCAGCGAGCGTGTCAAAAAATAAAAAAAAAGGGAAAAAAAAGGGGTCCCCGCTATCGGGACCCCACCACCTCATGCATGCAGCGCATCTCCAGCTTCTTTGCCCCGAATTGCTCACTGCTCAATATGCTGCTTTCTGCCGCTTCTTACCGCCCGCTAGCAGCTGACTCAGAAAACCAAGCCGCGGAGGGCCAAGTCACGTAGCCTGGCCCGAGCGCCAATCTCACGTGAGGGGCAGTGGCCGGGAAGCGGGAACAAGGGGAAAATCTTTTGCGACAGAAAGTGCTGGGCAGGCCGTTGAGATAGGTGAGCAGCGAGCTGTCGTGCCAACCATTGACAGCGCCAGACACGCCAGATTCGACCACCAGCTTGTTCATACCTTCTCTGCTGGTCGAGCTCTCTGCAGGGCGAAGCAGGGTCTGGTGTGAAGTTGCACGGGGGTGCGCCAATTGCACGCAGAGATCGAGTGTACCTCGAGTCAAGCCTGAAAAAAAAAAAGCCTAAACAACAACCAAGATGAAGCAGCGCAGGTTGATGCGTTTCCATGGCCTTCGTCGGCCTGTGAGTCGAGCTCTGTTCCTCCCACGACCCCATTCCCGGCTGACCTGCCCTCCCCCCAGCGTGTCCGGCAAACATGGAACAAGTACAACCTGTACAATCTCGCCCGTCTGCGGACGCCCTCCCTCAACTCGAAGACCTTTTTCCAGCAGAAATGGATCGCCAAGTCCCTGACCCGCGGCTACCACGGAGAGCACATCAAGGAGCATCAGTGGGAGCGCATGTTCAGCCGCCGTCTGCTCTCCGCAGTCAACATGGACCCCCGCTACATGGCCCGTTACGATGGTAGTGAGCAGGGCGCCGGCCGCGGTTCCGGTCTCAAGGGCATGACCGACAAGATCAAGAACCCCGGCAACCTTAACCTGCCGACTCCTTACATGCAGATGACCTTTGCTCCGCAAGAACGTCGTCTGGATATTGCCATCTTCCGTGCTTGCTTTGCCAGCAGTGCCAGGCAAGCCCGTCAGTTCGTCCTGCACGGCGCTGTGACGGTCAACGGGAAGAGGGTATGTGCCATATCCTGCGCTTTGTTAGGGCCCTGATCATATCTGACCCCTTCTTCCTACAGATGCGCCACCCGCAATACCTCCTCAATCCCGGCGACATGTTCCAGGTCAACATTGAGCGCGTCATGACCGCAACCGGCAAGCCGAAGCCCTACCACCAGGCCCGCGAGGCCGAGCAGCTTATGGGCGGCTCCAAATCCGCCGAAGGAGAGGAAGGAGAAGGGGAAGAGGCCGAGTCTAAGGAGGAGGAAATCCCTGCCGAGGCCGAGTCCACACCCGAGGACCGCGAGGCCCGGCGCAAGGAGCACCTGCAGAAGCTGGCGGACCTAAAGAAACGCACTAAGGCCATTATCGAGGACAAGGCGACAGCCAAGCAGAAGAAGCAGCTGCGCGGCTTCATCAAAGAGCTCAACAAGGCCATCCAGCAGGCTGCGAGCAAGAAGGACCTGCGCGAAGCCAGCGAACTGCAGCGCGTCGAGGCCGGTCTTGCCGAACTCTTCGACACCCTGTCTTTGACTCCAGCAGAGCGCCACGCCAAGGAGCGTGAGAAGGCCGCTGCGGAAGCCAAGGAGGACAGCAGCGAAGAGGTCACCGAGTCGGCCAGCACTGAACCCGCCGCCGCCGAGTCTTCCCCTGCTCCCAGCAGCGAACTGGTCACCCCCTCTACCACCTCCGAGCCCGCCCAACAATCCTCTTCCCCTTCCCAAACCACCTCCAAATCCACCGCCGACGAACCCCTCGACCTCTCCTCCCTCGAGAAAAAGATCCTCGCCCGGCTCCTCCGCGAAGAGCGCGAGAACCCCTACGACCCCACCAAGCCCTACAAGACGCCCTGGGAGCCCAAGCCGTGGATGTCGCCCTTCGTCTTCATCCCACGCTACCTCGAAGTCAATCAGCGCATCTGCGCCGCCGTGTACCTCCGTCACCCGGTCGCGCGCCCGGGTCGTTCCGAGGTGCCCTCGCCGTTCTCGAATACGTTGGCGCAGTTGGCGTTTAATTGGTATCTTAAGAGGCGTTGAGCAGGAAGCTTGTTGGGGAGACTGGTTCTTTCGCATTTTGGTCAGTTCGGTTGGAGAGGGGGGACAGTTGTGGGTTTGTAATAGAGGCTGCTGGGTGGGGAGGTTAGACTGTGGTTTGGTTGGGTTAAGAGGTACACCGGCTTAGGAGGAAGGGAGTTATGACGATCCCATTCCCTCCATGAAAGACGGTTGTGGATGCTGCACGGGCTGACTGGCTAGTTAGCTGGGAGGTAGGTTCGGTCATAGACAGCCGAGACATGGAAGAGGAGGAAAATATGTGTGCATACCATGCTACGACGAGTCTGGCTTCTTTTTCAAGCCCCAGCTTGCATGTATTCTATCTATTTACTAGAGGTGTAACTTGTACAATACCATGGAATGGATTGGTATTTACGGCCTGCATTCTGGTTCTGGCCATCTAAAGGTAATTTTCGTTAGGCCTGGTCATGCAAAATAGTGCTTTGTCAACTTTAACCGTCACAACAGACATTACACAGCAAGTCGATCAAAGTATCGATAGCAAAAAACCATTTATTCATTACCACTTGCATCAACCTAAAAACTTGACGCTCCCCCTCCCCCCTTCCAAAAAAAAAAAATCGACCGCAAGGGCGAGGCATCACCAAGAGTAAACCACAACCATTTATTTCAGACAGACACTAAGTAAAGCCACACACAGCACAGCACATAGACACACAGGCACAAGACAATAAAAACTAATGTGAGGGAGCACTAACTAATTGACTAAGTAGACATAAAACAACTAGGAAAACAGGCCGTGAAGGGGGGTGGGTAGTGTGTGGCCGAAGCCAGCGCGAGACTAGTTAATAGAGACAGAGACAGAGAGAGCGAGTGTTGACCCGAGGGCGACAGGAAATTTGACTGATGACAAAGTTACGAGAAAAAAAAAGTGAAAGAGGGGTGTAAACGAAGACAGGAAGCCGAATATCCGGGTATAATCGGGGCAAAAAAAAAAAGGGCAAGATAAAAAACGTGTGAGCAGATAGCCGTTCTCTCCTTTTTTTTTTGACTCCTGCGCCCTCTCATCCAAGCACGAGAAAAAAAAAAGTAAACCTCCTCATCCCTTGTTCCCGAATCACTACCAATTTCTCCATCCGCAGCCCGCCCTGTATTCATAGATAACGCTCGTCCCTTCAGGTTCCAAAAGAGATGTAGGAAAAAGCAACCCATTACAGTTAATCGGAGGCATATCGAATGACTTGCTGGTCATGAGAGAACCAGCAGGAAGCCGGTTGCGCCGTGGACGTAAACCGACGTAACCGCAGGAAATGGTAGGGAATAAAGGTACAACCTGATCATCATGTCCCCAGGTCATACCATTGTCCAATTCTCATTTCCCCATCTCAGAACGCTGCCCCCAATCCCGCTCCCTGACGGAAGCCGAGACCGTAAATGGGTACCGAAGCAAGGCGAGACTGCAAGGGCCCACCGCTGCAACAAGCGTCTTCGACTGCCTCCGTGGCCATTCATGCCGTGAGCATTAGAGGGGTTGCAATTAAATACCGAGGACAGGAGGGGAAAGAAGAACAACCAAAGGAAAGAGGCGGCGGGCGGGTGCAGCATGATACTGAGACGGGTCGTGGAAGAGATTGCAAGAGGTGAACGGGCGTTTACCGAAGCGAGAAACCCTTCCGCTTTGGTTCCTTCTCCAGTGGCCGCCCGCTCTCGAGTCTTGCCTTCTTCTCTTCGAGCTCCATCCGCTGCCGCTCGAGTTGCTCTTTCATCTCGCGATGGCGAGCATAGAGCTCCTCTTCGCTCTGCCGCAACTTGGCCTCCTTCTCGGCAACCTTCTGCTGGAAGACCATCTTCATCTCGGCTTCCATCTTGGCGAGCTTCTGCTCGTGCAGGAGACGCTCTTCCTCCTGCTTGACGGCCGGGTTGACCTCCTTGAAGACGCTCGGGTCTTGTGAGACGCCCATGGCGAGCAGCTTGTCGGTGCGGTAGTTCTCGTAGAGGACGTTGTTGGTATGCTCCTTGAGCTCCTCCATGTGGGTACGGATGAGCATCTGGCGGAGCTTGACGAAGTCGCAGTGTTCCTCGTTGTCGACCTCAATGATACCCCACGGGTACTTGCGGCCACGGACCCTGCGCCCATCGGCGTTGACGACCTCAGTGTTAGCGCCAACAACGGCGAAGGGAACCTTCGACATGATCTCGTTGTTCTCGGCGATCGTCTCCTCGTCGTCCAGCTCGTAGCGGGGACCCTCGAAGATCTGAATGTTGTGGTACTTGATATCGGCGAGAATCTGGAACTAAGTCAGCTTTGGTCCAGGACTACATCATATGGAAAAGAACGCACCCTCTGCTTGAAGGCAGTAACCTCCTCATCGGTCAGAGTATCGGCCTTGGCAATGACAGGGATCAGGTTGACCTTGGTGTGGAGGCGCTTCATGACCTCGATATCGAGGGGTTTCAGGGAGTGGCCCGTGGGCTGGATGAAGTAGACGCAGGCATGGATGCGGTTGTCGACAATATTGTGGCGGTTGATCTTGTTCTCGGCATCGAGATAAGCATCGAAGCGCTGCTCAATGTTGTCGACAATAGGCCTCCAGGACTCATCGTTGTTGACGAAGTCACCAAAACCGGGGGTATCGACGACGGTCAGCCGCAGACGGACGCCCGCCTCCTCAATATCCGCGCTGATAGACTGGATCTGAACGGTCTTGGGCACGATGTCCAGGCTGGGACCTTTGCGCTCCTTTGGGGGGTACAGGGAGGTGTTGAAGAGGGTGTTAACCAGAGTCGACTTTCCGAGACCAGATTCACCTGACACATTCATGAGCATCTCAAGCTGAGCGTAGGGACTTGTGTTCGAACCAACTCACCGACGACCATCACGTTGAAGTTAAAGCCCTTGCGGACGCTCTTGCGGTGCCACTGGTTGGGCAGGTTGGCGAAGCCGACATAGCCTGTGAGCTTGCGGCGGATGATGTTCTTATTGTCGGTGCTGCTAGCTTGTTGGGGAGCTGCGGCCTTGGTGTCAGAAGGTGTCTGGCGAGAAACCTCTGATCCGGCTGACGAAGGGTTGTCAAGCTGCGCGCCTGGCGCCGCCGGCTGGGGGTTGGGGATGTTGTCAATACCGTTTGAAGCTGCAGAAGGGTCAAGTTAGCATCCACGCTCACACAGTTTCCTGCTTACTAAGAATACAGTGGCCGCGGGCATCAGGGACACGCAAGATGCTGACAGTCGTCTACTTTCTTGGCCGAAGCTTCTTCGGCAACCATTGGCTCAGGCTCAGGCTCAGGCTTGTGTTTGGGCTTGGGCTCAGGAGGAGGTGGTGTCGGACTCTTCGGATACAGCTCCTCGTAGTTGAGGGGTTTCGTCATCGGCAGCATTGGCGCCTTGGAGCTCGGGGGAGGTCCATAAGGCTGCACTATGGTTCCGGGATTTTCCAGCTTGCTGATGACGGCCGGTAGGCTGCTGACGCGATGGCCAGGAGGTGTCTGAAAGGGGAATGGATCTCGAGGAATAGAGGACGGAGAGGCCAGCTTCGTAGTATCTGAGCCCGCCTGGCTCCTGGTGCGAGACTTGGCATGTTGGATCATGGTGTTGAAGTGCATCTTTGATGGACTGTAGGCAGTCGGATGCCGGGTGGTTTATGATGACAGTCCAGTTTCCAGAGGGGTGGGGAAAAAAAAGCCAGGCTTTCCCAAGAAATCCTAGAGATGGCTGGCTGCTGGATTTCGGGCTCGCGTTATCGAAGCAACCTGGAACGAGGAGAGATGCAGACGCATTCCCGGCTCGACAGGAAACCTCCATGGAATGGAACAGACGACCGACACACCACGCAGTCCGGGCCCATCCCGTCCTGAGCTGTTTATGGCGCTGAAGACCCAAGAGCCGCAGCACGGCAAGCGTTCCCCGGAATGGAGCCCACGGCCTGGGCAACTCCCCACAATGGAACATAAAAAAGTGAGCCGTCCTTACCCATTGTGACTACTGGTATGTTGTGGCTGTGGTAGCGAGGGAATCAGTCGTAATCGGGAGGAAGAAGATCAAAACGAGAGGAAGGCGCGAGTTCTGTGACAGGCCGAAAAGGCGTCTGCTGTTAGCTTTGTCGGATGGGGAAAAGACACAAGCATGGACAACGGAGAGTGGGAGGAAAGGGGAATCGATAGGTGCTTGTTGCGGGTTGCTGTGTGCGGCTGCTGGAAGGTGACGGGAGCACGCGACTGGTCGAGACATGATGCACGCCCAAAGGGAGGGAACCAACGAGAGTTAGCGGGCTAGGGAGCATCCATTGGAGCCCAGACCGGGCTCGGGCGACTCCAGCGCAACTTCCAGCTTCCAATACCCGCGATTTCGCGACACCAAACCATCCGTATAGCATAGCCTCTGCGAAGACGCAATGGGCCATGTGCGCAGCGGAATCGCAGCGTCGAGCAACACTTGACTCAGTCAGGGGGGCAGCCATCACATACCAACTCGGGTCAGGGAGATGACACTCGTAGAGTCGCGTCGTCGGGAGGGGGGGGGGGAGAGGTCGATCGAAGCGCGACGGCTCGGTTGCTCGATGGAAGAGGAAGGGAAAATGGGCGGCGTCAAAGCTCACGCTGAAGGCGCGTAGGAATGACGACGAAAAGAGCGATGAGAAGGTCAGGAAAGGCTGAAGGGGAATGGGAAGGCAAAGGTTAGGCAGTCGGGCCAGGCAGGCGTGGGCATTCAAGAATCGAGATCAAGGGAAAAATTTAGGGTGACGGTGCGACGACCAGGCCTGGGAGATTAAGCTGTTTGGCTGCTTCCGCTGGGGGAGCAAAAGGGGTTTGCGCCAATCCTCCCGCTGGGTCGCTGCGTGCCAAAGTTGGCCTGGCGAGAGAGCTGCCCAGCGCAGGGGCCGTGCTAACGGTAGATTAGCTGACCGGGGTCTGGGTGATTCGCGCAACGTGATTGGCTGAGAGGAGGGCAATCCCCAGGCCAAGCAGCGTGACCTCTTTTGGGCTGGGGATCCACTGCAAGCCAATGATGGACGTCGATGTTTCTCGCTCGCCCGCACTGGACACGAATCCACACACGTCCGCTGCACGTTCGGGCGAGCTGCAAAGGGGGCGAGGAAAAGCAACAAGCAAGCAAACCATCCGATGCGGACGATGACAGCAGCATATGTGCAACTCACTCGACGGCAGGGAAACGGTGGAAGCGTGAAACGCTAGGGCTGGATACGAGAGGCAGACGACCCCAGATCACGTTTTCTCGTGATGGGAGGACCCTGGCTGCTGCCCGCCCGTCGGCTTGGTCTGGGTTCTCGCAGACTGGCATCCACTTTCCACGGCGATGGACGGCGCCGAGCATTCCATCCCTGACCGGCGACGGGAAGATGATCCAGACGGTCCAGCGGACGTCCGCAATTGTGACAGACAGTCAACACCAATTTCTACACTGCAGTTACGGACAGTAGCATCTCCGTCCCCAATAGCACCATATTCGTGTAGGCATATTAACTTTCAGGTTTACTTTTAAGATGCTTCACCTGCGCTTTGTACATATCTTGGTTCTTGGTGTTCTGTACCTATTCGACAACAATCAGCATAGTCTGGACGCGGCTCGAAGGGACCCGACCAGGGGTCCACCGGTCCCCTAGTCTCCCTATCTTTTATGAAGGACATGCCCTGATTTACCTGAGCATTTATTTCGACAGACAGCCTTTATCCGTCTCGACGCCAGAATCAAGGCATCATCCACGGTTGCCGCAAGCCTGCAAGTGTGTGGACCCTGCATTGAGAGAGCAAGGGGCCGATCTAGATCATGAGAGCGGCTTGCCCAATGGCAGAGAGCATTCCATTCCGTCTATCGTGCAGCTCCAAACATCCGCTCAACGATTTTAGTGACCATGCAACGCAGAGTTGAGGTTGCACAGGAGGGGTTGAGAGAGAGCTTCCAGCCTATGAAGTTGACGTTGCGAGTCGACTCGACCCCTCATTTAGTTCTCTAGATAGACTGTTTGAATGAAAAGCCCTGAGGACATCCGACCCAAGTTTCATCAACAAGTTGTTGAAACTAACTGATGTCGAGAGGTCGAGAAACAAGGAAACATCGGCTGTTGAAATGAGGAGTGGGTCCTCTCTGCAACCCAAACAACAACCCTGTCCCGCAACAACACCACATGGGCGGGGACCCTGATTATCGCCGAGCCCCTTGGTGAAGATGATGACATTTGTTGTTGCCAACAACTGAGTTGCGGTTGAGTCTGATCTGCATCCGTACTTTTTTATAACGACTTCATCTTATCCCTACACACAAATTGGAAGGCGGTAAACAGCTATAAGGCACAGGAGCTCATCCAACCAAACAGGGGTTAGGGTTACCAACTTACAGCAAGACATGTCTCTAAGAGTCTTACAGCTGAGATAGAGATGCACTTACACGGCAAAGACATGACGGCTCTAAGCCGTCTGAAGGTTACCAATTCCTCATGGGCAAAATCAGGTCTGTCCCTGATAAGAGGCAGACCACGGATATCTCGATATGGCCTGGGCATGGCTATGCTCTCCCATCCACGCCGCTCATTCCTCCTATCCTCTCGCCCAACAAAAACGCCCCTGAGCAAGCGTCTCTCCCTAATTTTCACCAGCATGCTATTCGCATTCTGGCTGTATCCAAGTGATAGCCATCATCACTGTCATTCCTTAGCCCATCTCAATGACGGCCGCCACCACACCAGTTCCTTCCACGACAGACCATCAAGAGAATATTCCCCCAAAGAAGACGAAGAAAATGAAACAGCCTGGTCCCGCTTCGTCCACTCCATCTCCAACACCACCTTCATCCCCTCAGCCGACGCCCTCTCCGACAAGGTGATCGACATGCTCATGCCGGAATGGACGAAGCTCATCCCAGGCTACATCCGCAAGCTCCAGCGCGAGCTGAGCCTCGCCCCGGGCTCGCTGGCTGCTGAGATATGGCGCGAGGCCCAAGATCCCTACGTGCACCCGGAGATCCGATACGCCGCTAAAGTCCGCGTGTCGAACGACTTGTGCGATGAGGAGAAGGAGTTTTTGGCTAGGAGGAAACGGATGATCGTGCCTGCGCTGGCGAAGTATCTGGGTGTGGATGAGGGAGATATTTGTCCAGATGATGTGCCTACGATTGCGATGTGTGGTTCGGGAGGCGGTTTAAGGGCATTGGTTGCGGGTACGGGGTATTTCTCGGCGGCTTCGGAGGATGGACTGTTTGACTGCGCGACGTATGTTTCGGGTGTGAGCGGGTCGTGCTGGTTGCAGTCGCTTTATTATTCGTCTGTGACGGGCGGGAGTTTTTTGAAGGCTATTGACCATTTGAAGACAAGGTTGGGGACGCATATTGCTTATCCGCCGGTTGCGTTTAATGCGTTGACATCCTCGCCGACGAACAAGTACCTACTTAGCGGACTGATTGAGAAGCTTAAGGGGGATCCAGGTGCCCAGGTTGGTCTGGTTGACTTATACGGCATGCTGCTGGCAGCTAGACTTCTAGTTCCAAAAGGAGAGCTAGGTGTCCATGAAAAAGACTTCAAGTTGTCCAACCAGCACATCTACATCAAGTACGGGCAAAACCCCTTGCCCATATATACGGCCGTCCGACATGAGATCCCAGAATCTTCCTCAGAAGTAGAGGAAGAGACCAAAGCCCAAGCCCAAGCCCAGGCCAAGAAGGATGCTTGGTTCCAATGGTTCGAAATGACCCCCTACGAGTTCTTCTGTGAAGAGTTTTCCGCCGGCATCCCAACCTGGGCTCTGGGTCGCAAATTCAACAACGGCTCTGATGTCCCCTCACCGACTGCAGAAGGCAGCACCCGCTTGCCAGAGATCCGTTTACCATTGCTCTTAGGCATTTGGGGCAGCGCTTTCTGTGCTACGCTTAGTCACTACTACCGCGAGATCCGGCCGCTGGTGAAGAATCTCACTGGCTTCGCTGCCCTGGATGACTTAATCTGGGCATATGACAAGGACATGAGTGTTGTCCATCCCATCGAGCCGGCTGCCATTCCCAACCCGGTGTACGGGATGCATGGCCGACTGCCGCAATCTGTGCCCAAGGGGGTGCTCGACAATGAATTCATCCAGCTGATGGACGCTGGAATGTCGAACAACCTGCCTATCTACCCCTTGCTCCGGCCGGGTCGCAACGTTGACCTGATCATCGCCTTCGACTCCTCAGCCGACATCAAAACCGACAACTGGCTCTCCATCGTCGAGGGCTACGCCAAACAACGCGGTATCAAAGGCTGGCCGGTCGGCATCGGCTGGCCCAAGGAGGACGAATCCCCCTCCCGAACGGCTGCTGAACTCTCCCAAGCAGAGAGAGCAGCCGAAACCACACCCTCCCCTCAACCCCCTGCATCCCAAGCCCCCATTGAACCCTCTCGCAATATCCCCTTTGAACAATCCGTCCAACAAAAAGCCTCTAAAACCCTAGGCTACTGCACAATCTGGGTCGGCACGACCCTCACCTCTTCAACGCCTACCCCCGCAACCCCGATCTCCCCCACGACCATCTCCCACCTCCTTCATCCCCACGCCGGCATAGCCGTCGCATACTTTCCCCTGCTAGCCAACGAGAAGGTCGCGCCGGGAGTGGATGTCGCGACAAGCGAGTTCATGAGCACGTGGAATTTTGTATACACACCGGAGCAGGTTGAGCAAGTGGTACGGTTGGCGAGGGGGAATTTCGCGGAGGGGAGGGATCAGTTGAAACGGGTGGTCAGGGCGATTTATGAGAGGAAGAGAAAGGCGAGATTGGAGAGGGAGCAGGCAGAGAGGGAGAGGAGGTTGGTTTGGGGGTTTGGTGAGTTTGTTTAAATGAATGAAGAGGGTATGATGATGATGAGCAGATAACCTGACAGATGAAAAGATGATAAGAAACATAGAGCTCACGAAGAGAGAAATGGCAAATCTAAAGACGTTACATCATATCGTATACATACATAAGCCACATTTTGTTGTCTACATCACCAACAGAATAATATACATACACTACACTGGCACGCCCGACCTTCTTTCCCAACTCCTCTCAAACATGTTCACCGACCAGGAAGCTTGTGCATTTGCTTGCATGCTGCTTTGCCGACCCGGATGACGATGATGGCGCGATTGTGCTAATATACAAAGTAGACATCCCCTTCACCTCCTCTCTTGTTCTTTTCCCAGAAAACACACACACACACACACACACGCGCACGAGGAGCGTGGGATCATGTTGTCATCATTCTCTTTTTTCCCCCTATATTCCCTCTATACTCCCATCGTTTCCCCCTCCACCACCCCCCCCCCCCTTCCTTCCTATTTCTATCGACCACAGATAAGGGTATCATGCCCCCTCTCTTCATGCCTCTACAACACACCCACTGCACGTATAATAATAAACCCCCACAAATACAGCCACAGCGACAGGCACAGCTTACCGGGCAACAACCTCACCTATATCGATATACACAGGCTCCCACGGACGAGCATCCTCAGCCAGCATATCGCTCGGCACACGGACATGCTCGCCCGGGCTGTACAGGTACCAAGCTTTGAGGGCGTTGATGGCTGCCTTGGTGCGGGCGTGCTCGAGGCTAGAGGCGGCGCCCTCGCCGAGCTTGTCCTTGCCGGAGAATATGCCGACCACGAAGACGGGGGTTCGAGACAGACGACCCGTCTCGCTCAGCAGGCGAGCAACAGGCGGCTCAAAGTCCTCACGGGCGCACAGCATGGACAACTCGCGGGTAGGCACATGGAAGGCGAACAGTTTCTCGAGGTCGAGAGTGCGCGAGAGGATGTGGGCCTTGACGAAGGCCTTGACGGGCTCGCGGCCGCAGTGGGCATAAACGGCGCCGACAATGGCGCGGCAGGCGTTGGCGTAGGCGCGCTCGGCGAGTTCCCGCGTGTAGGCATTACCGTACTCCGTGTCCGAGCGCTGCTTCAGCTCGGCGGCCTTGCGCTCGGCGTCCTCCTGGTCGTCAACCAGCTCGCCAAAGTCGTCGTCAAAGACCACGCGGCTGCTCAGCCCGTGCCGCCACTTGTACTTCTTGACGCCCTCCAGCTCGGCGCGCCGGTAGCCGAAGGTGACCAGGGCCTTGCCCGGGTTGTGCAGCGAGAACTGCAGCAGGCCCGGGTCGACCTCGCCGCCGGGGGCGGTGGTGTGCTCGATACCCCACGACCGGGCTACGTGGTGCAGGGCGGTCGGGCCAGCGTAGCCTTTCATGGCGGCGTATAGGATGTTCATGGGCAAGCGCGGATAGCGCACCATGAGCATCTCAGCCACGTGGTAGTTGATGATGGTCTGGCCGACGAAGGCGAGGTTCGTGTTGTTGAACAGCGGGTTCTCGTCGGCAGAGGCGTCGACCAGCGCGCGGGCCAGTGTCTGGAGGGGCAGTTTTTGCGGGAGCGATAGACGAGCATGCAGCGCGGCCAGCTTGGCCGACTTGAGCGCGCGGTCTGGATGCGGGGAAGGCAGCTTGGTCACCTTGGGCGGCAGCTTTTCGAGAGGGGGAAAGCGCTCCAAGTTGAGGCCTTCGTAGAACTCGGGGTCTTCTGGGACGTTGATTAGTTTGTCGGGGTTGGGCGTTGTGCTGGAAGGCGCCGATGCCGCGGGGGCCGCCGTCGACTGGTATCTCGCGGGGCTGCTTCTTGATCTAAGGCTAACGGACACGGAAGCGGAGGCCCCGGGGGCCATCGAGGTGCAGACTGGGGCGCCAGAGGGCCGGGCTGCGAGCAGATGGCTCGTCCATCTGTCGAGTCGTAACCTCTTCATGGGGATAGATCGGTGATTATGGTGTAGATGTGGTGAGAATGATAAGGGTGATGACCGTGGTGGGGAGGGACCGCACGCAAAACTGAGCCTCTTTTTGGGTCGGTAAAGCCTTTTTCCTCCCGAATAGAAGCGACTTCTAGGCTCCCAGCGCACTCAGCTCGGTCGAGGACGGTCGTGGGTGGTATACTGCCGGTTGTGTGCGGTGCCGTGGCTTCCCAATCGCCGTCAGTCGCCCGTGGACGGAGACGAAAAAAGTTCTCCAATTGTGATGAGCTCGCTGGACCGGCCCGCCGCGAACAGGGGTGCCACCTGGCCCGCTCTCTACCATCAGCGTTCAAATCTAGCCAATCCAGAGCCCTATTGTGCTGACATAAGCATCTGTGCCAAGCCCGGGGCGGCCTTGTGCTTGGCGGTCGGTTTAACGGGTACGTACCCCATCTAACCCTCCAGCTCCCAGGGACCGTTCCCCTCCCCACCCTTTGGGCCCAGGCCAGCCAGTGAGATCGCTTTTTCGAGCCGTTTGATTGATTGGCCCGCGGTGTGCACAGACGACAGCGGCGAGCAGCAGCAACGTTCTGGAGCAGCAAAGCCACTTCGACATCTATCCAGGCCCTCCCAGCACCAACCTCGCTTTACTCCTCGTAGCCGGTCAAAATGGTATGTGTGTGCTTCCCTAATTGATTTGTTGCCCTACTGACGAGCATATTCCTGCAGGGTGGCGGTCCCAAGATCCCGTGAGTTCCCCTCCATCTGGTCGAATCAACGCACCACCATCGCCAACAGGCGCCCATGCGCACCAAGCACGACGACGACTGACCTGCCTGCTTTACCGTTCAGCTACCCCAAGCACGTCTGGTCGCCGGCTGGTGGTTGGTACGCCCAGCCGGCTAACTGGAAGCAGAACACCGCCATCTTCGGCCTGGTAATCTTTGGCATTACCGCCATGGTCTGGAAGTATAGCGCCGAGCATGAGGTTCGCCATAAGATGCCCGAGCCCGACCGGTTCTATCCTAGCAGATAGTATGTCCTTTCTCTCATACGTGGGTGTTCAGCCAGAGACAGGGCTAATCGTTGAACAGCTGGGTCAAACAGATCAAAGACTACGAGCGGGCGCAAAAGGAGAAGCAGCAGAACAATACCGAGGCGTCATCATAATGCCGCAGTGCTTTGCCCATCGGGGTGTAGACTGTACTGTACATGAAAAATAGAGGTTGTGTTCTGCTTGCCAATCATGGAAACAAGGTCATTGTGTTGTCTCGGTTTTTTTTTGTCCGACAATGACGCCGCCTGCACCATGCCTTCTTTGTTGCTGTCAACGTTCATAAAGCTATTGTGGAAACTCTGAGGTGCCATGACTCTCATAGCATTCAGCGTGCCAATACTCAGCTTCCAGCATTCGAATCCTCCCTATGGTATCCGTCCCGGTCCATCTCTCTGTCACCTAATATCACCATCCGCAATGGCTAACGATAGCTGTTTCGTCCCCGACCCCAAATTCACCTTCTACTTCCAGCCCAGCTACAATATCATCTGCGCCATCTGCCACGACACCCAACTCTATCTCTCCTCCGAGAGCTTGCCGCTCAAGGACAGCGACCCGTCCGTCCTGCCCTGCGGTCATGTCTTTGGCCACGAATGCCTGACCAGCTGGCTGCGCTCGCACAACACCTGCCCCGTGTGCCGCTTCGAGCTCAAATTCGAGCTCTGCCCGCACCGCATCCTGCCCCGTCGACTGACGCGCGAGAATGTTTTCTTGTGCCCTCTGACCGTCCCCGACGGTGGCAAGGTTAAGACGCAGTGTGCTAAGTGCACAGTCGAGACCGGAAAGCGGGTGTATGGGGACATCTGGAAAGACCTCGTGGCGCCGTACTATACACATAAGCGAGATTATGAGCGGACGGGGGATGAAAGGTATAAGCGGCTGATGGAGGGAGAGCTGAAGCTTATCACTCGTGTCATGAGCGAATGCACTAATGTCACGGATCGGGAGTGGTGAGCTCACAGAGAGAGTTTCAAGGTTGGTAAGTGACCTTTCCCGAATAAGTTACGCTCATTTCAAAGCGTTTCTTCTAACAGGCGATGCTTGATAGTGAGGCAACTGATAAGCCAAGATTGCACGTTTTGGCACTTCCCATAGACTTCTCAGTTATTGTGAGATTTTGCTGGCAGGTAAGTACTCCCCGTACAAAAATAAGCTGATAGCTTGTAGGTCGCACAGTTCTCCGTTATGCCGGGTTTAAAAAAATCCAAGCAAAAACATACAACACGGGGGATTCCCCAGTCGTCACCGACCTGAGTACTAACCCCGCCCTTGCTGGCTTATCTATGGGAGAGCGGACGGGATCCCGAGTTTTCCAGCAGGTATGGTCGTATGTGAAAGAACTTAGTCTCAAATTTAGTTTATAAAGGCTGATGGGCAGTAGAAACTATGATCTCTGAGCCATGGTGACGGTGAGCGTTTTTACCCGTTCGGAGTCCTAACCATTGTCTCTGGCCTGAAGGCTCAGAAGTTTCGAGGCCCCACATTGGCTCCATATTATCAAAGAAGCACTTCAGTTTACAAAACGTGTACTTACTATCTCCACGCGATTCCTTTGCGTGTTATGCCCGAAATGTTGAGAGCTTATGGCGATTAAAAACATGTACAGACTACTTCTCAGTTCCGCTAGCTTCGCGCCTCTTGGATAACCTGATCATTTTCGAAGATCTCATGATCGCTTGATCTGGAAAGAGGGGCCAAAAGTACCTGGACATCCGGATTGCCTTAAGCCATTGGTCAAGCTACAGGTAAGTTAATGAGGAAATCATCTTAGATACTAATTTCATTGGGTTCAGCAGTATCTCTGAATCCATTTTAGGTCCTCATAACATTGTCTCTAGAGTCATGCAAAAGAGACTCTTCTTTACTTGACGTTGTTTGGGCAACTCTGGGGCGGTTTCACGGGCTCCACATCTCGGTCTTGGCTTTATGACCCCACGGACGTGCGGGCTGGTTGAGCCGCTCGTCACCTGCGAATTGCCAAGCTTTTGGAGCTTGGGCAGCTCCACCCACGCAGCTTGCATCGGGACTTCTTGTGAGTGAGAGACTACCTGCCTTATCCACAGCGGCCTCCTCATTCACCCCAGAACCGGGCCGGCCCAGCTGGCGCATCATGGTTTCGTTTTGCTGCTGGTGAGAGATTGGTATGTTTTTTCCACAAAACCCGTAACCGAATTTGTTCTTCAACATTTTTTCATTGGCAAGAGTTAAAAAGACTGATCTGAATTCAGGGCACACTTCTTCATCTTCCTCCTCCTCCTCCTCCTCCTCCTCCTCCTCCTCCTCTATCACAATGCCGACCCCCCACCTACACCCCAGGTCGCGCATGACCTCGTCCCTTTTTGCGACCACCGTACTGGCCAGCTTTCTCGTCGTCGCCCTGCCCCACGCCCTACCGTGCCCGGCGCCCAGGCGCGCGCTGGCCGACGTCGGCGACCCTGCCTCTACGGATCCCAACGCTTGCCCCAAAAGGAGAAGACGGAGGAAAATCGATGATGGTGCTGTGACGGGGTCGGAAGAAGGTAGCGACGTGGTCGAGTTCAACGGAGGTGATTGCGAAGGGAAGTGTGCTACCACTGCGACTACCCGCCGCAGGCATCGCGAGTGCCCTGTGCCGAAGCCCGGTGGGATTTTGGGCGAGTGGCTGGGGTTTAATAAGCCGACGACCACTACGAACCCGATGAATACAGAGACGACTAAGACATCGCCACAGAGCCAGAGGTGATGCGTGGCTGGAGTATTGGGGGGTTAGATTTTCAGAGAGACGGAGCTATGAATGGGCGAGCCGCCTTCTGGATGTCCGACTAGAAGGGGCAGATGTGCTATTGTATTATTGGGAGTAAAGAGGGCGGCTCTATGGGCTGGCATGGGAAGGGCGGTTTACAAAAGAAAAGAACATAGAAATAGAGAAAGACGGGTATAGGGGCTATCTATAACAGCATATGATCAATGATGCTCGATATATCATACATATTTAGGCGGTAGTTTCAAATCGATTCCTGAGAGACATGCATGTTTATCCACTCCTAACCACTTCCTTTGAACTGGCCACTCCTCATTCGTCAGGACCGACTTTAAGTTTTCTTCCCTGATCATTTTCCAGCGTTTTGGAACCGTGCTGGTTTATTTAGTGGTAGGCCTCCAACCTCCAAGACAACCAATACCCCAAGCCCGTCGATCAGATATCAGACATGGGATCACAGCTCTTGATCAAGCTTACTTCTGCATATGGTGCTGAAACAATGTGGTTTTGCATCTTAAACCGCTGAAGATTGTTTAGGGCTGTCATCACTTCTTCTTGAGTATAAAACCTCAACCTCACGGTCGTACTGATCAGCAGGGTTAGGATGGGGTCTGATCGACAATGCGTTCCAGACATAAAGTGTGTTTCTACCATTGTGACAATCCGATCTTGTAAGACTAAGATCCAAATACTAAGGCAACACATTCAGCTTTCCGGTTGGACTAAAAGAGTTTGTGAGCAGTGACATACTCAAGGGGGGGGGGTACAATAGGTAGAGCAGGCAGGGAGCGTCCGTGCTTCTCACTCTTTTCGACGGGCTAATGTTATGACGGCTGGTGCTTGTACAGATACTCCGGAGTAGTGATGATCCTGCCGGCAGGATGTTCCTGTCCTACCGGTTTAACCGTCCGGATGTTTCATCGACAGAGTTGCCAGCTCACCAACACGGATGCAGGACAGCACATTCTACCAGATGCGAGCGAGGGCGATAGAGACACCGGACGTATATCGCTTTTTCTGTGTCTGTCATGGAGGTTGTTGAGTTGGAAATGCCTGTTGTGCTTGGTGACCCTCCGTGAAGATCTTGAATCTACGTTCTGGTGTTGTTTCACTTCGAGGTAAGAAACACCAAGTCTGCGGAGTCTAAAACAGTAACTGACATCTCCAGCTGTGCTCGCTGCCTTTCCTTATACCTTATTGTAATTCAAACTCCAAAGCAGGGTCACAATGAAGCTCTCCACGCTCCTCTTCGCTGCCTGCCTGGTGTCGGCCCAGCTCAACATCTCCAACGCACCCTTCAGCAATATCAACTTTGAGAACCTGCGCGGGGTATTTAATTTAGGCGATCTCAAGCTCAGCGACCTGCAGGTCGGGGGCCTGAACCTGGGTAACCTCGACCTGACCGACCAAACCGTAGTTGCCGAGGCGATTCTGGCCATGCTGCGCAACTTTTGCTTGGGTAATGTTCTGGATCTGAATGCGATCCTGAACCTCAGTATCGATAATGAGCTGGACCTGTTGTTCCAGCTCGCCCAGTTCGCGCAGCTCGGGCTCTTGGACCTGTTTGGGATTCAGCAGCTTTTTAATAGGGGCCAGGTATTGAATAGGTTCAACCTGGGTGAGTACCCAGCCACTCTTTGGCGTCAACCCCTGAAAATCGAGGAGACTAGCAAGTGCTTACTCTGTCATCGGATCTCTTCAAGCGGGAGATCGACGAGGCAAAAAAGACTATGAAGCGGACAAAGCTTCGCCACCGCCAAAGCCAGTTTGAGGCAGCAGTGCGAGCAGCTGCTCCTGTCCTCAACAGCCATCACCGAGGAGACTGCTACCGCTACCGAGTCTGAGGCTGAGGAAACCGGTGCTGCTAGTGCTGAGATTGAGACTGCTACCGAGACGGAGACGGTCACGGCCGATTAGGAGGAGTCAACCTTCACAGTTACAAGCAAGCCCTCAACTTCTTCCTCCAGGGCAAAGACGATCTCCGCAGCAGCAGCCCGCACAATCTTTTTGTCAACTTCATCTGCTACCTCCGTCGAAGTGACTACTACGATAGTCTCCTCCGCAGCCGCAGCGATCACGGCCGCACGGGGCGCCGCTAACAGCCCGGTGCCTGCAGCCCCTGCCACATCGACTGCCTCCGCGGCGGCAGCTGCCAAAGAAGCTGAAGTAGCACGCGATGGTGCGGGTTATGAGGCAGACAACCTCTCAGACATGACTCGCTGAAAAGGGATCCGAGTGGTAACTGGAGCTGCCCAGTTGGGCCCTATAGGCCAGGGGGAGTGGAAACTGTCTAGAAGCGTTCAAGGCAACGCCACACCTAACCTACTTGCTTAACGACTGGCTGTAGAGTGTTGTGACGGGGGTCTGGGCATGTGAGAGAGGAGGAGTTCTGGTTTGGGTTTGGGCCGATGTTTCGTTTCAGTTTGATTTTTTTTTGGGAAAAACAACGTGAGACGGGGATATTGCTGTCTCTATAGGTCCCTTCGCGCTAGATGCGAGGGAGTTAAGAAAGCTTTTGGTTCTGGGAGTTCCTGGTTACTATTTTCGCCGTGCTTTGCAAGAAGAAGTAGATAGTGATTGTAATGCGCAAAAGAAGAGATTGAAGAGAAAGTTCTCATCGTCGGCTGATCTCAAAGACTTCGAGAGTTGAGTTGAGACGACTTAGATTCTGCCGAAGCCTGCAAGCCTGTCTCTTCTCAACTCTCAACCGACCGCTGCCTCAACCCGCGGCTTCAACCCTTGCTCGGCCCGGAAGCAGCCAAGTTCCGGATTTCAATGGAACCCAAGAAGCCATTCACATCACTGCTGGGCTTGCTTGCTTGGCTTCTCGGCGTCTGATCTTCAGCGGGCTTGCTGCTTCACGCACGAGTCTGCGACAACGAGGTATTGGAGCGCTTGGGCTCATGTCGCAGCCGCACGGCAGGAGCCGTTAGATGGGCCCATCTTGGTGGGAAAATGACCAATGACAGCTCGTAGATTTTCAACACCGCTCTTGGCGGAAAGGCTTGGCATTAGTGGGCAACTTCGTGGTTGGCCACAGGGGGTCCGAGCTTTCAGCCTCCTTGCAACCCCAGATTCCTGGGCCAGAAGCCGATGGTTGAGTTGGGGCTGCACTCGCAGGTTTGACGGTCGCTTCAACAGTAAGCTTATCCAAAGTCTGTCGTCATCTCCGCCCGACTGTCGCCTAGCCCCGCGTTACACCAAGGGCCGAAGGAGAAGCGACGAAAGAATGAGATGAGATTTTTTTTCCTAACCTCGGATGACAGCGTCCAGTGACTTGTTACCGGCTTTACAGGAGGTAATAGAGGAATTCGGACAAGACAATCGCTTTGTTCGAAAAAGTCAATGATTACTGATAAGTATATCCAAAACTTCTTGTCAAACAGCTCTCATCCAACCGTGATTTACGGTCTCATGTCTACCCTCAATTCAACTTTTTATTGAAACCTCTTGTGCCCTTTGCTCCCCTAACAAAGACGCCGCTATTGCCTTCTCAGCTCAACAATTGACTCACCTCTCGCTTTGTTCGACGAAATCGCTTCGAAACAATCTGCCCATTCTTGGCGGAGATCAGGGAAGTACCTTCGGGTCTGCAGGCCCAACCGTAAGAGGCAAATTGTTTTTTTTTGTTCCTGAAGCTGGGCCTTGAACCTTGACTTCAGACGGTCACAAGGGTCCTCTGCAGAATACGCTCGGACCTCGAGTATCCCGTTCTCAATCTCGAAACCGCTGGCACCCTATTCCCCCTCTCCCTCCCCAACTTTAACCAAACCACATATCTGGATCTTCTGTGGCTCCTCATGCTAACCAAAAATTAACGTGCAATACTACCATCTCCCCCCTTAGATCACAATGTGTTTCTCTTGGCACTACATCAGACCCCGACTTAAGCTCGGCCGATGATGGTTCCGTGCATGGGTGACGTCGCGGCAGCGCTGGGGTTCTTCTCATCACCTTCTGTCGAGGCACAGCTTGATCTCGGATATCTCCTTTTGGACCCTGGACTGCTCATGTGTGCTCCCCCAATCTGGTGTTTGAACAGGATCCTTACACCCCTTTGGATCCTCTTCCCTACCCTGTCTGGACAAACAGAGTCGGCCACAAGGTGCCTTCGCACCGTAGCTCATCCCGGCTCATCCCAAATGCCCCCTTGCCCACGGCGTTTTACCCGCCGCCTTGGCCCATCGACGCCGGCTACCTGACACACGCCGGATGAATTCTCAGTGTCCCTTTCGAGCATACGTCATATCCTTGGACACTTGGCGCGAGGCTCCTGACTATCCAGGGTCACGGATGGTGCGGGATGTTCGTTGGTCAAACTAACATATAAGACCACCGGACGACCCGTGACTCGCCCTTCCCGTTTTCCTCATCATCATCATCCAACCAACAATCCAGCTCTCAAGACTTCGGTCTACCATCCTCTCCAGTCATTCATTCTGCTGTCGAGCTGTGCTCGCTGTTTCTCTTCTTCACTCCTTTCGCTTCACTTGACGTTCTTGAGGTATGTCGACGACGACAATCCTGACCCTATGATGATCAACGACTAACATCATCTCAAAGCTGTGCTCTTAGACTTTAATCCCTTTTATACCGAGTATACGCTTAGTCGTTCTCTCTCGTTCCATACATCAACTTCGTCAAAATGAAGTTCTTCACCGTCATCGTCTCTGCTCTGTCCACCCTCGCTGCCGCCGCCCCGGCCGTCACCTCGACCACAACGACCGACGTCGCCAAGCGGTCGACCGGTGAGGTCGTCGATAAGCGCGCCATCACCTTCGACCTCGGTCTGGTCAACAACTTCAGCGGCTTCCAGCAGGTCAATCTCAACTACCTGCTCAACATCAACGCGCTGCAGCTGAACCTGCTGCGCAGCTTCGCTGAGATCAACAACTTCAACGTGCTGCAGTTCCAGGGCCTCTTCCAGCACCAGGTCTTCGACCTCAACAGCCTGCTGCAGCTCCAGGCCCTGCACACCTTCTTGCAGATCGGCCAGCTCGGCGTTCTCAACGGCTTCGACCTCGCCGGCCTGCAGCTGCACTTCCTCAACCTCGGCCTGCTCAACAACATTGGCGTCATCGACCTTAGCCAGTTCATCATCCCCTCCGTCGTCGGCCAGGTCACCTCTGTCGCCAGGCAAAGTAAGTAATCTTACTACTGCATACTCTAAATGAAACCCTTCCTCCTCCCCTCCCCTCCTCCCCCTCTTTAATCAACACGAGCAGCTGGAGCGGATTTCTTCCCCTTTTTCACCCCTTCTCCATGTGTCGGCAAACGTGTGTATTCACACGAGAGGCCCCCCTCAGTGCCGGTGAACTTCTTAGATCTGCTCATTCCGACGGCGACCTCCGCTCCTAGCAGCAGCACCACTTCGAGTGCCGTTGTCGTTGTCGATCAGCCTACGGCCACCTCAAATGTCGTCACTGCTGAGGAGCAGGAGGCCCAGGAGGGGGGCAGTTCGCTGAACTGACGCCCCACATCATCGCCCGATCCCGTGCCTTGCCTTCCCCGTCCGCGCTACTGGCAGCTCGTGTTTGATTTTTTTTTCAACTTTGTGGTTTTGAGCAATGTTCGGACAGTCTGCTAATTTCTTTAAAGTCCTGGTCACCAAGGAGTAAAAAGCGACGACGATGCTCTGGCGCTGCTTGCCCAGCCTGCCTAATCACCCCGCAATCGAGTCCCTTTGGGATTTGACAAAACATCACCGGGGAATGGGTTGATGTCACTAACCGGTGAACTAGCAGCGCGCTAGGTCTCTGGTTTCTGGGCACCCAACTCACAAACTACCTCTTGGATACCCCTATTTCATATGTATTGAGCCTCTCATATTTCTACTTCAAATCGTTGAATCTCGGCGGCGACAATGTCTTTTATCGGCTTGGTGCGTAGCTAGAGCGGTGGGGAAGGAAAGGGATGATCGTATTAAAGGGTTTTTGTTTTTGACATAAGAGGGGAGGGAGAGAGTGAAGAAGGAAAAGCGTGGAGAAAAGATGGATCTTAGATCGAGACGTCTTGATGATGCTGGATAAGAAGTAATCAACCGGATTGGTTACAGATGCCCTATTTATGAGGCTGAATTTTGAGTTCCAAAGTGATGAGTGAGTGAAATTTTGAGAGATGATGAGATAAGGTGAATCCTCAGTAAGCCAGAGCCTTCTCGGAAATGAGTCACCAGCAGTGTATTGTTGCAATTAGTCAATATCACCACTTTGTCAGGCAGTAGTGTCGGCGACTTTGCTCATTACAGCCAAGCTGGACGAGGGAGAGCTAGAAGAGGAGCTCGAGGCCCTGCAGCAGCAGGATTTGGAGGAGAAGATGCTCAAGACGGGCACCGTACCGGCTTCAATGATGCCTCTGAATCCATATCAAGCTAGCGTTCCATGCACAATGCACGTTGCTTACGGATTACTGGGGATGTTTATGAGAAGAAAGACTTTTGATATGGCTCTGTCAGTAGAAGAACACAATATCCAGATATATATATATATATATATATATATAAAAGCCCTAGAGAACAATCAACCAGACTGTTGTTCTGCTGGCCACACATCCACACATGATGCAGACGACTTGAATGGAGCATGTCTTCCGTCATGCACGATTATGTTTGTGCTGACAACGTTGTGACAGGATGAGCGTAAGATGGCCGTGGCGCGGAAGGGAGTGGCGCTATAGAACAAGCTGAATCAGGGGAGGGCAGACCCTTGTGAAACCGGCATGTATAGACGGCTGCAGGGGGACTTTTCTCGGAGACAATAATTAGCGAGAAAAATGACTTTTGTTTTGACTATTTGTCTTTCCGTACGAGATACGGATAGCAAGCTGCAGGGCTTCGGATCCGGGTCGCAAACATTTTGTTGATGTGAGTGTGGCTTGAAATGGTTGGATCCTTGGCTCCAGGGGCAAGGCTTCGGCCATGGCGCTAGGGTGTTTTGTTAGAACCACGGCATGATGAGATATATGGTCATTCTTCGTGAGGGCTTCCACCAAAAACGGCCTACTTCTCTCGTATCTACGGAGAAGAGGACCACGTATGGAAAATCGGCTCGAATGCATACGCTACTAGGGCACAGAAGATAATTGGAAAAGCATAGCCTTGTTTTGTTGTTTTGATAACCTTACTTATGACACCCATCACATCACATAACAACAACCTTTGTGGTAACTGGGCGTCAACATGTAGTTATTCCAGATACCAGATACCAGGACCTACCGAACAGTGAGTGGGCAGACACAGTCACAACAACACACCGGCTTCCCGAGATTTGTTGCCAGAGCGTGCATACAAGATGTGGATGGAACGATGGCGCTGCACGTCGAGCAATTTTGCGCTGGGATGATTGGCTGTAACAAAAGTCGCAAGCGTCCAAGTAAGCTCACGCTCAGCCCTGCCGAGAAGCTAAAGACTGCACAACAAAGTCCCAACTTTTTGTCCAAAAGGCTGCCCTTTCCCTTCCAAGCAGGAGGCTGTGTAACCACATCGCAAAAAGTTCCAGAAGGGGCGGTGGATATCTAGTGGTGAAGTGTTAGTGGGTGGTGCAGTTTGCGTAGTGGTGTCCTAATTATGCACCCCGCGCGCGCGGCTTAGATAGATGAGCTCCCACATGAAAGGCACACACGACAAGTCGAGCTTGAGTGGCTGTTGTTCAACCACACACATTGTTGACAATACCTGCAGGAAGGAGATAGACTCGGAATAGACATTTCGGTGTCTACAGAAATCAGGCTAAAACCGAGATATACCAAGATGGTAGTGTAAACAATGGGGAGGCAATTAACTGAAGAAATTGGACGTCTGCGTCTTGATAAAGGGGTCGTCTCGGCTTAATGGTTTTCCAGGTTTGTTTTGGTCAGATGCCAATGCCATGTCTCAACCAACAAGTGTCAGCGTCACATTACGGTGTCGTGTGCTGTCGTGTGTTGTGTGCTGCTGCGTTGTACTTGAACTGGAAACGAAGTCGGATAGAAGGCGATGATAAGAGATCTGCGTTGTCCATGATTGCCAGCGACTAGGTTGCAAGCAAAAGCGCAGCGTGACACCAAGTTTCCAGATTACGCAGTCAGCGGCCTCGCCGATGCGAAATTGATTTTGTCGTAGAGCTGAGATTCGGCATCGTGTATTTTGTTTGGATTTTGAGTTCAAAAACGATGCCGATCTGTGGGGAGAAAGCAACAATGGCTAACCAACTAAGCATCACAACGTCTTGTCGGGAACAGGCGGGGCCCGTTGCTCGCGCAGGCGGGAGTGGTGCAGATCGATTTTTCGGGGCTCATATGATCCGTGCACTGCCAGGGGATCAGGGGTCACTTTGCCCTACTCAGCGAAGCGAGCTCCGCAGTGATTGCCCACTTTTCGGTTTTAGGATGACATGACAGAAAAAAAAAAGCCATTGTTGTGGCTGACCGCAATCCATATGACGCCAGGCCACAAAATGAGTTATTTTCATCCCGACCAATTTTGAGACCTGCAGCGAGAAGAACAGCAGCTGTAGCGTAGGCGCAAGAATAAAAGCGGTGGCGATCGCGTACGGGATGCACAGGAAGCCAATGGCTCGGCAATAGGTGATCCTCCGGGCGACGGGCCACGGCATCGTCATCATCGAGCCTGGTGCAGCAATCGAGGGGCCCCGCCATCCTCCTGACCCCACCAATTTTCCGAGCAAGGCACCAGACGCGCCGTGGACAGTTGCAGTCTTTTGGAGCGAGCAAAAAAAAAAAAAAAAAAGCTTTCGGTGACGCGATTCCCACCAGTGGGAGCAGAAGCGACGTGGATGGCCTTTCATCCAGATTGCTGCTGTCGTCAGCATTCAACTTAGCCAAAAGATTTGGCCTACTGTCCTGCCTTTTCAAGCGGCACTTTTACTTGACTCTCCTTGGACCTGCCGCTGCCCGCCGATGTCGCTTTTTTTTTTTTTGGTCAAGATTTTCCTCATTCAAAAACAGCCAATCCAATCCGGGCGCGATAAAAACAAGCTAGTATATGGCACACTTTCGCTTGACTGTCAGACTTTTGTTGTTGTAGGCTGCAGCCCACGGCGCCGCTGGTCGTATGGGCCAGTCGAACGGGCGAAGCATTGGAAGCAGGCCAGAACAGTCAGTCAGCCCCAGGCTTAGGCTCTGCAGGCTCCGGGGTGCCTGAGCTGAAAGCCAAGCTTTGGTAAGCGGCTGCACTATGGGCGTGGCAGGCTGCGGCAGGCCATTTCTCGGAACCGGAGCCGCGGCCGTGCAGGACGATGTGCAGTCGTACAGCAGTGCTGACCTGTTGTGGTGTCTTCCGCGAGATGCTGGGCCAGGAAATGCGGGCGTAAGTATCATTGTCAAGCAACAATGAGGTGACAGCAGCAGCAGGTCCCAAGCGACAGGACAGGCCCAGGCAGGACACGACGGCCAGAAACGTGGACGCCACACTGTCCCGACAGCTCCTGCGATACGATTTCCTTCTTCCCCCCCTCCCCTCCCCCCTCCCCCCAAAAGTAGCAAGCAGTATAAAGAATGGATGAGAGCCCCTCTTCTTCGCAGACCGTATGGCACATTTCCTCCTTGGCAAGATCACTTTCCCCCTTCGAATGCATAGTGTATTGGAACCGAGATCTGGAATTAGGGCGGAGCCAGCACAACGCAGCTGGACACAATTGGACACGACAGCGACAACGCGACAACGGACCGACAGATCTTTGAACAACGCAAGCTGAGTCCGCCCGCCTGGGCCTTGGAAGCGCCTGAAGCGGGCTGCGGAAGGTAAACGCTAGTGAATGCAGCGACACCGCAACATCCATCTCGTCTCTAGTGTGGAGTCCCCGGACCCAGCAACCTTGCACTTGGCGCCAGTGAACACTCCGCCGCAGTCACTGGCTCGCAGCCGCAGTTGCTGCATTTGAACCCTCCGACAGAGAGAGAGAGAGAGAGAGAAGAGAGAGAGAGAGAGAAGAGAGAGAGAGAGAGAGAGAGAGAGAGAGAGAGAGAGAGAGACGAGAGGAGAGAGAGAGAGAGAGAGACAGGGACTCGCAGGAGGACAAGCCGAGACATCCTTGCCCACCTTGCGTGAGCCGCTCGCCTGTCTCCACACCAGCCGTCTGCTACTGTTACGGGATCCATACTCCTGCCCGTATTTATGACGGCTGCGAGAGCTCACAAACTCATCGTAGAACCCTCATCTCCATCATCTCCCATCTTGGGACCTCTGTCGATTTTGCCCTCTTCAAAAGCACGCGGTATCCGCCTGCAATTCCTCGCCGGCCTGCAGCATATCTGCGTGTATCCAGAAGCTCGTGTTCGCCCCTGGCTTAATCGCCTTGAACCTGGCCTGGGTCCATCAGTAAAACAATCGACGGCTTATTCGCTTGTCCGCTTGTCCTGGGAGTCCGGTCAACTATAAACTCGCCGTTTATTTTCCCGCCTCTTCTGATTGCCTGGGACTGTCCGGGCTGCCAATCACTGCCACTGCTGCTGTTCCCCTTCGATATGAAAAGCTCTCCGGCCTGCTGCCCTGACCAGTTGCGACGGCCCGTGACGCTCGCGCCTTGAAGAGAAGACCCAAATCTTTCGATCCCGGATACGTCGGCACCGCAAATATATATCAGATCTCTTAGATCTCCAGATCTCACAACCATGGCTCGCTCACCCAAGTATTCGGAGGACAGCGACTACGACTTCGACGAGGAGTACTTCTCCCGCACCTACCAGCCTCTTTCAAACCTCCCTACCCCTCCCCCCTCGTCGAAACAGTCATTGGCTGCTCAAAGTCCAAGAGCCCTCCTGGAAGATGGAGGGCTCCTCGACTCTGTCTTGCTGGGTCAGTGCCTCTGCAAAATCTTTGACATCACTTCACCCCCTAGAGCATGCTCTAACAGCTTCACAGGCCCAGCAGTGCACCTAGTAAACATGATCCCGCCATCAGCATCCGTAATGGAGCCCTCGGTACAGTTGGTTCATGAGATGCTTGTGCGCGCCAATCTGCCCATGGACGTGATCGCCCTTGCGGTGTGTATCCTGGACGCGCTCAACTCCAAATTCTCTCTGAACTGGCGACTGCTCTGCCCTCTCGCCAAGCCGCAACAACCGCCGTCCCCGTCCGGGGAGACGACAACGAGCCCCAGCAACAAGCGACACACTCTGCCGGCAGCTCCTAGGGGGGGAAGCTCAACGTTCGTCATCGCCCCGCAACTCCACATCGACGCGGTCCGGCCAGAGGTGATCATTCTATCGGCGCTTGTCATCGCCGTCAAGTTCCTAGAGGACAGCCAGTCACCAACCCACTGGTACGCCTCGGCGTGGGGGAAGGACATGTGGACGTGCGACCAGATCAACGTGACCGAGCGGTGCATCATGGAGAGCCTGGGCTACCGCATCATGCCGCTGTGGGATGCGACGCTGATTGCCGATGCGCTCCGCGACATGGAGCGCGCCGGCAAGCAGGTGCTCAACCCGCCTCGTTCGCAGAGGCCCAGAAGTGGGGAGGTGCATAAACGGTCGGTCAGCTCGGTTGAGACAGCAGCGGCGCACCAGCAACAGCAGAAGCATTCGCATCAACAACAGTGCCAGCGCCATCATCATTATCCGCAACATCGCCAGGCTGCGAGTGGCCCGACGCCGGCGGAGACGCCGGTGTTGGCGCAATGATTGTGGTCGGTCGGGATATGTGCTGCGCCATGTGCAACCATGACGTGCTCGGCAGCCGATTGGCTTGGCGCGTGATTCATCGCCGGATGGGCGGTGAAGGCGGCGGATACTCTAAACCCGGCGTCGGAATATCCGGAGCTTTGACAACACACGAAAGTACTTCACGACTCTCAGTGTTTTAATACTACGGCAAACCTTTGGAAAGTGATAATGGATTGGATAACGGCACAACGGAACATCGGAATGGGCAAGGCGTCTCGGTAAGGCTGCTGGGCGTTGGACCATACACACATACACATGCGTGTTCTGCTCTTGATTGATACCTGTCAACCTTGTACACACACCACGACTGCTCTTGCTTACATCCTCACTCATCTTTACGCGATGGGGGGTTTATGATACAGATACGACGGCGAACGAACGGCGCAGGAAGCGCATGACAGCGGGTTGATTGCCTGCTCACACTTGAGCCTAAGAGCTCATGATCAGCACGAAGGTGGTTGGGAAAGCAAAGACGCCAGTTAGCCTAATGTGTTTGGGTTTGGTATTCGTGTATCGATTAGAGTATCAATATAATTAATTGTAATCGTGGACAAAACAATGCCCTGTTTGTCTTGTATGATTTTTCCTTTTTTTTTTTTTGTCGAGTGGATGTTGGAGATAAAAGTGCCCCGCTATCCAACGGCTGCTCGGAGATCTCACCGACGTTGCCGCAGCGTTTCAAGTCAGTTTTAACTCTCTACTCGGCAGTGATGGCTGGATGAGACCGATCCCTGTCAATCGATAGCCCGGCCTGCAGAACCCCACATCATGTTCGTGCACGAACCGTAAGTTGCCATTCGATAAGCTTTGTTATCTGTGGGCCAGCAGAGCGGTCTGCGCTGCACACCTTAACAGTAGAGCGCCAGGACAAGCAGGCACCAACTGGGCGGCGCGCACAGTGGGTGGGTGGAAAGACTAGGAAGATTTTAGTTGCTTGGGCTGTCGTCATTCAGCGAGCGACAAGAAGTTCAAGATCTTGGGACTGGATTTCGAGAGAGGCAAAGGCTTCACTTTCCATATCTGTGTTGGATTGAAGTCGAAACTTGGAATTCCATACCTCTTAAATCTCCGGGTGTCGCTCCCATCGACGGGACTCTCTCCATACGGTAACCCGCCTGCCTGTAGCCACCTCCAACGGTACGTTTTCCACCGAGACCCCCCGGTCAATCCAAGTCTGCTATCGGTCGCCATCGATACGGCAACCTCTTTTTCTTTTTTTTTTTTCCTTTCGCATCGCATGTGGGAAATGAATCAAGCCAGACCATGAGGTTTTATGGACCATATTGTCGTTGAACTTTAATTTTCCAAGTGGAAGAGACAGAATCTTCCCATTCATCTCGTCCTTAGGGTCGGTTGCTGATCGGCCGCCCGCCCGACCACAACAGCAGGCCAGCCAGGCTCGGCGGCGGCGGCATTGTCGCGACCTGCAACACCAGGCTCCTTTGTCCTTGCAGACTTTCCTTCCTCTCTCTCTCTCTCTCTCTCTCTCTCTTTTTTTTTTTTAAAAAAAAAAATAAAAAAAAACCTTGTTGCAAAGGAAAAAAAAAGTTAATCGCCCAACATGAGCGACCTCGATAGGTACGTCCACATACATGCGCGCACGCGCCGCGCTAGGGAAAGGAGAGCAAGGCTGACTTGCGGGGGCCTCTAGAGCCATCGAGCAGCTGAAACAATGCCGACCGATCCCCGAGGACGAGGTCCGACAGCTCTGCCATAAGGCTCGTGAGCTGCTGGTGGAGGAGGGGAATGTTGTTACGGTTAATGCGCCGGTCACGGTATGTCGCAACGACGAAGTCAGGGTTTGGATCGGGTTGTAGCAGAGGCTGACCTCGCGCGCTGCGCACACGCTTCGCAGATATGCGGTGACATCCATGGGCAGTTTCACGATTTGATGGAGCTGTTTCGCGTTGGCGGGAGTCCCCCGGATACGAATTACCTGTTCATGGGTTTGTCTTCTCCAACCGGCATTCCGAAACCTACCTGCTGACTTGCCCATGCCAGGTGACTTCGTCGACCGCGGCTTCTACTCCGTCGAGACGTTCTTGCTCCTCCTCTGCCTCAAAGTCCGCTACCCCGACCGCATGACCCTCATCCGCGGCAACCACGAATCCCGCCAGATCACCACCGTCTACGGCTTCTACGACGAGTGCTTGCGCAAGTACGGCAGCGCCAACGTCTGGCGCTATTGCTGCGAGGTCTTTGACTACCTCGCTCTCGGAGCCATCGTGCTCGGCGCGTCCAACACCCTGCCGGATAGCCCGCGCTGCGAGAATGGGGAGGATGTCGAGGTGCAGGTGCGGAATTCCAAGGATGAGATTATTACCAATTTCCCGAGGAGGATGAGCCAGGGCCAGGAGGCGACGCCGAACGGGGCTCCCCTCCCGAACGGGATTACCACGCCTTCCTCAGCGCCGACACGGACTGGCCCGCCTGGCTCGGGGGCGTCTGGTTCCAGTGCTGGGTCGTTAGGCAACCCTGCCGGCGCAGTCCTCTGCGTTCACGGCGGCCTCAGCCCGCTGATCGACCACATCGATAAGATCCGACTGCTCGATCGCAAGCAGGAGGTTCCCCACGAAGGCGCGATGTGCGATCTTCTCTGGTCCGACCCCGATGAAATCGACGGCTGGGGGCTTTCCCCGCGCGGCGCAGGGTTCTTGTTTGGGGGGGACATTGTCAAGGTGTTTAACCACCGCAACAACCTGAGTTTGATCGCTCGCGCGCATCAACTAGTGATGGAGGGGTTTAAAGAGATGTTTGACGCGAGCATTGTGACGGTGTGGTCGGCACCAAATTACTGTTATCGTTGTGGGAATGTGGCGGCGTTGCTGGAGCTCTGTGAGGATGAGTCCGGGTTGGGGGTGTTGGCTAGGAGTAACGGGGACAGTTATGGGTTCGGGATCCCGAATAGGTCGGCTCAACAAGATGGTGGTGGTGGTAGCGGCGGCGGCGGCGGCGGCGGCGGCGGCGGTAGCGGAGGGGGCGGTAGTGGTCTGCCGGGTCTGCCGAGCATTATTACGCCGAGGTATGGCCCGGCTAGGAGATATAGGATATTTCAGGCTGCTGCGCAGGATACGAGGGGAATGCCGGCGAAGAAGCCGGTTGCGGATTACTTCTTGTGATGCACCAGACAGTTACTGATATATTATTGGGAGGGAGGAGGGTGAGAGAGGGGGGGCAGTTGATTGGGAGTTCGTTTATGAGGTCTGACTTTCTACGAATTGTCTGTCTGGGCTTGTTCTTTGCTGGGTAGCTATATGACGGTGATGGCTCATGATCATAATAGATTTGTGCTGTGGTTCTAACTTGGGATTGTTATTTTGTCGTGTCAAGAATTATATATGGAGGGTGGGAGAATGGTTGGGGATAATGAGATTGGGTTATTCTGTGAGAGGCATTCAGGGGCGAGACTCATGGGGAGAATACCATTAGCATGAATAGGGAAGAAACCGAGCTTTGTTCTGCATTGAGTATCTGAATGGCTTGTTGAGAGTGACCGAGATGTGACGACGGTTAGTGTGGCTTCACCTGCTGGTAGAAAGGGTTTGCTTCAGACCAGAGAGCATATATACCATCCCTCTTTCCCCATCAGTTACCACTTCGCTTCCGGCTGAAGTCTTTTATCACACTGGAGCCAGATGCACACCATGTAGTCGTTAATCAACATTCCACCAGAGGTGTAAGGTGGTGAGAACTTACGGTGGTTTTAAACCCTGGGGAGCCCCAGAGCTGTTGGAAGAGGAAATTGAATGATCGCTTTCTCGAAATCGAAGACTTCAAGACATTTCGTACGAACACTAGCCATTTACAAGATGACGACGAACTATTTAAGAGCTCTGAGGACTGACTGCATCGTTTCCATCCGCAGGGAGTTATCTGGTCTTGGAGGTCCAGGGCTCAGGAAGAACGAGAGCTGGGGTGAAGCGGTCCAGGGAGTGTGTGATGTTACGCAGACGATGTATTGACATCACGATTCTGCTGGCGAATTGTCTATCCGATAGCTGACTTTAACATAGGTGAAATCAGATATCATAACATTTAAAATTAATTTATAGAGCATGCTTGGTATCTCAATCATGCAGCTAGAGAAAACGAACCGAGGAGGTTGTTGTGTGTTGAAAGTCCGTCCTTCGAACCTTGTAACAGTCGAGTTTTGGTATGTAACATTACCTGTGGGTCTTGTAACGTGCCCCTCCATCGCAGCAGGCCTGAGTCAAACGGGAAAGGCCATTCATCTCATAATGTCGACCTATTTTTGGTTCCTTTTTTTCTTTTTTTTTTTCTTTTCAAACTTCCAAGACCACATCAGCAGCATCTTCATCGTGGTGCTGCTCCATCCTTTCACCCAGTTATTTGGATCTGGGCAATTTTCATTTCGCTGCTTTCTGCAGAGACAGTCTGGCCTGATCCGGCCATTTTCGTTACCCCGGAATTTCGAAAGCGAAACAGGGCAAAAATCTTGACCGTTATCAAGTTGAGACACCTCATTATATAAACTCACCAATCCCAATACCCATCATCATGGCCGGATCCCTAAATGGCTGCACCAGCCTCGCAGAATGGCGCGCCCAAGCCGAGGCCATGAAAACGGCCGTAGCCAGCCTCTCCCCAACCCAACCTCTTCCCGGTGGTGACAGCGACTGGTCCGACGACGACGACATCGACCGCGCCTACGACCCACGCTCCGGCCCTCGCGACGTCTGGGACTTCATCTCCGACGACGAGCTTGACGAGATCGGGTTCGACAGTGGGGATTTGTATGACGGTGTTGATGGCGAGGACCATGGGTATGGTTCTTCGTCTTCTTCGAAGTATGATATGTCGTGGTTATCGGCACGGTGTGCCGAAATTGCGTCAAAAAGATCGGGTCTTTCAGCCGGCGAGCTGAGGGACCAGATCGTGGAGATTCTGAGCGTCGCCCGGCCGCAGGGGGAGCTGCAGAGTTTGTTGACGGATTTGGTGGGATTTGACGATTTAGAGTTTGTGGTAGATTTGGTGTCGCATCGGGCGGAGCTGGTTGCGGCGATTGCATCGGATAGGATACATGGGGATGAGGAGATGAGGGCGGGGGTTGAAGGGCCGAGGTTACTAACCAAGGCGCAGCGGCAGGCCGAGTTGAAGAGGAGGGATTGGGAGCATAAACATGCGCCGTTGATGGCGGCGAGGGAGAAGGAAGAGGATCTGCCGCATGTGTATCGGAGGTATGCGGCGGGGAATACGCTCAGTCATACCGGCAAGGGGTATGCCCTGCCAGCGGGGAGCCAGAGGCTAGAGTTTGATAAGTACGAGGAGTATGTCGTGCCGGCGGGGAAGCCGGGGTCGTTGTGGCCCGGGCAGAAGTTGGTCAGAATTGCCGATCTGGATGGGTTATGCAGGAATACGTTTAAGGGGTACAAGACGCTCAACCGTATGCAGAGTCTGGTGTATCCGGTAGCATACAAGACGAGCGAGAATATGCTCATCTGTGCCCCGACGGGCGCTGGCAAGACAGACGCAGCCATGTTAACTATCCTGCAAACCATCGGACAGTATCTGACGCCTAGCCCGGCCGAGGACCCCGCTGTCACCGAGTTCGACGTCGCGCTGGAGGACTTCAAGATTGTGTACGTGGCGCCGATGAAGGCACTAGCGGCTGAAATCACGGAGAAGCTGGGCCGTCGTCTGGCCTGGCTGGGCATCCGGTGCCGCGAGTACACGGGCGATATGCACCTGACGAAGTCGGAGATTGTGCAGACTCAGATCATCGTCACGACGCCCGAGAAGTGGGATGTAGTCACCCGCAAGGGCACTGGAGACACGGAGCTCGTGCAGAAGGTGCGTCTGCTGATCATCGACGAGGTGCACATGCTGCACGACGAGCGTGGCGCTGTCTTGGAGTCACTGGTTGCGCGTACCCAGCGGCAGGTCGAGAGCACACAGTCGTTGATTCGCATCGTTGGTCTCAGTGCCACGCTGCCCAACTACATTGATGTGGCCGAGTTCCTGGGCGTCAACAAGCGGGCGGGTCTCTTCTACTTTGATGCGTCGTTCCGTCCTGTGCCCCTTGAACAGCACTTCATCGGCGTCAAGGGCAAGCCCAACACGAAGCAGTCGCGCGACAATCTGGACCAGGTAGCCTTCGAGAAAGTCCGCGAGATGCTGGAGCGGGGACATCAGGTCATGGTGTTTGTGCATTCGCGTCGGGATACCCAGACTACGGCCAAGATGCTTCTCGAAAAAGCGGCCGATAATGCTTGTCTTGATCTGCTTGACCCGAGCGGGCATGAACGATACGAACTTGCCATGCGCGATGTGCGCCAAACCCGGGCCCGCGAGCTTCGGGAGCTGGTGCCGAAGGGCATTGGTGTTCATCATGCCGGCATGGCGCGCGCGGACAGGAATCTGATGGAGAGGTTGTTTGGAGAGGGTGTTCTCAAGGTGCTGTGCTGCACAGCGACTCTGGCCTGGGGTGTCAACTTGCCGGCTGCGGCGGTCGTGATCAAGGGGACACAGGTGTACAGCGCTCAGGACGGCAAGTTCGTCGATCTGGGTATCCTGGACGTCCTACAGATCTTCGGTCGTGCCGGTCGCCCGCAGTTTGAGGACGTCGGTATCGGCATCATCTGCACGACACACGACAAGCTGGCACACTACCTGACGGCCGTGACAGACCAACTTCCGATCGAGTCACGGTTCGCCAGCCGGCTGGTTGACAACCTGAACGCTGAGATCGCTCTGGGTACAGTGACGTCCATCGACGATGCAGTGAAATGGATAGGCTATTCCTACCTGTACGTACGGATGCGACGGAACCCGATGGCCTACGGCATCGACTGGACCGAGTATGATCAAGACAGGCAACTGGTCGGGCGCCGACGCAAGCTGGCCATCGAGGCAGCTCGGAAGCTGCAGCAGTGCCAAATGATCGTGTTCAACGAGCGCACGGAGGAGCTTCGTAGCAAGAACATCGGGCGCATCGCCAGCCAGTTCTACATCCAGCACACGAGTATCGAGCTCTTCAACCGCGAGATGCGTCAGGACGCCGACGAGCGCGACATCCTGCGCATGATCGCCAAGAGCGGCGAGTTCGACAACATCCAGTCACGGAATAATGAGGCCAACGAGCTCATTCGCATGCGCAATGATGAGGACATGATCCCCTATGAGGTGCCCGAGGGGATTGATACGCCCCAGGCGAAGACGAACATCTTGCTGCAGGCGTATATCTCGCGCGCACAGCCCGATGACTTCGCCCTGGTGAACGATCTGAACTATGTGGCTCAGCAGGCAGGGCGCATCTGCCGGGCGCTGTTCATGCTGGCGCTTAACCATCGCTGGGGGTACCAGTGCCTGGTTCTGCTGACGCTGGCCAAGTCGATAGAGAAGCGCATCTGGATGTTCCGGCACCCGCTGCACCAATTCGACCTGCCGAAGCCTGTGCTGAACAACTTGGACATGAAGGAGGCCCTGTCGATCGAGAGCATGCGCGAGATGGAGGCGTCCGAGATCGGGAACCTGGTCAATAACTTCCGCATGGGCGGCAAAATTCGTAAGCTGCTCGATCACTTTCCCACGCTGAGCGTCGAGGCCGAAGTTGCGCCGCTGAACCGGAATATCCTGCGGGTGAAGCTCTCCATCACGCCCGACTTCCGCTGGAACGACCAGATGCACGGCACCAGCGAGGGCTACTACATTTGGGTCGAGAACTCGGACACGTCCAGGATCTACCACCACGAGTTCCTCGTGCTTACGCGGCGCAAGCTGCACGACACGCACGAGCTGCACTTCACCATCCCCATGGAGGACCCCCTACCGAACCAGATTTATGTGCGTGCTGTGTCAGATCGGTGGTTGGGTGCCGAGACGGTCACGGCTGTGTCGTTCCAGCACTTGATCCGTCCGGATACGGAGAGCGTGTATACAGATCTATTGAATCTCCAGCCGCTGCCTATTACCGCGCTGAAGAACCCGGCGTTGGAAGAGCTCTATGCGAAGCGCTTCCGCTTCTTTAATCCCATGCAGACGCAGCTGTTCCATACGCTGTATCATCGGGATGTGAACGTGCTTCTCGGCTCGCCGACAGGCAGTGGCAAGACTGTTGCGGCAGAACTGGCCATGTGGTGGGCGTTCCGTGAGCGGCCCGGGTCGAAGGTGGTCTACATCGCGCCCATGAAGGCCCTCGTTCGGGAGAGGGTCAAGGACTGGGGCGACCGGCTGGCCAAACCGTTGGGGCTGAGACTGGTCGAGTTGACGGGTGACAATACCCCTGACACTAAGACCATCCGAGACGCGGATATCATCATCACGACGCCCGAGAAATGGGACGGTATCTCGCGTAGCTGGCAGACAAGAGACTATGTTCGGAAGGTTAGCTTGGTGATCATCGACGAGATTCACCTGCTAGCTGGCGACCGTGGTCCGATTCTCGAGATCATTGTCTCCCGGATGAATTACATTGGTGCTTCGACTGGCCGGCCGGTCCGGCTGCTGGGCATGTCGACCGCGTGCGCGAACGCGACTGATCTGGCTAGCTGGCTGGGCGTGAAGGAAGGCGAAGGGCTGTTCAACTTCCGGCACTCTGTGCGTCCTGTGCCCCTGGAGCTGTATATCGATGGGTTCCCGGAGACGAGGGGGTTCTGTCCTTTGATGCAGAGCATGAATCGGCCGACCTTCTTGGCGATCTTGAACCATTCCCCGGAGAAGCCGGTTATTGTGTTTGTGCCGTCGAGAAGGCAGACGAGGTTGACGGCCAAAGATCTGATTAACCTGTGCGGTATGGAGGACAACCCGAGAAGATTTTTGCACATGAGTGAGGAGGACTTGCAGGTGAATCTAGCCCGGGTCAAGGATGACGCTCTGAGGGAAGCGCTCAACTTTGGCATTGGCCTGCACCATGCCGGTTTGGTCGAGACGGACAGGCAGATTGCCGAGGAACTGTTCCTCCACGGCAAGATCCAGATCCTCATCGCGACGAGCACACTCGCCTGGGGTGTCAACTTGCCTGCCCACCTGGTCATCGTCAAGGGCACACAGTACTACGATGCAAAGACCGAGGCCTACCGCGACATGGACCTGACCGATGTGCTTCAGATGCTAGGACGTGCCGGCCGTCCTCAGTTCGATGACTCCGGTGTAGCCCGAATCTTCACCCAAGAAGCCAAAAAGGACTTCTATAAGCACTTCCTGCACACCGGCTTCCCCGTCGAGTCCTCCCTACATACCGTCCTCGACGACCACTTGTGCGCCGAGATCAGCGCCGAGACCATCCTCACCAAACAAGACGCCCTCGACTACCTCACCTGGACGTTCTTCTTCCGTCGGCTGCACAAGAACCCGAGCTATTACGGCCTGGAGATCTCCGCGGAGGAGCACAACACCCTCGAGGCGCAGCACCGCGCAAACGAGTACCTTGTCTCCCTCATCGAAAACTCCCTCGACGAACTGGAGACGTCCAAGTGCGTGGAAGTCCATCCTAACGGCGATCTCGACGCCACGCCCCTCGGTCGCATCATGAGCTACTACTACCTCTCGCACCGCACCATCCGACACCTCGTTCGCCGAGCAGACGCGATCCCCCAGGCTTCGTTGCTCGATGCCCTAGCATGGATGTCCCGCGCCGCAGAGTACGACGAGCTGCCCGTGCGACACAACGAAGACCTGATCAACGCCGAACTTGCCAAGGCCCTGCCCTTCCCACCCTCGGCGGTAGGAGGCCTGCCGATGTGGGATCCGCATGTTAAGGCCTTCTTGCTCATGCAAGCCCACTTTAGCAGGGTCGAGCTGCCGATTACGGATTATGTGGGTGATTTGACGAGCGTGCTAGATCAGAGTATTCGCGTGATTCAGGCGAGTATCGATGTCATGGCTGAGTTGGGGCGGTTGACGTCCGCGCTGAGGTTTGTGACACTATTGCAGTGTGTAAAGCAGGGGGTTTGGCCGGATGATCCGGCCGTTGCTGTACTTCCTGGAGTGGAGGAGCCTGTGCCGGAGGCGGCGAAGAAACTTACTATTAAAGAGCTTGCCAGTTTGCCGCGGGAGGACCACCCCTCCTTAGCAAAGATTCTCTCCATTTCCCCGCACCAGACGAATCGTTTCAACAAGGCGTTGTCGGCCCTGCCCGACGTAGAGGTCTCCCTCCCCTCTGACTCTCTCACCCCGGAGAGTATCACTGTTGTCCTGAGGCGCAAAAACCCCCTCACCGACCGCGAAGCACGAGCCTATGCCCCACGCTTCCCGAAGTCCCAAACTGAAGGATGGATCGTCATTGTCGGCGACAAACAGCGTGATCAGGTATGGGGCGTGAAGCGTGTGGCTTGGCAGGGGGATGTGGGTGTCGGGAGACGGCCCAGTGCAAAGGCGGTGGTGAAGATTCCTTCGCCGGATGTTGTTCTTGATGATGAGGTTGGGAAGAAGCAGGATGGTGAAGCTGAGGGGAGGAAGGTGGATGTGTGGGTGTTGAGTGATGCTTATGTGGGGTTGGAGTGGGTGTTTGATGGGGTTGTTTTGCCAGCGCCGAAGAAGGAGATGAGGATTGATGCTACGGGGGTTGTGGATAAAGCGGGCACGGGAAGCCAATGAGCAGGGGAAAGGAAGGAAGTGCTTGATGATTTATGAGCATGGAAAAGACTTTGATTTTGGTATGGTTGTTACGGTAGATGCGTGTTTAGGGTAGAGTTGGGCTAGCATGGGCATAATGATAGACCCGGTCTGCAGGTCTGGGGGAAGGATGAATTATGACGTTGGCAAGACACACAATCATTGTACTAAGAATATTACTAGATGGGTATGAGTGAATATTAATCGAATATATGACTTTGTCTAGCTCTATAATAAGCTTCGTAAAGGAGAGAAAAATCCATGATACTGAGCGTGAGCCCTTCGCATCCTATGCAAACGGTCACTCAATATTTGTGTTTGAGGAAGTAGAAATTGAAGTCAAAACAATCACTTACCAATGATCCTTCGGTTAAGAGACAGTGTGCCCCTTATTTGTCAGCGGGAGACTCCTGATAGTAGGCTCTTTAAGACTCCTTTTTCATACCCAAAGTTTCTTTTTTTTTTCCCGCCAAAACGTCCATTAAAATGAAAAACACTCAGCTAGATTGAAGAAGACTTTGTCTACCTAACGTTCAATGCTAAAGCTTCCTTTCAAAGACTATGGTTTTCCTACAGGTTCCCGAAATCGTGGGGTTGATTCCTGTTACGAAGACTTCCGCTAATGAGCAAACTAGGGTTTGTCCTATAAGCTGCGAGCGAGCCATATCAGTGCTGTGCGGGAAACTGCCAAACTTAAGGAAGCTTGCTTGAAAGCGAAATGGTACTACCAGATGGATTATCAAGTGAGGAGATCACTTGTTGTTTGCTTCAAACAAGGATATTGCAATGGTAGTGTTCTTTTCAATACGTTGAAGAGTGCGCCCATTAGTCCGCCATAACTGGACGATGAGCAAAAACCACTACCAAGACTACTTGTTAGGACACCAACAGGGGTTTTGATGGGCCAACTCATCAACTACATTAAGCTGAGAGGCTTGCAGCCTCTTTCTGAAACTGATGTGTAATTTCTAGAACTTCTGATGCTTCTGGCGCTTATTCTGTTCTCAAAAACCATGCATCTCTGCGTCTAGCACCTGAGGATCAACTCCAACAGTGAAGACGTCACTAGTCCCAACGAAGAGTCAGTCCTACTGCCGAAATGAGCACGCAATTGGCGCAATCGGCCTACATGGAGAGAGCATCTAGTGACACATACGGTATCAATTACGATGATCCTCCTCCGCTTCACGCCGAAATCGTCGAGGGACCATCCAGATTTTGATGAGTGTGACCGGACCCAAACCGACGACAATGGCAAACCCTTTACTAAAAGTACCTCCAAAAAAAAAAGCAAAGACCTGACGAAGCGGGATGATCTTTCAGCGAGTATACTTAGCATGGTAAAATCGAGCGTCCAAAGGCTTCACAAGAGCTATACAGGGCTGTGTGAGGACGAATTCGATTCTGGGCTATCTACTGAGCAGGCGATCCGTGGAGGGAGGACGCCTTGAAGGAAAAGCATCGATCGCCTGTACGGCTTCATTGTATGATTGGCAGCAGTAGCTCCTTCGCCTATTATGGTGGATTCTGCCCGGGGGCTCAACGCTTCCTCAAGGATATGAAGCTCTAGGAACGGTGGGAAGAGAGAAGTGCCTGCGGCTGACACAATCAAACATTGGTTACCCGAACGTTGGAATAACTGTACGATGAAGAGCTCGTCCAAGATCCCCCGTTGCTCTGACCACCTTTTGTCGACACGGGAGGAGTTAGGGCTCAAATGGCCTGCCGGTGAATGTTAATGTATGTTACTCTGGCATATCTCGATTGACTGAAGATCTAGTCAGCTAATTTACGATGGGTATGGATTCAGGTCTTAGAGAGCTAGCCCAGCCCCAGAAATGATCACCACTCTTCCGATGAGATCCGATTTCCCATCAAATAATAAATATTCCTCCAGATTCTACGCCCGTCGTCTCTGTATCGCGGCAGGGTGCACAATGACACTTGGACCGACCACGGATTTTTTCCAACCGCTCAATCAGCTGACCGATCACATCGCATGGCGCCCATCCTCTCTTCCGCAAGCTCCTGGACTGGTCATCCTCGAAGGGTCCTGAGATGAATTCAAGAAAATCATCAATCCACGATGGAGCGGCACCGACCTTGTCCTTCCGTTATGTCGGCTATCGCCTATTAGGACAGGTCTTCAAGGTGGCTCCAAAACCTTTATGCTCAGAGGGCTGCCGTCGTCATCAATGACGATTATACCTGCAATTGTGGTCGGCATTGTGCTAGCTTCAAGAAAGTTGAGTCGACTTCCTCCAGGCCAAGTTTTGGATCAGGTAGTTCTTCTAAGAGGCACTACATTTCTGTTCCAATCGTGCGCCTGTTGCTGCCCCAGAGAACTTCTGGGAAGGGTTACTTTGTTGGTATGACCGCAACGGCAGAGTATGATTTCCTTCCCCTGTTGAGGTTAGGGTTTGGAAAGAGTTAAAAAGATCGAAAGCACGGGAAAGTGATTAGAAATCCGCAAAGGTGAAACCCTCACCGATATTCGATGTAAGTCTTCCACTTAGAGCCCCCAAAACAGAGCAGCTGGCTAACATGTTATGATCTTGCAACCGACAGTCCACGAACAGCGGGATTGGTGTTGGTTCTGCCGCAACAAAAAAAAAAGGAAAGACTTGCTGGTTCCCTAAGAGTGCCATCTCCGAACACACCATCACGGGGAAACCGGTCACAACATATCGTTCTAAGGACAAATGACGGGTCAAAATCCCATGATCATTTTGCCACTGAGATATGAGAAATCATGACAAGTCTGGCGGTTTCGCATGTGATTTTAGTGGAGTAGGCGAGGGACCAAGATGACCAAGGTTAGATCGCTTGGTGGGATGAGCATGATGGTGGCTCAGTCCTTTCTCCATATCATTTTTTTCAGATTGCTAAGACTCAAGCCATCATCAGCATCAGCCCACAGGTGCTTGGTAAGATACGTGCGCTCATTACCGTAATTTATACCCAACCTGTCATCAGACTTGGGCTCCTCATCGGCTGAGGCGATGAGCAATGCGGGGTACACTGGCTCCACGCTTCCCCGCAGTAAAAGCCCCCACGTGGGTTGACAGGTTCGTGACGGATCCATACGGAGCTCTTCAATTGGTTCAATTGGGGCCGACATCCGCTGCCAGTTCACGATAATCCACTCACGGTCCATCAAGGCTTTCCACGTCTCCGCCAACAGCGCACTTCGCGATCAACGTGCAGGACACCAACTCCTTCGAGTGCGTGTCATCCCTAATCTTCCCCATCTTTTGTTAAAAATCGCTGGGAACGCATATCTGAAAGCCTCGAGTTCGGCATCTTCGGCACTCGTCCCTGCCTGTCAACGGCTCACCCGCGGCCGCACCAAAGTTGCAGAATCCAGAGTCAAAAGGAGCATCGTGTCATCCGATCTTGCAGAACCAGACATCAAGATCAACGCCAAAAAAAAAAATCTCAGACTTAGATTGGACTATTCCAACTTGCAGCATAGTCTATTGTCAAGATGGCACCTCTGACAGGAGCTGAAGTCGCCAAGCACAACAGACCAGATGATTGCTGGGTCATTGTCCACGTACGTGCCTGGTTCCTGAAACCCCTGATCAACATAGGGCTGACGTAGGGCTCCGCCGCTCGCAGGGAAAAGCATACGATGTCACAGAGTTTCTTCCAGGTCCGCAATCCGTCAACGTATCCCCAAGGAATTCATCTAGACCAAAAACTGACTCCCTTCAGAACACCCCGGCGGCGCCAAGATCATCCTCAAATATGCTGTATGTTCCATAACCCTACTATGGCCCCAATATGAGATGGGATCTGACATAAGGCAGGGCAAAGATGCCACCGAAGAGTTCGACCCTATCCATCCGCCCGACACGCTCGAGAAGTACCTGCCCAAGTCGAAGCACATGGGCCCGGTTGACATGTCAACGGTGACAAAAGAGACGGTCGAGGTGTCGGCTGAGGAAAAAGAGCGCCAGAAGCGCATCCAGGAGATGCCGCTGCTTGAGCAGTGCTACAACCTCCACGACTTTGAGGCCGTCGCCAAACGTGTCATGAAGAAGACGGCGTGGGGATACTACTCCAGTGCTGCGGATGACGAGATTGTATGCCTCCCGTATTCTCCATGGTGAGTTCGTAGGCTAACAGGTTCCAGACATTGCGCGAAAACCACACAGCCTTCCAGCGTATCTGGTTCCGTCCGCGGATTCTTATCAACGTGGAGAAGGTCGACTTCTCTACTACGATGCTCGGCACACCCGTCTCGATCCCCTTCTATGTTACCGCCACCGCCCTGGGCAAGCTTGGCCACCCGGAGGGCGAGGTCGTGCTTACAAAGGCGGCACACAAGCATAACGTGATTCAGATGATCCCAACACTGGCTTCATGCTCCTTTGACGAGATCATGGACGCTGCTGGCCCCGGCCAGGTCCAGTGGTTCCAGTTGTACGTCAACAAGGACCGGGAGATCACGAAGCGCATCGTGCAGCACGCCGAGGCCCGCGGCTGCAAGGGTCTGTTCATTACGGTCGATGCACCCCAACTCGGCCGCCGCGAGAAGGATATGCGCATGAAGTTCACTGAGGAGGGTAGCAATGTGCAGAAAGGCCAGGCCACAGATACCAGCCAGGGAGCGGCTCGCGCCATCAGCTCCTTCATCGACCCATCGCTCTCGTGGGCTGACATTCCGTGGTTTCAGTCGATTACTAAGATGCCCATCGTGCTCAAGGGCGTGCAGCGCGTCGAAGACGTCCTCAAGGCCATTGAGTATGGTGTGCATGGTGTTGTGCTCTCGAATCATGGCGGTCGCCAGCTCGACTTCTCTCGATCTGCCATTGAGGTGCTGGCCGAGACCATGCCTATCCTTCGCGAGCGCGGTCTCGAGAATAAGATCGAGATTTACATCGACGGCGGCGTTCGCCGTGCCACCGACATCCTCAAGGCGCTCTGCCTGGGTGCCCGTGGTGTCGGCATCGGCCGGCCCTTCCTGTACGCCATGTCGTCGTATGGTCTAGCGGGTGTCGATCGTGCTATGCAGCTGCTGAAGGACGAAATGGAGATGAACATGCGTCTCATTGGCGCCAACAGCATTGCTGACCTCAACCCCAGCATGGTCGATATCAGGGGCCTGTTCAGCCACAGCTCTCCGCCGGTTGACAACCTGTTCAATTCGGCGTACGACCCGCTGGTGAACCCGTCGCAGCGGACAATTAACGTTGAGAAGGCGAAGCTCTAGATGGTGTAAATCACTAGAGAGGTTACGGGATATAGAGGGATTTTGGGGATTTTCAAGCGATCTTGAATCAATCGATGGGAGAGGGTTGTCTAAAACCATATATATATATATATATATATATATACCCTACTTAGATTCCGCCAGTACTCTTTGACCTTTAACGTTCTATTCTCGCAGCTAGCTTTTTTTTTTTTCTCAATAAAAAATTTTTTTTCAATGGTCCTCGCAGTTAACCGTAATACGCGGTGTAAACATTACAATCCTTCATGGCATCTTGTGTATCCGCGGCGCCGCTATCCGAGGTCGTCAGCCTTGAGATCCGAGGTTATGCATGCGCCATGTTGAGACCCTAACCCTGACCTGGTTGTTGAACTTGGCTTGCTCGGGCAATGATGTCATTATCCTGCAGGGTGTTGCAGGCAGCGGGCGCAGTGCCTGCACGTTGCGGACTGCCTGCCCCACTGAGCCGCGCGCCGTTCCCCGCGTCGTGCATTGTGCCGCAGCCTTGTTGCCAAGAACGAGTGATGCCGATCCCTTGAGCCCCGGGGACCCGCCAAACTTCAACTTCAACTGTCGCAGTCGGAGAGTCACAGGCCAGCCTCATTCTCATTCACGACTTTCCTTCCTTCCCACGTACATATTCACTTACTCGATCGAGGACTGGCTCGTAGCTGGCACTACTGCATTGTACAGCGCAGTTGTGCGCACCATCTACAGTGCCTGCACGGATTTGTGCGCCGGTAAATTTTTGAGGCGTCTGTTGTCTGTTTTTTGGGACTAAGTCGTTCCGAGTTCCTTGACTCACGGCAAGGAGAGACAACAACAAACAAGAACAAAACAACACAGCTACAACTTGTAGTTTGGTCGGTGGTTTGAGGGAGGTTTAGGTCAATTCCCATCCGAGCATTACGGATTTGCTTTCTCTCATCGGCAGATATTTCCAAAAGGCCACGACTCACCCGCCATGCCGTCGTCGGTGCTCGAGGCCAAGATCGTCGTCCTCGGCGCCCAGGGTGTCGGCAAGACGTCGCTCGTCATGCGCTACTGCAAAGGTACCTTTGATCCGGCTCAAACCATGTCTACGGTCGGCGCTAGTTTCCTGACCAAGCGCGTGGTCGACACGGATACCGATACTCTGGTGAAGATGCAGATCTGGGATACGGGTATGTTGTGTCATTTTCGACCGACTTTCTCATGATAACCTCACAAGCCAACTTGCTGACATCCCCCGTAGCTGGCCAAGAGCGTTTCCGCTCCATCTCCCGTCTCTACTACCGCGGCGCGAATGCCTGCATCCTTTGCTACTCCATCACCGACGCCAGGTCCTTCAACGAGATGGGCGTCTGGCTCTCCGAGCTGCGCAGCAACCTGCCATCCGACGTCGTGCTGCATGTGGTCGGCACAAAAGCTGACATCGTCGCGCGAGACCCTTCCCGCCGCGAAGTCCCCTTCGAACGCTGCATCGCCTACGTAGCGGAGCACCTTGCTCCCGGGGCTAGCTCAACCCCGCCCCCGACCGCAACCCCCTTTCCTACTACTGCGAACCAAGCCAACAACAACAACAACAACAACAACAACAACAACAATAACAATAACGACACCAACAACGACTCTACATCCCACTCCTACTCTCACACCCTCGCCGGCTTTCCGTTTACCTTCCCCGGCACCTCCTCCCACCACTCCTCCTCGCACAACACCCCTCCCCCGGCCACAACTAACGCCATCGAACCGCGCTCCCCCTCCTCCAAACGCTCCTCCGGCTTCTGGGGCCAAGAAGCAGGATGGGACGCCTGCCACGAAGTCTCCGCCGAATCGGGCGAAGGCGTCGACGAGGTCTTCCGCGTCGTCACCCGCAAGCTGGTCGAGCAGAACAGAAGGATTCAGGCTGCACTGTTAGCTGCTACTGGCGGGTCGCTCGTGGATGAGCATGGGCATGGGGGTGCAGGCACTGGGTATCATGGGTATGGGTATGGAGGGTATTATCATGATGGTGTGGCAGGCGTTGGGTATTATGAGGCGACGGGGAATGGGAGGGGGGGCAGTTTTCGGGTGGGGAGGGATCGGAGGAGTTGGATTGGAACACCTTTTGCGTTGCCGGCGGGGGAGCCGGGTGATGAGGATGAGGAGACGGTTGAGAGGAGACGAGGGAGGGGTAGGTGCTGTTAGTGAAAAGGGCCTGGTCTGAGGAAAGTATAGCATGAGGATTCTATGTTGTTACGGGTCAGTGGTTTATTTGTTCTTTCTTCATGGCGTATGGTGGGTTGGAGGAGGTTTGAAGTTAAGGAGCTTTAGGTGGATTCTGATACCCCGTGGTTGGCTAGCTGGTCAATCACTTTTTATAATTTCTCTTTCTATCTTCGGATTATTCCCCTTCTTTACCTCGTTTCTCGGTCTCTTTTTGGGCCTTTTCTCTCTGCCACTTTTACGGGGGAGGATGTTCTATTGCCTTGACGTCGCACATGGCCTTTGGGCTTCTGGTGGTAAAGCGAGCTGGACTGGAACTCTGCAAGTAGCCTAGGGTAGGTGCTAACTTTACTTCTGGTTTCTTTCTTTCATATTGGTCCTTTCTGTGGCACGGTTCTGGCATGGATCAATTGGGAGAGATGTTTTGGCTGTGTAGTGAACTAACTACTGGCTCGAAACCCAATAGGAATGTTTAACGTAAGGTCACGATCGGAATGACGGTAATGAAAAACGATTGATGTTAGGTACGGAAATACGAAGGCGTTTTCAATTTGTCCGGAACAAAGTTGTTGCTCGCTCTGATCGTGTTTCCAGATGTGCAATCAATTGCAGCTCGCGCAACATAGCTAAGTTCCCAGCTATCCTTGTAAATTTGCGAGAGTTTCCCTGAGTCCTTCAGGGGTGTGTCAAAATGCATTGTGAGAGCATCAGCAGCAATGGTAGTAAGGTCAAGGGAACAAAGGTCCGGAGCGCAGGCACTGAATTATTTCAGTATGGTAGCAAAAAGCAAAACAAAACCCTTGAACATGGGAGAAAATTTTAAAAGAGAATGCCCAGTAACAGGATTGAACTGTTGACCTTCGCATCACTTAGTATAGCCAAGAAGCTATATTAGTACGACGCTCTAACCAGCTGAGCTAACCGGGCCATCGGGCTTGTGTGATTGGTTTGAGCATTGTCTCCTTTGATAAGGTTGTTAACCCCACCACAGACTCATCCACCCCTGGAGAACATTTAGATGTCTATGCCTATGGCATTGGGGCTTAAGAGCTGACCTTTGTTACGGTTACAAGCAAATTTGTCGCCCGTTGTTTTGTTATGTTGGCTTTTTCCAGCTCCTAGTGCTGAGCATGCCATCGAGCTTTTACTTGGGCGACCAGAATTCCTTGTCTCCGTTAACGCTGTCAACACCAGGGAGTTCTCACAGCCTTCCCTCAATAATTGAAGCAAAAAGTTGACAAATGTGAAATGAAGTGCCATCCCAATACGGGTATGACGCAAAAATGGCTTACAATGCGGTTTGTGTGGATCGAACACACGACCTTCAGATAACCCCCAATGTGGATCTTGGTCCTGAAGTTTATGGACTTTTGGGGATCCAATTCTTCAGTCTGACGCTCTCCCAACTGAGCTAAACCCGCTTTGCTAGCTTTGATACTGACGATCACTGGGACAAGTTTGAATAGACCCTACGGATGGACTGGCGTCATCACAATACATTTTGCGAAGCGTTATTATGGATTTTTAATTCCTTAAGAACACGCATGCTGAGAGGGTGTAGCAAGTCATGGAGCAGTTGTATGTCCTAAATATGTGACATGAGTATCTTACATTCCCCATCTCCTTTCGTTCCCCATTCCCATGAGACTGGATGGCCCTGTTACCAGCCCATTATTTGTTACCCAGTTGTTATTTGCTACCCATGTCCATATCCCCAGCAAAAAACATGTTCACATCGCCAAATTCGAAGTCCATGCTGCGGGTATTCTGTAACATGTTATCGTATCTTCCACCTCCATTTCCAGTGCCGCCCCCTCCTAACCCGGCAGCCATTCCTTCCTGTCCAGACGTAGTGTTGTGACCAGATTGAGTCCCGCTGTCATGAAGAGCCACAGTCCCCATTTGGGCTACCTGCCTACTGGTCCCCCCAGCATCTTTGCCCACTCCACGAGACTCGTTCCCGTGCCTCTGATCTGACTCCCCAAGTCCAAACCCCAACCTGTCACGCATCATCTCCTTGAACTTAGCCATCAACACCTCATCATCCGCAGGAGTACTCTCTCTTCCAAGGACTTCCCTCGCCCTAACCCGAATGGCATCATCCGAAGGGAACTCTCTACCAGCAAGCACCTCAGCTGTGACAAAGTCAATGAGCGCAGACTCAAGCTCGCGTGAGCAGAAGATCTGGGGTGGTGGGATAGGCGGGTTCGGAATGGGGAAGTAGGTTCCCGGGGGGTGTTCTCCGCATGATACGAAGCTGGAGGCTGTGTCGGCATCGGCGGCTTGGTTTGGATTCGATTTGTACGGGCTTGGGAACAGGTATGGAGGCATGAAGCCCGTACCACCCTGCTCGATGGGGCCTTCTAAGCCTTGTGGCAGGCCTGGGAGCGGCGTGTCTTCGATGATGCCAGCATCGCGCTTGAAGCGGCGAAGCCACTCTGCATTGTCGGCGGCTGTTTGGTTCCAGGGGTCATCACTGTTTATCCAGTCAGTCATCGTATTTGGGAAGACTCGAGGCTGGATACTTACTCCTCATAGATGATCCATCGCGCCTGATACTGCAGCTCTTCATCGGTCGGAACATGACGGTTAGGGTTGTTGGGCGACATCGTCGCAACTACCCATTTCTTGAGTTCACGAGCCAGGCGTCCGTAGCAGTTGGCGTCGCTCAGGTAATACCTTCCGTAGGTACGCGACGGACTTGTGGGCCGGCTGGCCATGCCATTTGAGTTGAGAATAGATTCAACCTGACCAAACGTTGACGAGGTCCCATTGAAGGGCATGTACGTGGAAGAATGTCCCGGTATCTGCCGAGCCCAGGTTGCGGTGTTGGTGAAACAAGGCTCCATAGAGCCGAAAGTCTGAGTAGATGGCAGTTGCGGGACCTCGGAGATTGTTGAGAGGAAATTGCGCTGCTTGAAGAGAGCCAGCCAGGTCGGATCATCAGCAGAAGTCGGAGTGCAGCCATCGTCATACTCATACATGATGATGCGGGCCTGGCGCTGGAGATCTATGTCGGTCGGCTCGATGCCGAGGGAACGCTGCTCTTGAACAAACTTGGACAGCTCGTTCTCTAGCCGAGTCTGGTTGTCGACCTCTGATCCAGATGCCGAGGGATCCTGCTGCGATAAGCCCGCATCTTTGGGTTCTGGGAGTTGAGCTCGCCGCCGGAATCCAGAGAGCCAAGTGGTTGACGAGCTCACCAGGCGAATTAAGAACTGCGCAGCTTCATGATTCGAGTCCTGGCCCTGTTCATCCATCCTCGTGATAATATTGCAGGCCTCAGACTGCAGCTCGGCATCTGTCACGGACAGGCCAAGCAGTCGGCGTGCTTTGACGAATTCTTGGAGCTCCATTTCCATGGGATCGAGCTCGAAGATATTTCCCTTGCCGTTGATACGAAGCTTTCGAGAACGGCTGTCGACTCCAAGACGCGTCCACTTGGCCTGTTCTGCCAAAGACTCGTTGGAAAAGAGCAGATCGCGGAGCCAAGCCGACGGCGGGCTAACTGTGGGCTCCGACGACTCTTCACTCTTGTAGATGATAGCACAAGCCATGCGCTGGATATCGTCATCAGATGGCATAGATCCTTCTCTCTCGCGCCAATCCTCAATGAACATAGTTAACTCAGTCTTGAGAAGCTCGAAAGCGTGCCGAGCGGATGCGGTTGAGGGCCGAGATGCCTCGAATGGGTCAGGAGAGCTGCGCTCATAGTGAATGAGGTAAGGGGGGATGGAGTTCTCGACCATCTCGAGCACAGGGGCATCGAAACCCCAGCCACCCTTCCACTCGGCCATGTCCTTTCCTTTCTTGAAGTGTTCGGCAAGGTGATCGACACGCTGAGACCAGGTGTCAAGAATCATGTTGCAAAAACCACAGCGGGAGCGGATCTCTGGGATAGTGTGCTTCCATTGGTCCATGGACCAGTTCACAAACTTAGCATTGTGAACCAACTTCAAATGCTGCCGTAAGTGATCTTTACGGTAGAACGTGCGCTCGGCCGTTGTGCGCTCTTGGCAGGTTGAGTAGTTGTGGGTTTCCATATGATCTTCATCTGGGTCAGGGTGACCGCAGAAGACGCAGCACTCACGGCGGTTCTCGGGATGCACGGCCTTCGGCCCATTAGGACAGCACACCCAGCGTTCGAGAGATAGATGGAGGGAGTTCTCATGTCGCTGCCAGTCGTGCTTCGTCCTGAACGATTCGGTGCAGAAGGTACACTGAAAAGTCTTGGGGGGACCGTTGGAAGGCTTCCCAGCAGTGGGAGCCTTTCTCCTCCTGCGTCTGCGGCCACGCTGCCAGGAACTGTGGGAGCCAAAGGAACCACGAGAGCCGAAGGAATATGCGGACGTGCTTGACCTCGATGTATGGGCACTGCTGATGGTCGAGGCGCAGAGAGACCTGCCAGAGCCATCATCCGTGAATGGCTGGCTGTAAGGACTTTCCAAGCCAGATGAGAGACTAGAAGCTGAAGCTCGAACGGCCCTTGCTATAGCAGTCACAGAGGCCGGTTCGTGTTCCGGCGGAGAGTGTTGCCAACGCTGCAGCGGGTTCATGTGCTCGAGAGCCGGGGTACCAGGGCGCTTGGGGATTTCAATGGCAGTCGCCCAACTCCGGATGCCGGGCGAAGTAGATCTCTGGGCAAGGGCATTCTTGTTTCGCCGCCGTGTGTTCGCAAGCCAGTTGGTGATTTGGGTCTTGGTCAGACCTGTCTGTTTCTGAAGCATCTCCTTCTCTTCCTCAGTGGGATATGGGTGCTTGCTGTGCGTAGAGAGCCAGTTCTTCAAGATCTTCACAGACTCACGGGAGAACCTAGCACCAACCTTAGGCTTGGAGGCTGGGTTGGCAGCCTGATTCTCTCCGCCAGGAGTTGAAGCCGAGGTCAAGCCGACAAGATCAGGAGCTGAGGTTGACTTTGGCGGCTCAGGATCAGCATCTTCTTGCTGAATAGCCCTGGGGTGATCACCCATCAAGGGCCAAGGGTTTGCGGGAAGGTCAGACGAGTTGCCATAGCTGCAGGCACATCGCAAGGCGACACAGCTCGTGCAATGACCCTTATACTGACCCTCAGGGATACGCTTGCAGTCGTAACCACCCAACAGGCAATTAGTGCAGGGAACTTCGAACTGCTCTAAGTGGTCCTCAAAACGCCATGTCGACTTGTCGCTTACAGTCTGCATGGTGATGTCATCTGCAGCAGCCATGGTGGGGAGGATATTGTTCTCGAAATGCTCCAACGCCCAGAACGAGAATTCATCGCCGGTAACGTTGGCCAGTGCCAAGTCGAGATCATCAAGCAAAGGGTCGCGCGATTGCGACGTGGACGTGACAGTAGCCTCGGCGCCAGTGCAGGCTGTAGGCTCGGCCTGGTCCCAGTTGACAAACTCGTCCATCCTTGAAGCTGACAGAAAAAGGGCGCGAGTGAAGACGGCGATCTATCTTAGGGCGAGGGGTTCACCCGGTGTCACTTGGGAAGACTATCAAGCTGTCAGACCAAAGGGCGTAGAGAGAGGACCCAGATTGCATTACTAGTAGCAGACTCTGTCCCCAATTTACTCTGGCACGTAGGTCCACAACTCAAGTCTGTCCAAATCGCACGGAAGGGCCCGTTCTTGATTTGGACCACGACTGGTAGGACGATTTTCAATGTCGATGTCAGTGAATGATTAGTTGACAGTGTGGGACAACACAAAGAGAGGTAGAAGGATGATAGGCAATTGACGGATAGTTTACAAAATACATAATGTGGAGATGGTCGATCTGCTGGAGGGGAGAGTTTTTATTTCAGTCGAGTCCCCTTGATCCTCCAATCCAGGCACTGCCATGATAGCTATCTGAATGCATCGGAGCTGGAGTTCCACATGCTTCAGTTGGATTCTTCTGCAGAAGAGTCATCATGGGTCGGTTGGTCGGATGCGGTGGTTAGAGCAGAAAGGCAGGGTGGTAGCTGTTGGGAACCAGGTAGTCAACGATTGGCAGGCTGGTTGGTCGCACATGGATGGTGACCGTGGGCAACACGCAAAATGCAAAATGCGTGCGCCTTTCGTTTGACATGCCCAGGCCCCTGTCAGTGGCTGGTGGGGCTGGAAAATCCTGGAGAGGAGCCTGGCTAGGCATCGTCTTCCCCCGCCATTGCGACCTGGATTTTCACGCAGCGACACCAACGCCAACGTTACGCACCTTCCGTGTCTGGTCTGGATGGCGTGGAAAAGCTCCGCCCTAGACGGCGGGAATCCTGGCAGTCGCGGGCTTGATGAGAAAGATAAAGACCAGGCCAAGCCATTAAGAATCACGCCGTGCCAATTGGATCTCTTCCACCTCTTCTCCTGCGTGAACCGCGTTGATTCGACCTTTTTTTTTGCTGTTCCGTGCGCTGCCAGTTCTGGTCTCATGACGTTCAGACTTCGGCAGCACCGCGCTGGCCAACCTGGCCTGGACAGCTGACATGGGTCCAGGACCATACCCGACGACCAACGGGCCGATGTCTCGAGTCTCAAAGTCGGCATTTGTTGCCATGCTCTGACCCGAATCATCCATTCTAGAGTGATTGCTCTCGTCGCTACTCCATTCGAGAGCCCGTCAGTTTGTTCCAGCGCTGTCCCGATATCGGAACCAGATGCATCGATCATGAGATCTCAATTCGAGGGACCGATAGCAACCACGAGTTATCACCAATGCATTGCCCATCCGGGGATGGTGCTGTTTAATAATCAATGGTCGATCCGGAGTGCCCGGCTTCTGCGTTGCACCAAGTAGTCTCCCACCAACCTTCGGATTGACCCCGCATAAGCCACAGATCCGCAGCGCCACCGGGTGGCTGAACAGGGGTTCTCGGCGCAGGCTGCTAGCCGGGGCCCTTCCTAGAAAGGCAAGCCAAGAACCGGACATCACCGCAGCGTCGGGGTGGACGCTACGGTAGCCCTGTGCGGCTCCGGGTGGCGTCCCGGCGGTCGTTCTTTAAGGATTCAGCCAAGGTTCCGGTAGGTCACCAACTTTGGCGCCCTCGGGCTTTGGCAATGCGAACCAAGCAGCATGTTGAGAAAATTTTGCCTTGAGGGTTAACTTCCCGGAAACTTCGTTGTCTGGAAAGCCAGCAATCAAGGAGTCTCCTCACCAGGCATAATCCGACGATCGTTTTTCTAGTGTTATCTGGGGTTCCTTTTGACTCAAGTGTGTTACCAGGACACAGATAATACCTTAGCTCAGTCTTCTTCCGCGTTATCTTGCTTCCAGCCGACACCCTTGAGCTCGACCTCTGCCCGATGCAATAATGCCGAAACCGAAGCAGTAGCTTTTTCAGCAACGTTTATCCACAACTTTCCATAATCGTCTTGTTCTTATTAAAATCGCTGCATGACAGGCCAATCCCATCCTGGGAATATCAAGGGCACTCTGGTCTTGAGGGCCAGCCTTCAAGAAACAGTTTCCTGGAGCCTTCCCTGCCCTCGCCACATCCTTGTCCGTCCAAGCTGGCACAAAGCTGACGGCAGCACATGTTGCGTTGGGGTTGTCACTGCGCCCGCCGAAAGATTTGGGCACATATCGTGTATACGCCGCGCAGGCATCCATGCAAGTGCTGAAGTTTGGGGTAAACAAGGCGAGTATCGGCTGGTTCGGAGCATCGCGATTACAGTATCTGGTGAATTTGAGAGTCGCTGCTGGAGGTGTGTGAGCTACCTGTTATGAGCTAACAAAGCCGGGGGATTTGGAGCATACGTGAAAATGCCGTGTACACAGACCGGTCTATCCCAGTTGGATTCGATCCGCACCCGTCATCAATTGATTCCGTGGTCATGCTGGTCGGATTTGATGTTGAGTTGACCATATAAGTCCTCAGCTGTGAAATTGTAGCCCGGGCATCGCTTGCCCTGCGCGACTCGATGCCTACAGCTGTACCGAGCCCAATACTGGCTGCCATCAAGAGAGCAATGATACATGACAGAACGAATGCGATGAAGCTGCATCCACAGACAGTACGCGAGGTGATAGACTTTACCAGAGTGGATTCGTTTCTAGTGCGATGAGGATACGTCCCCCATGGAGCGATATGCTTTATCCCATCAACCTTACCATCGCCTGTTAATGGGTCATATGCTGGGTGAGAGTATATGTAAGGTTGTTGTTGGAAGTGCTCTGGGATAAACGATGGCGGTAGGTATGGTTCAAGGTCGCTATAGCTCTCTTCTCTCACAACTTCGGGGAGAACTTGTTGAGTGAGCTCCAAGCCCGGTCGGGGAAGAAGTCTTCTTAGTCCGTATGGCATGCGATCCGAAGTGAACATTCTCGTCTCAAACTAGATCCAGACACATGGACGGACAGAATTCTTCTTTTTGGATATGATGCTGGGCTTTTCTATGCACACCCTGCAGAGGCATCCAGAGAAAGGGCAGAGCTTTCAGCTATGTCAGCACTATGTATGCATCGGGATGAGCGCGGTAAGAAGCTGAGTAAGCTCCCAATACCTCGAAGCGCCAATTGCCATCCGCATATCCTGATGAGACCTTGCCACACGAGACGATCAGCTTTTTGGATGTGTTTTGCTTTGGCACACAGACGTCACAATCGAAATCTGGCTGCTAACTCAATCTGAGCATTGTACAGCTGAACTTATTGCCGTAAATCCATGCAGTTGCTGACATAATCCTCGGCATGATGAGCCATGCCATGCCATAACTGACCTGGCCAACGCTATCGATAAGAGCCGTCCTGGCCTGCTTCCATCAGATCTTCAGATCTGCAAGGATCTCGATGCGCAATAGCTTAGGTGAATCATACGTTCCTGCGCACAAAATGTCGTCAACCCGGGGCTGTGGCGATGTGACATGCATCAGTCTGAGGAGCAGCTACCCCTAATTCTTGGCACATCGCCGTTGACGCTTGACCGATGAGAATGCGGGGCCCTTGCGCCACCAGCGTCGCCAAGGTCCCCTGACAAGAACCACAGCATTCAGATGACGCACCCATCAGCAGAGTTAAGATGCTAATGGTTGACGGCTGGTGGACATGATATCGGATGAGCAGCAAGGGGACAGGCACGGGGACGATCTCGATTCTCCGTTCCTGAACTTGGGTTCGACGGATGTGGGGCTCGTAGGTGCTGGCCGGCTTGGTAAGCCTTCACTTCTATTTCACATATTGGATCCCACCAACAGTTTCAATCAATGGATCCAGATCCTGCGATGTTGTTGTGTTTGTCAGTTGCTCTGTAGCATTCTGCACGCTGAAAAGTGAACGGCCAGCAAAGAAGCATCTTTTCCTGCATTTCTAGTGGCACAGAATACACAGAATACAACAGCGGGATATCGAGCATCGGAAAAATAATCCACTACCGAGCTTAGGCGCATGTTGCATGCAGACGGAGCCCCTGCATCCTTTGCTGGCAGCTGCGACACTCTACGTTTGGGTCGCGGACATAAGCGCACGCACCCTTCCAGAAGCAGGTTCTCGACATACTCTTTGAAACCAGGCACTAGGAAGACTGCCAATACTCGATCCCTGGCTGCTTCTTAAAACCCGGGAGATTTGGAATTCAGCCTGCCTGGCTTTGTGTGTCTGGTGCTCTGAATACCAGTATCGCGAATCATCGCAGTTGTTTGTCAACGTGCTTACGACGACGGAACACGGATATCCTTACCAGCGCCTCATCCCCGGCTGGTCCGAACCGTCAGCTGCCTCGCTGCTTGCTGATCCGCCGGCTATTCTTTTGTTCATCACTGACCAGAGCCCTCACTCACCATGCCAACATATCTCTGCCACGGCTTCCGCTGGCATCGGAAGAGCATTCGTGTATACATAATCGTCCAAAATCTTGACGACGCCTCACCGGAGTGGATTATCCCAGCTAAGTCATCGCGATGTATCCTTGAATCTTTCTACGAGCTCTTCGACTTCCTGCCGTACTGCAAACAAACGTCTCCATCACGAGTTCAGCTTCAGCAGGAGACAGCGATCACACCAGCCTGGGATACGGACAGCGACTGTGACGGGCGTACCCTCGTCAACACCGAAGCCTGCAGTGTTGCGTCACGGTATTGCAATCGAGGCCGTTCACGATCTCGATCTCGCTCGCATAGTCGAAGCACATATCGCCATGGCCGAGGTGTCAGCCGTGCTCATTACCCTCAAGAACCTGTACCTCCGCTACCTACCCAGAACCCTTCCCTTCCCTCTGGATGTAGCCCCGAACCTGGAACTCCTGAATCGAATTGCGATATCTCCGGGGAAAGTCCTACAGACAGTGATGGGAACGATGAGCAAGATGACTTCGCCACACAGTCCTGGTCGGCTGTTAAGCTGCTGGAAGAGTATGACCCTCGCGACCTGAGTTGTGTTTCCAGGCCGTGGGCATATGTCGCGGACTATGTCGTGAGAATTGATACTTCCTGCTCTCTTGCCGAGGAAATTGCTAAATATGAGAGAGAATATCGACACAAGAATGGGTGGATTGAGGATTTGAGGGATGAATTACAGAGGGGCGAACAGGTACAATGGTTTGTTGTGGTGAATGGTGATGAGGAGAGGGGCTGGAAGAGCTCCGGGAGAGGATGCGAAACTGAAAGAAACGGGGGAACTCCAGGGGCAGACTGCGAGGAAATCTGCCAAAAGTTGAAAAACGAGTGTCAACCCGAAAACTGGAGATATAAGTTAAGGTGTCTGGATGGCTACCAGCAGGCCTACAGATCGACGGCATCAAAAGCTCAGAGGCATCACCATGCACAGTATCTGCTGCAGCAAGAGATCTTCGAGAGTGAGGAGCGCAGGCTACAACACGAGCAACATCAAGCGCAGTATCAGCAGCAAGTGCAGCAGTTGCATGAGAAATGTTTGCAAGGGAAACTCCGACAATATCAACACCAACGGCAGCACACGCATCAATGCTATCAATCACAACCACAACATCGGTGTTGTAACCATAACCAACATCAACCTTGCCACGAGAAGCAGCATTCATGCAGCAGCAATCATCAACGCGGCCCCTCTGTTCCTGGACCACCAGCTCGTGCTCCTCCTCCAGTTCCCCAAGCCGAAGACAGGCCACCAACACCCCCTCCTCGGGCATCGTCCCGCGCCCAAACACCATACAAATCACAACAGCAGCAGCAGCTACAACAGCCCCAACAACCATCCCACAATCGCACCTCAAGCAAACCCAAAATCCCCGACAAAAATTACCTCCCCCCTCTTCCCATTCCTGTCCCTCCCATCCCAGCAAACATCAACAACAACGCCGCAAACGTCAGCATCAACGGGAAGAACGAGACATACCCAATAAGGCTACGCCACAAGATGTCGTTTGACACGCCGAGGACTGTGGTTGTTTCAGGAGGAATGAAGGAGGAGGACATTGCCAGGCCAAAGACTCCGGGGAGTTCTAGTATGAACGGGAGGAGCTTGAGGGCGCATGGGAGTGTGAGCGGTGCGGGAGGAGGGTTGAAGAAGTTCTTTTCTAGGGAAGGGGCGAAGGTTGGGGATGTGACGGTGGGGTGAGGGGTTGGGGAGGGAGCTGGTGTGGGTCAGGGTTGGGGTTGAATGTTGAATTCCATTGCTTTTGCTCTAGTGTTGGTTTGATGCCCTTACGACGCCAATGATCCAAGAGCAGGATAAGATTTTGAAAGATAAAGTAATAGTTTGGCTAGCATCTCCCTTCTTGGTCTTTTGCTTGTCCACCAGCATTAAGAGAGAGGACAGATCGTCGACGGGACACTGGGGTGCAGAACAGCAGGATGCGGGAGGACTGCAGGAAGTGTAGAGATATAGCAAAGCCGTGGGGGACTAGCCCAATTTTCTATACGGTGGAGGTGGTCGTATCGATGAGCTACCAATCGCTAAGATTGAAGGGATATATTGGTCGTTCTACTGAGTTCGCTCGCAATCAGCCTGGCCACATGCGCACGCGAAATGTCAGCTAATCACTCAAGCCGAAAAATTTCTCTCGCCCTACCGATCCTCAATCGAACCTCATGGTTTCGGCCACCGGGCAAGGCTCTTGGGAAGATGCTTTTCAATCTCGAAGCACATGTGTGGAGACATGTACCTATCGTTCCAGTCATTTACTTGGTACAAGAGTCGCTTCGCCCGTTCACTGATCAAAATAGGCTTGCAGCCAGCAGGCTTTATTGACATTTTATAAGTCTTCATCCACATCTACGTTCCGTACCAAGCTACTTACCCACGGCAACCTCTCCATCTTGCTTGCCTGTATTTCATCGAGGCACGGCTTTTCCACGGAAGTCCTAGTCTTGCAATGGAGCGATCATTTTTTGGAATTACGTGCCGCATGGACAATGCAGCTATCAATATTACCTCCCAATAGCATCTTCAAACGATACGGCGGATACGTAAATGTGCCAAGCGTACGCTGTCTGTTTTTATTCGAAATCAACGATGACACGGAACGCGATTGCAGCCCTGGCTCAAGTGATCGGTCTAAATCAAGGGACGGAAGACCTGTCATCCAAGGAAAAGCTGTGAGCCTACGCACATGGAGTCCATGGCTTCACATTCTGCCAGTTGTAATTTGATAATTTTTATTGAGTCCTGGCTTTGGAATCCAAAAGGTATTGTTCCCGAGCTTTGCTTGGCGGATCTCAGGGGGCGAAGGAAACAACGCCAAGTTGCCACAGCAACACTTTCAGGGGCTGGCTCCACTCGATGGAGACGGCGTCTCAATGGCAAACGAGAATCAGCATCTGCCTGTTTTTCTCGGATTATCATGTGCGGCTTCATATACACATGTTAGTACCTGTTCTGGCTACCTATTCTTACTTTCTCCGGAAAATAAGATGAATGCAAGCCAAGTTTTCCACTTGTCTCGCCAACATAACTGTGGAGAAAGTTTAGGGAATAGGATTATACAGCGACCGGCATCTGCACTTCACATCTGATCCCAATGAACCAATTATCCTGTCTCTGCTCAAAAGCTTTATTATATATCTGTTACATAACAAGTAAAGTCGGATCGTCACATATATAATGGATGTGAGAGACGAGTGGTAGGTAGTTATTCAGAACAATAGAAATCCATGACCTGATCTTATATACTTTGCTATCGCTTCGCACTTTAGCTCAACCCTACAACAAGCCCATAGTGATGCCCTGCTTCATCCATCTAAGTCCAATCTCTTTGGACTGGGACTATGTCCCTGCACCTTACTGCGTATTGACATTAGACCAAACACATGCTAACTCTTCTGTTACAATGGCATTGATCACGAGTTAGATCTTCTGCCCTGCGTAAAAGAGGTCCAAATCGTCCTGCTAATGTTGCAGGGCAAACGCAGTCCTGTTTGATTTGACAGGTTGTAATAGGAGCGTCACGAACACATGAATCGGATTAATTTCTCTTCATTGCTGTTAGTGGAGGGCATAATAGTTATAGTTGGTAGAACGGTGGTGATCCAGTCTGTCTGGAAACAATTAAGCTGTCTTTCCATTGTGTAACCCGGCAACCGTACAGCGGAAGTAACATTGCTATACACCTTGTGGGGATAGAAACCAATTATGCGGAAATGCAGTGTGCTACGAGACTGCAAAACAAGTCTGTGATTTGGAGAAGATCCATTTACATAAGGTATTGTGCTCCATAGATACACGGGCGCATGATTGCTGTCTTCGGTGTCTGGGGGTTCAACTCAGAAGATTGCTTGAGAGTGAGCACGGTTCCTGCGTAAGTCTAGAGAGGCTGGAATGTTGGTATCGCGAGTTTGGAGAATTGATAATGGTTAGGGGATCTCATAAAGGTCTTCAGACATTATTTAGGAGGTGGTATGCACTTGAAGGTATTGGAGCCCTAATGTCAAACGTGCCGGGTCGAGTTGACCACCTGCCGAGGAATGGAGGTATTGACAATTTGCTCATATTCAGAGTTTCCATAGCATTTCAAGTAGACTGTTCGAAATGGAATCAAGTACTCCGATGGATCTGAGATCATTTACCGGACTATCCCACACATCGTTCAAACAACTAGTTGTAAGATACCCACGCGGCCAGCAATTTTCAACCGATAATCTCCCTACCCTGAGCCCACAGGAAGCCTTCTATCAAGGCGGCAAGAGACAAAAATGATGGTAACGAAAGAGCGGAAGTAGTAATATGGGATCCATCCACACCGATGGCAAGTGGGCGCGTCACAGAGAATCCAGAGGAAATAGAAAATACGGGCTCTTCAATGCATGTGCTCGGACAGTTAGCGACCCAGGTTGTCAGGTCGGTATAAGATGCTTTATGGCACCAGAACTGTATTGGAAAATCGGTCTCGTTACATTCCTCCAGCTGTCCATCTTGCTTCAGTTGTTCAATGTGGATCAATTGTGGCTAGGTATTATTCGGTGGCAATCCATAGCACAATAGTGACGAAACCTTGCTGAATACCTCGGGATGTAGAAACCAGCCAGAATTAGGTATCATGAAGAAGACACTTGCTGAGCCTACAAAAAATTACAAGCATGGAATGAATGATGTACGTTACCCCTAAAAGGGCGCGGTTAGGAAGCAAGGGACCTTTGATCCGTTGGCATTGTTCGTCAGATGGGTTAGATGGCTTTCCAAACACCGCAACCAAAAATTGCCGGTTTAGGAGATATTGTAAGTTGCCAAGGGAGTAATTTGTCTCAATCAAACCAAGCGGAAGCTAGAAGATTAACTGTCTTGTGAGTAGGTGATCCAGGAGAGTATTGAGGGAATTGAGAACCAATAGTTCGTATAATCCAGCAACGATCGTCAGTAAGGATGATCTGTTAAGTTAAATATGCTGTTCTCTTCCTTCTTGAATTCATACCAGTAAGTCTGCTTGATGCTGCGGGCGATAAAAAAGGTGGATGCCACGAATGGGATCAAATGCAACCATGTATACCAGTATCGCAGACGCCTTATTGCTCCTTGCAGGACCCAAACCTCTTCATTGACATTGGCTTGTAATTCTCATCATTGTTGTGCTGTAAAGCCTTTGCTTTAATTTTCTTAGCATTGTTTCTGAGTCGTAATGATCTTGACCTCCAGCATTGTACCTGCAGATGCAGTACAGATGGTGTCTTCGCTGATAGGTCTTACCGCGTCTTCGACGAGTTGCATATACAAATGGGCCATGCTGCCAAGGAACTCTTGCGTGAAAGACTTCGAGAAATGTTAGTTGCCTATATCAGGGAAGATAACCGCGAAGGGATGGCTGAGTTGAGCTGTGTATATGTATCGAAATGCAGTTCTCCTTAAGAACTATCAAGGCTATAACGTGGACGAGATGCGCTGGCCTTGAGGGGAAGGATCGAGGGTATCATGGGCATTTGTTTTCTTGGCACACTGATCTTGGTATGACCAAAAAGCCAACTGATCTGTGCAATATATGAATCTTAAAAAAAGGTTGTGTTGTCAGATCTCCCATTGCGCCCGCCCATCTCAGCGATCCGGGATTGCCGAGGCTTTGGCTCGAACCGGAAGTGACCGACCAGTTTTGAACAAGACTATGTGGACTTTTGCTTGATATTTGGAGAACGTCATCTGATGGGATCTCTAAATATGGTCAACCACGGCACCGCCACTGGGCAAGGTGCGGTGACAAGTATGGGGTAAGGCAATGGCTACACACTGTACTCATCTGCCAACACGATCAGGATCAAAGTCCTGTTTTATTTAGAAACAAAAAGCATGCAGATAGGAGTATGGTTGGCCTGGTTGAACTTTAGTTCGCTGAAAATAGATCCTCTGGTTCACCAAATGGAAACACGAAAAAGTGGTAAATATAGCCAAACGTTCATTGAGGTGCGGCCACTTCCAGACATGATCACTGCCGGATTGAGGTTTGAAAGAGAGCATGTCCTCAATAACGATAGCGATTATCACAACTATTCACGAGAGTAGGGGTATTTATATCTGTAACTAGTGTAAGCATATTTCTCTCGCCTTGCATTCTGCAGCCAGTATATGTGAAGTAAGCATCCGTCACCAGCATCAACCATCATTCAGGTCTATCAGAAGAGCGCACACCCCAACAAAGTCCCTTCTTCGCCCGCCTTCCAAAGAACGCCATGATCTTTTCTCGCAAATGTCAAAGCACCTAATTCCCATTCACCTGCCTCCCAATGTTTGTCTTGCCCGATCCCATAAGAGTAAAAGACAAATAAAAAGATATGCTTTAGAATCACCATCGACTACCCCCGAGTCCAAATACCAAAGGAAAAGAATACAGCAGCGAAGAAAACAAGCAAACCCGCATCAAGCAATGCCCCTACCCTCGGTGCTCCCATGTGTTATATATCTAATAGAAATATTTTGTGACCAATGGGTCCGAACTGCCTTGTTTCGCAAGCAGAATGAACAAAACAGAAAAGAAATGATTTTTCTTTTCGCGCATTAAGGAGCTTCCTCAGAACCACTCCTCATCGTGCTGCAGCCACACAGGCTGCGTAGATGCAGACGCCGCCTCAGGAAGAGGGTTTTTCCTCGGCCGACCCCTCTTGCGTGGCGGTTGCTGCGAGCTGGACCGAGAGCGCTTCTTCTTTTGACCGGCCGCTCCGCCAGCCTGTGACTTGCGCTTCCTGCCACGTCCCGTCCCGCTGGGAGTCCCAGCACTTGATGCCATGTCATCGTCGCCCTCCTCCCAATCACTCTCGTCTCCGAACCCGTTTTCCTCACCAGCCGCGTCAAGATCCATCTCGTCCTCTTCAGAGGGGACCAGGAACTCTTTATCGATACTCATGAGCTCAACAAGGTCCTTGCACGCACGAACCATGCGCTCACGGCCACCGCTAAGGGCGCCCATGATGTTGTTGATCTCCTCCCAGACCTTGTCGCCCGTGACGCCCTGGACCTTGACTGGAGGACGGGCCAAGTCCTTGACTTGGGGCTTGGCAGGCTTGGCGCTGTTCTCTCGGCGGTTGGTGCCAAGACTGTAGAGCCGCCGCAGGTATGTGCGGACTTCCCAGATGGCGAGAAGGATCATAGAAGCGGCCGTAAGTTGGCGCAAGCGGGAGTACTCGATGTCGGGGAGCAAGGGGTTAACTTGACCCTGAGTTTGAGCTTCGGCCCGCAGTTGGCCGTCAGGGTTAGGGCTCTGGGAAGAAGGCGCATCCAACACATCAATGCGTAGGTGAAAGACCTCGGACTCGATGACCTGCGCAACGCTGGCCCCGGTAGAAGCGACAAGTCTCTCCATGGCTGCAACGAGAGAGTGAATCTCGCCGACCGTGACGTACTCGAAGAAAGCAAGGTTCTCAATGATGAACCTGGAGTACTGAACATGAGGAGGAAGCTCCTCCGACATATCAAGTTTTGCAATGTCGAAGTCGATCTGGCTAACAAGCTTCTCGAGGAACTTGACCCGGTTCTTGGCCTTGCTGATCTTGAGTACTTCCATGAAGAGGTGAAGCTTGGGCGTAAAGGGATTCGTTGTGGCGCCGCGGGGATCCTTAACGATGTCGCGCTGGTAGGCGAAGATTGACTGGATTGCTTTGGCATACTCGCGCTCGATCACCGTTTCGTGTTTGGTGTGGAGGGCTTTATGCTCAAGAAAGGCGAGTTCAGAGATGCGCGGATGTGTCGACGTAGCCAGCGTAATAAAAGTGACACCAGTTTCCTTCGGGTGAACCAGGCCTTGACGGTTGATGCTTGCAAGGACCTCGACAGCAAGGAACGCATGATCGTCCTGTGTAGAAGTCGCGATGCGAGTAATGTCTTTCAGGAAGCGGTGGGTTGTAGCACTCGCGACGTCGTCATAATTTGTGCCACCAATGACCGTGAGCTCGCGCTTCTTCTTTGACTCGCCATCCTTGCCGGCTGGACCTTCGGGTTCTTGTTCAGAGCGCTTCTCCTCGGAGAAGAGGAATTCTTTCAGGGACCGCAGGACCATGGTCTCCAAGATTGGGATCTGGTCGTCAAATACTTGTTGGAAAGCTGTGTAGACATTTGCGGCGACATAGTTACGCGGAGAGGACTGGCACACCAAGCCTACGCAGTCCAGGGCAGGTTTGCGAACGTCTAAGGGCCAGGAGGGAGCAGCAAATGGAACGACAATATCAACCATGAGCTTGGAAACCGAGGCACCTGAGAACTTAGGGAAATGCTCCTTGAACATTTCATGGTGGCTGTCGAGGTTGCAGTGCTTGCCAGCCATTCCGACAATGAGGGAGTACCGATCGAACTGTCGGATTTTAAGTTGATCTAGTGGCTGGACTTGAGCACTGGCCCGCGTCTTTTGAATGCCTTTTAAACTGGAAATCACCAGCCGTGCAAGGGGCTCATATGTCCCCAAGAGAGTACTGATGATCCACAAGCATGCCATGACATCGTCAAGAAGCGCACGGGGCACCTTGGCGACGACCGGGAGCAGCTCCTTACGGACATCTGTAAGGAACTGCGCGTGAGCACTGGACAGCTGGGGAAGGACCCTGCGATAGATCACGACGACTGCCCTTGAGACGGTCAGATCCTCGCTGGTGCCGATACTCGCGATGTACGGCCTGAGTAAGCGTAACTGTTCAAAAGTGAAGAGGCTGGCCTCAGCCTTGGCAAAGATCATCAAGACTTGGAGGACGTCACGCCCCGAGGGAGCCGAGGCGTCATTGGAATCGATATTGTCGATCAGGTCAAACATGCTCCCGACCAGCTTCCGGCATACCTCCATGGAGGCCTGGGAAGTCTTGGATGATGGGCTTAGCAGAGCCTGCAAGACCTTATCGAGCACGTTGGCAACATTGCCTCGTTTGACTGTTTGAACCATCAAAATGACGTGCTCGGAGAGCGAAATCTGTGAAGCAGCCGAGGTCTCGCCGGAGTGGAAGGGGGCAAACCAAATTTCCTCAATCACCTGACGCGCCAGGTCTCGAACACTCTCTTCAGGATCTTGAACTCGATGAAGTAGGCCGTTCGCGATAGCACTGCGGAGGACCCGATTGCTATTGCGGAGATAAATGTCCTTGGCCAACTTCATGGCTCGCTTCCGAACACCAGGTCCAGCATCAGAGAATCTATTGACGACGGTTTCCGTCATCTTCTCCTCGAGTGCAGGGCGAAGGCTAATGCATTTGCTAATCAGGCCTAATGCAGAGTCGCGGACCTGAGTTGAAGAATCGCTAGAGGACCGAAGAATGAGCTGAACGACAACCGAATCGCCATCAAGAATGGTCGGATCGGCCTCCATGACCTGATTGATGCTCTTGAGACTCTTGCTTCTCACCGTCGGCTGATCACTGGCCATGGAGTTCAGAAGAATATTCAAGATGGCGCCGAAGGCCTCACAAAATTGAGACCGCAGAAGGATGATAGAGTAGGATAACTTCGCCTGTAGAGGGCTAACATCCTTGTATGTGTACTCAGTTGAGAGCCATTTGCGGTCAAGAATCATTTCTCGGAGCCGGTACGCCAGTCGGCCCAGTTCTTGATCCCGCTCTAGGACATCATCTTGATAGCCGTCATAACAAGTGCAGATTTTGGAACCCCATTCGGAAATGATGAATGTCATGGCGCTTGACAGTTGAGCATCCTCGTTGAACCGGCTGCGACTCTGAAGGTATTCAAGAGTGGCGCGATAGGGGCCCGTCCAGGCCACCATGTGCTCGGGACGAGATTTCAGTTCCAATGCCGATGCTGCCAAGTCGGAGAGGAACAAGCTGAGCTCATCGGCCTCCAAAGCACTGGCCATTTTCCTGACGTGGCCACGGAGCTTCGAGATCGCAGCACACATGGTGCCTAAGAGCTCGAGGGCCATGTTTTTGGCCATAATGCTAGACTTGTCGTTTTCGACGAGACCAACCATCATGAGCATGAGGAGCCGAAGGAGCAACTCAGCCGCAGGCCAATCCGGGTTATCGAGACACGTGATAAAGTCTTCAACGAACAGGTCGAGCAGGTTGCGATAAGGAGTGTCTCCGGACTTGGTCGAGTTCAACGCCCGGTTGACAATGAACTTGATGACGTAGGATGCGTTGTTCCGCGCCGTCTCCAGTAATGGCGTAGAGATAGTGTCCAAGTCTCGAATTGCCGTTGAGTGCTGCGATGCACCCTGTGCCTCGCTCTGTATGATAAAAGCCTTAGCGCCAGTCACTTTTTGGACTCCTTCAGTCATGTCGAGCCGACCACTGCTTCCTCGGCCCTCATCTTTTCCAGCACTCGTTTGGACAAGACGCATGATGAGGGCAGATACCGGCTGGATACTGCTCCCATCAGCCAATTTGAAGGTCCGAGCTCGTTTCCCCAAAGGAAGCTTCTCCAACGAGGTGAGGATCTCGTCGATGATGCCTTGACGCTGGCTGGGGTTGAGGAGGAAGATCTGACAGATCATATCCATTGCCACCAAGCGGAAGCCGTCAAACTTTTGTGTCTCGATTACTGAATCTCTCTCGGCGTTAGCTGTCTCAATGAACAGGAGCTGAGACGCAGCGAACTCGAGAGCATTGGTAACAGTCTCGGAAGTATCCACTTTGGCGATCAGCTCCGACATCATCGAAAGCAGCTTTTGAGCGTCGGTCATAAGTGGCAAAATCCGCCTCTTGCAGGACGATAACGCTTTGAAAAGCTCTTCGGTATCGCTGGTATTGCGAAGCTCAGCCAAGGGCATGATAATGCCATCGATAAGGCGCTTGCACAAGCTGAGGGCCTGTTCGATGGCGTTCTCAGAATACAGTTGTTTTTCCTCGCGGCCGCCACACATGATCCTCATTGAAGTTCGAGCAGCTCGAATGGCAGCCTCCAAATTAGGCAGTAATTCCAACCACTGCTCAACGTCCTGCGCGCCCCATGACGTCTGGACACTGAAATCCAGTGACTCAGTCTGCCTTAAGGCACTGTCACAGAGTCGAAGGAGATAAATAAGATCATCAAGTGGAACGGTCATGAAGCAATTCAACTCAATCGTCTTCTTCAGGGCACTCTGAAGTTTTGTTTGAGTTGGAGCAGCAAGAGTGGCTTCAGTCTCTGAAAGAAAGATAGCCATTTCATTGCTGGACTTTTGGGCTATCGCCCTGTCCACGGCTTGAAATGCGGCCTGCAAATATGCCTTCAACTCATGAAGTGCAACGTTGGCCCGCTGACGCAGATCCAAGCTCTCACCATATAGATCATCGCCATCCAAGTCCTCCCGCTTTTGCTTTTTGAGTGACAGATTCGCTGGTTCATCTGGTTCAACAGGAGCCACAACATAGCTATTCTCGTTGAAAGTCGGGGCACTTGGCAACTCGATGGCGATTGCTGCCTTTTGAGGAACTGAGGGCGAGGATGAAACCTTCGGGTCCGGAGTCTCCCGAGAACTGTACACGGGGTGCACAGCACCTGGTGCTGCAAGGGCTGTCTGAATGAGCGTTGGAGCTTGAGGGCCTGTCACGATAAATGAAGCTGGAGACTCCTCCTTCTTGATGGTGCCCGTAACAGTTTCTAGCTGACTCTTAGTAGGCAGAATGATCTGGAATTCCATCTTTCCGTTTACTTCGTGCGCCTGACGGTTCACAGTAGCAGGTGGAGGTTGTTTCATCTGGGCTGGCTGGACGGGCTGAATTGGATGAACCGGTGGTGCAGCCTGCGTTGACAGAATGGAAAGTTGTGAGGGTTTCTGCACTGGCTGCGGTGGATGCACCGGCTGTATGGGCTGAACTGGTTGCAGTTGCGGCGCACAAGGAGCCTTATGGATTGGCTTGTGATCTCCTGGAGGGCTCGGAATCGCAGCAGTGGTCGACATATTGACGGCGGCTTGCTGGCCGTTCGGCAAGGTTGAGGTCGGGGCTTCGGGAGTTGGATAACGGAACTGCACAGGGGAATGATCGTAGACCATCTTGGAGAATGGTGTAAGAGCCGATGCAAGCGGAACAGGCCGTGAGGAGGCAGTCGCTTTCGAGCCGGAGAGCCTAGGGCCAGTCTTGAACTGGCTTCACGTTGTCAGAAGAGACGGAGGGTTTTCGGAGGAGACGGCAACGTACTATTCAGGAATGTTTGCTCGTTCTAACAGATGTTGTAGCTGGCTGACCGCATACTGCATGCGCTTGGAGGGGTGCTGTTGGTTGGTAATTTCTTGGTTGAACGCAGCAAAGTCCGCGTTGGAAACGAGGTCAGTTAGTGGGGGAGCAGGAGAGGCTGAGCCTATCGATGGAGGTGGGAGAACGCCTGAGGGATGGTCAGAGGTTGTGTGTGGCTGAACAATAGGAGGAATTAAAGGCACAATAGAATTGGCATACCCGAATCGAAAGGTGTGATGGAAGATAAGGGGGTATAGGGAAGGGCCTCATAGAGGGTGAATGGCCTCGCGAAGGTGAGCGGCGGGCCCTGAGGAGCCTCGTGGCCAGAGCCCACGTTGGCGCCATGGGCAGGAGGGCCATTGTGGGCGCGTGGCCGACTGTCTGCCATTGTGAGGACGAGAGGACAGTTAGAACCGAAGGGCGACCATGGCTGGGCTTCGTGGACTAAATGAGGCCTCAATCTCAACCTTCGCAACCTCGCTCAAATTGTCTGAGCCGCTGTTCCCGTCGTTCCTTCCCTGGCACCCGGTCGACGTAGCAAGCTGGCGATTGGTGTTATTGCTGCCATTCGACGCGCTCAGTCGAACAAAAGAAGCGCGGTATCGTGTGTCTCTGTGTTGTATCTGCTCGCAGCAACGTCTGGACGCGTTGGAAGATGATGGATGTTGAGAAAAGAAGAGATCAGGTCTCACCTCGTCCTTTCTCGACTCGCGGCAGGATCCACCGCGCATCATCAGCCTTGCGAATGTTGGTTCGCCAAGAATCCAATCCGCGCTGGCGCCTCTCAGCGCTGGGTCACATGGCCCGTGCGCTCTATCCGGGGTGAGACCCACGTGGTCTTGGCGTGCAGGCCGGTGAATTTTGGGGAATGAAACTTTGAGGTCCCCAACATCATTTTCATCCATCGACGACAGTTTAAAGCACGGAAAGCAAAACTTAAACACTTTTAAACCAGCAGAAATGGCTGCAATTGGCTCCTTAATTTTTTGCACAGATTGCGGCAACCTACTTCCCCCATCACAGGGAAATGCGAAAAATATTCTTGTTTGCGATTGCTGCGGCGCAGAAAACAGAGGTCAGTCTTGTTTATTCTTCACATTGAAGCAGATTTGAAAATGAAGTAGGATCCTAACCGGCCCAGATCATCCCTGGAAAACTGTGACAACACGAACCAAGCCGTCTGACTTCCCATCTGCTCTCCGCCAGAAACTCTCTATCGTGCAAACTGTTGAAAGGCATGAGGTCCAGACCGAGCGTATCGACACCAACATGGACTGCCCCAAGTGCGGCAAACGTGGAGTGAGATACTCTGAAGTCCAGCAGCGCAGTGCCGATGAAGGTTCAACCATTATTTACAACTGCGACTGTGGCGAGAGGTGCGCAGTAACAGTCCAGATTGAAGCTCATTTCACCTTGCTAACCCCATCGCAGATGGACTCTGAACAACTAAGAACCACATCAAGCCATTGACAAATATATTCTCCCAGTTCCCATACCAGAGCAGAAGTCCCAGATCTATGGAAGTGCCCCTCTCATAACGGGACCATCTAGTATCATGTTTAATACCCCTTAACGCCAAGCCCCAAAACGAATTTCCAGTTTAAGCAGAAACCTCCGGAATCAGAGCATACTCGGTCTCGTTGCTCTTCTCATACTCCGCCATGTCCAGCGCGACAATGACACTCTCACGGACGACCGCCTCCTTATCATGGAGGAATTTCTTGAGGATCTCCTCCACACCCTCCTCATCACCAAGGCTGCCCAGAGCCTCAGCAGCCTCGTGCCGGACCATGCCAGCCTCATTGGGGTTGCTCAGGGTTGCAGTGAGCGCAGGGATGGAAGCGGGATGAGCCAGCTGGCCGAACACGAAGGCAATCTCATGGCGGAAAAGCGCCGACTTGTCGGACAGGCCCTTGGCAAGCTCCTGGATGGCAGGGACAGCAGTAGGCAGATCAGGCGGCGAAGCAAGGTCGCGCAGGGCAAACATGGCGCGATACCTCTTGAAGAGGGGAAGTGATGTGTCCATCAGGGTCTTGCCCAGTTCTTCGACGGTTCGCTCGCCCTCGCCAAGAGGCATTGGCGGGGCCGGGTCGACGGAGGCGAAATCACTGTAGAGAGTTTTATTAGCATCTTATTCTGGCAGCAAAGAATAGTAGCAAAAACATACCTCGCCTTCAGCTTCTCCTGCTTCCTCTCCTCCGAGTTCTCCCACTCAATCCTGTCAATCGCAATTTCGCAGGTCTCCTTGACACAAACCTCCTCGTTCTCGCGGTCACGATACTTCTTCAGGACCTCAAGGCTATCAGTCTTGCCCAGAGCCCCCAGCGCCTCGGCAGCCTCATGCCTGACCATTGCATCCTGGCCCAGATCCTCCAACACTTCGGTCAGCGGCGCCAGCGCCGCCGGATTGCCAGTCTGCCCTAGGCAATAAGCCAGTTCGTGCTTGAGCAGCGCCGAAGGAGACCCAAACGCAGCGGCGATAGCTTCAATAGCAGCCAGCGACTCAGCGCTCTCAGGCGGGTTGGTGCGCGCCACATGCTTGAGCGAGAAGAGCGCGCGGAAGCGCACCGGGAGGGGTGTCTCCTCAGCGACAAGAGAGGAACGCAGCGCGGCGATTTTAGCGAGGGTGGTAGAGTCGGCCGTCATTTTGACAATTTGACAATTTCGGGGTGTGCGCTGGGTGTGTTCGTGTCGCAAAACATAAAATTATGACTAAGTGCCTTGGATCTTTATGTAAACCAAAGTGGGAGAAATCCCATACGACGTAGCTAGGGTCGCAGTTGGCGGTGGTACATCAACGGCCGACGGATCGTCCGACGCTGCGCACCTTTGCGGCGGCGGGGCTTCAAAATTTGGAGGGACAATTTTCATTTGATCACGATAAGATAATCTAACCCTAACCCTATGACGCCGCAGCCTTGGTCATGCTTGAATGGGCAGCTTGACGACGGCATTTATCATGATGCTGCGGACATCAATATTAAGGGGCCATTTGTGGCACGCTACATTCATATCGTACAGTAAGATTCTATGATCTAGAGTTTCGGCGAGGATATTGTATGGACACAATCGACCTTAGTCCTCACTGCCTGCCGTAACCAGCAGATTAAAAGGATTGGTCAGGCGTGGTGCGATTCGGCCCTCGCCCATCTGGACCCCCTTCGTCTTCTTCGGCGACTTCTTCCTGATTGTTGACCGCTTGATCTCGTCTATATGTGGAAGAATATCATTAAAGCGCGCGTCATTGCAAACATTAAGCAAGCAGTCAAGGCCGCCTTCTTCCCGCATCGACCTGAGCATTTCGGCGAAGGTCCCAAGAGAAGGGAACTCTGGGAGAGAAGGGAGAGCTTCGAGAAGTCTAGAGAGCCTTGTGAGCTGCTTTGGTAGTTTCTTGACGCGGCTTGCCACAAACCCAAGCATTTGCGACAACATCCTCAAAGAATAGCACGTCGCTTGTACTTCCGCAAGGAAATGGACAAACTCCCAGGAAGTTTCATTCAGCTTGCCGCTCTTTTCCTGACTCAGTAGCTCGAGGCCGAGAGGGAAACCCCTTCCACGGTCAACCGTCAAGCATATGTCATAGAAGAAACCAAGAACTAGCCAGACAACTTTAGTGCGGCCTACGCTCTGCTGGATTTTGCTCATCAGGTTGAGCAGTGTAGAAGTCAGCTCGGAAACCTTAGCCTGAGGTGGGACTTCTATTGCAGTGCCTGAGGATGCACGCTGCATCCGTCGCATTTCATGCACCATAGAAATCGGTCTTGTTGTGAGCAACTGCAAAACAGCATAGGCTAGCCGTCTGACGTCTCTGCTCCCTTCCCAAGCGCTTGTCCGTGAAGTCGAATCAAGCAATAATGGAAGGAACATCTCCACATTCCTGTAATGTTCGCCATCAGACTCTTCATTTTGACCTTCTCTTGAGGCTCTTTGGAGGACTTGGTGCACAAGCTCTGAGACCCTCGGGTCCAGTCGCGGCTCGTTGTAGCCTAGCCCTTGCTCGCGGAATCCTGTACCAATTTCGGGCGTGAGATAGCTCTGTACGAACGCCTCGTACTCCTTCTGTAGTGTTTCATCGTCTCCTTTCCTCTTACATTTCTCGACGGCTTGTCCTAGTGTGAGATAGGGATCCCTGCTTAGCTCAAAGCTCAGCCTCGAGAGCCCATCACCTCTCTCTTCTCCTCTGCTACAAAGCCCAAGTCGTTTGCAAAGCTCTGCTGGCCGATAGACTGGTGCAAGAAGTTTTTTCCCCTCTAGATCAGCATCTACATCCCCGAAGAATATCACACACGCTGCCTGATTATCCCCCAATGGGTGCACCAGCAGGTCGGAGTCGGAGGTCAAGATCACGACGGGCTCGCCCTCACGTCGAGCACGCTCTGCACAGAACCCGTCTGCTTCACCCGGTACGAGATAGACCAGGCGAGCATAGGACTCTGATGCACAAAGCGCATCAATGATAGCGGGGACGAGGAAGGCTGGGGGAGGGGGCTTTGGCCGACTTTCTCCCGGCCATGAGTGAGGGAAAAGGTCAACGACAGTAGTGTCATCGTCAGCCTTGGAGCTACTGGCTCGGGGGACTCCAGTGATAAAGGCAGAGTGATACTTGATTAGGTCACGGGAGGAATGAAGCAAACGCTGGACACGCTCTGGCCTCTTTTGCCGAGGGAGATAGCCGTCAAAGTAGATCGCAATCCTGAATGGAGTGTCGTTAGCAGGGGTTGTGCGAACGGATATGACAGAAAGAGACCTACACCGAGATGCCGCATTCTTCGATGGCATTAAGCCAAGAAATTGCTGTTCTACCAAGTAGGTCATATGTCGGCTGTTCAAACGGGCTGGTCCTGCGAGTTTGTCTGCAGCAAAGGCCCAGGATATGGTATGCCAATGAGGGGCCATCCACAACAGCTTTACATGGCTCTATTACTTTCCGTTCTGCGTGGGGTTCTAGGTGTTTTTTGAGCTGTGGAATTCCCATGGCTACTGTGTGAGTTGTGTAAACTTGAAAGTCAGTTACGGGTTAATCGTGTCTTGCTAGTGGATCGAAGTTCTCCAAAATGACGAACAGCATGACCCCGCCCTCTCTCTTATTTCAAGCTCGCTCATCTGGCATTCGCTTTTCCTCTTTTTTCACTCATGCATTTTCAAATACACAATGCACCTGTGATCATAGAAGAAGAGGGCAAACTTATGGTATAGGGCGCTATTGAGAATGCTACTTTTCTCACATTCGCAGTCTCATCGCCTTTGGTAGATGCGCTTATTAAGTTTCAAAGCGCTAGGATATGCCGAATGGAGCAATATCGCAATATGTGATACAATGGATAAATACATATCAACACCGTATTTTAGCATACTGCCCCTGCGGCGTTTGGGTGGGCGAGTTGATTTTTGTCTGCAGCCTCTCTGTAAGGGTGGGATTGCTAAACTGCACACCCAAAAATTGAGAACCTATCAGCAGCTGTCTGTGAGTGCTCTCTGATTCGAGGCCGACTCTTAATTCTCAAGTGATGTCTAGGGTGTGGCAGTCCCGATAAAAGCGATCGTCGGTGGCGACGGCATCCGTCTTAGAGGGCGAAAGGCCAACCACTTGGGTCATATGAGCCATCAACATTCTTGGATAGCATTTTCTCTTTTTGCAAATGTAGAAATAAAAAGTCGGATCAAATAACATGTTATCAAGTTGGTGTTCCAGAATCGGCGGCTCTGAGATGAACCTGTTCCGCATGCAACGCTTGTTTTTGATCCCACTCGTCCGGAGAAGACCCACCAGGCCCGCATCAACCCTGCCTTTTCCGATTTGACTCTCGACCCCACTCGCAAAGTTGCAATTGAATCGGAAAAAAAAAAATCAACATCCTCCATCGTCGCGCTCTTTGTTACAACTTGGAGTTAAACTCCCTCTTCAACGAAATTCTACATCTGGTTTGTTCCACGCATCTGACACAACGATGCGCGGCACATTGATCTTCTCGGGCAGCTCCTGCCCGGAGCTGACCAACAAAATCTGCCAAAACCTGGGCATGGCACGCGCCGAGGCCGAGCTCTCGCAGTTCTCCAACGGCGAGACGCAGGTGCGCATCCTGACTAGCGTTCGCGAGAAGGATGTCTTCGTTGTTCAGTCTGGCAGCCCGAAAATCAATGATACCATCATGGAGCTACTCATTATGATTTCGGCCTGCAAAGGTGGCTCTGCCAACAAAATTACCGGTTCGTTCCCTTCCTCCGATTCTTCCAACTTGTGATCGCTGGCTGACCTTCCCAGCGGTGCTACCCTACTTCCCTTACAGCCGTCAGTCCAAGAAGAAGTCTCACAGGGGGGCCATCACTGCAAGGATGTTGGCTAATCTGCTCGATGTTGCCGGCGTCAAGCACGTCATTACAGTCGATCTGCATGCCTCTCAGATGCAGGGCTTTTTCAAGTGCCCCGTGGACAACCTCCATGCGGAACCTCTGATTGCCCGGTGGATCCGGCGCAACGTGCCCGGGTGGCAGGAGGCAGTGGTAGTGTCCAAGAACGCTGGTGGTACTAAGAGGGTGACATCACTTGCCGACGCGCTGAAGCTCAACTTCGGTATGGTGACGACCGACAAGAAGCGCACGCATGGCTACCACAGTGCTCAGAGCATGGCAAGCAGTATGATCACATACCTTGATGGGCCGGATCGGCAGCCTGTGTTCGACTCCGTCTCCAACCAAATGCGTCACGCCATCTCTCCGGAGTCAGACAATGGAGCTGCTACTACGGACAACGGAGATTCCTTGCAAAATGCGCCTTCGGAAACCGATGCGCAAAGTTCAGACATTCCTTTCAATGGCAATGGCAACTCGCGGCCACAGATCAATGGCAGGAACAAGCCGGCTCCGAAGCGCTCGCAAACTCTATTGTCTCAGTCATCTACCATCGACGACCTGGAGGACGTCGATGATGTCGACGGCTTCGAGTACAACGACAGGCGTGCCTACGAGGTGACAAGGGGCCGCCTGGTTCAAGGACACATCGTTCCCGATGATTTCCCATCGCCCGTCATGTCAGCGGCCGAGACCAGCGTCGCTGAGGAGGACCCCATGACCATGTCGCATGCGTCATCCTTCTTCGCGCCGCAGTCGCACGCTCTGGGCGGGTCGGGCGACGCCGGGGCGAGCTCGGATGAGGAAGACGACATACTCAAGGATCCAAAGGTGGAGCATGAGGTTACTCTGGTTGGAGATGTCAAGGGCCGTACGGTCCTAATCGTCGACGATATGATCGACAAGCCCGGTTCCTGGATTGCGGCGGCAGAGACGGTGGTCAAGCGCGGTAAGGCCAAGAAGGTTTACTGCATTGCTACCCACGGCGTGTTTGGCGGCGACTGCCTGGAGCAGATGCAGGCTTGCGACTGCATCGACGCCATTGTTGTTACTAACAGTTATCCTATCCCGGAGGAGAAAGCGCGCAATGCCAGTAAGCTGGTGACGTTGGATATCTCATACCTCTTGGCTGAGGCAATTCGGCGGAATCACTATGGCGAGTCGATGTCGCCTTTGTTCCAGCATCTCATGGATTGAACTAGCAGGTGGTATTTTCTCTCCTTTTCTATGTTTCCCCCTTTTTTGGTCAGTTTTTCGCCGTGGAAACACGGAAGCTTGCTTCGTTGATTTGACGCATGTGGAACAACCACGACAGGTTTGAGCGTCGGCGTTGGGGCGATCGGGCGGTGTTCTGCATTTCAACTGGCGCAGGACAAGGTGGATAGACGATGATCAGCAGTCAGCTACGAATTGACGTCGGGCAGTCAGTACGGCGCAGCAACCAGTTGCCAGTGACTCGGGTTTCTTGTGCCGGGGTCAACCGTCGGCCGAGACTTGGTTTTTTTCACCACCCAGCCCAGTTCTACCCAGCCAACTCAAGCCATACCCCTCCCCCCCCAATCCTTATCCTACCCATCATCTTCCCCTATCCATTACTCCCACACTCTTTATCCCACACACCAGTGATGCTGTCACTTACGACAGCAGGAGCATTGGCTAACCCAGGCCATGTCTCTTAACGGAACACTGGAAGATTAAGTGTCCTTCGGGACCATCCAAGATAGAAGGCCCTGTGACCAGACTTCTGCGCTCAGAGGTCACCTCCGCAAGGTTGGTGGGCATGGGGCAAGAGAACTCCTTGGTACATTTCGTCTGGATAGACTATGTGTTGTCCATGTTTCGTAGGCTAGCAATAACATACGATTTTGAGTATGCAACATCGTCTTAAATTTTTATATGCTGTCTAAGCAACTTTAGCTGGATGGCCGCCTGTCTCAGATGTCCGTGACCGTACAGTATTATATGCCATTGTAATACTGTCCACAAAACTGTGTGCTGTGTTCTGAAGGGCCCACACGATCTTGTTCGAACCAACTTGAAACGCCAAGAATACGCCACGGACATGTCCCATATTTAACCCTAACCTGAGCCCTCCCAAACCCATCCCAAGACTGCTGCAACCTTGTCGTCACAACCCCCAACGCACTCCGTCAACTCTCTCGGCTTAGGTCGAAGCTGTTGCTACCCTCCGAGCGGTCACTTACACACCCATCATCCTCGTCGGCCGGCACCTCTCTTCGACTCTGTTAATGTATTCATCTCATTCCAGCCGACCATATATTGTCAGAAGTTGTCTGGAAGCAATCATCGAAAATAAATAGCAAGACAATGTCTTGGGCCGGTATTGAGATCCAACAACTGCGGCCTGTTGAGACCGTCGGGGCAGGAGAACGCGACGGCCAAGACCAGGACGATCGTGAAGCATCGGGCACAGGATCAGTTTATTCTGCAGAGGAGGAGATCGCTGAAGATGCAGACGGCGTTGGGGTTAACGCAGTTGGCGATATGTCTGGCGATCAGCATCAGAATGCCGGACATGGTTATGACAACCAAGGAAGGATGAACGTTGGTGATCATCAAAGCACCATGGCAGGTGGGAACGAGAATTCTGGCGGCGTTCAGACAGACCATCAAGGACGTGGAAACGGCGGCTCTTCACAGCAGCAGCAGCAGCAGCAGCATCAGCAGCAAGCTCAAGTCCAAGAGCTTGACTTCCCACGACCCGTCAAACGCCGCCGTATCGGCGAACCTCCCGAGGACCTCCCTCAGATCGAGGCCACACCCGAACGTATCTTCAAACCCAACCTGCCAGAACCTGACGACCATGAGGTGACTGAGTGCTGGTTCGAACACTGCAACGCCCGCTCAGGCAACACCCGCGGCCACAACTACATGCAAAAACATTTCACTGACAAGCATGCGCTCATCCGTGCTGATCAGGGACGTACCGAGATCGGTGGCCGCTTCAAATCGCCCAAGTACCTTGCTCTCTGCCCAACTGATTGGCCCTTCAACTATGTTTTGGGTCCCTCCTGCAAGTGGTGCACCACCATCCAGGGTATTCGGGCCATCATAGGCGATCCGACTCATGAAGGCCCAGCAATTTGCACATTCTGCTGGACATTTCTTCCCACGAGGGCCGATTTAATACGACACGTCGACCATGGGCCCTGCAAGAGCAACGAGATGTACGAGCGCAAGCTAGCCATGATACGCGACTTGTACCTAGCCGCCATCCGCATGCCCGACGCTCCCGCAATCGCCAGAGCAGCCGAGGGTGCTCGCGCCGAACGCGCAGCCGCCGAGCGCGTCGCGAGGTCAGAAGAATGGCAGATCGAGCGCGCAATGCAGCAACGCGCCATGGAGCACATGCGTCTTTGGAAACAGCGCCAGCTCCAGCAGCAACAGCAACAACAGCAGCAGCAGCAGGAACAACTCGGCCAGGACGATGTTGCCACCACAGCAGAGCAAGCTGCGCCTACCCCGCCGGCCCCTATCCATACGTCTTATCAGGCATCACAGCAGGCACCGGCGTCGGCATTCTCCACGCAACGTTTCATTTCTACAGAAGATGCCGGAAGCGAAGGCACGCCGGGCCCGTCTTCGTATGCGGCGCCAGCTGTGCCGGCGCCTACGAGGCAGTCTGCTTTAGCGGGGACAGCCGTCTCGTATGCCCAGCCGGCTGCGGCGCCGGCTCTTGCTGGGCCTGGTGTCGCTGCGGGGGGGGATGGGACGGGCAATGGTTGGGCGACGGCTGCGATTGATGCGATGGCGAGGTCGATTGATCGGTTGTCGAGTGTGGTGGCGGAGTTGACGGCTACGAATACGCAGCTGACTAGGGAACTGAAGGAAAGGGATGAGAGAATTGCTGCTTTGGAGGGGATGTTGGCGCAGGCAGGAGCTGGGTTAGGAGGGGGTGTTGGAAGGGGGAGGAGGGGTTAGCTCGGGATTGGGGGGTTGAGTGTCCGTAGTTGAGGGATAGTGTCACAAAAGAAACACCTGCAGTGTCTGCAATGTGCATCCATATATGGTGTAATCCTGGATGTCAACAACTCTTTTTGATACCCTTTGTTTCTTTGCTCTGGCAAGCGTTAGGTTTTAAAAAAAAACAAAAAAAAACCATGACTCCACAAATAAGTTAATACTACAGAGTACCGTGCTACGTAGCCTCATGAAAGAAGGTTGAAGTTAGAGTGTTTCTTCAGCTCATACAAGACGTATTTTTTGTTCAACTTATTCCTTGAAGTAAACACTGAGATGTTCTGTTTACTTACCCCTGATGCCGTAGCTTATGGAGCCGCCATGACATAGCAACTCAGCCATGAGACAAGCAATGATGGACCAAAATTTGACAGATAATCCTGGTCTCATCGACCCTTTATTTTTGGTTCTTTTTAAATGACCATTTGCTCTTTGTCACCTGGTGTTTGCCAACCGAAACCATATCGAAATCTTTCCAATCTGTTGTGGTTAATTTTCTTGTGGGGCCATCTAAGATTGACTTGCAATGATGATCGTCATCAAGGGCCAGGGGCAGTGTTTGCAGATCACTGGATCTCACTTCAGTTGAATCCGAGTTTACGAAGTGGAGGATGGACTTACGTGTGATATTTGCAGGCAGTTCTCAACCGCCAGTATCAAAGTACATGGATTGATTTCTCAAACTTCTATCCAGTATTACAATGGTATGTAAGACTCCAACAATGGCACGAATGGGTTGAGACAACCTTCCACGAGCAAGAACAGTCAAGAATCACCATTCCAGATTCATCTTTACAGCAATTTACGGAAGAATCAGGCGCCAATAGCGGCATTGGGAGTCAGGTGCAAACAGGAAACAGAATCAACCTAGGAAAAGCTTTAGAGAACTCCTCCCTAATGACAGAGTCATTAGATGATGACGAGAAAAACTACGCATACGCCACCAATTGCCAAAGCAGGGAAGACAGTGAAGTTCATCACCGACGACAAGGCCCCTCTGCATCCTACCCCGAAGCCATCCATGACAGCAGTAGTGCCGGTGGTCCGACGGAGAACAAGCAAAAGGATCTCGATGACTCCGATGCTCCCATCGTTCTCAAACCCAAGAAGCGTCTCAGCTCCGGGGCCTTCAGGCTAGTTCATGTCTTATCTATCTCTGTTGTGATAGTTCTCCTTTCCCTCGACCATACTGATGACTTCTGGGACTGGCGCCCAGACACCTACCTTGCCGACCTGTTTTACTTTGTTTTCCAAATTGCATCCAAGGTTGTCGACGTCCTTATCATGACCTCACTCACTGCAGTCGCGATCGATTTGACAAAGCGCTTTCTTGTTGGGTCAAGGTTGCCTTTCTGGTTAGTCATGTGCGCCTATCGCGTCGATGATCTCGCATTCTTTTTTACGTCTCTGTTTCATGGACGGCTCGGGGGTTCGCCTCTCGGGCAGAAACGATTGGATAGAAGGGAGATGAGAACTTCCATTATGCTTGGATTTCTCGTCTTTCTTTGCAACTTCCTATCTCTCTTTCTGGGCCCATCTGCGGCAGTCTTGATCATTCCTGAACTGGACTGGTTTCCGCTCAGAAAAGCCTTCAGCAATGTCCGCACCCCTTTTTACTACGCTCTTCCTCCCGAAAGGACATGGCCATCCATTATCAGCAAGACACAGCTCGAGCGAGATGGTCAGCTTGACAGATGTAACGACTTCAACAGCCGATATGCTTTCTGGTGCCCGACTGCATCATTTCCGGAGTTATCAAGCTGGATTGTCAACTGGGCTAGCACAGGTGCTGAACATGATCCTGTCTTCCATGTTCCTAGAACGAATATGACACGCCCACTCGCTATATATCACGGATTGCATCGCACTGCTGCAACTACAATGTCGTTGCCACCCCTCTTAACGATGGCGCGCATCTTATCTATGCGCCACTCCCTCGGCATAATAAGCAGGCAACGCAAGATCAGATTCACAACAACACATCGGTCGACAGTTTATCAGCCACTTGTCCAAACAAGCTGTTCGATGTACAGCAATCTTGATGTTACTCGGAATCCAGAGGCACATGTTTCCTTCCCGACAGAAGAGCTCGAATGCTTTGGTGACCCTCAATGCGAAGCAGTGTTAACGGAATCGCGGTTTATGAGTTCATTTGGGTGGTAAGTTGTCACACATGAACACTACATCCCTCCTGACAAATGACTAAGGGCGGCTAGGAATAGATCCAATACACATCCAGAGTTTCATACTGTAATGCCATCGACCCGTCATGGTTACAGTGTCCCTTTACGCCTGTGGGTCACGCTTCCTTTTAGCGATGGACGCAGCCTACACACTCTGATATTTCCATGTACTGTGATTGCGCATTGGATGCCTGCTCAGCTTCTTTACTCCCCTACCAGGAGTGACAAAGTTCAGAGCAACGTCTCCAACCAGCTTCCTTACCTTATGAACTTGCCTATTACCGACAGAAGGCACCACAGCATCACGGCATCATTGATCACCTTCAACCATGACTGGATATCTGGTCTGTTACCAGACTTCAAGATAACGTCAATTCAAGCAGCAATGCTCTGGGATACAAACCCACTGAGCCTCATGATGGCACTTTTACTCTCTCCAATGGAGCACGAAAACAGAACCCTACTTGTCTTCAATGCCGACAGTGAGCTAGAACAGCGCCTAAGAAAAGCCAAAATGAACATCCAAGCAATTATCAGTGCTATTGTCACAGAAGGACTGGCTCATATCTCATCCGCTGCACCAACAATAATAGTCCGTCATCCCAACAAAACAACCACAATGGTCACAGAACTCGGAGTTGCTTGGACAAATCCTTCCTCTGCTTTAACTAGCCTTGATTCAGGGATGACTTGGGATGTAAGAGAAAAGACATTCAATTCTTCAATAGACCCCTTGACATCCCTTACCTCTCTCGACTTCTATGTCGAACGACATGGTTACGGTACTGGGGGCCCAGGGGCATCCAAAACCATTAATGGTGCACGGCTGTTCCTGAGTTGCTACTTATTCATTATGCTCGTTTACTTTTTAGCGATGCTCGTAGTTCCTGGGCCTGAGATCTGTGCTTGGGATGACTTGTCGGATCTGGTCATGTTGGCTTGGAACTCTACACCTACTCTTCAGAACCTGAAGCAGTCAACACTCGGCGTGTGGTATAAGCGCTATTGGGGGATTCGGCTTGGGATTCGTGTGGATGACGCTACGGGAAAGCCGATGCTGGTGGCTGCTGAGGAAGGGGAGAAGAAGCTGGAAGAGGATATGAAGTACCAGTGATACTCGCCAAAAGTGTGTTTGTTGTACCTTATAACAATAGGAAAGCTTAAAGACTCATGAGCCATCCGAAACTTGGAAAGGAGTAGGAATATTTGGTTAAACGGAAGGGGTTAACAGCATGATTGTGAAACTCATGGCAAGTTAGTTAAGTACCTTTAGACTTCCAACTGATGTCAAAAGATTCTATCCTCCAAAACACTTGAGCAAAGTTTGGACTCCCAGTTTCAACATACTGGCATCAGCTGTGGGGGTAGGAGATGTTATGTAATGTTGCAAACCCGTAAGTCGGGTTAGAGAGTTACTCGAGGTACGCCTGTGGCATCAGTGGACTGCTGCCTTCCACATGTCCAATCGCCTCAACACTCAGTTAGGACAAGCTAGGGCTGACATTGGCATCTTCCCCTGGCATTCGTCATTTGCTCGCCCATTCTCAGCGATACTCTCGAATCCGAAACTCGATTGGTGCCCATTAAGAGATACTATCTGATACAGCACCGAACTTGCCTTTCAAATATGATTCGAGGCTCAACACAACATAGCCAGAATTTATCAGATTGGCAAAAGTGAACGCCTCTGGAATGGGACACTACACTATGGGCATCCGATCCGACGAACCAAGGTGGCGCACTTTCCTATTGGTGTCCCACCTTTCCCTATCGTCGAATTGGGTGGCCACATGGCTGACGAGTATGCCTGGTAAAGAGCCCACCTTCCGGACACCCTATTCGAATTTGAATCGACAGTTGGATATCAGTCGCAATTGGTGTGATGATTCCATGTTCGACCGTACTGCTGTGACCACAGTCTCTCTCTGCAGCCATGAGTCTGGCGCGAATTCACAATTTCCGAGATAGGTTAGGAAAGATCAGAACTCAGTAAAGATACAGCTGACGATAACAAGCGACTCTCCTATCTTCCTGCCCATCGTCCAACTCAGTTGTGGATCTGCACCGATTTCCCAGCGGAAAGTGTGCTCGAGTGGAACCTTAAAGCACTAAATTGTTTCTCTGATGTTGAATACAACGAGGAACTCGAAAGGTCTTGTTTTGAAATATTATCCAAAAGGTCCATGATGCACGGACATGGAGTCTTGGTGGATACTTGTGGCTCTCATGAGGATTAACCAATAACGCTCACGACTGATATGGTACAGAGGATTCCACCACTCGGTAAACATAGCATGCGTGAATGCACCGATAGCCGGGAGGATTTGTGTAGTGTCTTCTGCATCAGATGATGATTACCAGAGGCCACTATATCTTTGGATGGCTCTTCCTTACTTAGATGCCCGTGACTAAGCGATGACAGGATGTTATGCCTTGTACCGTAATCGCCCACTGGATGGTAACATCCTTGCTACTTTCACCATAGGAGTCTGCATCGGTGCACAGCAACATCACCGACGCACTTCCTCATTTAACTGACACAGAAAGCTCATTGCTAAGAAACGACATAGTGGGGCTTTTCTTCAAGTTCTACGAAGATTGGGTGTCCGAGGTGTTGCCAAACGTGGAAATTGACAACTTTTCAACACCAACTCATCACTCCGCGAGTCACTAGTCCGCTTCAGTTGGTTGCTGAGCTTATAGAAGCAGCTGGACTCATGCATACAACTGAGGATTCCTATAGCTTCTCATCATTTGACCGGCCGATTAAGCCTGATAGTGAGAGCATTGCTCATGAATGGATAACCATCGTGAAGCGGGAAATCGAGCTGATCCTATGTGCCATGATCGCAGAGGGATTTGCCCACATTGTATCTGGTTCAATTACAGCAGTTTTCTGAGCTTAAAATGACAGCGCGGTACAATACATAGCTATCGGGCCTTCTTCGTGTCATAACCACACGACCAGGTCATGTACAAACATCGGAATTGGCGCCGGCTGGGGAATCCTCAACTGGACTTTCATTTTTCTTCCAAACGGCACAGACGTCCCATGAGATGAATCTCTTGGAAATTCTTTTGGATACATGCAATTCCAGATTATGACATATTTCCGTCTCCGTGGCACCTTGTCAGGAACTTTGAGTCGAGAGCCGTACCGTTCAAATTTGAAGTTGAAAGGTACGGTTATGAAATCGGCCGCCAAGCAAATCAGCAGGTTGCTCTCGTGGTTATCTACCTTTGCCTTACCATTGACACTTTTTACTTTTTCTGGGCTCTCATCGGGTTGCTCCTCTGGAGCAGACGGATGATGCCAACTATCAACTCCTGGAGTGATATCTCCGACCGGTCATGTTTGCATGAAATTCCACACTAACTCAAAACACATGTATCAGTCGGTTCATTGTTGGTATGAAGGACACAGGCAGCCAGAAGGTTAAGGTTGAGATCAGCGTTGATGAACAAACTGGAGATTGCACAATGCTTGCAATTAATCAGGGCAAGGATGGCAATTAAATGCCCTTGGAAAAGGTTCGAGAGAATGTGCGAGATAGGTGATGGTCGAGCTTAAAGGATCTTTAGGGACTTCTTGGGAAGCAGACAATGAACCTGTCACCCAGCACACGGTCAATCTTCTCAATGCCGGGTGTGTATGAGTTGAGTGAAGATCCATTGGGATCCTTATAATCCCTAGGTAGGACTCTTTGGCCACTAAATAGTCAATACTATGATAAAAAAATTCCCACAATGAACCCTTATTGCTTGTGGGAGGAGGAAAGAGATAGGAAGTGTCTCCAACCGATAGAGTATATATCGTTGTTTACATTGTTCGGGGATGGACCCACTTCTCCAGGACAACACCATCCCCACAGCAACCCTCAGGAGAAGAAGCCCACGTCTACTTCTCAGGTAAAACACCTCTGAGTTTCCATATCTAGTTCTACAAAACAGAAAAGTTAACCCTGAAACATTTCAAAAAAAAAAAACTGTGCATGGTATTCCGTACCTAATCCGTATGTCCCTCCCAAAACTCCTTACAACAAATGGTCCGTAGATATTCCCAAACCACAACATATTATCAATCTTTAACAGCCTGAAAATGTTGAGATCTGAATCAAGCATTTCGCGTCAATAATACTTTACATTTTTCTCTAAGACTGACCCTCCATCCCTCGCCGTAGCAAGAAGCGTCCTCCCAGTCGTCTCATCCGCCCTAATCCCGATCTCAGCCCCCCAAGCCTTCCTAGACTGTACGTCAATCGTCGATCGACCCAAGAGATCGTCAGCGGTAGGTTTCGAATTCCATGCCAGTAGAATCAGGTTGGTAATATCCTCCCACGCCTGAATGGTCGGCAAAGGGTCGCGAAAGAGGTAGGGTGATATGAACGTGATGTGCAAGAAGTAGATCGTGATGATGCTGAGGTAGACACCGACGAGCGTTAGTGCAAGGATTCTGCTGGTGCCACGGATGCCGGTGCCATAGCCGAAGCGCTCGACTTCGAAGTGAAAATCTGTGAAGGTCTGGAGATGGTCCAAATATTCTTGTGGGGACTTGAACTCGAGGTTAGGATCGATGGACCCCGTGTCTGCTTTGGCTTGAAGATTTAACTCGTAGGCATAATCCATTTTGCCATTGGTCCAGGTGACCGTTTTCTCAACAAACATTTGCTCGATGGGGCCATGTCCCATGCTTGCCCTGAAGGATGTTATGTTTGGCCAGACATTGCCAATCTCAACAAGATTTAGCGCTGTGTCATTGTAACTTGTGACAACATAGTTCCATGCCGCCGAGCCGCTATGAGCAATGCCCTCCGTTATGGCGGCACTGATAAAGCGCTGGAAATCTTCGTTCCACAAGACAAAAGAGGAATTTGGACTGAACAAGTCCTTTTCCTCCTGCAATCCTTGAATGTCAACAGCATAGAAGGACTCCTCTGGCTTGGTACTACGCTCTGGAAAGTGGGTGCTACCTAGAATTGACATCAGCATCATATCCATACCCTTATACTCCCGAAGGGCATCGATCCGCTTGAGACCAGGATCAAAATAAATCTCCTGGAGGAGATCATACATCCACGTCCAGTGAATCTTTATAAACCGCCCAGGTCCTAACGATTCCATGGATACAGAGGTATTGTCAAAACGAGGAACCGTAAAGTTGCTCTTTATCATGCCAGTTTGTCCTATGCCATAGTCTCTGGGAGTGAAAGTTAAAGAGCTCGGCATCCAGTGAGCTATGACGCTGCATGGAATTATAAGTCTGCGGAACGTATTGTTGGAATACAATCGGTACGGAAGTTCCATATAAAAACGGAATGGGCCATAATAGTCATCTTCAGAGCCCGTTTCCATATTCGCCGGTGCGAACATGAGTCGTGGCTGGGGTTTCCCCGTAGTATTCCTGGATGTCTCGTGATCAGTTTATCGTCCGTCCTTCAACGTCTCCCGGTCCACAACGGCTTGGGCGAGGCAAAGGTGAAAAATGCACCATATACTTACCACCAAACATTCCTCGTAACAGCAGGTTTGCTCAGCGCCTTCTCACATTCCTTGTCTTGAAAACACTCCAATCCGTCGGTGGGGAAATAGATAGTATCCCCTGGCTTGATTTCCTCAATGATATATGGCCTGCATGTTGATTGGACGTAGGGCTGGAAAATGCGGGATGCATCCGTAGTCTTCAGCTTGAAGTTCCTTGCTAACCAAAAGATATCTGATAAGGTAGAACGGCTGAAGGAACTCATGACGTGCACGAAGCGATTTATGGTCAAAAATGACGGAATCGAGATGGTTGTTGCGCGTGTGTGGATCTGAAAAGGCGAGCTTGAAATGTTTGTTGTTAAAGTAGTGGCAATGACCTCAACCTCGCGTGCCATAAATTGTCCATCATAGTCTGGAAGTATGAACCGTGGGTAATGGGTGCTATTCGCATCAAAATGGCGGAAGTTGATCATAGTAGAAACCCAATCGGCCAAAGCGGGATAGAAAGCTGTTGGACACCAAAAGAGGAGGTATCCGTTTGAACGCTCGCAACGTTGAAACATTCCATCGTCACGAAGGTCATTCAAATGGATAGCGGTTGACCATGTTTTGTTGGGGGGAAACGCGTAGTAGAACGGTGTAGAGAGCTTTTCGAGAGTCTTGGCACTAGGAAACCAATCTTGTTCAGGGATGATGAGGATGGCCGACGCCGGACCGGCCAAAAGAACAATTATGGTGTTGACAAGAATCAGGACTGCGAACCAAACGCGGGTACGACGTCGAACAGACTCTGAATCTTTCTCTGACTCCTTGCGGGATGAGAAGACCCTTGACCAAGTTCCATTGAAAAATTGACTGCTAAAAATGTAAGGAACCTGGCCAACGCGATATCCCGCAGTCAGAAGTCCAAGAGGGAGACGGGACCGAATAAGCTGCCGTCTCAGCAAGCTCAGAGTGAGCTCGCTTAAGGAAGCAAAGACCAATAATTCATAAATCTTTGCAGCCAACTGAAACATTGACTTCAGCATGTCGACAGAAATATGGGCCCGTAGCCAGCGAATGGTCCAGCTGGGTGCCTCGAATTCGCCTTCTTCAAGAAAGTCGTACCAGAAGGTTCGCCGAACATTTATCAGCACAAGGATGATTGATATGGCGAAAGGTAGGAGATGTATCCACGAACTCCAAGCCCAAATTCGTACGAGGGGAGAAAGGACAACCCGAGTGCCGTTATTCTCAGCATCTTTGTCTGACTCGGAGGTGCTGTCTTTGGTGTCATGTTGTTCCCAGGTCTCTCTGCTGTCCTCTTGGGGGTTTTGGGATAGAGGAGCATCATAGTCCCGAACAAGGCCAACTGAGTCCCAGTGGACATAGCCGCCATAATTGTATGGGTTAAACTCTGACGTATCTCGAGGGATCGTGTTCTGATTAGTTTCATGGTGGAAAGTCAACATCCCGTATATGGGTGCTGAAGATAAATGATAGGCCAGATGACAGAAGTTTCCCTAAGAAATCGGAGCGCGGCAGGATAGCTGAGATTTCAGCAAATCCCAATTAACGAGTTTATGAAGCTGTTTCCAGGTTAAAGAATGTCAAGCTCACCGAGCATATATATAGCTCAAAACAAAGAGCGGGAACATCATCTCTGCGAAGGAGGTTCATCCTCAAGTTATGAAGACTTTCTGGGTCAGAACTATAACCCCTGTCGTTTGATCAGGCTGCTCGTCCCCGCCATCTGTAAGCGCAGCTACGATGCAAGGCACTTGTGCGCTTCGCAAGCAGAGAAGGCTAGAGCTCCCTAATTGGTCAGCATTCCGCTGCTTGTCGCAAGGGTGAAGTTAGGTAACGGCTTTTGGGTTGTCTGGGCGGCTGGCTAAGCGCTCGGCGGCGGCACGGCAGTACCGTGGTGAATAAGTGACAGGTGGGGTGTAGCTCTCACGCCACTGCTAGATCCTCGGATTTCCATGCGGAGGCTGAAAAGCTATCATATCTGACAGGCACAGATGAGGAGAATAGCTCATACTGAAAATTAACAGGCAAACGAATGATGCAGAACCACCTAGAAACAGATATGAGAAATTCACTAGCGGTTTTAGTTTATGGAGACTATATCTGGAGAATTCTCTGTCGTCTTTTGAGCACAAATCGTACGTCTGGAGCTGATCTCGGCCTCGAGCAACTCGTGATGTCGCAGGGACGTCACTAACCAGCGAAGCTCCACAGTACTGGATATTACATACTTAAAAATCGTAATTACCCCCTAAACTATCGCAACATATACCACTGGGATACAAATATTATATCATTACCGAATTCTTCTCTTTGGAAATGCCTGCGCCAGAAAGGTTCAAGGCGAGCCTTTACATCAACGATACCATACGTTCCTGATCAGCAATTCCCAGACGCGTTCCTGAGTACATCCACAGCAGTCAGTCTAACTCATGCCTTCTCAATTGTTTCCAATGTGAGCCTAGCAACTGGGCTTACCTAATAGAGGCCTCAAGAACTTATTATACTACATGGTCATCGAAAGTTGGATTGCTTTCTGGTGTTGTATGCCTGTTCATGGAGCGAACGATTGAACGAGGAGAGGGACGGCCCCTCAACTTCGACTTGACACGTCACGTCTGACATTGCCCCACATTCCCTGCGGTTGCAAACTTTGATCTATGAAGTATCTCGACACAAAGCAGCCCTGAGCAGCAGAAAAAGAAAGCCATTGGTGAATAGAGCTCAGCAGCCTTTATGAGTCCGTGTGTGGTTGCATTTTGCCAGACAGGAGGAAAATTGGTTTGGGCCTACACCAAACCGTTACAAGGGGCATCTATCTTCAGATGCCAGTCCCCCGCCATTGCACATACGGCCTATTTAACTTTACACATATGGAGGAGTGCAACATCGAACTAGAGTCCCTTAGGTACAAGTACAGGTATGTGCTGTTTCCTGAGGTCTTAAACTGCCTACCACGTAGGGGTTGACTACACCATTACCTCACCCTCACAACTCCAGGCATTAAGAGATAACAGAGGTCAGCATTGAAAGGCTTGAGAAGTATCACGCACAAAAGCTCATGAGCAACCATCATATGTGTCACATGTCCAGTCAGTGATATAACCACCAAAATAGCCACGACGGCCATTGTAAGGCCAGTTCAGGACTACAAAGGGCTAGAATATCTGCTGTGCATCGTTATTGTTTTGGGGGCGGTTCAGCAGGGGAAAGCGAGCAGCTGTTGCATATCAGGTGAGTCCAAAGCACGAGCCTTGCCCTAGCCACCGTTTAGGCTCTTCTTTGCTAGGCAAACGATGAATTTGACCAATCACAATGTGGATAGCGATAAAGTAGACACTTTATCTGGGATACCATAGGCACTTTGACGGCCTGAAGAACCAACAGGATCAAAACTGGTCTCCTGCGATGACTTACTTCTTCCCAGCCATGAATGCTAGCACCCAAAGCGCAAAAAGAAAGTCCCACTTCAGCAACCCACCAGTTGAAGAAGGATGTCTATGGTGACCAGTCAGTATTTCGGACGACCGACCAAGTCGCAAGCAACTCAGCTACAACAAGCCAGGTCTCAGGCTGCTGTATAGGGTGGGGGCCGGCCCGCCATATCACACAGACACGGCAGTCCAAGAAAAGGGGTATCCCGATTGTCAACACACGGGACACCAGAGATAGAATGATTGTGAACAACACAAATACGTAGTTGATCCAGAAGATATATGGAACCACACTACCAAATGAGCCAGATGGCTGAGGGAGGAGGACAAGACCCCTGAAAAGCCTGGAAGGCCAAGGGGCTCACAAGGGCAAGAGGATTCCTTAAAGGAAGCTGCCCGGACACGATGAACGGCTTTTCTTGATTCTTCCTCTCCCTACACAAGGACATTGAGAACCAAGAAAGATTGTAACATGTATCAATTGACTTCGTGATGCGCCCCACATCATCAGTGGCTATCATCTAACCCATTTGACCCATTGTCGATAGCTCCTTGCACCAAACCAAGTCCCCCATTACCTGGCAAGAATCACACTATCATACCAATCCGTTGTAGGATTAAAGAGTTGTCCAAAATCCAGTTTTCCTGCAGTTTTGCTTCCTCAACTAGAAGTGAGGGTGCGTGGTAAAATGCTGAAAATAAACTGACTGCTGGAGAGATAGGGAAGGCTCACAATGTAATATCCCGCAGTCACCAAGCCTAGAGGTATACGAGAAATAACAAGTTGTCTTCGCAAAACACTCAAGGTAAGTGCACTGAGAGAAGTCAAGACCAAAAGCTCGTAGACTTTGGCACTTACTTGGAAGAACGCTTTGGCGTCAAAGGGAAGCCAATATATATATGATATTTCCTCGTTATCCAGTTTGATGAATAGAGTGGCTAAGTATGGGTGGTAAGGAATTTGCGGCTCTGATTCCATCTCCGAACGGCTTGCTGAATCCCTCTTTACATGGAGATTGAAAGACCAGATGAACTTTTGCGCATAGGATCTTGCGCAGGTATGCTTCGAGGACCCGAAAGAACATCAGAATCACAAAATAGGATATCCAGATCGAAGCTGTACAAGTAAGTTTGTCATATTTTAAGAATACAGAAGAGGACCAAAATGGCAAAAGGCAGGATGTGAATCCGTGATCAGCTATGTGCTCTGAATGGAGGTGGTTCCAGAATGATCCGGATTACTGATTCTTTTTTTACAATTTCTTTTCATCATATTCCAGTACGCTCCCTCTCTGAAGCATTTCTTCCTGACCCTCTTCTATTGTTGTATGCTGCCCAGGTTCAACTGCTAGAAGTCGATCACTCTGACCGGACCCATCATTGTCATCATCAAGCAGCTGTGGCATCGATGGCTCTTCGTCTGAGACAGGATGAGTTGATAACTTGATATGATCAATTTCTGAATGGTTGAGGCGCTAATATTAGGGACAGCTGGCAAGCAGAAACGAGTGATCCCTAGCGGAGTTTTTGACAACGGAAAAGTCGGTTACACAATATCCACTGCTCACCATAAATAGGTAGGATTCACCATGATGGGCCTTTTCTCAGGAAATAATAAGCAAGCCAATCTACCGAAGTAAGATGGTTACAGCTGTGGGAGCTGATATGTGGTTACATCGAAGCACTGGCGCGCGGGAAGAAGATTCTGGGTTGAGCGTTAAGGCATAGTTGGCTAAGGGCAAAGTTGATATACATAATCCTGGATACCATGCTTCGCTTCTAATGAGATTTCTCAGCCTTCTTGTGGAAGGGTACACGAGGTGGGACCGAAAAGGCTTTAAGTACTTAATCATCAAGGAGGTTCTCTAGGTTGGATCTCCGTGGAACAGCCCCCATGTCCAGCTTCTTTAAGAGATCAGTTGTGGCATCATTCGTCCTCAGTAACATTGAAGTGCTCAAAGGCGCAGTGATGTCTTCGCCCGATGTCGTGTTAACTGGGATGGCAAAAAGAGCAGTGATTGAGCTTCAGGAGAGGTGTGCCTGAGAAGTGACGGCCCTGGCTGCCTACCCTAAGCTGTTTTTGAGACGATTATTCATGCGCTCTTTGTCAGAAGGCTAACCACCTTCAATCAATCACAAAGAAACGTCATCAGCGATGACCCTAGAATTGTTGGGTCTCCCCCAGGCACTGAACTATATCCCGGGAGCCTTATACGCAATACCGTGGCGGATAATCATAGCAGCCGCTTTCATTAGAAGTATCTACATACAACCAGTCATCAAACCTATTGAAAATACGTGTTTTTTCCCCGGGTTAACATCGATTTGCAATATATCATGTAACACGTCATGGGGCGGGGTTGGGTAGTACAATAATTGAGTCGAGATACAACGATGATCTAGTAGCGTTTTCAGGTGAATTATGTTGATACAGCCACCAAATCAAGTCTAACATTTGATCCATTCATCCACAGGGCAAACTGCCCCAGATTCAATCCAAATCAGTGTTCCAGCTTGAGTTAACCCCAATGTCATGAGTGATGTGAATTACATCCCTAACCTATATATCCCATCGTACAAGCTTGCTCCCTACACTCTCTACTCTCCCTTCTCATCCCTTATCCCATGTAAGTCCTCCAACAACTCAGCAAACATAACTCGTTCCCTCTCAGTCTCAGCAGCACCAATATCCTCCAAAAGATCCTCCGTCTCCTGGCTCATCGCAGGGCCTCCTCCATTCTTCCCCTTGTGTCCCTGCCCATGCAGAGGAGTACGCCCGGCATTGCGAATGATCCTCCACGCCCTCCGGAACTCATCCCGAATATTTACAATCCCCGCATGCGTCACCGTCCGTGCAACGTTATGATCCAGCTCAAACGGATCCTCAATCGCAAACAAATACCGATACCTCACCTCCTTTTTCTCGGTGACAACCTCCCCATTGCCATTTCCATTTGCAGCATCCCCTCCAGCAACCGGCCCTGCGGGCTCTACAACCGTCTTGGCACCAGTCCAACCCTTCTGCTGCTTAGTAAGCAACCCGCCCAGCGTCCGCAGCGAGATCACATCCCTCCCCCAATCGAAGCCCCTCGTCCCCGGCAACGTTGACAGCGGCTGGCCTCCCCCCTTAGCATAGTACTCAAAAAACCCTCTTAACAACTCCCCAATACTCTCCCTATTCTGCGTCAGCTGATTCTCCGCCGCCAGCCTTTTGATCTCAGCCTCATCCCTCCAAAACTGAACATTCCACCCCCTACACACGACCGTCTCCTCAATCTCCTGCGGTGTTAGGTTGGGCGGTGGGGGAGGTGCAAGCTGTTGCAGATTAGGCAGGACAAACGGCTGCGCGATGTTGACGAGGAAGTGCAGCATCATGAGGACGTAGCCGTAGGAGGAGAGCGTGCCGCGGTAAGGGGTGTTGATGCGACGCACCTTGGCCCAATGCTTGACGAAGAGGATGAGCGGGCGCACGCGCGGGTCGCAGTGTGAGTAGCAACGAAGGAGGAGCGTGTTTTGCAGGGCGAGATGTGCGGAGAAGTTGATGTCGCATTGAACGCCAACGCCGGACTTGGGGAATTCGAGAGGGTTATTGTAGCGGTCGCGGGGTTGGTTCGGGGCCATGCCCGCTGGGTCGCCGAGCTGGCGGAGTTCGGAGATGAGGGTGTCTGCGTCTTTGGGTAGAGGGATCACGGCGTCGGTTTGGGTCTTGGATGATGGTGAGGGGACCATAGGGCCTTTGAGCAGTTCGATATAAATGCGGATTTTAGTTGCTGCCTCTGCGGGATAAAGGCCCTTTTCGAGGCAGTTCTCGTATTCGTGCGCAAGCTGTAGGCTCTTATGGCGACGGCCGACGGCACGAAGGCTGACGGCGTCATGGGACTGGGCAAAAACCGCGACTTGTTCGCGAATGTGCTGATAGAAGATGCCCTTGATGTAGTACTCAATCACCGTCTTCAAGACCAGGTCATCCTTGGACGCCACTGAGTCTTTCCCACCAAGATCTTCTAGCAGCTTCTTCGCCCTCAGGTAGTATTTGCTGGCCGACTCATGCTGGCCCTGGGAAAGGAAGAGAATCTGGACAGAAGCGATTTTGCGAAGTTGCTCACAGCAGTGTTGCAGCTCCTTTTGGTAACCGAGGGGATCCCTTCCGTAGTCAGGCTTATTTTGGATATCTCGCCAGGCTCTCACGGCCCGCTCGGCATGTTGCTCTTGGTGTTGGTCCCTCTCGCGGATTGGGCGCGTCTCCCAAGCCATGGCCATGGTTTCGCCCTCGACCTGGGTAAGAATGCCCCAGAGCGTCCGGAAGGCCGAGAAAGAGACGCAGAGGTCGTAGTTATTCAGCGAGCGGTACTTCAGGAGTCGGTCCCGAAGGTTGGCATCTGCGAGACCGTTGACAAAAGCCATGCAAACCCGGTTAAGTAGCTTGTAGTCGTCCATGTTGAAGTCAGAGATGTTCGAGTTGGTGATGTCGTGACCTCCGAGCTTCCTGAGAATTTTCTTAGTCATGTTGTAGTAGGCCTGCAAAGGTTGGGTTTCCGCTTGTTTGAGAGTTTGCAGCTTCTCCAGCCATTGATCATGCGTCAATTCCTCGTCTTTTTGCCGATGAGCTTGAATACTTTGAGCTGTCTCGTGTGCTTCTGCATCCTCATGAGAACCTTCTTCATCCTCGGGCTCCTCGCTCCCAGTGAGACCACGCTCCCACTTCGCCCGTTCCTCCAGCAGTCCCTTGCGCAGCTCCTCCGTAGGACGCTCGCAGACCTTGATGATGGGAACCCTAGTGCGTGAAAGCAGGCGAGCGCCAAGACCAATATCCAGGAATGCCTTCTCGACAATCCGTGGGATGGGCGAACCCGGTGCATCGGGAGGAAGACGAGACAGAGGAGAGAGCAATCCCAGATCCATATCAGCAGCCTTAGTAGCGAAACCCGACGACAGGCTACCAAAGCACTTGAGCTGGACGCTCTCCGGAGGGAAGTCGAGAAAGCCATTCTTCCGCTCATGCTCAGTAATGGCGGCCCTGGCCACCTGCTCGATCATTGCGCGGAAATTCTCCTTCTCGATGATATCGGCGGGCTCAATTTCGGCATCCGCGACGATAGTTCTGCACAACTGCTCAAGATACGCAGCTTGGGCAAACGCATCCTCTCCACGAGAGTGGTGAGGGTGATATTGCCTGCCTGAATGGAAGTGCTCCAGCCCTCCCTGGCCAGGCCGAGGCCCAGGATGCAGACCGGGCGGGGCACCAAAAGGCATAGGAGGAAAGCCCGGAGGCACTCTCGGACCGCCATGAGGCATTGGGGGCGGTTGTTGCCAGCCGAATTGGTTCGGCTCCACCGGCCCATGGTAGGAGTGCGAAGGCTGATGTCTCGGGCGCATGACGAAAGGAGAGGCCGTCATGGGCGTGCTAGGTAGGGGGTCCGACCTGATGGTTGGGTAAATGCCAGCAGAATGAGTTTGTGGGATGTACTGCTTGCGGCCATTGTGACGGTGCTGTTGATGGTGATGGCCTTGCTGTTGGTGGCTAGGAGAACCATGAGGCTCATTACCAGTGTAGGGCCGAGATGGCTCAGAGAATACAGGCCGAGGGTCGATGGGAATAGTTAGCTGAGCTGACATTTGGCGACGCTGGGCCTGGTTGGGGCGTTTCCGGCCCGCCTTTACTGGTGCTGCAGCGGGGATATTTGGGCTCTGAGGACTCTGGCTCAATCGAGTCTCTTCCAGAGACTCTGGCTGCCCGTTTTCTGCCAGACCGGTTTGTACTGGTCGGGCCGGAGGAGCCAACCCCATATCCATAGCAGCATTGGCAAGGATAAGGTTGCGCAGGCGCTCCTCAAGATCAGATCCACTGTTGTCCATCTTGGTGCGTTTCCTCAGTGGGAAAGAAACAGAGTGTCAGACTCCGGCAACAAGTAGTCAGACAGGGGTGAGATGAAAAGAAGCAACAGAGAGGTTCAAGGTTCCAGGGTCTCAAAGCAAGATGGTGGTTAGTTCAAGGTGGGTGAGCACTTGCAACCTCAAGCAAGAGGGAGTGGATCTGTTGTGTAACAGCAAAGAGGCAAGAAGTAGAGTGCTGGTGAACAGAGCAACATATATATAGGGTCTGCTCTGCCCTGTGATGAAGGGAGCATCCGCTGTCCGATGCTCTGATTCGTGCTGCTAGTCCTCAACCAGAGAGCAAGGTTAAGATTTGATCGTGATCGAATCTTTGTCTTCAGATGTCGCTTTGAAAATTCCACGCTTGTGATATGCACGTGGTTGTCTCCCAAGCCTTTCGTCAGTGCAGCTGCACGAGATTTGTTTCAGGCCTTGCTGTCATCAGCCTGTCCGTTGGCGGTTGGGTGACGTCTATCATCTACGGTTGACACAGGCACCAATGTATTGCTGTTTGCAGGTCTTGTTCCGAGCACAAAACCCACCAGATTAGGCTGTCGGATCCCTGATCACGAAGAGTCATCGAAAAAAAAAATCTGAGGTCTGGGAGTTGAGGTAGAGGGCAAGGTTTCGGGCGAAATAGAGAAGGCCAGGGTGGACTCTCAAGGTCCCAAGGCTCTGGATGGCTTTTGGAGTGTGGTTCCTTTTTTAATGGCTTTGGGACATGGATTGTTGTGGATACCATCCCCACAACACTTCACTGTACCTGTGGGGCTAGTAGGAGGCTTACCTCATCAGCGACCAATGAAACATAAATTGCAAATGATTTTCAAAAGGATTCTAATATTAACATAGTATAGTATAATACTGACAAGAACTCGGATTCATTGATACTATTAGCTTATTATTTAAACCTTCTGTTTTTATAATTCTTTTTTGAAAATGGTAGCTTGGGCGAATCTCCGGGTTAGGTTATTCGTTGGAGACGTGGGCAACCGGAATCACGTTCTCAGACTTTCAGCACTACAGATCCGTACCTTTACGTACCAATTACCTTGTTAAGTTCCTGTTAGAACTCCAATCGAACGATATGTCCGACATTCTAGGTATCTTCTAACACATTTTAGGTATCTCTTATCCTCACAGTTTCTTCCTGGTACTCTCCCATTACTCCACGCGTGTCTTTACCTTACGATATCGAATCACCTCCACTTCCTCTTCGTCAATGATTCTCTCCGCCACAATCTTATGTCCCTTGATAGCGGGCCAGATCTTGGTCCACAGAGCCCAGTAGATGCCGCCCAGGATTAGGACACCAACGCCCACGACAGGGAAGACATAGTACGGGTAACCATCCGCCCAGAAGTCACCATCGGCTGGCGGGATGAACGGCACAATTGCCAGAAAGATATTGCACAACAGGAAGATTACTGGGATGGGCAGCCATGTACGCCATCCCGGATTCCATGGCTCGTGCTTCTGGTACCGCAGGTAGATGAGACCGGCGGCGACGAAGCTGTTGATCCAGGCACCGGGGTAGGTGTAGAGATTGACGATGAAGTTGTACGCCGGGCCAGGGGGAGGCGCGAGAAGGACGAGGACTGTGACGAGCCAGTGGAGAAAGAGCTACAACACTTCTGGTCAGCATGAATTCAAAGATATCAAAGAGGGATAACGAATTACCGCAGCAGCAGGCGAGTTAAATGGTTTGTTAGATCCCCAAAGGCGACTCAACGGCAGCAATCCCTCTTTTCCAAGTTCTTGGTTCAGACGCGCATGCGCAAAACTAACGGCAAGGACGTTGCCGAGGTTGCTGAGCGCGACAAATGCGGGAAGGGTACGAGCACCAGCACTGGAGCCAAAGACGTTGCGGAAGAACAGGCCAGCGACGATTACTTCAGAGGTAGCTAGGTCCGACTTCGGGATGGTGGCGAAGTAGGCCACATTGGCCAGCACATACAGAATAGTGACCCCACCAACAGCCAGGGGCGCCGCAATCATCAGCGTCCGACGCGGGTTCTTGATTTCGCCCAGTACGTAGTTGGCATTCTCCCAGCCCTTGTAACTGTAAACGATGTTGAGAAGGGCATTGGAGTAGGCATACGCGCCACCACCACCATATCCCTTGCCGCTCTCGATCCGGAAAGCATTGTCAAAGTTATGCGGATCCGGCACCAAACGATGACCAGCCAGCGCTGCGAATCCGGAGAAAACGATGAAGATCAGCACAGCGACCTTGAAAATTCCAAGCACGTTGAACAGCCGGATACCCCATTTTGGGGTGACGGAGTGCAGAACCACGGCGAAGGTGACACAGGTAACACCAATGCCACGAGCCTTGTAGCTATCCTTTAGCTCGTTGCCTGTGGCGTAGAGGATGTAACGACCAAACGCGAGGGAGTTGCCCGATGAGAAGCCGAGCAAGATCATTTGTGCGGCCAGGACGCAGGTAGCGAGGTATCTCGGGCGGCGGTAAATGTATTCAAGGTAGTTCTTTTCACCGCCGGAACGGGGAATGGCAAGGCCAAACTCGAGCCAGACGCTTAAACCACAGAAGGTGAGGAAGCCGCCTGTTGAGGAATCAGTTAAATTCATGTCTCCAGATGTCCATATATAAGCGGTTATCAAGTCCAATGACTTACCAATCACCCACAACATCAAGCTCACGCCAACAGATCCTGTCGCAGCAAAGATGCTGGATGGAGTCGAGAAGATACCAGTGCCAATCATTTTGTTAAGGATGAGGAACACGGCACCAGTGACTCCCAGCTTCCGCGAATCGTCGTAAGCATACTTATTCTCTTCTTGCAGCTCACCGACCTCTGCATCTCCTTTGACAGGCCTGTCATTAACCTGGTCGACAGGTGCTGTCGGGGCCGAGGGTTCCTCTTTTGTGGATGTACTGAAAAGTCCCATGGCGGGAAGTGTTGTTGAGAGAAGTCTAGCTTAGTTTGAAGTGAAAGCCTATACGCAACAGGCGTCTGCTAAATGTCGAGCTAAAGGCACGATGAGAGTAGCAACGCTGCGTTCCACAACAGGGACTGCAGTTCCCCTTTATATAACCGATATCAGCTCACCAAATAAACAACGCCTACAGTAGAATCAGATGAATTGTTGCATCATACATCCTGAACTTTTCGACGGTCAACTACTTCAGAATTCTAAAAGACCGTGGGTCCTCGTTTCCAGTGTCGCAAAGGTTTCCAAGACGCTGGCATCCCACTGAACAAGTACAGAAAATTAAGCCTGAACCAAATCGGTCAGACCGAAGACAAAAACTTCGAGCCTCACCCCACGTCATGGCAATTATTTGCCTCTCTTTGGTCTAGTTGCTGATGAGCGAATCTGTACCCTGCATTGTTTCATTGTTTTGGGGCACTTTGCATGGCATATGGCATTGCAAGGTCCCTTTCGTCGACTAAGCAGGTGGTGCGGGAGGTGTGTAAAAGCAACCGTAAGAACCTGGAATAACACCCCGGCCTGCGGCAACGTACAGGGCCGTTTAGCGTCGGCAGGCTGTTCGAAGGGCCGAGCTGAGCGGACGGGTAAGGCGGGCGTTGCTGAAACTTGTTGAAGATATAGCAGGGTCACTGACCATTCTGGTCGCCTGTCCGGTCCGGATCAGGAAGGTCGTCAGCAGAGGGCCAGGATTTGCCCGATGTCGTGCTCTTGAGCCAGAATCGCGAAAACTTATACGTCGGCCCATTTATCCAACCAAAGATGCCAGAGTCTGCGTGACTTTGCTGTCTCTTGGTGTGTCTATAGTCTCATGAAGCATGTAACACCCCGCGGAGCATGAGGTGATGAAAGTTGAAGGATGAGGTTACGCCCGGCTGTTCCCGGCTCATGGGAGCAAACAGAGTTCATGCTCAAACATCAAGACTTGCAGTTGAAGATCAAAGCAGTTAGCTCAAGTCTATGGCATAAAAAGCACAAAATGTCAACACAATGTCATTTATCAGCGCCAGATATTTCCCCTCTTCCTCTCCTTGCGCAAACAGGCGATCCCTTGCAGCTTTTGAAGTGTGGGATTTTGGAAGGACTTAACCAGGTTCTCGCACTAGAATCTCCTCAGTAGATCACTTGAGCTTCACTGCAGTAGCGCAACGCTCCCTGTTAAACGTTAGCTCTCCTGAGCTAAAGAATCGAAGTATGGAGCAATGAAATGGATTCTGATCCGGCAGCCTAGTTGGCGAGGATGACAACATTGGTAAAAATTTCTTATTACCGTTCACCAAAGTCGAAATTTGAAGACCAGGATATATGCTGAGTATTTGAAAGACTTCGACGTGAACCTTTATGCGTATTGTAATCTTGTGTGCCAGCTCTAACCCATGAGGCGCATGGGTACGTTACCCGAGCTGCCTCCAACGCCATCGCCGAGACACTCAGCGACATGGAGAAGTACCGGGCGTTATTCCCTATCAAGGAACATTCTTGACAGCATAAATCTCAATTTTTAGTCTTTTAAGAGTTTGATTTTACGTTTCAGATAGAGGTGAATGAATCAACAAACGATAACGGGAAAAAAGGCAAGAAGAGTCACAAACGTACCAACACCCGGAAATCCGCTGGTCGTCAGCGACTCAACTATAACCGAGCCCTGGGTGGTTAACAAGAGCTGAGCAGACCGGATGCCGTGCTTTCCACTGGTACGGTCGTACGTGATAAAAGAGCATGTAAGATATCCTTTACAACCTTTCGGATCATCGAATAAAACTGAGTCAACTATAACTTACCTATACAGTAGGCCCCAAGAACGAGATCCCGTCACCATTTGCAACAGTTAATAACAGTGTTTGGACCTGTGGTTTATTTCGAGCAAGGCCAAGGCTTAGACGCATCTTGGAATGATGAGCGTTTTCTAGGGTCGATTCAGTAGAAGCCAGCCTGACAAGCTCCCATTGGGAATGATACATTGCAAGCAACTTGTTTCAGACCCCTCAACCCCGCACCACGCAAAATCCTCGTGAGCAAAATTAGCGGGGCGGCCTGCTCCCCCAGTCCAGATACTGATGTTTACGAAGCCAACAACAGCCAGGGGCAGAAGGTTGTGACATCTTGAGATCTATACACATCATGGGGCATCTGGAGTTTCACATAGTGCCGACGTACAAGCCTCAGCCGGGGTTATGTCTTGCTGTCAGATTTGCCACCGTCGGCCTGTTACACAAAACAAGACAAACACGTCAACACGCGCGAGGGTTAGACATCAACATCAGCACCGGATCGGTTCCAGTCAGTGATAGGCCGGTCCTATCAGAGCCTGCTGCAGTTAATTGGGTTGTTTATCGCAGAACTCGCCAAGCCTCCTGTGAATGGCTGCAGGAACGCGGTTCGCATACTGGGCGAGCACATGGCACGCTGCGAATGCCCCAATCACAACAATCCTAGCACGTGACTTCGCGTCCAAGGCTCCAAGAGAACCGCGAGCTGCAATAATGACGCATTGCCGCCAAGGCACGGCGTTCTGCTCGTGCAATGCCACGCTCAAGTCACGGCTGTGCTGGGAATTGCCATGTGCTATCCTTCCTTGCTTTCAGATCTTACCGATACAGATCGGGAGCGGGTCACGAGCGGGTGGAGGTGACGCGTGGCTCGCCTGAAGAATCGTGCTCTGGGCGATGCGTCTCTTTGGGGGGCATTGAAAAAACAGCGACATACGCGGCTGTGAGCGTTGTCTGGGCAGAAAACCGGGCGGAGAACAGTGGGGCAGATTTGATCTGGGTTGTTTTCAGTTATGCGTCCGTGCACGATATCCACCGGCCTGGCAGCGCAGCCACTGACAGTGCAGCATGCAGCCAGGAGCTGCCCTCAGCGAGCGAGGGAACCGCTGAGCAAATGCTGGGTCGCGGTGGGCGGCGTCGCGAACCGCGTAACCAACCGGTCCAAGCAGAAGCAACCCACAGTCCATTGTTGCATGTCTGTCCACCTTACGAAACCTTCCAAATCTCGCACTGCTGCTTTCACAACGCCGCCCCTGTTCGCCAATCGCCGCTATTATCACGTTTCGCATTGTATCTTGTTCTCCTCTGGCCGGGCCTTGGGACGACTCTGGCCGACATACGCTGGCAGTCTCTTCGCATGACCGTGGCTTGCGCTTTCATGGACTCGAGTTGGAGTGCGCGTCCGCTCGACCCCGGACCCGTCGGGGACAAAGATTCCGTTGCGACCACTTCCGTTCCGCCTTCAACAGCCCTTTCAAACTCTGCATCGCCCTTTTCAGCCATGAACGAGCTCGCTGAACTTGCTGCCGCCTCGCGACGGGCTCTGTACGAAACGCGGCCCTCTGTCGCTGACGACGCGCCTGCCCCCCACACCATGTCCCCTTCCCGTCATAATGCCGGCCACCAACATGTCACCGGCTCCCGCACCCACGATGCCCGACCCCAGCATACCCCGATTGAGGATGGTTATGCGCCACAGCCCTCGGCGCCCCGGCATCATACCTTGTCGCGCAGCAATTCGCAGGGAACCATCAGCTCAGCCGACAACGCTGACCTCGTGTTTACCCCGCCAACATATGGTGTGAGGTACAGCCCTAATAGCGGGAGCGCTCACAGTTCGAATCAAGAAAACCAGCTGCTACGATTGTCTCAGATTGCCGCTGCGCAGGAGCGGATTCCAGAGGACAAGGTGGATCGGGACATTGGGAACGGGCTGCTGTCGAGGAAGAGAATGGCAGACGGCATGGCGAAGCATACGCGCGAGCTGTCTAATGCTTCGCCCAAGGAAATACTCGGTCATTCGAGAAACCCTAGTGCTGTCAGCGTGGCTTCGACTACAGGAAGTCGCATCGGAGAGGTACTTCCATTATTCCTGTCTTTCCCGACCCTGTCACAAGGAGACTGACCCATTGTCTCAACAGTTATCTGCTGAATTGAAAGCGCGACTCTCTTATGCCATGGTGAAGGTCAACCATGGCTGGCAATCTCACACGATAGACCAAATAGAATCACTAACCTCACAGGCTACTTCTCCATGCTCAACTGCATCCACGATCCATTTGAGGAACGGTTCGTCTTCGAGCCCTCAGCTTTGCAATGCTCTCTACCAGCACGGCAGCAACGCTACACCGGCTACAGGGCGTCATCCGCTTCCAGATCGTCCCATTGACTCGCACTGGACGGATTCCCCTCACTCGACATCCAGGGGGAGCTCAGTATCACCTATCAAGAGCTCTCAGGGGCTCGCTCCTCCGGTCTCTATCCAGCCTTCTCACTCCTTCAATAACCCTCGCAGGACGTCCAATTTGAGCCAACCTCCCTCATTCCTTTCTAACTCACATCAATCATCACCGTATTCCGGGTCCAACCCAACGAACTCTTACCTCACAACCACACGCCAGAGGTCAGCTCTCTCTGAGGGCATCCTCGTTTCTCCTCACACCAATGTTCGTGAACAGGACGCGATAGAATCACTCCTCTTTATGAGCAGCCCAGGAAACTCAGCCAACCTCAAGCACGCCTTTCCCCCATCTTCTTCTCAGCCTCTTCCCTCTGGTCACGCCCCGCCACAGCGCACTGCTTTGCCCACATCTCAGCCGCGCAAAAGTCTGCCAACAGGAAGACACACCCAGCATTCCCGCACCCAGTCTCAGACGCAAAAGCGTGTTGGGTTCGAGAAGTCGCCCAGGGTGATAGATAACGACGATGACTTTGGTTCGCCCATGTCCGTGACGCGGAGTACTCCTCAGAGGAAACGCTTGAATGGTGGTAGCCATGGAGAGTCGCAAGCACAAACGACCCGTCTTAAGCAGATGCCTGTTTCTCAGGGTCTGACTGTGTCTAAACCGCATCCTGTCATGGCAGATGAAGACATCGATCGGATGCTAGATGAGAAGGTTGCGGCTGGGGATGACTCAGACTCTGATGCAGAGATCCAGATTCCCGTGTCACGGACGCATCGAGAGGGTTCCGACTCGGTTGGGTCTTGATGAAGTGACAAGAGAGTGGTTGGTTTTCTGCAATCTGGGCTTTGCCCCTGGGAGTTGAATCTACGCATCGATATCTAAGTGCCATTCCTGTCAACGATCTGATGTGTCGGGTATTCTGCTTTTCACCTATACAGCTCCTCATCGTGTAATCTTCATCGGCAGGGAGGTGTAAGGATGTCCTTTGAGGTCTTGTGTTGGTTGCTATGGCTGGGTGCATCTTTCCATGGCGTTCGGATGGTTGCTTTATCAGAGAATTTCTCGCCATGCCCCCTTCATCAGGCGGCAGGAGCATATAAAGTAGCATGGGTACGGGCGGTGCGAATCAAAGAGCATTGTTCTGCAAAAGTGTTGGCATTGTCAACCTTCGTTTCTTGAACTCCAAATGCTAGGCCACCCAGGAGTGCTGTGATTTAAGCTTCGTTGAACTGTGTTGATGCGCACTTCTTTGTGTGGTTGCTGCTAACACTTAGGTTCTGGCTTATAAACTACCCCTAGGTGCTCAATCTCTGAATGTTCTATGCGCCCACTTATAGGTAGGTATTTATTTGAAGCTAAATGTTGGATGAGGCTGCGGTTAAGCAAGTATCTTTATTTTTTTTCCCCAGCCTCATTGAGCCTTTCACTGACCAGCCATTCAATTGTCTCCATGCTGTTGTGCATGTGTCAGCATGTGCACTGCCCTGGCCAGCAAGCCATTAATGCTGATTCTTGCAGCCACAAAACCTCCGATGACATGCAGGTGATGGGAGTTTTAAGTGCTGTGATTTGGTGACTCAATATGAGAACAACCCATTGTCCAAGTCTGTACCCTCTCAGATTGACCCCTGAGAAGCAATGGCTTTCCAAGACACAAGTCCTGCATTATAACTAGTCCCATAGTCCACCAGTCTGAAGCCACCTGGGTCTCTAAGATTACACTTTTGTTAACCACAAATAGTCCACTTATACATCTTGTCCTATACCCGACAAGATGAAGTAGGGCACGCATATTATTTGATTGGACGTCAAAGAGCCCCTGAGACATCTCTACGCCCCAGTTCGTAACCCTCTAGGTGTTGAAAGGGTTAACAGAGCAAGCACGTTCTTCGGGGCACGACAAGCGGTTCACTTCTTCAGCTACACAATCTTTTTCTTCATTTTTAACAGGTGTGCCAGCACTTTTGCAAATTTTGTTCCTTTTTCCTTTGCTTTCTTTTGTCTACAGCTTTTCGCCTTAGCAAAGCAACAGCTTTTTCTATTAACCCAACTACAATTGTTTGCGAAGTTCCATACTGTCTTCTACCTAGCAAATCACCTATTAGCGGTTTTCATCGTCACCATGAAATTTAAGCACATCTTCTACCGTCTGCAACGATCCTTTCGTCGTAAAAAAGGCAGGAAAGTCAGTTCTAAGAAAAATGTCAACAAGTCGAAGATTCGCCTGACATCCCAAGAGAGTCGGTCGGACGCTAAGCCAGTCAAACATGTTCCCATCGACGAGCTCCAGAGGTCGGTAGACAGCCAAGATACATCCCTGTTCTTCACCAAGTTACCAATAGAGCTTCGACTCAAGATCTATCGTGAGGTCTGGGCCGATTTTTTAAAGAGTCGCCTCCCTATTCCAGGCCATCCTGGAACCGGCTTCCGTCTGCACATCCATTCGACGGAAAAGGCTGGTTCGCCCTTCACTCACACCCGCTGCAAGGTTCAGCTCGAAAACCCTGGAGCTCTGATGACTGCCCATGGGCCAGACTTACTGGTGTTTTCCGGTGAATCGCAAGAACATCTGCCAGCATCATACTGGTCTGAATGGATCACCAAGCTGCATTGGGGCAGGCACTGGGCTTGTCGGAAGCAAAATTATCGGTGCTTGAAGACTGAGGCCGCGCCGTTCCTGCCGCTGTGGCTGAGTTGCAAGAGGATGTGAGTTTCACAGATACTTATTCATGATGTCAATGTTTCGATACTGACATGTCTAAACCATAGCTATCTTGAGGCTGCCCCAGCCTTCTTTGAGGAGACTACCATCGTGTTCACCTCTTCACCCGAACTCCTCCGTTTCATCAATCCCATGAATACCCCCATCAACCCCTTCTTCTCCCATATTCGTTCCCTAGAACTCTCCATCTTCAACCCCTACGACCTCCTCTACCTCATCCCTATCTGCTACCCGATCGTCATGAGCATGAATCCGCACTACACTGAAGCCTCATCGCTTTCAACCGACGACACAATGGCCGACTCGCTCTCTGTCCACGCCGGCTCCGATGCATCATCTTCGTCGCCATCATCGCCATCCTCCTCTCCCCACTCTTTCTCCTCCACAATCTCCTCTCCCGCAGACCCCCTCCTCAACCAAATGGGCTTCGGCTACGAAGTCATCGTCGGCCCCGGCCTGAGCCAGGCCATGCCCAGCCTGACAGGCATGGGAGCAACCTTGCTGCAGCAGCACCCGCTTCAGCCCCCGCCGGCGGCGCTGTCAACGAGGGAGATGACACGATCATTATGGCTACGGTCGCCCGCTCGTACAATGCCGGTGCAGCCATGTGGATTGAGCTGACTGCTGCCATGCGTGCTGCATGTCCCGCGTTGAGGGACCTGGTGCTGGTGTTTGGAGGGCGGATGCCTGAGCGGGAGGCTGTGCTGGCGACGTTTGGTGGGATTTGGGAGGGGTCTGAGGAGGGTGTCGGCTCCCGAGATGAAATACTGCAGGCGGCAGACGTTGTAGGTGCGACTGTTGCTGGTCCGTCGCACTCGGCGGTGATTATGAGCACCGTGGGTGGGCAGAGGAGTCCGGCCCCGGTCCCAGGTGGAGTGTGGGTGCTGTCAGGGAAGCTGAGGATAGATTTTAGGGTTGAAGGAGAGATTTATGTGCAGCAGGGAGGTAAGCTGGTCAAGGTGATAGGGGACACGATGGAGTGAACCTTCGACATAGGATGGAAAGAATGTTTTTGAAAGGCATGAAGGGATGGATAACTTTGTGGTGGGACAAACGTTGCAGTTTGCTTGATTTTGGTTGCTTCTACTCATAGGCGGCCTCGGATGACAAAAGGTTGGACAGTCATATTCGAAATCCTACGAATCTGGTGAGAGTTACCTGAGGCCCCGGAGGCCAACCTGTTTACTTTGCAAAGATGTGTATATCTTCCAATCAACTTTCAATGAAGCTTGCTCGTAATGAGAGGTGCAGCAGATATCTCCCAAAGAAGATTTTATGTGTTTTAGTTTAAACAAACAATAGTGAGGGATCTTGGATGTTTTCACATGGACACAAGGAATATTAAGCAGCTTGATAGGTGATCGTTAAGCCTAGGGTCTTTCACTGACACGACCTTGTCAGCCACTGGCTTTGATGTTATGGTTCTCATGACTGTCGGCTTCGATCAGCCCACTCTCTAATGCTAAATTATATGATTTTACGCGTACACTGATCGACAGCCAGCTTGCGTAAGTAGACATGATTGTAAATAAACAAGTAGTTACAACCTTTGAAGTGTTGCTTCAGCAGATGAATGTGATTATGGGAAGAGGCAACGAAAAAGAAGTTGTGGTGAAACTGAGGCCCCAGCATTCAGCAACAGTTTCAACGTCCAAGTGGGGTTCCCCTGCATAAGGCGAGGAGCGCGAGGCAAAAGGGCTCCCGGTGGCAGGTGGCGCCAAGACCCAACCAAAGAGACCAAACCTCTTGACCACCTGTCCGCTGTGCACCTGAGGTTTCCTGAGCTGTCTTCGGCCCTGGACCACAGCCATCCATGCCAAGCATCCCGCGACGTCCCCCCAAATATCACGGGCTTTTTCGCATTTCTTCCCCTGCTGCTGAGCGTGTCGTGCCTCCAGGCTGTCTTCAATGCAGGCACAATAAGGTTTCTCAAACTTCTTTTCTTTCGAACGACCCGTCATGGCGCCGCTCGTTGATAATCCGCAGATCAAGTCGGCCGAGCTGCTGCGCCCGCTGCCGCTGTATCAACACGCCTACGTCTGGCCTTATGTCATAGTTTGGCCTGTTTTCCTGCGCGTCTACCTCACCCAAGAACTCTACGACAAGTATATTGGCGCCCAGGAGTGGACGTTCGTCTGGATCATCTCCATTGTCACCTTCCAGACCCTCACCTGGCTCTGCACCCACTGGAGCGTCAACCTCAATGCTCTCTTCACGGCTAAGAAGGCTTCTTCGATCGAAGATGCCCAGCTGATCAAGGTCATTCCCGTCGCCAACGCCGGCGCCGCTGACATTTGCAAGCTGGTCCGCGACAAGGTGTGTTGGCGTTGAGCTTAGGCTTCTGGCTGCTCCTCATATGAGCTCAGTGCTGACCTTTTCCCCTCACTATCAGGTTGGCGACAACAAGACGAACATCTCTTTCTTGTTCCAGAAACGTCGTTTCCTCTGGTATCCCGAACGGAAGGCATTCAGCACTCTCGAGTTCGATATCGATGCCGAACCTAAGCCTACTCTGTCCAAGTTCCAGCTGTCCAGGGGTATCGAGAGCGAAGACGAGTTGAAGCGTCTTGAGCAGCACTACGGCACCAACACGTTCGATATTCCCGTCCCCACGTTCACCGAACTCTTCAAGGAACATGCGGTGGCTCCGTTTTTCGTCTTCCAGGTCTTCTGTGTTGGCCTGTGGCTGCTAGATGAGTATTGGTACTACTCGCTCTTTACCCTGGTCATGCTTGTTGTCTTCGAGAGTACCGTCGTCTGGCAGCGTCAGCGAACCTTGACCGAGTTCCGCAGCATGAGTATTAAGCCATACCCAATCTATGTCTACCGTCTGGGCAAGTGGACCGAGATCCAGAGTGATAAGTTGCTGCCTGGCGATCTCGTCTCCGTTACTCGGACCAAGGAGGACAGTGGTGTTGCTTGCGACATGATTTTGGTCGAGGGCACTGCTATTGTGAACGAGGCTATGCTTTCTGGTGAAAGCACTCCCCTCCTGAAGGACTCGATTCAACTCCGCCCCGGTGATGCTGTCCTCGAGGTCGATGGTCTTGACAAGAACTCGCTGCTTTGGGGTGGCACCAAGGTGCTTCAAATCACCCATGGTACCGCCGAAGAGGAGAGGCCGAAGCCTGCGTCTGGCATCCCCCCTCCCCCTGATAATGGTGCCATGGCTGTTGTCACCAAGACCGGCTTTGAGACCTCTCAGGGTAGCTTGGTTCGGACCATGATTTACTCAACTGAACGTGTGTCGGCGAACAACACCGAGGCACTGCTGTTCATCCTTTTCTTGCTTGTCTTCGCCCTGGCTGCCTCGTGGTATGTGTGGGATGAAGGTGTGCGCAAGGACCGCAAGCGCTCTAAGTTGCTGCTTGACTGTATCCTTATCATCACCAGCGTCGTCCCTCCTGAGCTTCCGATGGAACTTAGCCTGGCTGTCAACACCAGTCTGTCTGCCTTGGCCAAGTTTGCCATCTTCTGCACCGAGCCCTTCAGGATTCCGTTTGCCGGTCGTATCGACGTCGCCTGCTTTGACAAAACTGGAACTCTGACTGGAGAGGATTTAGTTGTTGAAGGCATTGCCGGTCTTGGTCTCGGCCACTCAGGTACTGACACTCCGAAGGAGGCCGATGGCGCTCATACTCGCATGGTTTCGGTTCATGACGCTGGCATGGAGACTACGTTGGTCCTTGCCACAGCTCATGCTCTCGTGAAGCTTGATGAAGGCGAGATCGTTGGCGACCCCATGGAGAAGGCTACCTTAAATGCACTCGGCTGGGTTCTTGGAAAGAATGACACCTTGACAAGCAAACCTGGCAACGCTGCCAGCTCGGGCATCCTTGGCACTGTCCAGATCAAGCGTCGGTTCCAGTTCTCGTCTGCCCTCAAGCGCCAAAGCTCTGTTGCTACTATCACCGCTACAGAGGTCAAGACTGGCAGAAAGTTGCGTGGCTCCTTTGTTGGTGTCAAGGGTGCCCCTGAAACCATCATGAAGATGCTTGTGACTGTCCCCGAGCATTATGAGGAGACTTACAAGTACTTCACTCGCCGTGGTTCTCGTGTCCTTGCGCTGGCTTACAAGCAGCTTACCACCGAGGGTGAGCTGGGGGCTAACAAAATTAACGACCTCAAGCGGGAAAGTGTCGAAGCGGACCTCCACTTCGCTGGTTTCCTCGTTCTTCAGTGCCCTCTCAAGGAGGATGCCAAGCAAGCAGTGCGTATGCTCAACGAGAGCAGCCACCGTGTAGTCATGATCACCGGTGACAACCCCCTTACCGCTGTTCACGTCGCCAAGGAAGTGGAGATTGTTGATCGTGATGTCCTGATTTTGGATGCCCCCGAGCACAGTGTTTATGGAGAGGAGTCTCTCGTCTGGCGCAGCGTCGACGACAAGATTCGCATCGACGTTGACCCCACCAAGCCCATCGATCCCGAGATTCTTAAGACCAAGGATCTGTGTGTTACTGGCTACGCGCTCAACAAGTTCAAGGGCCAGGTTGGCTGGAAGTCTCTCCTTCGGTATACCTGGGTCTATGCTCGTGTGTCGCCTAAGCAGAAGGAAGACATTCTCTTGGGCCTGAAGGACATGGGCTATTACACTCTCATGGCTGGTGATGGTACCAATGATGTCGGCGCCCTTAAGCAGGCTCATGTCGGTGTTGCTCTGCTCAATGGCACGCAGGAAGATCTTAATCGGATCGCTGAGCACACTCGCAACCAGAAGATGAAGGAACTCTACCAGAAGCAAGTCGACCTGATGGCTCGCTGGGGCCAGCCTCCTCCGCCGGTTCCTGCTATGATTGCTCACCTCTACCCTCCTGGACCGTCGAACCCTCACTACCAGAAGGCCATGGAGCGTGAAGCTCAGAAGCGCGGTGTTACTGTTGAGCAGCTCGCCAAGGTGAACGGTACCAACGTGACTAGCAACCCCGCTGGAGTCCAGCAGCAGTCCGGTCAGGATGCGAAGAAGGCTAAGCAGGTTGAGGCAGCTAAGAAGGCAGCTAACTTTGCCGACAAGCTTACTTCCTCGCTGATGGAAGCTGAGATGGACGATGAACCGCCGACTCTCAAGCTCGGTGACGCCTCGGTCGCTGCTCCGTTCACTTCCAAGCTCCGCAACGTCATGGCCATTCCGAACATCCTTCGTCAGGGCCGCTGCACGCTGGTCGCTACTATCCAAATGTACAAGATCCTTGCCCTGAACTGCCTTATTAGCGCCTACAGCTTGAGCGTCCTGTATCTGGAAGGCATCAAGTTCGGTGATGGTCAGATAACCATCAGCGGTATGCTCATGAGTGTCTGCTTCTTGTCCATCTCGCGTGCTCGCTCGGTCGAGGGTCTGTCTAAGGAGCGCCCGCAGCCCAACATTTTCAACTTCTACATCATTGGCTCCATCCTTGGTCAGTTCGCTGTCCACGTGGCCACTCTCATCTACATTGCTCAGCTGTGCGACCAGATCGAGCCGTAAGTCTCTATCCTATCTTAATTCATTGAAGTACTAACCCCCTCCAGTCGCACCGAAGTAATTGACCTTGAAGCCGAGTTTAAGCCCTCCCTCCTCAACAGCGCAGTCTACCTCCTCCAGCTCATCCAACAAATTTCCACCTTCGCCGTCAACTACCAAGGCCGGCCCTTCCGCGAGTCCCTTTCGGAGAACAAGGGCATGTTCTACGGCATTGTGGGAGTCACGGCCATCGCGTTCGCCTGCTCGACTGAGATGCTGCCCGAGCTGAACGAAGCCATGAAGCTGGTGCCTTTCAATGAAAACTTCAAGACCATCATGACCACGGTCATGATCATCGATTTTGTCGCGTGCTACGTCATTGAGTGGGTACTCAAGAAGCTGTTTAGCGACCTGCGCGCGCGCGACATTGCTGAGCGCCGGCCGGATCAGCTGGAGCGTGAGCGTGTTCGCAAGGAGAAGGAGGCGCGAGAGAAGGAAGAGGAGGAGGAGCGCAAGGAGAGGGAGAGGATCGAGGCTTTTGAACGCAGGCTCGAGGAGAAGAGGACTCGGTTGGTTGAGGCTGCCGCTCAACGGGAGCAGCAACAGCAGCAATGGGCCCAGAGGCGGTAATTAATGGATAGATCTTGATTGGGGAATGATGGATGTTATCATAGAAGGGACCAGCGAGGTGATTATCGGGGCCTTGGGTTTTGTACTTGACTTTCATCCTGTATAATACAAGAGGGTGATTAGGGGACAGGATATGACTTTGAGGTGTGCTAGTACCCCTTAAACCTCAAACGTCCCCAGTGTGTTAAATCAACGGCACTCGGTTCACAAACAAGAATACATTGAAGCTCGGCTAGCTGCTTGCTATGGTACACATCACAGCATCTGAATGCTTTTCATTTGCCTTCCTTTTCATTCCCATGAAGCATTAGGGTATTGTGAATTTTGTTTTCGCAAGCTAAGATCAGCTGGTGGTGTAAGTTTTCGTAACCGTCTTGCCTGCCCTCCAACCCCTTTGAGTTTTAAGGTATGTCATCCGCACGGGGTCGACTAAGGTATCAAGACATTTAATGCTTCAAAGCAGAATGTGTAGGGGATTTAGTTGCCGGGGTTCTGGGCAACGAAGGCTTTGCCCTTCTCAATGTTCTTCTTGAGGTCGACGAAGCAGGCCTCAAGGAGCTTCTCTTCGATGGCATCAACAGGGCCGACAGGGAGGACCTTCTCGACACCGTTGGGGCCGAGCTCGACGTTAGAGCTGAAGAAGTCAATGCCTTGGTCCTTATAGAGAGGGCTGTCCACGAAGGTGGGCTCAATGACGCCTTTCTCGCCCTCGGCGGCACGGAGGATGGAGTCAGCCATGCGGGCACCGGCCATGGCCATGGAGAGGGTGGCAGAGCCAGCACCATCCTTGGCCTTTACGACCTCATCACCACCGAACTGGACGCGCTTGACGAGCTCAGCGTTGGAGGAGAGCTCGGGGTGGCGGCTCTGAGAAAAGAGAGGGACGATGGTCACACCGCTGTGACCACCGACAACCGTGATCTTCTCATCGGCGGGGTCAGTGCCCTTGATCTCGCTGACGAAGCGGGAAGCGCGGACAACATCGAGAGTGGTGACACCGAAAAGGCGGCGGGGGTTGTAGACACCCTTGTTCTTGAAGACCTCGGCGCAGATGGGGACGGTCGAGTTGACAGGGTTGCTGATGATGAGGATGTTGGCATCAGGGCACGACTCAGCGCAGGCCTTAGCGAGGTCGCGGACGATGGAGGCGTTGGTGTTGAAGAGGTCATCACGGGTCATGCCGGGCTTGCGGGGGACACCAGCAGGGATGAGGACGACCTTGGCGCCCTTGAGGGCCTCGGCAAGGCCGGTGGGAGTGGGTTCGTAGCCCTTGACAGTCGACTTGGTGTTGACGTGAGAGACATCAGCAGCAACACCTGCCCGGAGTTAGCATCCAGCTTCCGTTTCCAGCTTGTTTTTAGCTTGGGAGAGGCAATCTACATACCAGGGGCGCCACGGATATCATAGAGGGCGAGCTCCGAGACTCTGGGGTTCAGCTTTAGCAGCAGAGAGAGGGGCTCTGCGGCAGGACGTTAGCCATTGTTCTCAAGGGAACCAGATGGTCCAGACAAGAACGTACGGCCAATGCCACCAGCGGCACCAAGCACGGCGACCTTAGAGAGCTGCATAGCACAAAGTCAGCAGGCGTCATCTTGGGCATGTTGGGTTGGGGACGTCATGCCGTTGGCGATGCAGCAGCAACATGAACAGTGAGGGGCAGCTTAGAGGGGTAAAGTGCGTACCTGGCGGGCAGAGGCAGAAAAAGCCCGGCGCTGGATCATACTGGGAGCGAACATTTTGAAAACCTAATTGACCGTGGGCCGAAGAGAAGTCGACTGGTGCGGATGACGAGCAGGTGGTGTGAAAGAAGGATGGACAAAAGCAATGGCGCGGACTTGGGATTTGAGAAAATTGTTGTCCCTGGCTGAGCGCCAAGACTGCCACCTGGGGTCGGGCACAGGCCATCGGTGAACTTCCGGCACCTCGGAATATCCCACGCGGGATTGCCCCACTTTTAGCCCTGTGCCCAGCCAAAAAGCACCGCAGAAGCTGCTGTGATGCTTTCAGCCGATGAGGCTTGAGGTTGCAACTTGCTCGATTGTTACGAAAAACTTTCCTTCTCAGGTCTGCTTCAATTTTATCGTAACAACACGTGCAGTTACTTCATCGCGATGCCTTCAAGTTCTCATTGCATTGCCAGCTCTCTTAATGTATCCCATCTCTCTCCAGCGACACAAGTTGCGAACGGTTATGTCGGCTTCCGATTCCTTCTCCCCGAGTCCCCTGTCCCAGTCGATTTTGACATCTAAAGGCCGAGCAACAGCTCCACTGACCCCAGAGTCTGGGATTTCTTAGCTGCGGATCGTCTTGCTGGCTGCAGACCCCACAGGGATCAGTGACATCAGTCGCGATTTTTTGCATGCAAGGTCCGAGGGGCCGAGTCTGGATTTTTTCAGATTACTCCCATCTTTGAGGCTTCGGTTACACAACAACACCATCCTGATCATGTCGTCGTAGGCTGTGTTTCACGCTAACACCTTCTCGCCATTCCATCGAAATACGGCGCCTGCGGATGCCATATGGCTGCGTGTAATGGAACTGCTTTTTACCCCAAAAAAGCGGCATTTAAGCCCCGCAGATCACAGATACCACGGCTGCAAGAGCCCGTGTCCAATTTCCCGGGGACTGCTCAAGATGGATTTCTCGATATTAACGAAAGCCTCCATCATTACCTTTTTTGCAATCTGTGAATGATTCAGAATTTTGTCCAATCAAGTGTCAAGGTTACAGGTTTCGTCAACCCTGGGCCCCTGATTATCAGAGATTGATTTGCTTAAAGAGCTACCTAGCAGCGATCTTAAGGCTCTACAGTTAGATACTACATTTTAACTTTAGGGTCGAAAATGCAGTTGTTTTCTGTTAAGTCCCGGCTGGTCAACTACCTGTCTGAAAATATCTAGCAATGTGGTTTTTCACAGCCAGCGTTATCCGTCCGCATATCCGTTGCCCCATTCCCACTTGGTTATGTACACAGGCTAAACCCATCCTAATGACACGAAAGGCACATGGCCGTATTTTCCTGCTAAAATTGGTCTATGTTGTGAAGAAACAGTTTCTTTTGTCCTGGCCATTAATTATCATCGGCACTTGGAGTAGGTTTGAGGGTCTGGTCCAGGTTCAGTAGAGCCAGGGAGCAATGATATCTAAACGGATCTATATAACCCAGGCATCTGTCTGGTGCATTCCAGATCGTTGAGAGCAGTTCTTCACTGTCGCTAACGGATCGTTCAGTAGACGGAGGAGACAAAAGAAAGATACTCGCTAACCTGTTGCTTTTAGCCGCCAAAGCCAGTGTAGATTGTAAGTTGCACGAACTTGGCTCCTGTCTATGGTAGTAACCCTGAACTGATATACAAGGCAGATAGATTCTTTAAGCTCATCATGAATTGTGTGGCAGAGGAGAAAGAGTAGTCATCAATCCGTCAGACCAAGAGTTACCAAGGCAAGTAAGGAGTGACGGATGTCAACAGTGTCAGCATGCAGTATTTCCAGATGCTCCTGGGCGCTGGAACGGCAACCATTGCGGCCAGCGATAGACTTAGCTTCGTCGCTGTGTCGGCCATCACTCACTTTGGCCCAGTCTCCTACATGGCCCGTGTCCCTAACAATGCCGATATCAACATCTGGGAACCGACTGGCAATGTATGGTTCAAGGTCTCCAAGATCAATGTTTTGCCCAGTCCCAATGGGGGATCCCTCACTTCAGGAGAGGCAATTTGGCTTGCTTACAATATGGGTCTGGTTGTCCTAGGGTATTATAGTTCGTAGTCACTGACATCTGTGTTACAGACAAAAAGTCCGTTGAGCTCACAATTCTGAAGAGCATCCCCAGCGGCAAATACATCGTCCGTGTCGACAGCATAGCTCTTCATCAAACGTAAGCTCCTGGAGGAGCACATGTCTACTTTTCCTGTGCCTAGGTTGAAATTGCTGAATGAGGATATGGGGGCCCGGTCCTCGTCGCTTTCCCAGGGGCATACAAAGCCAATGACCCAGGTCCGTTGTGATCTTACTACTTGGCAACGAGCTACAAGGATCCTGGTCCTCCTGCCTGACAGGGTAAAGTTGGAGATGTTTGAATGGTGCGAGAGATTGCAGTTACTCCTGGACGAGTCTAGTAGCACATCCGTATCAGTTTCTCGGGATCAGCGATTGGCATGCTAGGACAAACATGAAGGTTAGGTCATATATGTCAACTGTCTTATCAGCGGCTACCTCAGGTATGTTTTGATGAGGTGACGGACAGGCTCAAAAGTAGATGCAAGGGAAACCTTACTCATTATCTTAAACTGGCGGTTTCAATTTTTAGAATTACTCTCCTAGAAGACTTTAACCGCGGTTACTGCTAACCAATATTGCTCTGGAATACGGTTGGCTGGGAGTGTGGGCCATTACCTCCAAAAAGGACGATCAATGACGACAAAAGGCATCATGACCCTGGGAGGCAACTGGTACTTTCACATCAAAGCATATCATTAACATCAAACTCTCTAGATCGAAGTCGACGATGGAGTATTTTATGGCTCAAGCAGAATACGACGAGGAAGAAGAGAAACAACTCCGAGAAGCACAACAAGAAGAATTGGACGCTGAAGGGCCCCCATCACCACCACCCTCTCCCTCAACAAAGAATGGCAACGCAGCCAAGCAACCAAAACAAGAGCAGCAGCAGCAGCAGCAGCAGCAGCAAACCAGCATCAACAGCAAAACCGCCGCTGGTACTCGACCCAAAGAAACGCGCACCCCTGCTCAAGACCCAAAGCTATATCATAACTCCCGAGCCTCGACTACCAGCTCATAACACAAAGACTCATCCAAACGCCCAGCCCTCCGACTCCCAATCTTCCTTGCAGACTGGTAACATCTTTTTCATCGGCACAGCCACAACCCTAATCCAATACCACGGTGTCCGCATCCTCACCGACCCTAACTTCCTCCACGCAGGCGATCATGTGCATCTCGGGCCGGGAGTAACGGCACAGCGGCTCACGGAGCCAGCTATCCCTGCGCTGTCAGCCTTGCCCCCTATCGACTGCGTGCTATTGTCGCATTATCACGAGGATCATTTTGACAAGGAGGTTGAGGCACAGTTGGGTAGGCAGGTGCCCATTATCACGACAATACATGCTCGGAGTTGTTTGGTCGAGGGGAAGCCCGAGGGGGTTAGGTTTGAAAGGGTGTGGGGGATGGATGTTTGGGACGAGATAGTAATGCCTATTGTGGTTGAAGAGGAGGATGAGAGTGAGAAACGACAGCCTGCGATAAAAGTGACTGCCATGCCTGGAAAGCATGTGCCTTCTGGGTTGTTGGGGATGATGAATGAACTGCTTTGGGCGGTGCCACCTACGAATGGGTGGATGGTGGACTTAGGACGTCAAGGGGGATCAGGGGAACAGGAGTTCAAGACAGGGCTCAGGATATACATTTCAGGCGACACATTGTTTGTGGACGAGCTGAAGGACATTCCTAAATGGTTAAAAGGCGAGAAGATTGACATCATGCTGGTCCATCTTGGGGGTACCACGATCCTGGGACCCAAGCTGCCGCTGATCATGGTGACGATGGACGCAGAACAAGGGGTAAAGCTCATAAGGCTTGTGAACCCGGACGTGACGATACCGATTCACTTTGATGATTATGACACCTTTCTCTCGCCGCTGGAGAATTTCAAGAGGGAAGTGGTGGCAGCGGGCCTTGCGGATAAAGTCGTGTATCTGGAGCGTGGTGAGGAATATCAGTTCACAGTACGGAACACGGCATGATGTGAAGGTCAAGGTCGATAAGCTCAATTCAAGACTGGGTATCTAGCTCGCGATTATCTGCAAGGTTAAACTAAAGCAAATATTAAGGATGGGTCATGGTTGGATTAGGCTGATATCCCTAAGTGTTTGTCTGCGGCTGCCAGCGAGCCTTGGCCTCTTTGTACTGCTGGATGACGGCGCAGCAGCCACAGCAGCAGTTTACCAGGCAGTCAGTGCACATGTTCCCGTGTTGAAAGCCGTGCTTCTCACGAATCTCGCCGCGCTGGACGCAACCGAAGCTGTTAAGATATCAATGGATATGCTCTCCCAGGGGGACAGGATAGTCACAGAGTGAGTTACTTACACAAAGCCAGCACCAACACACTGGAGAACACACCAACCCCATGCCAATGGACCACAACTAGAAACCTCAGGCTTCTGATCGAGCATGTCCTAGGTCTTGCTGATCACTATCGATCGATCGTGTAAGCCTCATCATTCATGAACTCTCCGTTTTACTGCGGGACAACTCACGAATGCAAGGGCAGCAACAACCCATCAAGACATTACCGCCATGGAAGCAGTCACAGAGGCCATTGTCCTGCTGCCAATCGTTAGGATGGAATTGCTTCTGGCTGGTCATGTTGTCGATGTTGTGCGATGCTCAACACTGTCGGTAGACGGCCCAGTGAGACCCAATGCCTTCTGGTTGCTGCAAGCAAAGCTCAGTCTTCGAGTTGGGTCAAGGTGCTGGAGAATTGAAGGCAAGCCACCGATGGGACCGGGAAGAAAGCTCAGGGCTAGAGCTCGATCAATTAAAGTGTGGTTCTCCCACATCTGGGGGAACACTAAGCTCTCTCCTTTTATGGGGGATGCATCGCAGCGAGTCGCCGGCTCCGTGCAATTCCAGCACTGTGTGTGATGAGAAGTACGGCTGAGCAGTTGAGCTGCTGGCCATCGGGCTTGGCGCTACAGCCAATGTGTAGCCTCTGGGCGGTTGGCCTGCGCTTCTTTCCACCGACGTCTCATTTGTGCTCGCTGAAGATCCCGGCCATAAACAATGTGGCTGGACCGTGTCCCAAGGCAGAAAGCACGTCAGCCTCATCACTCTCGAGTTATGGCTCTAAGGGACAAAGCCCTGCGGTTCATCTCCGTTTGGGAGCCAGTGAGCTCTCATTGCTTGGACCTTACATGAAGCAGCGTGCAAAAATATAATCGTCCATATGATTCTTAATTAACCTTCCTGTGGCTTGGTAGGCGATCTTAGAGGTTGACATCACTGTATAAGGTAAGGCAATTCTGGAGTCTGCCCGTAGCTCATCAAGGTTTAGATACTGATGTCTGTGCAGTCTCTCCTCATTGATGGAGGAGACTCCTCAAACTTTTCAAGTCTTTGGAGCCCACATAAAGCACATCACAAGATCTCTCTCCGTACAAGTGTGCTCAAGAAAACATACATCAGCAAACCCAGACTCTGATAACGCTTCCATAGATAAAACGTTCCTGCATACGTGGACTAGGGTTCCCCACACAGCATGTCAGTGATCTGTTCGGTGGGGCTTAGCTCAGCATCCTGGCCTGCAGCTCCGGGCTGTTTCGGCCCTACCAGGCTCACTCCGTTTTGGATCATCAAATGACGTCGTTGATGACCGGAGGAAGTTTGGAGTTGTCCGAACCACCTTGACGGCGTAAGCAAAATCGAGATACCCACTAGTACGATTGGCAAACGACCGAAATTGCTGTCTAAGCTGAACATACGATAATGAAGGACAGCGTGCATAAGAGAAGAAGAGAACAATGACCGGGAGGTGAAAGGGAAGACTACAGTGAGTTGCAGATGGTGGGGCTACTAGGGTCATCTACACAGCATTTCGGGTGTCCAATGGCAGTCACTTAGTCCAGCATGCCAAACAGCGCAAGGAACGTCAAACTACTGCCATCAGAATCTTGGTTGCTCGTCGATCGCCCAGATAGTCTTATGACAGGTGTCATGCTCTCCACCACGATTTATCCGCTGTAGAATATGCATCTCTCCATAACTCCATCGTCCGGACTCCATTACCCTGAACCCCTTTTTCTATACATCGATCGTAGATCTATCTTAGATGAAGCGATGGTCCACGCTATGAAGAGTGAAACAGAACCAACCACCACTCCTCCATCTGTGATCCTTGATACAACTCCACAAACTGTTTGCTCAGCGAATATCTGTACCTGTGCCCAGCTCACTCCGTGATGCCTAGAATAGTTTCAAGAGCCGCGAGCCCAACAAGACCATGGCCATAGCAGATCTTCCGGATGATATGCATGACACCAGACTCGGAATCAGAAAGGGCTGGAGAGGAGACCGTCTCAACGTCATCATTGTTCTTGGAGGGTGCATCCTCGCCGGCCGAAACAACTGGGGCGCGCGTTTTCTTCACAACAAGAGCGCCATTGTAACGAGGAGCGAATTGGTTGGTCGGCATGACAACTTCGACGAACGATTTGGCGTCATTGGGGACTGATGGCGTCGATCCCCGCATTTTGGTTGCTTCAGACGCCATGAACAAAAAGTTAGCCGCGACCGCATTGGTGGGCATCAACTCGACGAAACCTGAGCTGGTGCTGCTGGCTCCTTGGGTCTTGGGGCGCCCAGGGAACACGCACTTGGCCTCGGGAGCGGGCGGAGTCGAGGCGGGGTCGAGAAGGGCGTCGACCCCGTATATGCCTGCAAGGGGAAGACAATGGCCTCGACGGCCGCATGCTGATCACGGATGAGGTCGGGAACAGAGACTTTGAGGGCAGCAGGGACCTCCTCGCGGCGGGCGTCCAAAACTGAGTTGTCGTGCTATCGGAGAATAGATCCGTACCCAACTAGGCTCGTTCTGCTGGGGGATTTTGCACTCCCCAGGGGCATTTGGATTAACAATTATGAGGTACTCGGTACGCTTTGATGGTCAGACGGGACTTCCTGGCGGCCCAATCCGTAAATTTGAGCTCTTGCTTGTTGGGCTCTTCGATAGCCTTCATGTCAGCCATGAACTCAGCCTTGGTGCCCTCCTTGTGCCTACTTGCGCCGGTTATCGAACTGCTCAATAGAGGAGAAGGTGAAAAGGGCCTTGATGAGCTTAAACAACATGTTGATAGCTTCTTTAAGGTGATCGGCACAAAAGCCAATGACAACAAACCATGGTCAGACGTCAGACTGGCGATGGGTACACAATGGCTGCAGCCGTCATCTCAATGCTTTGTCCGCCAGCTGTTAGCGAAAATTCAGCCCATTTTGTGTTCCGTAAGGGATACAAGAGCGAAGAGTGAGTGTCCAGACAATAGCAGAAGATAAGAGAATGGTACCCGAACACAGCTCCACAATGGGCAACGGAAATAAGGACGAAGGCGACGGCTTACTCAAGAACACCGACTGCACAGATATCTGCCTTGATTCCAAATTCGGGATATGGCGAAGTAATCGGGATAAAAATTGCAAGTTGGCTCACTCGTGCTAATAGGACAAGTTGGTCAAAGTGGAAGAAATCCTCGAGTGTATGTAGGGAAAAAGTGATGGTGAAGAAACGCGAAATTAAGCAGTGCGAAGGGGGGTTCGGATGAGACTTACTCTGCGTAAGAGACGAAGATCGACAATGTGCTGCAAGTTTCAGTGAAAAGGTCTTTGGATCAAGGTCACAGAAGGGGAGAGAGAGTGAGAGCAGTTAAGATGGTTAAGGTTGTAAAAGTGGTTGAAGCAAAGGACAAGTTGTGACTCGCAAAACTTGCAACAAAGTTGGTAAATGGGGAAAGTGGGAGAGTTGGGGAAAAGATGGAAGTTTGTGGGAGGGAAAAAAGTAGAGGGTCGCAGATTTTGCGAGGGTGGCATATTCTTGACCTTGTAGATGCTGCACAATAGCAAGAAACTTTGACCACACTGGCGGGGCACAATGGGAGGGAAATAAGAGCGAGAGTGCGTGAAAGAAGAAGTGGATAGAGCCTTGATAAGGAGAAACCTTTACCCACCCCAACTACTGCCTGACCTTCGTGAACTGTGCAGCCATCATGTAGTACTCAACTCCAAGTGGGGGATGTGTTTCCCCCTAAAGCATTGAAAACTTAGAGGGATCTCATCGGAACTTGGGCTGCCGAGGAGGGCTAAGGTCTATCACCATGATCACAGAAGTCACATACCATCAAGACCCAACTGTCTGAGAGTAGGAACTGCAGGTTTGTGGAAGAAAGCGGAGTGTTTCTATTACGAGAAAACTTCCATTAAGTAGGTAGGTAGGTAGATTAGCATGACAACCATTCCATCCAACCGTCCTTGATCCCATTGCTAAAGGCCCTCGCAGGGTTGAACAAAGAAATTACTGCCTCTTTGAAGGGTTCTCCTTTTCTTTTTCCTTTTTCAAATGGCCGTGGACATGCTTGTTCTTACGGCGATGATTCCGCAGGACCAGAGCGACAAAGGCGCTCAAAACGCTGAGGAGTGTCAACAAAATGGTATACAGGCCGATCAAAAACGCCAGAAGCTCAGCCGTTTCATGGAGTGGTGCCCGAGCAAAGTCCAAAGGAGTATCGTTGTTCGGTCCCTGCCTCTTGACCGTCGACTCACTGCAAATAATGGTGACGACCAGCAGCACGGCCAGCAGAATAACCCACGGGATATTCCAGAGACTGAAGTTCACTGGCGAAGTGGTCCGGCTGTGATAACGGTGCTCAATCGCCCGAGACTCGGTATAGTAGAGGCAAGCTAGAATTTCCTGAGTGTGCTGCCCACGAGCCTTGCATGAGTAGTCCGGTGAGCTCTGAACATCATGAACGTGGCTGTCGTACCCAGCCTCGACCGACTTTTGTTGCCTGCCTCTCTTCGAAGAACCCAGGCCGACAAAGCCAGGGCCAAACACGCCGATAAGTAAGAGAAGCGCGCCGGCGAGAGTCGTGAGGAAGGCAACGATGCAAACACCAACAGTCCAGATGCGCAGGAAGGTCTTGAACCCTGAATCAGCGAATGGCTTCTTAGGCGCGAAAACGAAATACACCGTCGGAGCGTTGTCGCAAGTGCCCTCCTTGTTTCCGTGGTGCAGGAGAGGCCAATTGAGAGCTGGAGTCCCCCACATGTAAGCTGACCACACCAACAGTCCGATCGCTGCCGTCAACTGGTCCTTGTAGCTGGCCGTCAGGAGGAAATGGCGGAGAGCTTGCTTGGGAGAGCGAACGTTTTTCTTAATTTGCAGCTCCTCTGAAGCAATCAGGGCAACCTCCTGCTCAGAAGCTCTTGCCTCAGTCACCGACTGCTGCGAGTGGACTAGCGCAGCGACATACAGATCGCGAAGCTTGTCGATATCGGCACGGGTGGGAGCAGCTGCGATCTCCTCCACAAGCTCAATATTGTAAACCGTGGTGACAGCGCCTCCATCTTCGCTCCTCCGGCTCTCCTCAATCTCAATTGACTGATGCCAGTGAGAAACATAGTGCTGAACCGCCTGCACAAGGGCGACCCGGTTGGAGTCGTAGTCGCCCCCAGCCTCTTCCGTCGCCGCGTGGAGCGCGAAGGCCTTGAGAACATCCGCATATGCTCGAGCACGAGCAATATCTAAATCCGTCACACTGCCCTTTCGGCATCTCTGTAAACGCTCCCGGTACTCGTCATCCGGCTTGGTTTCGGTCTTCCCTGAGATCACAAGCGCCTGACGGAAGAGAACGCTGAAGACGAAGTAGACAGGGTACCACAGAACGAGCTGGATCAAGACAGCATAGTCGATGACAATTAAGCTGTAGTCGACGACGTTGAGAAACAAAGATAGGAACAAAGCCAGAGCCAGGATGCCCCACGCGCCGTGCCAGAAGCGAAACTGCTTGTCGACGCCAAAGAGAATGGCGATGATGGCGGCGCCATACAACAGATAGAAGCCGGTGCGAATACCAGTGCCGATGAGCATCTGATCACCAAAGATGTGACATGGCTTGTAGGATGTCACGGCCGCTTTTTCGTTTGTACCAACAAAGCCTGTGCCGGTGATTCCAACAAAGTGCCCCATTGTGGCAATCGGGTACCCTGGGGGCTTTCCTGACCTAGATCGATCAGAACTAGATTTTCAAGCAAGACAATTGCAAAGAATGGGATCAATTGATCAACATCAAAGAGGAGTAGGTCCTCGCTACTAGGATGGAGAGCAGGATGTCGATGATGCCCCACGGAGTGAGGGGTATGGAGGGAGATGCCAAGTCAAGCAGATATCTGCACCAGCGGAAATATCCCGAGGAAAGAGGATGACGAATGGAATGATTGAAAAAGAATGGGGACATCAAATCTACTTTCCCAGCCTACCTAGTAGATCACCACATGCCGGGTTGTCGAGGCAGCGTATCAGCCAGCCACAGCATCATATCGTTGGGCGTCGGCTGTTGAACAAAAAGCCTTGGAAAGTTTCAACCCAATGCGACCCCTGTCGGGTGGTGATGGCTGCACGTATACATGCACCATCGAGAACGGTGACTGGGCAGCGGCCGACTATTGCCCTACTAGCCCGGCGTTCAATCTGTAAAACCCAACCTCCTCCCAAGGCCAACTCACCGCTTGGTGGGACAGCTCAGACGTCACCAATGAACAGACATCAATACCAAGGTTGGCTCGAGTGGCGGCGGGGCAAAGATTAGGGCTGTGGGCTTGCGTGGGATTCGGCGACGTGTAGGCCCATCACAGAGGTTTCTGGCGTTGCTTCAGCTCCACCATCACAGCATGACGGACATGAATGTGCTGGATGCATGCTGGCCACAGGCCCAACCACGCGGTTTTCAACCAGGACGGCCTCAAATGTGGAACACTTGTCCCCAAGTCCTGGGGAACAGGCCTGCCCACGCGATCTCTCCTGCACCTCCGATCGTCTGGTGACTGGGATAAACTGCTGCTTCGGAACCAATTTGCCGAGGAGTCTGTTGGCGGCCGATATTTCGACTTCAAACTTCCCCGGACCCTTCTTCTTGGAGTCAATCCCACCAATTTAGGCCTTGGTGATAGAGCAACGCTCCTCTAGTTAGGTTTTGACACATACAGCCAGCAATGAGGACGTCCATCGCTTTGTCTGCTCTAATTGGGCTTGGGTTCGCCCAAAACGTTGAGTTCTTCCGCTTCACTAGTCCTAGTGCGAATGCGGCGGCCAATATCTATCGCCGCCAGACACCACCGCCTGGCTACAGTATGCAATAGATTTCTGGCAATAAAAGAAAAATAAACGCCCAGACTGACATGAATAGGCCCCGAATTCGGTAGCTGTGGCACTGGTGCCAACTGCACAGACGCCTGTGGCCCTAATTGGATCACTTGCAAAGCATCTACCGATCTGTCTCTCTTCTGTTATAACGAGGTAGACCTGGGCCAGACATGCTGTGAGAACGGCTCTGGACGTGAGTGTTCCCGTGCCATCTTGCTTTTGGGAATTGTGCCTGACGTCAACCTCTACAGGAGCTTGCGATGCTGGCTATTACTGCGCGTGGTATGTAGAGCGAGGTTTTGGATGAAGCAGCTGCTAAACCAAGGTAATCAATGAGGGAGAAGAGGCTGACACCTGGGAAGGCAAGAGTTCAACGGAAGAGTGTGGTGTTGCGAGAATGTAAGTCGTCCAAAGGTGCCCTCAGCTTTCGGCAATCAGCGCTAACTCTACCCAGGGCCAAAGCCTTGAAGAATGCGGCGTTCCAACAGATAAGCCTGTGACCACCAGCAATCCTACTTCGACCAGCTCTCTAGCAGGCGAAAGCTCATCCACTGCCTCTTCAACATCGGGGGGTGTGGTGTCTAGCCAGACTGGAGGCCCGACCAGTGACTTCACCGATCCTTCCTCCACGGGGCAGTGCCCTCCGCCAACGGTCACGTCTTGGGCAACGGCAACTGTGACTTCCACGATCACTTATGCTGCCATCACTGTGACCGTGCTGGGTGATGGGTGCTCCGGCAATCCGGCTGCGAGCGAGTCGCAGCCGGGCTTCTCCGAGTCGGGCTCGATTATCACTTCCCCTCCGTCCACGTTTACTGCGACCCCCTGGCCTCCGGTATGTTGTAATGCTTACCGGTTCATGAGTGTACTAAACTAACTGTATTCCAGTCCAATACCAGCTTCACCTCAACTCTTTTCACGGCCGACGCTGGTGGTATCCGTCCTGAGCTTTGGCTTCTCAGCACGCTTCTAGTCCTGCCGTTGCTCTAAGTTGAGGCCTAATACGATGCTGGTAATTACGAACTGGTCATAGAGGCGAAAACTCGTGTTGCCAATCGGCGTTGATACCCCGCTCTTACAGGAGAAGTCTATCTGACTGAGATAATGACGATTGTTGTGATGACCTAATAATAATATACTCAATCCCAAGTAATACCTAAGATACACCATGATATCCAAAAGAGAACTATAACAAGACAGACATAAAGTCATTGAAGTCATCAACAACGCCAAGGCCGGTGACGCAGTCGTATCCCTCAGCAGACGGCCACCCAACCGACTCTGTGCCATCAGGGAAGTGACAGCCCCTGCTGTCACCCTCGGTAACATCTTTCAACACCTTCCTTACCTTGGCTGAGTACAACAACGGATTCAGCCAGCCCAGACTTGGCTTTCCAGCTCTCATGCGGGCATCATTGATCAGAGCGATCATAGCCGCCACGACAGGCGTGCTGGCACTCGTCCCAAGCACCTGGGCATGTTCCCCACCCATAACGATCTGAAATGCAGATCCGATGGCGCTGATATCAGGCGTTGCCCGGCCCGTGCGATTAAACATGCCAGCAGCACTCAGTTTCCGGCCCGCTGTGGTGTTTGTAGCCCTAGTCAGTGTTTTGAGGACATGCTCAATGTACGGCAGTACCACGTCATCTTGCCACTTGGGCCGAGAGAAGTACTCGCTGAACCCGCCGGCGCTGAAGTCTGCGCCCATGACGGGCGGCGCCACGTTGCTCGTTGCTCCAACAGCTGTTACGTAAGGACAGCTGCCAGGAAACGTCGAAATGAATGTCTTCCGCTGGCCACTTGGGTGGCTGCTGTTCTTGTAGCTGTGGCTGTGCACGTGGCTGGTGGACCCACCAGCTCCAACCACGCACTGAGAGTGACCTGTTCCAGCGGCCCCAGCATCACCTGTCGCGACCAGTACTGATACGCCGCGAGCAGCGAGTGCAGCGAACATGTCGCACACGCGAATAGCATACGGCCGCGGCACGCTGGGCTCATCATCCGCATACGAGATGCTTAACACGTGGGGCAGCTCCGAGTCGGGCTTGGCGAGCATCGCATCCAGGAACTCGAGGAATGGCTCATTGTCCGATACGTCGCGCGCCTCGCCCGTTAGAGGGTTCAGCTTCACGCCGCGCCCGCCTGTGATGTAGTATACCACGTTTGTCGGGTGGCCAAGGGACATGGCATATTCAACATCCAATGAGGCCTCAATGCCGGCATTCAGGGGGGAATCTTGGGGGTTTGTGGCGTTGTTGATCAGCTCAACGGTAAAGTTATATGTCGATGGCAGGTGCGGGGAAAAGACATCGAGGAATTTGTCCACATCGGAGTAGAGAATCCACTGTTCCAGAAATCCAGCAACACCGAAGCGAACGGGAGAGGGACCGCTGGGGGTGTAGGTGATGTTGTAAAGCTGTTTGATGCACTTTGGCACTGTGGCGGGAAGGCAGGGATAGCCGAGAGGGAACTCCTCTTCTTCTTGGTACCCCTCGTCTGAGATGTAGGTTGGAGTTGGAGGGCTGACCACCTTTGAAGTTGGCGTTAATGTCCATATAGTTTGCGTCTTTGTCGGCTTTGGTTTTGGCCTTGGACGTCTTGTCTTATGACTGTCTCCTCGATGACCACGGCTGGACCGCGGAGGCATGAAGTTGGAAATCGGATGCACAAACGCAATGTGGTCATGGAGCCAGGAAGGGATGGTATAAGAAAGGGCTCGCAGAACGGGATCGGCGTTGGTCCCGTTGTATGCGTAGTAGGCCAAATCGGCTTGCAGCAGTGATTTGACCGTCTTGACCGTAGCCTCAAAGCTGATTAGTCCTCCCTGGTAGTGGACGTTTCGGATACCGCCTGACCGTAGCCAGGTCGATACGGCACTGAGAGATCTACGGGCCGGTTGGCGGTACTGCTGAACTTCATCACGGCTCAGATGCTGCCTGAAAGAGGGGTGATCTGGGTTCTGACGCTCGTGAAGCTTCTCCTTGAGCTTCTCAATCCCTGGTTCCTTAAGAGCAACGAAGAGTGTGATCTTGTCTGAAGGATCGGCCTCGTGATGTAAGCTCCAGCCTGGAGGTATCCCCTTGACTTGTTCGAGAACGACGGAGGGGGCAGCGTGAATAGGGGAAATAAACAGGCCCAAAAGAGCCAAGGCGAAATGATAGCGCATGATGGACAAGTTCGAACAACGACAGGACGGACCGACAGGTTCCCAGAGATAGTTAAGTTGCTGGAGCACACTGGATGTCCCTAGACACCTGTAGATGGATGTTCGCGTAGAGGTCGTCGGTTATAAGTCGACGTTGCTCCGGTTGCCATAGTTGGCGGTCATGCTACCGGATGATAGCTGCTGACAGGAACCTCCACATCGGACCGTGGATTGAAATTCTTTCGGAACATAAGCATCATTAGCTGAAGTAAATTATTGAGCGACCGAAGGTCTTGGTGAGGCTCGGCACAATTAATGAAAGTCTCGTGGCTGGAAATCGAAGGTTACATGAGATCAACGTACATCGAGTGTGGGGAATGTGGTGAACGTCGCAAGGCCGAACCGCGTCCGACCATTCAGCCAGAAGCATCGAGCCAGACCTCAGCCTCTCGGCGTCACGTCTTATTGGTTGTTATTTTTGCAGCACTCCTACTTCGATATTGCGCCCAGCTTCCAGGCTCCGTTCTGTAATGCAACCCCATTGTAAACCAGGCTCTTCTCACTTGCGGACACGTTGTGTTAGTGATCTTGGCACCTTCTGTAGTCATGAAGACCTTATTGCCGTAAATCGATTTTATACCAAGATATTCATCCAGACTGCCAGATAATTCTAGGTCTTTAATTTGTGTCTTAATGGCCTCAACAGTGCGGGGGAAACTTCCCGTGACGATGTCGACGCCGGCCTTGTGGGGCTCAGGGTGCGCAAATCAACGCTTGGCACCTACCATTTCAGAGCGAGGTATGACAGCAGCTGCGTCGACTGCCGTGGGATCGAGGAGCCTCAGCTATTTTTATCGGAGCTCTCCGTTAAGTTGACAGCTTCGAGAGAGTCGAGATGCCGCTGAGACTTGACCTGAACATCCCACCGGGGATCTTCTGCAATCAAAGTGCCCCGGCTTTTCTGGGCAAAACTCCTACCATGACAGGACCGATGATAGTATTAAGAATGAACCCCCAAACGGCGATAACAAAGGCCTTACGGAGACTGATCTTTCCACGAGCCACCATAGCTGTGCCAAAGAGAAGTGCGGGCGCCCAGCCGGTTATAATACCTCGGTTGGACTGCGGAGGTTCGAGTTTCTCTCCTGGCGAAAAGAGACGGGCGGCGATGGAATCCTAGAGCGGAATCACGGTCCCAACAATTAATTTCCCAAATGATCTCGCCAGTCCATAATTCCAGGAAAGGGATCACAAAGCCTATGCTGGGAAAAAAAGCACAGAGGTTGGAGGATGTACTTCTGAGATGTTGAAAGGTAGTACTCGAAAGTTTCAGTGAAAGTTGCTCTTTCGCTTGACATGGTGTTTTGTTCGTTGCCCAAGGTTGTGTCCTCGACGTGATGATTTGTAAGTCCACTAAGGAATGCACCGGCTAGGAATACTCCAAGAAGAACTGACACCCCAGCGTATTCTGCAATCGCCAAGAAGGTACATAAAACGCAGCTCATGAGGAGATTGTTAGTGCGGGGTTTAGCAAGGCCATTAAGGCACTAGCTAAGAGAGGTCGACCAATGATCCATCCGAGGTGCTGTTCACTGTGGTTGGAGATGCCGCGCGGATTGCGGACAACACGACCCAAGACTGCCGATGCCGTCAAAGAGGGCAGCGGAGACGAGGACAGTGCCAGCCCGAGTTTGGGAACAGTCCACTGGATGGAAGTTGAGGTCGGACTCGTCTTTGTGCTTGTGTGAAAAAGCACTTGCTAGTACCACGAATGTCGTCCCGAGAGACATGAAGCAGAGGGAAGTGCCCGCTGTGAAAGCCTCCAAAGGTCCTGGATATTCTTGTGTTGGCATATATCCACAGTATAAAAATCCTGAGGTGTGGACAGCTATACGTTAGGGACTTACTGTGACTGAGTCCGGAGTCCAAAAGGCAACCGCAAAGGCGACGGGAATCAGAACACCAGTAAGGGCAGCCACAAGGCTAAGCAGCAAATTCTGACAAAGGAGATCCAAGCGTATGGCCAGACCTACTAGATGTGTGTTTTGTCAGTGCCGGAGCTTATTCAGGCAATGTCGCTTGGCAAGCATCAGAACAACAAACCTCCAAAATGATTAATATCAAGCCAACATGACCCAAGGCAAGGAATATTCGCTGCCGGCCACGGGCGAGACGTTGCCTAAGGGAACACTGTAGATGAGCCCGACGATGATATGGCCGATCAACGGGGCACGTACGATTTTACCGGCAAGCCATGATGCAATTCCCAAGAACAAAGAGAAGGAAATGATGGTAAGAATTCCAATGACTGAGGGGATCAAAGAAGATGCATTACACGAGGAAGGGCAGGCGAATCGCGCTGTCTGGCTCATGGTACACGAAGAACACGCCATGGTCATTGGCGCTCATGATGAGCAAATCGGTAGCCAAAACCTGTCTCAGTTGGAAGTTGAATTTGGTGATATTAGCTCTAAGATGGAAGAACGAGATCTCGGAGGGATGGCTTGTTAAGACACGCTGATTGATGACTGGACACAACAAAGAATGGAGAGTGTGAACATCCAAGAGTCTGCTTGCGCGTAGAGACTCAGAAGAGTAACCCTAACCCTACCAAATCGGCGCCGATTGTTCTTGGATTTCTAGTTCCTGTCTTGGAGAGTTCAACGGCAAGCGATGACATTGTTGACATACCTTGATCGAGGCATTACCTTTGGGCCGGATCATCACGACCAAAATCGCAGCGCGGAATTGGGCAAAAGGTTGGCTTTGACGCAAATAAGCCCCAGGAAAGGGTGTCTCGTACTGATGGCCTCTGGAGAACACATGATGGACCGTGTTGCTGGTTTTCACATTGCGACAAGCGCAGCTGGGTCAAACATCAGAATTTAGATGACAAATGTTGGGTAAGGGATATGGAGCCTAAGGATGCGGGCATCTGAAATCGCTATATGTTACCAAGTCATCGGCCGCTTCGCCCCTTGCGTCATGGATTGGCTGTGACGTGTTGTGTCCAGCACGACTTCAGATTGTTCTTTAAATAACGTGCACCTAAATGTTGGCCTTGAGTTTCATAAAATCGCTCTTATTCTAAATCCCAAACTTAGCTGACCAACAGAATCATTTGTCAAGCATTCCAAGATGCTGCGGGCCAATATAACCAAGATTAACAGGTCGAGTCTTCAGACTTTGGGTGCTCGCCCTCTGACCCGTCAACCACCTATCAACCACGTCAGAACAGTCATGTACAAGCATGATAGTCCCGACCACACAACATCAACGTTGGTAATGACACCAAAAACGTAAGTTGGAGCTTTAACCTCACACTTCAGTACTTCAATGGCTAACCTTGGCTAGTTGGGGCATGATTGGCGGTTTACTCGCCGTCGCAGGAGGGTATGGGTACATGATGGGAAAGCCATACAAGGTTATTGGAAGCGAGCACAGCCCCGCATCTATCCAAGAGAAGACGTCACAAAATATGAAGAAACCATGATCGGGATCATGTGTAGGATAGGGCTCAGGAGAAAACGTACCCTCGAAAGATTTGTACATAGATTGGATAAGTGCAGGTTGTAGGAAATTTAGAGATGGAAGAGTTAAACACTCTAGTAGTCAATCATACTATGCCTTTAAGTGCCATGAAATTGTTTCCAGAGCTCTTCAATATCCTTCCATGCACTTATGAAACCAAAACGAAGTTCGATAACCCCCAAATCACCCAATACCCAGAGCCCTCGACCAACAAACGCCCGAGTCCAATCCAAACAAGCTTAACATCAAAATCAGCCATCATCACCCATTCCAGTCCCCAAACAAACTATAATTAATTGAACCAACCATTTTCATCAATCCTAATTCCTGCTCCCAGCATTCAACATCCCCTACGCACTCACCCCAGCGCCCAATCCACCTCCCCGCAAAGCAGACAACATCAACGCCGCCTCCTGGCGTAGCTGCTCATCCGGACACCACCCACCAGTGCTGCTCGCGCCGCTTTCGCTGCCCCGCTGCTGATGTCCGCGAGCACGATCCGGGCTCGGGATAGAGGGCTGATGGGTCCAGTGCTGCTGGGGTCCGGCTGGCTGTTGGCCTTGGAACTGACCCTGAGCGGGCGCCCGATGACCATTACCGTTCTGCAGGTTTTGTTGTGCAGCTTGGCAATGGTATTGCGGCTGCTGCTGGCAGTGATACCTGTTCGGAAGTTGACCATTCCCCCGGGCGGGACCAGCATGCGCCCCACGAGACTGAGTATGCTGCCCCTGGTTTTGGCCCTGCACACGCTCCCTGTCCTGCCCTCCAGCATATCCCTGATTCTGCCAAGCAGGAGGGTACCAAAGCCACCCTGCCAACGGATCTGAGAAAAAGAATGGGTTCTTCGGAGGGGGTCGCGACATCACTGCGGTAGGCGACCCGACGTTAGACGAGATCTCGACTTTCGGCCCGGGAGACGTGACTTTGGGCTCGAGAGGTGCAGGTTTGGGCTTCGCAGGGGCTTGTTGTGGCGGCTGCGGGTTCAAGGGAGGGAGCAGGAGAGATTGCGGAGTCTCTGCGCGTGCCAGCGCTTGCTGCTGCTGGGCCTTCGAGATGTAATGGTCTGTCGCGCGGAAGCCGGCATCGATGTCGTTGGTTTGTATGTTTTGATGGCGAATGGCTAACGGGGCAATGCCAGGAGGGCAGAGCGGCTGAGACGGGACCTTACTGCTGGACGATTGGGGCTTGGCCGCTGCTGGCAACGACGTGGAACGAACTTTAGACTTGGAAGCCTTACCAGTCTTCTGTGGTTTGGCAGCGGGAAGTGGTCGATGTAGGGCGCTGGTATGAAGGGGCGGATCGATTTGTTCTCCTTCAGAGGTCAGCGAGATGCGTGTCTCAACGCCATTAATCACCCGCCACGTGAATGTTTGCTTTCTCTTGCGCGTCTTGACCACGGCGGAGATGGAGCTGTTGATATCGGGAGCTGTAGGTTCTTTGGGCGCGGTTTGAAGTCCATTGGGCTTTGGAGATGGAATCGAAGGAGCGACATTTGGTTCCGCCGGCAGTTGAGATGGCTGCGATGCGGTCTCCTGGTTGACAGTGTAGCCATTGACGTCTATGTTGGATTCCAAAGAACTTGGCGTAGACTTTCGCGCTCGTTTAGGCTTCGATCTGGTAGCAGGCTCTTCGGCAGAGGCAAGGGGAGAGACAGAAGCAGCTGGAGATGGGGAAGCTTCGTTGTCTCCTGTGATGCGCCGGAGATCCTGCATAATCTTCCAGACAAGATATGCACCGTTTTGCTTATGATCACGGATGCATGCTGGGCGCTTTGCATCCGGATTGAACTTTTGCTCCCGGCGGGTTTTTTGAGACTTTTTGGGTGAACTGTTCTGAGGAGTTAATTGCGATGACGGGGTTGGTTGGGTCTCAAGTTCAGTTAATGGCGAGGCCTCGCCGTCAATTGACGTGGCACTGGTCTCGAGCGTTTGCGTATCGAGTGGTTGGTCACTTTCCTTGTTCTTGTGATAGGTCTTGGCAGAAGCTTCTTTCCGCTTGCTGCCTTCACCGCTTTGTCGCCTTGAAGCCTTGCTCGCCTTAGGCTTATCCTCGTCGGGGAGCGTGGAACCCGGGGGCAGCCAAAGAGCGGGTTTCCGTTTTTGCAAGTCCTCGACCCAAGCATCGCAGTCCCACTGGACCCAGTAGTCGATGACATCTGACCAAACGCTCTCCGGAGGCTTTGTGAAGTTGACGAAGACAACTTTTCCTCCACGATCGTGGACGGCCCTTGCAAACTCCCTGACGAGAACTTTGAGGCCATGGACACGCATGCTGGTTCCTAAAATCAGAAGCATGTCGGGCCCAAGTGACAAGTCGTGCTTCACAAGAGGATGGATGAGGTGAGCATGGGGATGTTCCTCTCCATACAGGACGATGTCGGGCCGTAGCTTTCCTACCCCCAGTGCACGTTTGCCTTTCTCTTCTCTAGCTGCAGTGGCGCCTTCGCAATGAGGACATGTTGGCTGCCGGCCGGCCAGAGTATCAGCCATTCGAGACTCCTCGTCCCAAGAAGCAGTACGTGCGCACACAAAGCATCGGAGCTCTGCTAGCGACCCGTGCAAGAAGACACACTCGACACCACGGTTAGGGCCCGGAGGTGCAGAAACTGAGGCGGATGTCAATGAGCTGGAGGATTTGCTTGTTGCACCATCGGCGTCGGTCCCGGGCTCCAACGACTGAGAAGCAGTTGGCAGGGATTTCGCGCCATCGTCTTGCTCGAGTTTCGGGGAGGGCTGGCTGGTTTGCCCCTCTTTCAGAACTTGAGAGTCATTTGTGTCCTCTTCTTTCTGGGATTGTAACTGACTCTCGTCCGCTGCAACCTCGCTGCCCTTCGAGGCTCTCGTGCCCCGTCCGGCACGAGTTGAAAAGCGATATCGACTGCCTGCGCCTAGCGACAACGAGGTTGTAAGGCCGACGCGCTCTTCCAGCTGATCAATGTTTTGTGTATAGCATCGAACCAACTTTCTGCTATCACGTAACACGCTCACGAAGTAATGACTTTTTGTCGGCTGGGCTTCACGGACCTTTTGTCGCAAGGTAGAGATGAAGGTGTAGAAAACCGAAGTCTTGATAGGACATGACCAAATTTGTGCGTCAAACAAATCTCGTCCCTTCATGTTAGGGAGCAAGGCCCGATTGGAAGGGAGGGAACTTTGCGACGGGAAGGGCGCAGTCGAGCCCGAGGGCGGCTCTTTGCTCGTGGATCGAGATGTATCCCTATTGCTTGTTGGAGACTCTGGCGCGTCATCCTCTGGCTCCTCATAGGGATCATAGATGATGGGAGGGGGCGAGGATAGAGGAGAAGAGCTCCACAAGGGAGGATCCTTGATTCCAAGTCTTGATCGGAAACGCGGTGTTTCGGGCAGTGCCAGCCCCGATGAGTCCAAGGAGACACCGATCTGGGAAGTTGTCGATGTTTCTTGTGGACCACCTGCAGGCCTTAGATCGGGAAGGACTGTAAGAGCAGGCGATGTTGGTTCATTTGAAGCATCAACCTCCGACTCTTGTTTTGAGACAAGTTCCGAATGAGCCTGCGCATTCCCTGCGGTCCGAACTTCATCGCTGGGCGTTGATGCAGAAGATTTTCTTATCTGTGGGTGGCCATCTCCTCCGGTATCTGTAGGCATTGAGCGAGTCTCATGCCCGGAAGCTGACCGATCCACGGCATCACGCCCACTAAGAGAGCTGAGCCGTCGTCGTTTCGCCGGCCGTTCTTCAGTCGAGTCGCCAGCACCATTTTCGATGTTGTTACTGGCCGCTGCACGTTGTTGGGCGGCGTTGAACTGGGCTTGGATCAACGAGTAAAGACCATTTTCGGACCGAAAGTCCTAGTAACGGTGTTAGATAGGACAAGAGAAAATGAATGCCAGCGTCTGAACGCGTCAATCACATACAGGAATGCCTGAATTGGTACTGATGCCGGCACCAGTAATCACCACGATCTTCCTCGACTTCGAGACCGTATTAGCGATCTCCTGGAGCAGAGGTTCGCAATGCGGTTCGACATGTATAGTGGGCATGGTGACGGTATTAGAATAGTTTGAGGAGGTTCAATCGGTCAGTGTTGTTTGTGGATCTGGAAAAAAGACGACTGGGGCGTTATCCAGATCGTGACAGCCAGAGATTAAGTTGTCATTATCCCAACAAACGTTGAATTGGCCAATACCAGCTCTCCAAAATCCTGACCGGGGCCCGGGGTTTATTATTTCGAGAGAAGACGGGAGTGATGTGGAGGTATCGCGTGGTTGGCCGTGATTAAACGCGTTGAAGATGGGAGAAGTGGATAGCGGGGCACGACTGGGAAAGGTTTAAAAGGCGCAATTACAGAAAACATACAGATGACGCATGTGACATTGGAGAATTGGAGAACGATTTACACGCGTTTTCGAATTGTCTGATGTGAGGTCAGAGAAAGTCGTCGGGTGCCTATCGAGAACATTGGATGTATCCACGCAAGACCGACGCGCCCTTCCTAGGGCTTGGGATGACCGAAACGTGCAGGGAGCTTGGGCCTTGTCGCGGGCCTGCCAAGAACGGGGAGCAGCGAAACTCCATAGCAGCCATCAAACGTGAACAGACGGTAGTCGAGTCAATGACACACTGTTTGCGCCCTCATCTTGCAAAGACTGGCGGCAAGAGTTTAATGACGTTAGATTCTAAACTGCTCAAACCAATCACTACAATCACTATTTAAGTGATAAATATTGAACTAGCGTCCTTGGCCTTGCTGTCCTTGCCTTCCTTTCAAATCACTTCATCACACAGAGATCAAGAATACCTGGACGATGGGGACGATCTTGGCATGGATCCATCAACGTTGCGGTTGCCCCACATGCGGCAGGCTTGGCAAAAGATCTGCGATTTTGGGGGAGCTTCTGGAAAACTAATCGCGACCCGCTGCCGATATTCTCAGTGGGTGCGAAACACAGGGGCAACATGCAAGTTCATGATAATGGCAGTCATGGTCCACGGCTTCCTGACACTCAATTCAAAGTTACGAAGTTCAATAGATCAGTATGAGTGGCGCATTTGGCCATTGCGATTGTTCACTTGTGTACTGTGTGCGGTCTTGGTTCTGTCCAGCGGGGACCGACAGGAAATCAACCGCAGGCGGGCTCATCTCCCGTCGTCGTTATGACTTCGGCCTTCTCACCGCGAATGCCGCCATCTAGGATAACAGCTTCGTTGTCGTCCAGGTCGTCTTGCACACGTCGCCATCTGGTCCCTCTAGCCCTCTTACCTGGAAGCTCTGCCTGCTTCCCCTTCGGCTCGTAGATGGGTCTGATCAACCCTCCCAAGAGCGGGTTCTTGCTGTAGGCCCCTCCATGGCCTTGACCACCATCCTCGATGGTAACCACCGCTCTGGACTTGACATCCTCTGTGTCCACATGATTGTCCGGACTCGGCGGCCTTTCCATGTTGACGGTTTGCTTGAACACCTTTTTCCCAGTAATGTCAATACTGATAATCTGTTGCCGTTTCTCATACTCCGGCTTTGCATTCCATTCCATCTCGCGCATCAGCTTCTGCTGACGTTTGAGCGCCATTGCCCTCTCTTCTGGGGTTGCCCACATGCTGCCCGCCAAGGAGGGATCGAAATCAGCCGCTTCATCCTTAACAGTGGTGCGCTTCGCATTCTGCGCCTGGAATGCGAGCAGCTTATCACGGTGTTGTCGAGCCATCGCCTCCGCGACGCTGAGATCTTCAGGACCGGCCAGCCCGACCTCTTTCAAGGGATTGGCGTACGACCGTTGTGATTGCCCTCCTCCGGTACCAGTCTTCTTGTGTGCTTCGCGATCGGCTGCCATCTTTTCCCGACCACGTTCCTGCCGAAGTTCTTTAATCATGCTCTGGACTTCGGCAGGATTCAACAAGGGCTGTCCGCAAAACGTGCATGGGCCTAGCCCTTCCTTGATGCAGATGACCTTGCCACAATTCAGGCAGTTCGGAGCCGCCTCGAGAAGGGGATGGCGCGTAGCAACGCAGTTACACCTGCGAGCGGCAATACCCTTCGCCGTGTTGGAGAAATGTGTAGGATTTGTCGAAATCTCCAGGGCTCGAATAGCTTCGTCGAAATCGGCGAGAGCAGTGGACTGGCCATGCATCGGCACACCTCCCGTAATTGATACCTTTGCGATTTTGGCATTGTTGTTACGGGATGATGACGGGCCTGGGGTCGCCGTGCGAGAAGACGGATTCGACCTCGACTTTTGCTTCGGTAGACCGAGTTCCGACACGAGTGTTCCTGCAACAAAGAGGGGAGGGGGCTTCGACTGTTGAGTAGGAGGAGGTGGTGGGGCTATTTTGGTTGATGATATCGATAGTTTCTTGCCATAGCTCGCGTCGCTGATTGATGGGGTCGATGCCCCTGATCGCGCGGGTGGTATATAGTCTTGTTGTAAATCTTTCTTGTTGTACACAGTTCCTGCGGCAACCTCGAAAGACGCGACCTGTCGTGGTGGCGGGGTATGGAGGGATGGTTTCTGCTTCTTTTGACGGGACCTATGTTTGGGGACACTTTCGACCTCAAAATTGTGGCTAGAACTTGGCGTTGCACCAGGGACAGAAGATGGTGGCTTTGACAACAACTTGGGATCAGAGCGGCGAGAATTGAAGGTGGATATGAACTCTATCACCTGGGGCGAGTCTCCCAGCATATCTGTGAAGTACTGGGCGGCTTCCCCTTTGGATAGGGTTGAGGCATAGTCCAACACTTGCTGCAGCGCATCATCTGGTAAGGAGAGGATCTGGAACAACTGTTCTTTAGACATTATCTCAAGCGTGCGTATAATAGACAGATGCTGGGAGAAGGAAGTGGTCTGGGGGCAACTCGTTTGCAGCTTTAAGATGCTTTTTGTATTTGCATGGAGATTGACCCGCTGAGTTAAACGGGTTGTCGTGCTCAGTGGGGCTCGCCGAAGCTCCAGGCCAAGTGCCCCGCACTTCAAAAATCCATTGATAAGGACAGTGCTATCCAATATATCTACTGTCCAAATCCCTTTTTGTGGAGGAAATTATCCAAAGCTTGTCAAGTTCCCTTCTTTTTACAACCCTTCTTGCTTTGAAACAGTTTAGTTGCTCTTCTCTTCAAACATTTATTAAGCATGCCACGGGTTTTCTCCAGAACGAACTGTTTTCGATCCATCGTCCTAGAATGGTTTCCAACAGTAGCGCCCCACCTCTTCGGTCCAGATCTGCCGGCTCCGCGCCATCGATGCGCCAAGCCGGCTTCTTGGCGGTTGACGGAGTCAAGCGATAACTCCTGTCTTAGCTACCGAAGAAATGTTAAGCACGATCTCTGGCGGTTATACATTTGACACTCTAATGACAGTATAGAACTGGTGGATTATCGTCCCCTCAGAACGACTGTTTTTACTCCAATACCCCAGTTTCGCCGAGTGTTTCTCGGTCTACAGACCCGTCGAACACTGATATCTGCCACTCTCGGAAATGTTTGGTTTTGATATCACCGCACAGGCCGATCTCTGCTAAAGTCATACAAAAACGCTCTGAGAGTAGCTCATTGGGCACAACGATGAGCAGGCTTCTGGATGCTCCTATAAGTATGTCCGTGTCAGCAATTCGATTGATATTTTACTTCCGGCTGAGCACTGACCGACTTCTGGCTTTCCCGGCTCCCTCGCCTCTCCTCAGCCCAAACGAGGTTTGATGTTTAATCCCAAACGAATCGAAGATGGAGCAAAGCCCATGATTAACTGGGAGTATTGTGTTTATAGTGAGGCTGCCATCATTCAGAAAACAGGGGATCTTGCGCCTAGGTCATGTGATGACCATTTTGAGAATGGATATGGACTATCCACAGAGTTCATAATCTCTCCTCATAAGCCGCTCAGACAATGCGGTAATTGTCTTTATGGTGCAGGCGGAAGCAGCTGTAGTTCTCACGGGACCAAGGCTGAATTGGAACTCGAGAATGAGTTGTTAATCACAGGCAAGACTTCTTGATTAAAGTCCACTGTAATGGGGGACTTGGCCTAGTGCAGACAGGGATCGACAATGGGTCAAATGGGTTAGATGATGGCCACTGACGATGTTGGGTGCACAGCGAAGTCAATTACTACGTGTAACAATCTTTCTTGGTCCTCAGTGTCCTTGTGTTGGGGAGAGGAAAGCCCAAGAGAAATCCTTCATCGTGTCCAAGTACCCTCCCTTATATAATCCCTTCGCCCTTGTGAGTACCTCGCGGTCTCCTGTCATCTTCAGGGGTTCTTTCAGCGTGGCAAGGTTATCTAACTCATTCTTGCCATCCCTCATATTTTCCGGGCTCTACCAATCAGATATGCCTTTGCCCTTCTCAGCTCTTGTGTCACTGGTGTTCTATATGTCGATTGTCAAGGATATTTCTTCTCCTTGGACTGCCGTGTCCATGTGACATACACAGTCATATAAAGAGCTAATAGGGGTTTGCATCAAGCAGTTATAAAGGTGTAAGCATGTCAACTGGTACGCCGATAAAGAAGAGGTCAAACTCACTGGCCATAGCTAAGTCAACGAGGTTCTGCACCCAAGCTAACAGAAGAAACCAGTACTCGATTCAGATAGCAGCAAAATGCCCATTGGGATCAGCCAATCCATCGCATCTCAGAAATTTAGTCAGCAAGTCAAGTATCAGTCAGCATCAGAAGGCTTACGCGATATAAGTAGTGCACAACTGGCGGCTTCCCTGTTTTGTCCCCACATCTTCCGCAACCCCCCACTCCAGGAATTCAAGCGCCTTCGGAGACCGCATTAGGGGGTGCTTCGGCGACTTTACGATATCCTGGAATTGGATCTGCTCCTGGCAGAAAGGGACTGAAGCTACAATCAGCACGTTCCGATGACATGAGGTTTCAGGAGAAGCGGGCAATGGCACGCTGTTTGCAGAATGTCTTGGATGTCTTTCGAGTTTAGCAGCCAGCAATAGCATCATCGCTCGAGACTTGACGAGTCGTACCTGATTCGAAGTGTACATACCGCCAGGGATTTCGTATCGTGTTAAACGAGCCACGGGTGAATACCATCGGGAGATGGTTAGCGCGCTAACAGACTCGGCCGATCGAGATTGTTGGACATAAAAGTAAAACGTGGAGAGTATTGGCTTGGGCATTGCCCTGCAAAACACGCGGCCCTGAGGGGATCTGTCAAGCACAATTGGTGCCGCAGAATAACAACGCCCCCTTCTAAACTACACACGCGTGAGGGCAAACGAGCATGGCTCTTATATAAGGTCAAGCGTGCACCTGGCCTCAGTGGCGCCGAGACTGACCGAGGTACGGTCAGCGGTGACCACATCGTAGTTACTTGCAACTAACAGAGATATTACCTCACTGAGCCGGTAGGTCATGAGGTGCTCCTCTTTCAAAACATGACATTACTTCACACTTTCCTGCGCCTGCCGCAACGCCATTACCGCGGGGTTTGAGGGTTGTTTGTTAAATTTCTCAGTGGTGGCACTGTCAAGTTAAAATTTTAGTCATTTATTTGCTGGGTATTGTTGTATGCATCGCAGGAATCACTTGAATGTTGTGCCTGTAGGTGGCCTGATAATGATAATGTCAGCAATCTAAGCCAGGGTGTCTTTTCTATTCAAGCCAGTCTAGTCTTGTCGCTTGTGGCTTCGTTAAAGCACGAAGTGGATGCAGTTAACTTTTATGTTGTGTGTCAACATCCGTACAACTGAAAATATGTTAGCTTTTGCACAATCGAAGATTTTACGATACACGCTTTAGATGAAATCCCATGCCCGCTAATCAATGATTGTAGCGGGTATCATGTCCGCCATCGCAGCAGATTTGACTCTTCCACAGGGCCGACAGTGGCTAACCCAGAAAATTTGATGAGAGATGAGATTGTTGGGGGTGTCACCAGTGATCTGATCCCTGAGACAAGGATGGCCATCGAGGAATTTCGCGAAGGTCAAAGAATTTGAGCATGAACCGACTTTTGGTGCCTTCAGATGGCATTTAAACGGGCCAGTAAGCCCATCACGATCTATCATGCCATGTCCCAGTTGACGATTGAGCGCTAACCGTTGTATGATCTCATCGTCTTATTACATCACAAGTGTGATCTCCAATCCCCAGGAGAGAATCAAGCAGAGTGTCAGAAACATCAACTGGACATCCAAGCAAAAGTCGAGTTGCTGCGTTGATCATATATCCGGGGATATCATGCAAGACCCCTATACCTGTTGTAAGACTGGGCTCGGCATATTCGATGGAAGTATTCGAAGAGACGTTCACTGGATTGATCAATGCAGTAAGTGCCATTTCAACAACGCTGGACATCTCTGCAGCTTTCGACATGATGGCCATGATAGCCTGAGCTGTAAGCGCAATCGAGAGGCAGCCTCTAACAACAACTCTGCTAGTTCTGAAGGGATGCTGGACAAATGCGGTGGGTACGTACCCAAGATAGCACCCAAGGCAGAAGTAATGAGCGGCTTCCCCGAACTGACATCCCTACTATCGTCGAACATAACGGTTTGTTCACACATTAACATTGGACAGAATGCAAGCCTGCCGACTCCATATCAACTCCAACTACGAAAACCAAGGCTACGAACGATGCTGCTACGACGGCAAAAGATGCTGCGCGAAAGTCTGAGAATGGCCAGGAGTCTGAGCCTCGATCCCGCGAATAAATCAGCCAAGTCACCTTATTCAGAGCTCATTGCGGAAGGGGTATCCCAAGCGATCAAATGAAAGATGACAACCTACAGTTCAGGTTTGAGGGAGAGCTGAAAAAGGCCACGGACAAAGACGTTAAGCGTAAAAGTCTTTGAACCTAAGCGACGCAGCAACAGAAGAGATGTGTGATAGCATGGTTGTTTGTGTGAGAATGGTTCAACGATGGAAGCTACGAACGCAGCAGTGCCTGATTTGTAGAAGATGGAAAGCCCGGGAAGAAAATCAGGAGTATCGATATCTTGTACTAGAATCTTGGACTGTAGATGAAGGCAGCTTCCTATAATTTGCCTTCTGCTCGTATAGAAAGGATTTTCGCTAATCATCACTTACCAGCGATGGTAGTTCTGGACCTCTGCCTTCTCTTTAAATGCTCCAACTGCCATATCAAAACCCAGACACTTGAGCCTTGGAAGATGGACAAATCTTTCTGCCGTCTCAGCTGGCATCAACACAGCAGAGAATTGTGCCCCTGCTTGCCACATGGCTCTCAACCTTCGTCTGTCTGCCAGCCTTTGTTTGACAACATCGGCATTGCTTGAAATCCGTTGATAGAACCACTGACGTTACGAGCTTACGGCTGGCGCTACCAGGCATTGGTGCACAAACCAATCTCAAGGAGTCAAATCCTGCATGATGACGAAGCCGGACCGCATTTGTTTATCATACGAATCAGCACACTGGAAAGGAAAGGCGTCGTTCGATACGGATGGACTGGTCATATGGAGGGCAGAGCGTATAAGGAACAGCAATGGTTGTGATTCGGGAGACTTTACGGGATCGGACGGATCAAGCTTGTTGATTACGACCACGGTTCGTATGTTCGAGCCTGAAAACTCGGAGAGTCACTAAGCCACTTTGACATCCTTATGTGATGTGTTGCACGATAGAGGAAGGGAATAGGTACAGCTATAAAAGGGGAAATTGCTGGGTCTTCAACACTATTGGTCAGATGAACTTCAGTGATGTAGATGGGGCTGTGCCAAAAGTTCAGCCCAATATGCCATGGTGAGCCTGAGGATAAAACCGAAATATTGGTGAGTGATGGTCAGTTCAAGTCCCAAGTTTCAGCACCCCTAGACAATTACTTCATTTGAGGTCACGCAGATGGTAGTATGAGATCGACATCAACATAGGAGAATTGAACTGTTGCTAAGACTCTCGTAATCAGCTTTGTCCGGAGAACCCGACCACGGGACTAATGCAACATCATGCACACGTGTCGAGCATTGCACAGGCTTATACCTGGGTTTCTTTGTCAATTCATTACTGACTCTGTGGTCAGGGACAATTGCATCCTGTGTGAGTCAAACGATGATGCTTGAGACCAGGAGGTGGGTTTTGGTTTTCCGCAAACCGTGGCTTTGGGCCGTCATTTTGGTGTGTCCATAACCGTTCCATGGAAGATATATTTAAACACAGTTAAAACAAGATCTGATCGATTTTTGGGCGAATGGATGCGATATCCAAGATGAAAAGCCCAATCACCGATCAAGGTCGGTCTCCGATCTTAGTCGGTTGATGTTGAGGCTCATGTATCGAGTGACTGCTCGTCATCATTAAACCGTGGCAAGCAATTCCGTGAGCGGGAGCGTCCAGTAGGTGTTGTGGCGAGCTCCGGATCGTGCCTAAGACACTGGTCCGTGCAGATCTTACAACTGGACTCGAACGTACAATGGTTGGGCTTTGCCGTCAAGACCCAAACTTTTCGACTGTCCTGTTGTGTACCACCAGTATCACCTTCGGCGAATATTTTGTTCAAATCACACAGCCGCAGCTTACATACAGCACATGGTTGGTCGCATAACAGGCCTGAGCTCTTGTGAGAAAACCGGGGATGAGGAACAGGAGCCGTTGCGTGACAGCTCTGTGGCTTCCGTCACCAGTCAGGCCCCGTATATGGTGTTAGACTCTTGTACAATCGAACAGAAAGGTTTAGAACTTGCGAGAATCGAGGAGTTCATGGTTACAACATATAGGACTGTTACCTACTATGATTAGGGATACAGCACACCGAAGAGAAATAGTGAATCAGAGCTGGGGATCCAAACTCTGCCCCTCCAATACTTACATTCGATATCTTATTTTCTCAGAAGTTTTGGGTTATTACTCATGCACGCATTGACAAATGAGGACGGCTGAGTTTTCTCGTTAGCAGCGAAGAGCATCCTCGCCAATATATGCGGGATGCTAACAGTTAAGGAACTTCGCCTGGTTTTCTAAGCTCAAGAACACAGTGGCGAACTGGACTTATCTGTTTATCTACATGGATTGAGAAGAGGACGCCCAGGCACCTTGGCATTGAGTCTCATGTTAATGTTCTTCAGCAGTTGTTCTGGAATGCCTAACATAACTGCCAAGCCGTTGGCTGCATGTATATTCCCCTGTCTGCGTTCGGCTGAGACTTCACTTAGTTAGTTCTTTCTCAGTTAAGCTTACAGAGCAGATGCTAGAGTCGAAGTCGCTCGTCCGATAACATTATCTTGGCTGACTCGATTCGAGACCCTGCGCGATGACTTGGGTATTACACATGCCAGGGGTTCTCCACAGCGGCAGGCCATGTGGTCGGAATACCTTTGCAAAAATGCAGAGACTGTCATGTTGGACAATATGAAATGGAAATTGGAGTGCACGATGGGTAGGTTCATGTAACCGCAACAGACTAGATACTGGCATTATTATGCCACATGTAACAAACTTAGACTTCAAGGTTATATCAAGCATCCAATAGCCCAGGCGCACCAATATTCACATGTAGACCTTTTTATCAACTCAAATATCTCTTCTGATGATATATCCACCACAAATTGAAGAGAGTCAGGCTAGTATGGACCAGGGTTCGGGTACTTGTGCATATGTCATGTGCCCATCTGACTTAGGAAAAAGGAAGGTAAGATATCGGTCCCTGTTGAGCTGAGCTATTAGGGCAGAATGTATCGCCCAACATCCCTGGTGACACACGCTGACGGAGGATTTATCCTGCGTGAACCTTGAGAAACCCGAGCATCCAGAAAAGGGGTAGGGTTCTCTTATGTAGTAATAGACTGTACACTGACGCAAATTGTTCAAGATTAATGGATCATTAGCCGGTTCATGGACGGGTTTCAAACTTTAGGTGTTGAAAGCCCACGACCATGGTATCGTCATCCTCGTACAGGTATGGCCCAGGGGGTGACAAAGGAGTGAAGGAACTAGTAACCAATAAAATGGTTCTCGGAAATTCGGGAGCTCATGATGCCTTGTCTGTAAGATGTTCTGTGTATATGTAACTAGAAGATTGTTTCACAGTATTGCGGAAGACTTCTGTCTACTCGTGCGTTGCAAGTGACCCTATTTTTCCTTCTTCGTTCTTGATATCTTCTTGGACATCACAAGCAGATCCCTTGCCCCTACGTATCTCAGTTCCCGGACCTGTTTACGGCTTCTTTGTTTAAGGGTTTGGCCAGTTATGGAGATTACAAGATGCTGGAAAATATCCCGAGCCTGAGGGAGCTGGGCTGTCAACTAAAACCACACAAGAAGCCATGAACAACATGAATAAAGACGTACATTCCAGTATAGTGAGTCAACAATATCAGCGATACATATATAAATTCAAATGATCTAATAAAAAACACTTATTGTGATAGATGGGCCTTCATCGAGCGGCAGATGTGTCCTCAAGGGTCTTGTGGTACTCCCTTGAACTTCAGAGCTTGTTCTCCTGTTTCCTGTGAGATCAAGGTTGGTTTCATGGCCCCCAATGGTAAAATGCTGATTAGTTCTTTCCAGATGCCCTCAACAGTAACATTCGGTGACCTAGCCAAGAAAATGACAAGCGATATATGGTGGCGTCGCGGAAGTAGCCAGGAGGATCAGCGACGAATCATCATACCAGCCGCACACCAAAGGCTATCCTTAAGTCAGGGCCTAGGGTCCAAGAACATGGGAATGGAGGAGTGGATCCGCAGCCGAAGTTATCAGCCGATACAGAAACGTGGAATCGAAAAAGTTGCCGATCAGATGTGACAGGCAAAACGGAACTGACCGCAACTAAAGCCATGAGCACAGCCAAGGACCGAACGGATGGTAAGCCGTCGTCCGAACATGCAACAATTGGACTAAAATACCTACCTCCTGATCACCTTGTTCCAAGCCGATGCCCCAGTTTGGGCAATGCTTTACGGAGTACAGAGGACCATATTTTGTGTGATGTACAGATCGAGCTGGAAATGCAGGCAGTTGTGGGGTAGAGAGGAACACCATGAATTTCCTGTCAGCTAATGAGAGCGATGGAATTAGAAGCTGAACAACGGACCCGAAATAGCAAATGGGAACTTAGTTGAGATCGGGGCAGCCAGCTGTCGATCGAGTATTCGCTAGATTGATGTCTTGATCATCACACATGACGGCCCGATCGTATATTGTGACGTAATCAATGTATCAAGATGCAAAGGCAGTTCTGTAGGAGCATTGGACTTTTCTCAGCTGGCACCTAGCAACTGATACAGAGATGGCTGAGAGATGGGAGCCGAGTGGCTCCAGATCTGAGAAAAAACATTTCAGATGTGACACAATTGCAACCAATCCTGTGGGAAGTCCCTTAGAGAGATTAGTAAAGCCCTCACTTGCACTGTTTGCTGATGCATGAACACAGACCAAGAATATAAGTGCACTGTGTTGATTCGAGAGATCAGGACATGAAAAATGGATACAAGTCAGAAACCTTGGAAGCTTCGTATTGGTTCATGAATTGAACTCGATTGGCGAAACATGGGCTCAAGGACCGTGTTTGTGGTTGTGCAGGACTAGATAGAGCAACCACTGAAAAACATTTGACATCGAAGTGACCAGTTCCGAATCCAGGCAAGAAAATCTCACACCCCTCCTGCCAGCACAGCAACATGATTGCCAAGACCCAGCCAAAGGTGCAAAAGTAGGTAACGATCCACAACCGGAGAGGTATCGAGTCGGAGGGTCTGCCTTCGCACATGGGGATGAGTGGGCGTCGGCATTGATGCACTGTCAATGATTACTGAATCCATCCACCGGAACTCCTTGTTGATACTTATGCAGGTTGACAATTGCTGGTTGAGAGGTATACAAAGAACAAGATGCCCCTTCATGATTCGCGACAGCAATGTATACATATGGGACCCTTCAACCTTGTGAGCTGATGAATCCTTTTGATCTCATTACTTCACATGCTCACCTCTTTCGTGTTCTTCCATCTGTCTGGATTGTCCACATAAATCTTCCGAGAGATCAATTCTCACATTACGCTTATCTCCTTTCATTTTATTGCTATGTGTGCCGCCAAACGATCAGGCACAAGCAGCTCAGGGCAACCAAGACAGCTGCCTGGAGCCGCATGTGAAGAATGTCGAAAAAGAAAGCTTCGATGTAGGTTAAACCTCATCTCTATAACTGTAGTGTTCGTTTAGCTGACTCAACATGATCTTAGGTGATAGACAGCGCCCTCAGTGTGGAACCTGTGCTGATGCGGGCATTGTATGCGAGATAAACAACAACCGCTTGGCCAGAGGTCCAAAGAAGGGAGATCTCAAGGCTCTTCGGAACAGAATTGGTACGTTACACAGCTGCAGACCTGCCCCCATGAATCTCAATTGCCAAGTTCGAATCAGTGCTGACGAAGAGCAGTAGCATTGGAGCGCCGGTTGAGTATCGAATACAGCGAGGATGGGCTAAATGGTGGGACTGGAGATTCTGAGACACTCCCAGCAACGACCGAGAGACCTGGCGTAGGCACAACATTTGCAACACCTGCGACATGTTCCTCGGACAGCGGCTCTCCAATCCTTGCTTCTCCCACACATGCCCCGCAACATGCAAGTCTGTGGGAGCGCGAGCTCCATGTGCAGATACCGCCTCTTACTCCTGTTACTCCAGCATCGATGATGGCTTTTCCGGCCTTGAAGTTTCCTCCAACTCCTCAATCACCGGTCGTGAACACGTTTCAAATTGTTGACGATCTGATGAAGACTGACTTGTAAGTCTTCTACATGAATCTACTCATCTGTTGGCTTGTTTAGACCACGGAAAAGCAGGGACTAGTCTTTCGACTCCAGCTAACACCTCCGTGTAACACAGAGATCAACTGTACTTCGATCGGGTTCACCCCAATATACCTATTTTCAACCAATCACAGTACTTCTCGCGCTCCCGTCAAAGTCCCGCTTCCGACGCCCCCAACTACATGCTATGTCTCCAGTATTGCATGTGGACGTTGGCGATGGCGCTGTCGTCTCAGTTCGAGAGCTACCGAGAACTCTTTTACACAGAGGCAAAGCAGATGCTAGAAGGCATTGACCTGACAGACGATGATTTCCGGCCAGTCCAAATTGAGCAGGTGCAAAGTTGGCTACTAATTGCTTTTTATGAGTTTGCTCGCTGCGGCCATCGTCGTGCCTGCATCAGCGCAGGAAGAGCATTCAGGTTAGCACAAATGGCTCGTCTACACGAGGTCGATAATCCCGATGAGTTAGTTGATGAAGATCCGATTCAGAAGGAGGAGAGGCGCAGAACCTTCTGGGTAGCATATTGCTTGGATCGGCTTATATGTATGAGCAACCGCGCCCCTCTCACATTGACTGAAGACGTGGTAAGTTCCTGTGTGTCCGCTAGATGTACAGCACGGTCAACAGGTTTGCAATCAACATCATGATCATCCTTGTTAGTCTCAAATCGGCTAACTGCCAACTTGGCATATCCCCATGGCTAGATCTGTACTCGTCTACCATCTCCGGAACTCGCCTTCCAAACTGGCCATCCCATCCAAGGTCGATTTTTGTCAGATTTCATCGCATCAGGAGAGGAAAGCATTTTTTCTCCTCTGACTGAGACTGTAGTACTTGTTACCATGGCGGGTAGGGCCATTTCCCACATGCATGCCACAACCGTGGAACGAGCATATGGCAACGCATCACTCGACTTTTGGATCCGTCATGATTGGCTGGATAGTACATTGACACGAAAGATGAACTCACTTGCAACGACAATTCCGATGATGGCAGCCATGGCGGACCCCATGCTCTTGTTCGCCTTTCTGATGGGACATGCTACTACAATCCAAATGTGCCAGATTGCGGAATCCGCGGCAACACAGGCTAGCTGTAAGTCAACATCTGCAGAGTACGACATCCGAGCAATGCATGCGGCAAGGGAAATTGCAGTATTAGCTAAGGCCCATGAACAGATTGGATATTTTAAGGTAAGACAGCATCCTTCTCTACCAGGTCTCTGGGATTGGAACTGACTCACAATGTGCTTCACAGGCCAATATATTTCTGCCGTTAGCCGTCTATCTGGCAGCGTCATACATAAAAGCTAAAAAGAAGGAAAGTCTGCAATTCGGAGGTCTACCCAGTCCAACAATGGACCTGGCCGATCCAGACCTTATGGCCAGCGAGTTTCAATGTTGCGTGGACGTCCTGAGGAAGACACAGAGTTTCAATAACCTGGCCAGAGAAAATCTGGCGGCATTGGAGTCTCATGACGTTGCTGGAACAGGTACGCTATAGCTGTCAAATGATGACATGATACCATTTCCATAGCGATACCTGGTAAATGAGAGAAGCGGAACCACGATGGCGAGGGTTAAGACGGGGGCCAGCAATGGCAGTGGGGATACCCAGGTAAAGCCAGTGTCACTTTTATCTGCTTGTCAATTAGAGGTTGTGTTTTTTCGAATTACAACATTGTATCTCAAACTCATATGATTGGACAGATTCGTGATGTTAACAACTCGAGAGGTAGTGATGGGACTTTTCCAGGAATTCCTGCAACTTCAACCCCAATGCCGAACATGCCTCAGGCTGGCTTTGCCGTTTGTATAGTACACCGTTCTAAACATGGATGAAACGGTGCTTAAAGGTTTTTTTTGGTCAGCAGCATGTGAGCCTCAGGAACTTGATAGCATCTTGAAGTGTTATTCTGGACTTCTGGCCTGCTCCGGAACCGACCCGGGACCGTAACGACATACTGGCTCCGAGCTTGAGGCCCCGATATCAGCCGGAGCCGGAGTGGAGTGGCAGGTGGTAAGAGTATATACAAGTCCAGAACTACTATCGTAACTTGGGATAACTTTAAAGGTATTAGGACTCGGTAACATCTACTGGAAAAGACCCATGCTGACAATGGCGTTGGATTGCTTTTTGACGTGCTAGACATCGTTGTCTCAAGTGGAACTTAAAAGTCTCCTAAGATACTGTTGGAGAGTTATTCACAATGGTCAAGGTTGAGATAGAGGTTATGCTTCTGTGCTCACTGGATCAGTAGTTGAACCTTCTCCACTCGCCGTCTATGTTGACCGGAACTAATCTAGTGCCCTTAATACTGTCTACTTTGTAGGATGCTGAGTTGCTTACCTCCGGGTATTGTGAATTTATTTTTTTTGGGAAGCAGTTCAAATTTCAGAAAACTTTTTTGCATCGTGTCGACTGCATCTACGGATGATCTAACAGTTTCTCAGAGCCACGGCTGTGTGGCGTTTGCCTGCTTCATCGGCCAAGTTGGCAACCCCGCTAGTTGAAGCTTGGTTACCGGAGTCTTGGGAGACTTTAGATCTAAATTGACACAGTGCGCTTGCAAAGTGTCAGATCTTCGAAGTGTGGACAATGAACCGCTCATGAGTCTTGGACACGTTGAGCAAACGACATAACGACCATCGTATGAACTAGTTCCCGTTGTTGAGCCTGATATCAACAATGATAGCCAAGGATGCTGAGCTTATCGATGAAGAAAAGAGAAAGAGGGCACCGGTGTATAAGTTACAAGGGGTGCCATAACTGTGGGAGTTAACCAGGTTATCAGGCCGACAAAAAGAAATTTACAATTAGGCTGTCCCGCTTCAGCAACTTCCACGAATCTGCGAGCTGTGCTGAGTCAACATTATACCGCATGAAGCACAAGATGGCTCTGCAATCACAACAGGAGCAAAAAAAAGGCTAAGATGAGAAAACCCCTTAGGATCAGCCGTCTTTGATCTCAAGATGTCCTGGATCAACTTCTGTGGAAGCCTATCAACAGGCGTGATGACAAGAACAACCAGTCTGATGAGATCCTTTGCTTTGACTCACGGAATCACACATATCTATTGTTGCATAGCTCGAGGCTGCACCTCCTTTTGCGGTGCAGATCCGCTCTAGATCGGCAGAGATCAGCGGAGTGGTTGTGGTCAATGTCACATTCCCGATTGTGATTTTCCGGGAAGACAGATGATTTGGATGCCTCGACGAGGTATCAGAAGTCGTCGGATGCAAAAAGTAACCTTATCTCACCTAAGAAGCTCACTGACGCAGACTTAGTGCTGGTTATGCACGGTATTGAACCAACAAGTTCTGATATCGAACTAAAAACTGGATAGATATAACTGGATAGATAATTCTAAACCAGAGACAGACACTTTTTGGAGCCTAACCCAAAATATCCGGATTGGTGTGACTGCTCTTTGTCACAACGGTCTTTGCCAGCTCCTCAATTGAGGCACTCTGCATGAGTTCGAAGATCGACAGCTCCACTTCCGCCTTTACTGCCAGCATGTTACACAATTCGACTGCAACAAGTGAGTCGATGCCAAACTCAGCCAAAGATTTGGCCGGCACGACATCATCCTCGGAGATCATGAAAATATCCACGAGTTTCTTGGCGATCATCTCTGTGACAGCGCATGCTGCTTCCTCTAGAGTTGTCGATGCGGCAAGCTTGCTGCGCAGGTCGTTTGACCCTGCTTGTGTCATCCTTGACTTGGTTCTCTCCTGTTGCGCTTCACGGTACTGCAGGTTGCTAAACCGCAGGTCACGGCTGAGGACTGAGTCTTCAGCATGCCCCCTTGGTCCAGTGTTGAGGCCAAGCGCTAGGCTTCCTGCAAATGGCGACTGGATTGCTGAATCAATCGCCTTGAGAACGTCATCTGCGGCGAGTTCGAGCATGCCATGGCGTCGGAGGGACTCGACGATCTTGTTCGCCTGTTCTTCAGCCAGATACCCGACAGACCTGACGATACCAAGGTCAATGGAGACACCAGGGAGACCGTGTTCCACACGGTATCGCGCTAACGCGTCCTGAAAGGCTCCTCCTGCTGAGTAGTTGGATTGACTGGCATAGCCCATGACGCCGATGAGAGAGGACAACATGATGAAGAAGTCAAGAGATCCCGGAGAAGAAAAATATTGGTGCAGGTTCCAGCTGCCTTGGACTTTTGGGGCTAATGCCATCTTGTAATCCTCGAGCGTCATGTGTTTTAGCACCGAATCCTAATAATAGCTTTATTAGAATGGAGGACAAGGAACCGGTGGCACCTTCGCGTACCTTGAGCTGCATTCCTGCGTGGATGATACCCTTAATTGGTGGCTTCCCTGAGCCAACATAGCTGTCAAGAGCTTTCACCAACTCCTCGTGTTTGGAGATATCACACCCAACAGCTGTTACTTTTACCCCTCTAGCTGTAAGCTCTAACTCTTGTCTCAGGGCCATGAGCTTGGCTTTATCATTTCCATTTCTGGACAGGATGAGTAAGTGTTTGGCACCACACTCGACCAGCCAGTTGCATATGGATTGTCCAAGGCCACCGAATCCTCCCACGACCAGGTATGATGCATCGGAACGGAGTTTAGCATGTACAGACCGAGGACGTGCCTAATAATCTGGTTAAAAGAATCCCGGCAAGCCTAGGAAAAACAAAAGAGTGAAGAACGATCATACCAGAACCACGGTCTCGGGGGTAACAGAAAGCACAATCTTGCCGACATGCTTTCCTGCTTGTACAAGTTTAAAAGCCTTTTCGACGTCCGACAGAGGATAGACAGTGATAGGAGTGACTGGATTAACCTCCTTGCTTGCAACGAGCCGGACGACCTCATTAAGGATCCTGTGAGCATGCATGGGTCTCAGTACACCTAGAGCGGTCACGTCAACGCTGGTGAAAGAAACAGCACGAGTGAATGTTCCGAGAGCAAGGCTGTTGTTGAGCTCGAAGTCTCGCTTTCCCAGTTCGATGAACCGACCGAAAGGGGCAATGCAGTCAAAACTTTGTTGAAGCAAAGATCCCGCTAAAGAGTTGAGGACCACGTTTACCCCTTTGCCTTGTGTCATCTCCATGATGCCTGTGACGAACGATGCATCCCTACTGGAGAAGATGTGGTCAGGGCTGATACCATATTGCTTCATCATAAAATGGCGCTTTTCTTCTGAGCCGACAGTCACAAACACCTCAGCCTTGACACGCTGTGCTAGCATCACGGCCGCCTGTCCAACACCTCCTGTGGCTGAGTGAATAAGAACGGACTCTCCATGCTGAAGCTTCGCATGGTCGTAGAGTGAAAGATAGGCAGTGACAAATTGTGTTGGGAGAGAGGCGCCAACCTCGAAGGTCATATCATCCGGCATATGGACCGCGCTGGTCCAGTGAACTCGAACACGGCTGCTGTAATGTCCGCGAAGTAGGACAGCAACTCGGTCTCCCGCTTTATACCCATTAGCTGCCGCAATGGAGCTTACTCGAATAACCACACCCGAGCAATCGTAGCCCATGACCTTTGACTGGAGTTGACCCATCGCAACCATAACATCACGAAAATTGACACCGAACGCTCTTGGCTCAATCTCGACAAATTCTTCAGGAAGCGGTTCTGCTGAAGTGGGGTCGTCGTCAAAGATCAAGGTATCTAGCAGACCAATGGTGCTCATGGTCAAGCGAAGGGGACGTTCAGGTTGTAAAAACGGCTCGAAGTTGGTCAACGGAGACTGAATCGTCTTGACAAACACACTTGAGTTGCGCTTGTTGTCTTTCACATATCTTGGGACGTGGATAATCCCATTCCGCTCTGAAAACTCATAATCGTTTGGCCAATCTTGAACGGATTGGTCAAAGAACTGCATGAAGACGTCGGTGATGGCCTTGATTGATTCCACAGACCACATGGACCGAACAGGATCCAAGTCCAAAGTTCCCAAACGCTTGCCAGAATACTCCTGCCTAAGAGACCGCAGGAACCCTGATGTGAGGTTTGCAAATGGGTTCAAGCTCTCGCTGACACCTCCTCTGGTTACCCAAAGCAAACCTTTAGACCGTGTGCACATGGATTTCAGTCCCTCAAACTGGGCTGCATTTGCGCTAACTAAGGTCGGAGAATCACAGTCATCGATGAACACACAGATCTTGTTCTCGTGATCTGATAAGTCCTCAAGGGTACAGACTCTCGGCACAGTCCAGGTTACCAAGCCGATGGAAACATTGAGTTGGTCAAGCCAAAAGTCAGGAGGGGAACAATTTGGTGTGACGAAGACGATTTCGAAGTCGAGTTGGGGAGGGGGACGAGCTGCTGCTGAAGAGATAACACTAAACGAGTAGAATTCGTCGTCATTGCAATCGTGAACCTCTGCCTCTATGCCACGAAATCCTGTCTGCTTTAATACGTTGTCCCACATTGAGATCGTCAACGACGGGCTGACTTTGCGTTCCTCTTCATTACCTGCATTTATTGTCAGCAATGCCCTTCATAATTAAGACGAAACATGAGCATACTAAGCCACCAGCCCTGAAGAAAGCCAAAGACAAACTGGATGTCCATCTGATCTTGGGTCGTCTCTATAATAAACAGCTTGCCCCCTGGTTTGAGCAGCTTCCTCACGTTTGTCATTGTGTTAATCATTGATCGTGTAGCATGAAGGACCTGACATGCGATAACAATGTCATAATTGCCCTCTTCAAACCCCTGGACGGTAGGGTCCTGCTCAATATCCAGCTTCTTGTACTGCATTACCTCGCTCCAGTTGTTGAACTTCTCTCTCGCAGCCTCAAAGAACCCTAAGGAAACGTCGGTGAAGTCGTATGATGCAATGCTGCATTCTGCCCCTGAGTTTCGAATGGCCTCGAGAACATGCTTAGTTGCACCGCCAGTTCCTGCACCTATTTCAATAATCCTGACCTGTGAATACTTTTGTGCATACAGGGCAACAAGTTGGCCAACTTTGGAGTTAGCCCGTCCCCACTTCAAGCCCTCGAGGTAGTATCTCGACAGCAAGTTGTCTTTGAGCATGAGTTCAAGAGCAGTGACTTGACCTCTCAAGATTGGCACAATGAGAGGGCCCAATCTGCAAACCATCTCACCATTGGTGCTGCTCAAACGAACCCGTGCCAACAACTTCTGTCGTTCATGTGCAGGTGTCAGCAACCACTCCTTACTTGACGGCCCAAGGCCTCCAGTCTTCGCAAGCTCAACTTGGAGTCTCATCCAGATGTAAAACTTCTTATGGTACCACTCCAAGCCTTTGACATCCGAAGCGGTGAGCTGACTTAGTGCGTCGCAGATGTAAAACAGACAAGCGCGACGTAAATCAATCAGCAGCTCGGCTTCTGTAGGTGAGATCTCGCTGCCCAGGTTCTGCTTGACCCACGAGTCATTGAGGAAGGTGATGTCTGGAACCCACTTAATCAAGGTAAATTTTTCTTGCTCCCAAGGCCTGTCTTGTGACACTGGAGCATTGCCAATAGATTGACAGACAAGCTTTTCGACGGTAATGACGGGATGGGATGTCACATCGCCTGAACAGGAAGCTTCAAAAACAAATATGGAAGAAGTCATTGTCTGCGAGTCGATGTGACTGAGATCTGTGTAGGCTCGCAAGCAGTGGCTTGGGTTTGCATTAATTCCTGCAGCGATCCATAGCTTTCGGATCGACCTAGGGACTTTGAGAGTATCTGCCGTGCTCCCAGCACCTGACACAGCGGTATAAGCCGCCTGGAACACCGAGTCGAGAGTTGTTGGATGGATGATATGCGGATGCTGATGACGCCTTGGCATCGTTGCTTGGGTATCGGCAATGCTAAAGGAGGTGAGGGACTGCTGATTCCGAGCCCGAATGCTGTTAATGTTCTGGAAGATTGGCCCATAGCAGAGACCACGAGACCGAAGGTTCGTGTAGAACTCACGAGTGCTAATCCAGTTCCGGTATGCCGTTTCGTCGGTTGGCTGAGAGAGGTTGAAACTGGTATGCCAACCATGACAGTCGGCATACGCGACTGAAATAAGACCTTTACAATGTTCTGTCCATTGGTTGTCTGCAGTAACAGAGTGGATTGAGAACTCCAGCCAATCCCTTGCATCGAGCTCTCTGGTGTTGCATGGCCGAAGATGAAGCTGTACCTCGATACCCTCGGTAGTCTCGGGAACCACAAGAGCCTTGAGGATGTCTATATCACGGAGTTGATATCCTATGACTGCCTCTCCTTTGGGACTATGGGAAGCTAGGTATGCCACTGCTTCGATTGCCATGCTGAGATATCCTGCAGCTGGATAGATGATCTTGTCCTGAACGACGTGGTCTCTTATCCATGGAAGGTCGGTCAAGCGAATCATGTGTCTCCAAGTTGGACTGTTAAGGTTCGTTCCAAGGAATAGGGAACCCAACAGATCATGCGGAAGATCAGACCGGTTTCTGAGCGCTCTGTTAGCGCGCGGCTCGCACCAGTGCCGCGTCTGATGGTTCCAGGGGTATGTTGGTAGGTCGTGAAGCACCTTCAATCCGTATTTTCCGTATGGAAAATTAACGGCTGAGAGATTTACCTGGTAGCCGTGTTGAACCAGATTGCATACCAAGGCATGCATAGTGTCGACGGCATTTTGCTTTCTTATCAAGCAGCTTCCGTAAAAGATACTCAGGCCTTCAAACCGGGGCATTGCCAAGATGTCTTGAATGGGTCCAGAAAGTGCGGCATGTGGTCCAACCTCGATGACCATGTCAACGCTTGGCTCGCTGTCGGGTGTTTCGAAACACATGCTGTGGAATGCCTCCAAGAAGCGAACAGATCCAGTAAGACTGCGAACCCAGTGTGCAGGGTGCCCAATCTCCTTGGCATCATCGATGCGAGAGCCTGTAGCTGGAGAAGAGAAAACAATGCTGACGCGGTCCTGGGCAGGGCGTACTTTGTTTTCCATTGCGGCGTAATACGCGTTGGCAAACCCCTGCATATGATGGGAATGCCACGCAGCAGCAACCTTCAAGCGCCTGACAAAAATGTTTTCCTGCTTCAGGATGGCCTCAAGCTCATCGAGACCCGCAATGTCTCCAGAGATCGTGATGCTGTTGGGACTATTTTCGCAAGCAAGGACCACCGTCCCCTTGGTGACACGGGAGATATATGGTTGGCTCGCTGCTGCGCCTAAACCGACTGCAACCATGCCACCACGCCGAACATGTCGATAATCAGACTCGGAGGCCAATCCTCCTCGGGCGTACGCTATTGCCATGGCAGAAGGAAGGTCGATAGCGCCAGCAGCGTAAGCTGCAGCAATCTCGCCGCTAGAATGACTGGTGACTGCGCTAGGTGTGATTCCCCAGGAACGCAAGAGTTCTGTCAAGGCAATCTGAACAGCGACGCAGACAGAAGTACTATAATCAAGCTCGTTGACCCGAGAAGTTTCTTCAGAACGACTAAGCTCCTCTGCAAGAGCGTAATGTTAGTAAGATTTCTTCGATGTCTGGATACGTCAGACATACCGATCATATTCCATGTCGCCCCAAGCTTCTTCAGCTCGGCATCACATTGAAGAAGCGTAAGCTTGAAGACAGGATAAGTATCGATGAGTTCCCGGCCCATGGCCCACCATTGGGCCCCTTGTCCAGTGTAAACAAAGCCAATTCTGGGGTGACTTCTGGTCTTTACTGGGCTCGACCTGCAGGAGTCAATCGCTTGGATCAGGCCACGAATGCTACTGCCGGAAAATGCCAAAATCCAAGGAAAGACAGACCGACGATGACACAAAGTGTATGCTAGGTTGTCCAGGAATGCATCCTCGTTGCTAGTATGAGCATCAGCCAGATATTTCCTGAAATTGCTAATCATGTGGCGGGCCGCCTGCTCATCCTTTGCACTCAGAAGAAAGACACGGGAACGTTTAGTGCACTCTGAATGGCCGGTTGTAACTGTGGAGGAGCCATTTCCATTCCTGACCCCATTGGGAACAGCATTGTTCGAGGTGTGTGAGGTACTCAAAAGGTAGGACTCGTAATCTTCGATGATAACATGAGCATTCGATCCTCCGTAGCCGAAGTTATTGATAGAGGCTCGCCTGATGCCCTGAACATCAGGCCATGGCTCCAGTTCCGTAGGGACCTGCTGACAATTAGTTCCTGGCCGGCAATTGATAAGCGAAGGTCAGATCCAACCTTCAGATTCCATTCGTCCAAACGAATTTTGTCGTTGGGCTTTTCAAAATTGATGCTTGGTGGAATCTGACGGTTCTCCAAAGCCAAGACCACTTTGATGACTGCGGCAAGACCGCTTACAGTTTCAGTGTGCCCGATATTTGTCTTTACTGAACCGATTCTCAGAGGGCATTCACCTGTTCTAGTCTCTTTAAATACCGAGGCAATGGCTCTCGCTTCGATCGGATCGCCGATTGGTGTCCCGGTTCCGTGCGCTTCAAAATATGTAGTCTCTGCCGGATCCAAGCCAGCTCTTTGGTAACAGGCACGGATGAGAGATTCCTGAGCTTCTTGACTTGGGGTTGTTATAGTTTCCGTTTTGCCGTCTTGGTTAATACCAGTTTCCCTAATAATAGCGCGAATTGGATCTCCATCTCGGAGTGCATCATCTAGCCTTTTGAGAATCAGCGTAGCCGATCCTTCTCCGCGACCGTATCCATTTGCACGGCTGTCAAAGGCGTAAGATTTGCCATCTTTGCCGATTAGTCTGAGAAACTGTTAGCATTTTACTACCATGCATTTGTAGGCGCTGTTGTACACACGTCATGGAAGACATGGCCATGAACATGTCAGGATTAAAAATGACATTTGCTCCCCCAACAATCGACATATCAGACTCTCCTGTGCGGAGACTTTGGCAGGCCTGATGGAGAGCCGTAAGGGTCGTTGAGCAGCCTGTATCGACAGTCATGCTTGGGCCTCTTAGGTCAAAGAAATGAGAGAGCCGATTTGAGGCCATTGTGGCGCCAATTCCCAGTAGGAAGAATCGAGGAAGAGAATCGGGATCACGGAGCAAACTTTCGTAGTAGTCCCGAAAGAAGCAGCCGGCGAACACAGAGGTGTTTGATCCAGCGATATCCTGTAAAGTGATACCGGCTGTTGGAATCAGTAGACGTCTTAAAGTGGAATTTAGAGAACATACCACTCTCAAGGGCCTCATAGGTCGTTTCTAATTGCAGTCGAAACTGAGGATCGAGAGTCTATCAGGTTAATGTCATGGTAAGCTTCCTCCCTCTCTCAACATCTTCATGTATGAACGTACAGCAGCTGTTTCTGAAGACAAGTTGAAGAAACTGGCATCAAAAAGGCCGATATCTTCCTTTAAAAAATGTCCACCGATGACATTCGTCTGCGTGTTTGATGTCAGCTCTTCACGCTTTGTTTCATCAAGACATTCCAAAGGCGTTACACACCCCGTTCAGCTTTTCGTTGTTAGGGTGAAGGAAACCTCTCACGTTAAACCTCTCCACGGGTATTTCCGACCAAGCGCTGCGCCCTTCGGCCAAAAGCTTCCACAATTTCCCTGGATTGTCTACATCGCCAGCGAACCGACAGCTCATTCCAATGATGGCAATTGGCACGTTCGGGGCCATGTTTGGTGAGATTAAGCATCTGCACAGTAAACGTCGTCGGAAAGACAGCCCAGTAGGTCTGGATTATAGCCGTCGTATCAAACTCGAACGCAAGTCCCGCAAAAAACGACACCCTTGGAGGATGAAACAAACATGATATACTGGCCAGATTGGGAACCTCTTGCCACCACTTCGATGGTGGACGAATGATTTAGACTGACGGGCCCTCATCTCGGAGAATCTTTATAGCACAGCAGGGCGAGAGTGCTGTGTTTCAACGCTTCAGCTGACAGATGAGGATGAAGCAATCCATTCCGGAGACGCTGTGGGTTCCATGGATGGAAGTCAAGATACTCCGGTACAAGAAGAGCTCCGACCGGAGAGGGCACAAACTCCGACCAAGCCCAAGCTCTCTTGAAAGGAGTGGTGGTGTTCGGCAAACAGGACAGTTGGTCACAAGCCTCAAAACAATCTAAGCCTTGCTCTTGAGATCGTCAACTCTCTAGAGACATGCAGTGCGGCGAATTGCAGGTTGTTTAACGCATAGGAACTGTCGGGGAGTGAGTATCCACCCAGATACTCCGGTGGCCACGGGCCGACAGACAACGAACTCCGGGACGGAGACTGCTGTCTTGTGGATTCGGCGGCAACTGTGATTGACCACAAATTGGCAAATTGAATTTCGCTTGACAAAGGAACGCGCTAGGTAGCTGATAGAAATCTTGATTGGCTGGCCGTTCCACCGGCCCTCTGTTCCCAGACCGGTAATCGCTGACGAAGATCTGTGCTGGTCTTGACGCAGGATGTCAATCGATCGCGATCGGCATTCGCGTGTCATCCAATGGCGGCCAAGGAAGCCCAACGAACAGAGTCCGGAGGTGTGGTTGCGGATGAAGCCTCCACCCGCCCAGTAATCACATTGCCGTCTCTACGGCTCGAGGCGATCGATCTCTCAAATCGTTCCCATCCAGTTGGACGTCTCTTGCCGTCTGAGGTGCAAGGGGCAGTACTGGAGAAATATAACCCAATCCTGCACTTTATACAGCCGATCATGTGTTCGGGTTGATACAGGTCATTTGCCTTTTCAATTTCTTGTGCGGATGTTGACTAAGCCCTTCGATCGAATGGTGGGGGAAGATCAAGGAAGGCAGCGGTAACGTGTCACCTGCTACCCTTGCATTGATCGACACGCAGCATAGCCCCCGAGCACACCTAATCTAATATTATGTAATCCACGCTAGCTATGTATGGTTAGACTATTATTGGCAACATCTTAGCTTCTGCCACAGGACCCACCCGTCTCCTACAATCTGGTTCTGGGCCGCTCGGAACCAAATATCAACAAGTATCGTTGACGAAAACATAAACAATATCCGGGCATCTGAGCGTCACAAGCCCCTCGTTGTGCTTCTGCTTATTGTAGTATTCTACTATTATGTTAAATAGTAACTTAGAAGGTTAGGCCGTTGTCTAACACTGAAAGCTCGATATGTTCGCGAGGCCAGGTTGCCTTGAGTGTTTGCTACCTTTCATCCTCAGTGCGATGATAAGTAGATGGGTTCTCGGTGTTCTTTGCCAACATTAGGAGCTGCATCTCATCTGTAGCTCTCCGAGGTTGAGAAGAATGATGGGCTCACTCTTTTTTCAGCGCCTGACTGCAGCTCTCGGGACTTTTGCCAACTGTCTGGAGCATCATTGAAGCCTCCGATCCTGTGCACAAAACATCAAGATGACTTCTACATCTCGATGAATTGCCCAGTAGATCATCTAGTATGTACCCACCACTTATGCTGCAACTTCGGATCAGAGGTTTGTAGGCGATTGCTTTTTCTTTTGGTTGGTCTTACAGTCTTTCGACACAGGATTGGGGGTGTACAATAGTGCCAAAGTCACCAATCAAAGGGCAACATGTCCTTGTCAAGCTGGATCGGGTGGTTCTGGCAGTTCAGGCACTACTGAAAGGACTACTACACCCCCTCATGTCCATCATTATGGTTACAGAAGCAGTAATGGATCGATGCCTGCCCTTCGGCCCAGCTGCTAGAAGACCCTCGTTTTGGGCTGCATCGACGTCCTTGGTTACACCACTTCCCTCCGGTCTCTCATCTCATTCGTAATTGACCGAAGGCCCTCAGCTTGCTGAGTTTATTGCATCCTAAGTGCTCAACATCATCAAACGGTTTGCCAGTAAAAACCTTTCTATTGGATCTACTTAAATTCTTGACCTCCTGAGGCACGGATATACCTATTTCGATCCGTGACCCTAGTCAAGATCAGTCTCTCACGGCCCGACTCATGACACTACCGATTGTGCCCCCTGGTCCAGGATATCGGATCTTAGGGTGTCAGCCAACCGATGAATCTACCTGATTCTCACTGTTGAAGTCTTGCAGCCAGCGTCGATAAGTGGGGTAGCTGTTGCAGGCAACAACTTCTCTTCATAAGGGAGACTCCTGCATCTGTTTTTCCCTCATTTCTTTTTGGGACTCGGGCGATGCGACGTTTTCCCATCTTTGCTACCAGAAAGCGAAAATTTTAAGGGTTTGGTATCACTGTTCTCAATGGAATCACAGCAATCATTGGACAATCGGTCGAACCCTGTGTTGAGTCGGTTGGCAAAATGGTTACTTTAGATCAGATCCGAACCTCAAATGCACGTATCGTGGATTGCCTGCCAACGGGCATGGTAGCTGTGTTTGCGGGTGGCACGAGCGGAATCGGTGAGGCTACGATGAAAGAGTTCACTAAGCGTACGAGTCAGCCCCGGATCTACTTCATTGGCCGTTCTGAGCAAGCTGCACGACATATCAAGAATGAACTTCGTTCGCTGAATCCGGCTGGAGAGTATCACTTTATCAAGGCGGATCTTTCTCTATTACAAGATGTCGACAGGGTCTGCCGAGAGGTTCGAAGTCAAGAAAGTCGGATCAACCTTCTTTTTTTAACATCAGGAACTCTGATCACAGGACGGGGTAAGTGACGCTATTTGATCTTGCGGTCCAGTCGTGGTATACTTAAATGCACCATTCACAGAGACGAGGGAGAAGATATACTATTTCACTGCCTTGACCTACTACGGCCGTATTCGCTTAGTCGTTAACCTCTTGCCGCTTCTACGAAAAGCCCCAGCCCTCCGGCGTGTCGTCTCGGTTTTCGGAGGGACAAAAGAGGGACCCATAAACCCTGAAGATATGCAGGGACGCAATCTGCCAATCCACAAACTTCGCGCCCATACAAGCTCCTTGATGACGTTAGCCCTCGAATCACTTGCACTCGAGGCACCTGATGTCTCCTTCGTTCATGCGTTTCCTGGCAGCGTGCGGGGGACCAAGATAGGCAGGGACGTCTCTTCAACAGCTATAACGGTCAAGCGCGCAATTACCAAGGTAGTGGGTGTCCTTGGAACACTTTCTCTGTCCGAAGCAGGAGAAAGACACTTGTTCCTTGCTACAAGCGCCCGATTCCCGCCGCGCTGGATCGCAGATGTGGAGACTACAACAGGAGTCACACTCGACGATGGGATTGAGATTGCTAAAGGGTCCGACAGAGGACAAGGGAGCGGTGTATATTCTGTGGATTTCCATGGTGAACCATCATCACACAAGGTCGAAGAAATAGTGAAAGCAATGAGAGATGATGATCTTGTAAGGGACGTATGGTAAGTGTTCACAACCAGAGGGAATATTTTAGGAGGCATGCTGACACCATGTCGAGGTTACATACTGTGTCCGAGTTTTCTCGAGTGACAGGATCTGAGTTTGTATGATCTTTGAAGGAGTCCTAGCCAACTCTCTTGAACTTTCTTCAAAATATATTCTTATGCTTTATTTGAGCTTCCTCTTCATAGAAGGCTGCTCCTCTTTGTGGGTTTTGAATCTGGCTTATCTATGTCAGTTCAGCCACCGCCAGGTCTGGACACAGGTAGCGTCTACTATAAAAAGCAATAGAGGGATATGTGAAAACGACGTCTCATGATTTTGGAATTTGACAAGACAACGAATTGAAAATGGAGCTTTGGATCATGGGGCTGAAATACTCTGTTTCTTGGACCGTATGTTAAAGACTGTCTACTTTCTTATTTCAAACTGTCTTTTGCTTCCAATCGATGATGCTATATAGGGCGCTGTTGCTTTGATGGCTTTGTTGGTATCCACAGTAAATGGTAGTGTTGCATTGTATCACCACGGCTTCTGTTTTTAGGCGCAGGGCGCTTGGCAGACAAGCGAAACGCTGTTTACCCAGACTGTCAGATCTAACGTCTCTTCCTCCCCTCTGTGCTCTCCTCAGCAGTTAAGAAAAGCCGAAGACAGATATGTGAAATAAAAAGTTGGAGAAAATAGTCTAGCGATCAAGTCAGGTTCTCTGGACATGAGTGGCATGCCCATCCCGCGGGAAAGGTCGACCTTTGTCAGTTTGAAGATCGCAACCAGACATATCTCTTGCTGCAAGATCCAGCGTTTAGTTTCTTGGCTCTCTTTTTAGCCCATCGGACTGCGCAGCTTTCCAGGTGTGACGTTCCAACGGCACCGATTCCCGATGTAACGGCATCTGCAGCGGACTGCTTGACGTGATACACTGCCGATACACTGCCACCAGGCTGGCCACTGAGAGTCCTCAGGCACTCAACAAAGTTGTCGCGGACAACCCATCCAAGACTTGATTGTAAGCAATAAACTCAATTACTGACAAGATGACCAGCTACACAGGATGCAATGTATCCTTGTCAAAGTTCGCTTCCGGTTTCCCCGTTAGCAGCGTCAGGGCTTTGCGAGGATTACCATAGATCCTCTCGAGAATAAGCAATATATGCGCTAAGATGGTCAACGACGTCGCATCCGATAATGCCTGTTCCAACCGCAAGTTTTCGTGGAGAAGAATTTAGAACGGCAGCGCATCAAGAAGGATGCAACACAATGTCTGCAAGGTCATAAGCATTCTATAGGTGAGACGCCGGATACAAATGCTAGCTATTATCATCTTCAATCTGCTGGTAAAATCCCTCTCGAACTGTTTTGTAAACA